ATTCGGTACTACTGAATCCCCAGCCGGGCCTCTCTCGATCCGAGTGACGTATCGCACAAATTGTGAATTCCGGGTCGATGACGCTGAGACCATGTTCAGCTCACGGTTTATGGGGGTGGACGACGATCTGTTCCGGCCCTCCCTACCATCTGCAAATGATCGCGAAGAGCAGATTCGAGCTCAAAATGTAGACGTTGGCTCATTGCCGGCTAAACATAGGGCCTCGAACAATCCAGATCTTAGCCAAGCATATGGCAGTATGTCGACCTTCCATCGCGCCGATCCAAGCATCAAGGGAAGTCCCATATCTGCTCTCCGTGCCGCTAGAGAGTTTGCCGGTGGCTCGCCTTCTTCTCCTCCAACACATATGCCTTCGCCCAAACTTGGCCATGCACGGGTTGCTTCACTGTCAGGCGAAGATGGACACACACTACAACGCAGGCCGTCAGTCTCTTACCAACCGTTCAAGGCACCGCCACTCTCAGCTTCACCGGGTCCTAGCGGTCCTCGTAGCCCGTCAACTAGGGATTTCTCGAATATGAACATCAGCTCAAATCAGAATGTCCAAACTGCCGCTCCGTCTCCTAGGAAAATACCCAACTCGTCTACCCGCCCCCTGTCAGCGCATATTTTACCTGACCAAGCGGTCTTTTCCTCAATGTCTGCGTCTCCTAAACAAACACCTATGTCAAGGTATAGCAGCTCCTTCAGCCACAGACGTGGTCGCCTCTCCACCGGTGGGGGAAGCAAGACCGAAGAAGATAACAACTCCAGTGGCAAAGCAAGCATTAGTTCATCGTCGGCCATGGCACCAGGCCAGCGGGACTCGACCTCTGGTGTTTTCCCTGTGGTCGATACAGATGAAGACAACATTTCCGAGTTTCTCAAGATGCTGGACCTGCGGAAGGACTTGCTATCCAATGGTCCAGATGGTTCGACTTTCGATCCGGCATCGAGCAGACGAACCACCACAGCAACACTATCCAGGTTTCAGAAGATGAAGGACGCTAACACCGCCTTGTCAGATTCTATGACCTCGTCTCTCTTACTACATAGATCAACTGCCTCCTCCTCCAGCAAACACCTCCCTCCAGCCGCGACAAGCAACCCGGCTGCCACGGCTGTGCCGAGCTCACTACCTAGTGGCATCTCGGGCTCCATTTCTTCCTCTCCAGGCAACAAGGCTATCTCCCCGCATACACCACATACCCCAGCCGTTCCATCCAGGCTTAGCTCGAACAGCGTGATCGAATACACTAGCCCCGACGAACCTGGCCATATCATCACCACAACTACCCGTTCTCGTAGAGTCCCTCGCCACGAATCCCCTCTGGGAGAAACCTCTGAGCCTGACCCTGAGTCGGAAGCAGGGCCGCAATCCCAAACAAGCACAACAGCAAATGCAAATTGATATACCATTGCCTGCCTCCCCTCACAACCGACACCACCGCGGAGCATTCGTCTCTAGTTTCCGCCGCTCTAGTTCGGCCGCCCAGCGTCGAACTAGTACAGCAAATTCAAACAACACCGCAACAGGAGACGAAGATGTTCCCGACTTCCTACCCTTCCCGACAACTACCAGAAGTATCAGCCTAGGCGCGCAGGACAGATCCCCACCATCTATCAGCGAGTTGCTTCAGTCCACTAGTCCGGATGCTGAGAACCATCCTGCAGTCTCCCCTCCGATCGACCGACGCCAAACAGAAAGCCCGCAGGCTCTGGATGGTGATAATGTAAAAGACAGAACAGCACCCCCTTACCAGCCTCGCTTTGCTCAACCACACGACCGAGACTCACAAGGACCTCCCTCACATACGCACGCACGGCGGGCCAGCGCAAGAAGATTCAGCACCGTCCGTTCACCATGGAGTAATGCAAACCCTTCATCCAGCCCCAACCCCCACGGCAACGGGATCATGGACGAAGACGAGCCACTGCTATTCACCATGTCTGATTTTGGAGCGGGCATCAGCCAGCGTACAACGACACATGAATCAAAACGAGATCGCGACAGACGTCGAGACCGAGAAAATAATCGAGAAAGTGATGGCGGTGGCTCTGGCTCTGGTGGTGGGAATCCCTGCTCATTTCACCCCTGGGACTAATCCTTGCTTCCTTCTTTTCTGCTCATCTATACCCATCTATCCAGCCTTCCCTTGACTTCACTACATATGGTGGTTCAAGTGGCTCCAGTTCTACACTGATATGTGATCATGTTATTGCCCCCTTCTTGTTCTTGTTCTGACGAAGAGTCTTGTCTCCCTGTTCAGGTTCACAGTGGTTTTTGTGGTTAAACGCTGATGGTGTCCCTACCATATCACCCATGCCCATGCCCATCCACATCCACATACCCAAGCCCACACAGATAGCCCTCGCTACTATCTCCGTGTTAGCTTTCTTACTCGTCACCATCTCGCTGCCATTATACATTATACTGGCCTCATTTGCCACGTTGAGTGGTAATACATACACATCTTCGTCCCCCTCCCATACCATGCAGATGCAGACCCCTTGTGAATGAGTTGGCTTCTCATCTCCACTCCTGCCCTCAGCAGCCTGTTTTATTTATTTTCATCACTTGCATTACCCCCATGTTTGCTTGCTGGATACATTGGTGGCGCGGCGCCTTTTACCAGGTTTGAACCTCTAATCCCCTATTATCCCTGCACTGCTACCCATTTCTTTTCACGTCTCATCTACCTTCAATTTTGGAAAGAATCATGCTATCTATCTCGCATCTATTTTGCTCAAATAGAGCACAGCAGCCTCTTTTCTTGTTTCCTTTTATTACTCCACAGTTTGGTACATTGGTTTGTTGGTTTATTCGTTGGATAGGTATCAATTGTTTGCTTTATTTTTGGTTATTGCGTTGTTTGAATAGTTAGTTACCACGGTTCACCGGCCGGTTGATTGGGCTTCGGTTCGGCTTCGGGTGTTGGCATCATTGTCTTTTTGTCTTCTCTCTCTTTTTTTTCTATCATAGACTTCATGATTCGATTCGACATCATAACATATTAGGCTGCTAGGGCAAAGAGAATGGACATATAGGGAATAAATGGGGCCAATGCGGCATGTGATATATTCAACACACATACTTTGTGAATAAGTCAGTATCATCCTCTATACTAACATAATTCCATACCTTTTTCATAAGTCTACGGAGCGTTTAATCTACTTTTGCCGATTTAGATCGTCGCATAGAGCTGCCCCAGCCATCTCCAGGCAGAATGTCTGCAGGTTTCACTCTGCCAGCTTCAAAGCTTCATGCCGTCATTATTACGAGGTCGAGATCCTTCGGCCAGGTAGATCCATCTGATTGGCGATCCTTCATGAGGCTTAACTAAAACTTGGAATACTATTTAACCGCTCTTTCGCTGGCTGAAATGGGTATCCAAGTATATTCATAACTTAGGATCGGCAACAGAGATGAGATTTTTCTGTCAACAGCTGGCAGCTGGCCTCGTTGGGCTTGCCGTCTTCTCGGCTGATGCCCTGGCGACTCAAAACCACCCCAATGCAAGGTTAGACCATTGCCTTCAAGCAGTAAGTCCTAATATCCCAGAGAGTCGGAGTGTTTTTCCGCGGTAGCTAGTTATTTAGTTGACTAACAACTTCCAAAGTGCAAGACATTGGAGAGCAAGTTTGCAGATCAGGTCAGCCAGCCAAATTCTACCATCTATGGTGAGCAGAAGGCGCAGTTCTGGTCCTCCCAGCAGTCGGAAACAACCCCAGCTTGTTTCTTCCGTCCCAAAAGCTCAAAAGATGTTGCTGCTGCCATCAAGGTACTTCGTCGTACTGGGTGTCCCTTTGCAGCCAAATCAGGGGGTCATGCTGCCATGTCTGGCGCATCAAACATTGCTGGTGGCGTTACCATCGACTTTTCTTCACTCAAGGGCATCACCGTCAGCAAAGATAGACGTACGGTCTCCCTAGGCGCAGGGAATACCTGGCTTGACGTCTACTCGCAGCTGCAAAAGGAGGACCTGGTGGCTATCGGTGGTAGGGTTGCTGATATTGGTGTCGGCGGCCTGACCCTAGGAGGAGGGATCTCGTTCTTCAGCAACCTGTACGGATGGGCAGCAGACAATGTTCGAAGCTTCGAAGTCGTCACAGCTTCTGGTGATATTATCCATGCCAGCCCCCACCGCCATGCTGATCTGTACTGGGCCCTCCGAGGCGGCGGTAACAATTTTGGCCTTGTCACTGAGTTCGAGGTCTTTTCATACCCATTGAAAGGGGGCGAGATGTGGGGAGGAAACCTCGTTTATCCAGGGCCGCAGAATGCGAGCATGTTCCGGCATTTGGCTGAATATACCACACATGGTGCAGCACAGGATCCAAAGTCTGCGTTGATCGTGAATGTTGTATACCTCCAACCTGTCGATCAATACATATGTGTGACGCAAGTGGAGTATGCCGAGGCCATGAAAGACAACAGTACTCATCCTATGGTCTTTAATGGTATATTTGCTGAACCGAATCGGCTGATGGACACAGTAAAGTCTGCTACTCTGGCACAGATTACAACGGACTTCAACGATGCAAATCCCAACGGCCTGAGGGAGAGCTACTGGACAGCAACCATCGAGGCAGACGCACAACTTCTTTCAGACCTCCTAGATCTTTGGGTTGAAGCCATCAGCCCTCTACAAAAAAAGGTCAAGGGGTATCTACCTGTATATTCACTGGAACCTATTGGCATTCCAATGCTCAAACCGATGGCCAACCGGGGCGGTAATGCATTAGGTCTAGACAATAAAAAACCTATTATCATCATGAATCCCAGCGCTAGATGGGAAAATGCAGAAGACGACAAGGTTGTCATTGATGCATATGTTGGCTGGCTTGAAAAAGCAAAGGCGAAGGCTGAGGAACGAGGACTCTGGAACGATTTTGTTTATATGAATTATGCGAGTGTCAAGCAGGATCCTATTCAAAGCTATGGGAAGGCCAATATCGAGCGGCTGAACAAAGTAGCTAGAAAGTATGATCCTGACAGCATCTTCCAACGTCTACAGCCTGGATACTTCAAACTATAAGCGTGCTGATTCTCTAGGAAATATTCTTTAATTTTAATAATATCTAGACACATGCATAACTTTTTTTAGATAAGGGGTAAAATATATAAGTTTGAGGCACAGTACCAGGTATATACCATGCATACTCTTTCAAATGAAAACTACAAGGCGCGGGCTGCCTGCAACCATTGTTCAATTCCGTATAGCGATGTGTGCGGTAGGTCCTTGTACCTCTGCTGGTCATAAGTGTCCAGAATACTCTGACGCAGGCGCTTGGCCCTGATGATAGCAATCTTCTTTGGCTGTTGTGCGTCTTCCTTTTTCATAAAGTTGCCCACCTCCTTTTCAAGATTTGCTCGCTTCTGGCGTATTTCCTTGCCATCAGCTTCCTCGGCAGCACAGAGCTTGCACTGGCATTTGAAACCCCATGTTCGCTCGATGGTTGCTATCCTGGTGCTATAATCACTAGTCCCATCGTAGCAGTGCGTGAGTTCCTCGCCTGCTAAAATTCGACGGGTGGCACGGATAATCATCAAATCACCGATGAACTCTTTCTTGACATTCGGGACACAGGAGTGATTTATGTATGCTGCTCGAACCCAGAGCCCAGTACTAGCGTTGCTGACATCTTCGTGTTCAGTCTGCTGTCCTGGTCCAAAAGCGTTGCGCTGGACAATATCGTGGAGTTGGAATGTATCCAGTACTGGTCTACCGTCACTTTCGCGAAGCTTGTTGCCGAGTCCTTCATATTCTCCGTAGAGGGACAACACACGCTCAACTTGGGAAGGGTTGTTCGCTAATTTTTGTACCACAGCCTTGTGTAAGCCGGATGGGAAGACTCTAATGGTGGCATTGTCTCTGACATCAATAGTCAGACATGTCATTGCCTCCGGATCATGGCTCCAGACAATGCAGAACGCCTTCTCGAACATGACTGGCTCATTGGCTTCGATATCTCGAGTTGCAAAAAGGCCTCGACCCGCTCCTGGACTCTCCTTTATCTCAGTGAATCCATGGTAACTTGTAACATCGGCTCGGCCCTGCAATTTTGTAAGACTGTTTGCTACTTTTCTTAGGTCATATATGCCTGATTCTTTCTCCTGAACTCGCATTTTTATTCTTTTCAGGTTAATCTTGACCAGGCGATCATCAGGCTGGAGTTTCTCCTGCTGCTCAAAGAAGCTCTTGGCTGCTTCATAGTCGCCTAGACTGTATGCTGCAGTACCAGCACGAGAATACGCCTTTGCATCTAGGGTTTTCTGTTCCTCTTCGGTTCCATGGGTAAGGGACGTAGATGCATCAGAGATTGCCTCGTCAAAACGCTGGAGAAGAAGGTTGACATAAGAACGGTTTCGATAAATATCTTGACGCAATGTGCTATCCTCGTCATTTGCAGTTAATTTCAATCCCTCCGAGTAGCAGGCGTGAGCTCTCCAGTATTCTTTTTTCCCGAGGGCAGCATTTCCCTCTTCTTTGCACTGGGTAGCCGATTTAGACGTAGTAGATGCAGAGTCTTTGTCTCCAGTGTTATTACGCCATGAAGATGGGTTGTCACTGTAAGTCGTAATGACCATGTCCGAGGGGTGATCGACGCGAACCACAGGTTCATCATTAGTATTAAGGGTATAATAAGGCTCCTTAATCAAGAATGCTGAGGCCGAATCCAGCATATCTTCGCCATTCCTTGTGTTGTGAAGGGATAGCTCGAGTCTGTCTGCTTCATCTGAGCCTGCTTCCTGTACGATAGCCCAGCTAGATAACCTAAGTTTGACCACTGGAGAGATACGGCGAAGTGAAAGCACTCGACCACGATGGTGCGTTTCCATACGAAGCTCCGATATCCTTATGGGCTCTAGATCCACCAGATTCGCTGTGCAGGGCAAATATGAACGCCCAACGGTATATGCTGGCATAGTATCATCGCTCTTGTCCTTTGACATTGTTCCCAGATCCAGCGCTGCGGCCGCAAAATCATCCATCACAGATTTGCCAACGGCTTGCTGGACGAGTGCCTTTGTCTCCTCAGCCTCTCGAGGCTGGCCAGCTTTCTCCTGGCATTTCTGTGCATGTTCCTGGGCCGTCTTTTGAACCCGCCGGCTCTCCTCCGGAGTCATGAAAAGCGTGGCGCTGGCCGCCATGGCTGGTTAGAATTGGCTGTGACCTTAAAAAAGCCTTGATATCTGGCTAATCTTGCAGTTACACGGGCTGTCTCTCTCCTTAATTGCTCTATACTCAAGCAATCGCCGCTGGACGGTGCATACGGCTGCTCGCCCTGTGTTTGTCGTCTTGAGGAGCCGTAGCCGTCAGAATTTATATGTGGTCGAATGTGGCTTGGCATTTCGCAAAATACTTATGTTTATTTAACTAATAACTAGCGGCTAAAAGGGCTTTAGTATTGACATGGAGATATACAATATATACACGGAGTGAAGGGAGTAATAATTTTACCCTACGAGTAATAGCCTGACCAATTGGATAAATATTGATAATTAAACACTTCAAGAACTAATCCGTACAAATATCCAAAATATATAATAGCCAGGTAGTGACAATCATGGAACAAGTAGTCAATCCCCGCTATCCACTGCTCTGAATCGATGAAGTGAGCCAGAGGTTGCATGTCAGATCGATATTCTAATAGCTAACAAGTTACGGAGTATATAAACGGAACTTATTAGTTAACTAACTAACTAGTGCGACGGGAGACAGTTGGGATTGAAATTGGGGGCTCGTCGTAGAAGAAACGTAACACGGTTCTATTTACTCGATGATTTCTTTCTGCATATCATCGTGTTAGCTTTCAGACCTTCCCGTTCCTAAACTACTCCGTACCTGCCGTTGTCGCTGATCTCCGAGAGCGTGGCCTCTTCTTCTACGGAGGACGACTACAGGGGCTTCCATATCTCAAAGTGTGCGGTGATCACAGTTGACGATGGGTCACAGGACACGGACGAAGAGCGCAGCCGGAGAAGTTCAGGCCGGGTAGATAGATAACCCCGATCATCCGTAGGCCACTCTTGAGCGAATGGCCGGATGCACCGGTCAGAATATGATACGGAGTCCGGTATATCGTTGACATCTGGTACTTTGGGGCATGATACAGACGCAACTCAGGTAGAGTTGTATGCAACAGACCTGATATCATCCTTTCAAAATGGAACATCCAGTACGGAGTAGCCCGCAGGGTAGCGTCAATATTCGGTGATATACGGAGTACCCAGCAGTCCCAGTAGCAACATAAGGCACAGCTGCTGCATCCCTGGAGTGTCCAGCTGCTTCTTTGAAGGAGGGCTGGCGATATAATTATCTTCTTCTCTCTCGCTCTTGGTTCTGTTCGGTAACTAATTTTTTATAGCTCAGATGATTAGGTAAACCTGAAGCTACCACGTGATAAAGACATTCCTTAGTCGTTTATTAGTCATAAATATTACTAATCATAGTTGTACCAAAAGAGAAGTACGAAACGTCAACGATATAAAACTTGTTGACTTGTGAAGCCGTCCAAGTCTTCCAGCCGAGCGAGAGACGACGAAACTCAGCTCGCCTTCATGGAAGCCTAGTCTGCTCGCTTTTGCCGCTCAGGATGCTGGCCAAGCCTGTCGTCAGGTGCTCTCGGACAGTCGGCCTTTGTTTGCGGCCGATGGTAATTAGTGGATGCAAGGGGAGAAACTAGTTAGCTTGCTTTGTCAGTCCAGTGTCATCCTTCATAACATCCCAGCGGACTGCTGCAGGATATCTGCTGCCATTTTCTTGTATGGGTGCCCTTGCGTGGAAAACGGCAAGTGTCGATCCGGCTTGGTTGGGGGTTGACACCCTTGAGCGACCCTGTTACGCTGGTGTCAGACTGTCCCGAATGATATCCAGATGAACCATAGGCTCCGATGCCCACCACATAACCTACACAGTTGTAACAAAGTATGAAAATTCGCCCTCTTAAGTGTCTCGTTCGGTCCTCTGGCAGAGGAATTCTAGGGCCATGCATCACCTGCATGTCCACCAATCGCTGTATTCCACAGCGTGCAGATCTATGTGGCTCGGCCTCTGAGTCCTAAAGGTACGGAGTATGGTTCTCTTGAGCCCATGACCCACGGAACCTTTGATTAATTGACACTGAAAATCCATCCAATACGGTAGCCCTTTCACCTTTGCAGGACATCGATAAACTGCAAAGTGTGGAGTACATACTTGACTAAGTCGTCAAGGGATGACTTGGTTGAGATGGCTTCGTGTTATACCGCGCCAAATAGCTTCGGGGGTGGTGCTCTGTCCGACGGCCGAAATTTATTTTGATGCGTACAGCCGCTCGCATGGTTGGCTGTTCGCGCTATATTTGGGCCGTTATATTACTCCATAGCTACAGGTAGTTCGGCCTCATGTTTTGAGTGTGTTGAGGGTTAATGAGACTGCGAGGGCCAGAGACAGCAGTCATTGAAAATGCACCGGGCCGTCCATCCGTTGTGAAAATCGCACCTGAAGAACCCTTCAAACGGGATGTCGGCACCTTACAGTCCGCCTGTCAAGCCAGTGTACCTCTTTTCGAGGGAACTAAAGGATTCGGGCCCATGACCCATAAAGCCAGCTTGCAAAACATGCGGGGGTACATATTACGTATAATATAAATGGGACGCAGTTCGCCTGTCTTTTGCTCATCTACCACAACCCCTCAAATTGAATATCTAGCGCTATCTTCTTCTACCCTTTCTTCTGCAACCCAACATCATGTCGATAAACATGGATGTCCCAGTCATCACCGACATTGACAGGCGAAATAGTACCCGCGTGGTGCCTATGAAGGTGATATGTGCGGGGATGCCTCGTACCGGAACCCTCTGTACGTAGGCTCTTATACCTACAATAAGCTCCCCAATTAAAACTATAGGGTTGTGCTCATTTATCTATCGAATCAGCTCTGAGGTTTGCCTTAAAAATTCTTGGTTTCGAAGACACTTATCATATGTTTTGCTGTGCTGTGGAGAACCAAAAGGACTGCGACATGTGGATCGATGCTATCCGTGCGAAATATGAAGGCATCGGCACCTGGGAAAAGAAGGATTGGGATGCTCTACTGGGCCATTGCCAGGTATGATAGCAACTATCGACTTTCAATTAAATGTAGGCTTCCTGAAACAATGAATGCTTACTTTGCTTAAAGGCTACAACCGATGCCCCCGGTTGTGCCTTTATTCCCGAGCTGGTTGCAGCTTACCCGGAGGCCAAGGTGGTGTTGAACAAGAGAGATTTTGAGAAATGGTATACGTACGTACCACCTTGCCGCATACACACTGTATATGCCAATGATTTGATTCTGATTCTTATTTAGGTCTGTTATCAACACCATCCACAAGGCGCATTTAGCCAACCTGGAATTGGGTATCGAAGGAAAGCGGGTAGAGATGGTTAGTTTGCTTTGGGACCATATGTTTAAGGGTGATTTCCGTAAGAATGGAAAGGAGATCTGGGAACAGCACTACCAGATGGTCCGCGACCTGGTTCCAGCTGACAACTTACTCGAATTTGAGGCTAAGGATGGATGGGAGCCTCTTTGCAAGTTCTTGGGCGTGCCGGTGCCCGATGTCCCTTACCCAAGGGTGAACGATACAACTAACTTCTGGGAAAGATTTGAGAAAGGAACTGGTGCCAGCCTGGAGCAGGTCAACGAGATTGTAGCCAAGGTAGAGTGTGGCCGTGCTTAGAATGATTGGACGAGCCTTGCCCTCGTGAACCGGGGTCTCAATAGATGTAGTAGTGTTTTTCATTATATGCATTATCATTATCTTTGTCATACTTAGATCTAGCAGCTCTAGGAATGTACAAAATGAGCGAGATTTAGATGTGTGTTTCGAGGCTTTGGAAGCCTGTCATAGCCTCAAAGGCCAGAATTCGTCCTTTTCCTACTCGCTGGCGAGATACCCTTGTTGAAGCTCAATGTAGGCCAGGCAGAAACGGCCGTAGCAAGCCACAGTTCAACAGGCTCATCAGCTCAATTCATGGCGTAGTTATCAATCACCGGCAGTATTTACCAGCTGATTTGTATCTCTCATTACTGGAGAGCCAGGTGCGATTTATGATGTAAACCATTAGGTAGCTCATGGACCGAAACATGGCGAGTTCAAGAGGCACATCGAGTCTCATTGCCCGTATTCCGGTAGGCTACGTGAGCCAAAGACTCGCCAGTAAAAGACGTGCTAGCAATAGGGCGAGTGTAGCCAGGAATTAACCGTATATTTAAATACGGATACTCCTAGCACATACGGTATGGGGATATGAAGAGCACTACATGTTTCTGAAGGTATTTCCGGAGGCACTTCTGCGGTCTTTCTTCCGGTAGCTTGCCCGGTCGATATTGTCAGCCGCAGATCTAGGCTTGGGTTTCGACTGGGGTGCAAAAGTGACCGTTTTCTCGCCACCTGATCGAGCTACCGAAGGGCGCTCTTTGGTTTGGTGTTTACGAACTCTGGACTCGAACGAACGGTCGTGAGTGCGTGAAGCCTTGGAAGATGAAGTCACTTGCATCTGAGGCTGCTTTGGTTTGCTTCGCCTGTAAGAAGCAGTAGATATTTGTTTGGAAGATGGCTGTCGTGCGGCTCGTGGCGCCTCATCTTCCGAAGCCATCTCGTCAGAACTAGAGCCGGGTACTTCATCAATAGCTTCCTCTTCAACAGCTGTCAATCCTCTCTCAGGCCTGGAAGCAGCTGCAGGTGCATTTGCAGAGTGAGTAAGAAGATATTCTCTCGAGTTCTCGTCGATCGCGAAATCTTGATCAACAAACAGTTTGCTGAAACGCGAATCACCAAGCAGGCCACCAGTGCTTGGCTCGATGGGGCCGGCATCATTCGCTTCCTTCTCAACAGCCTCGTCTCCTCCTTGCGCCAATACCCTCCGAGCCTGGAGCCGTTCTTTCTTCTCTTCTTTCTCAAGCAGTTTTTCTGCAAGCTTCCGATTAACCTTCGCTGTGACCTTCTTCTTCCCGCGGACTCGGCTCTCTCTCTCTTTATCAATCTTTTCTTTGATTTTTCTATCTCTTTCTTCTTCCCAGATGAACGGGTTGGCAATCAACCTTGCCTCTTCATACAAACGTTGGGCAACGAAGTAACCGTGCATGTATGGACGTAGTAAAGTCGTAGTTCCAATGAGATGATCCAGATTCAAACTGCGCAGCTGAGGAACAGTAAGGAACTTGTAATTATCATAAACAGAGCCTGACTGGCCAGTAGCAAACGCATGAGGGTCGTTAGGGTCATCTGCCATTTCTTCCACGAGATTGTCCAGGAACGCGCACCATTTTGGCGCAGGCCCCAATTGGGGGATGAAAAAAGAGTGCTGTTGCCGTCCTTCGTTGGCCGTCAGTAGCATACCACTATCCTTGCACCAAGCCACGCTATTAATATCAACAGCCGGTTCCACGGATGTCCACGGAGTACCGTCCCTCTGATCCCATATCTTGATAATGCGCTTATCGGCTGACATGATTTTCGGGTCGCTCGTCTGCTCACGGGTGGAGATAGATGAGGTAAGGAAGGTTAAGGTATGGATTGGGTAGCCGTAGCCTTGGTCCTTTTCGAGAACGGGAATTGGGGATCGAAGATCATACAAGTGAATGAGACCTGTAGATGATCCTGTGGCAAGGGTGAGCCCTGACCTGTTGAACTCCAATGCGGTGATTTCTGATTTCTCGTTGGTGTAGGACGGGAGGATAGCTGCTCTAGCTTTTGCGCGGGGATCCCAGAGCTCTACGGTCCCAATAGATGTTCCGAAAGCAAGTAGATTATGGCTTTCCTCTGCCACTGCTCCAGTATTAACACTTCCGGTGCGTATTCCGCCTTGAAGCGCCCCTCCACCGAGAGAGGTGAAATCATCCCCACCGACTTCAACCTCGTAGCTGCGCATATACCTGCCTTGTTCCAAATTCAATCTAAACACTTCTCCCATGCCATTCTCGTTAACTCCAACAGCTGGCGTGAGTGCTTCTGCTGATTGTCTATCGTACACTAGATCTCTGCCGTACCGAGGCAAGCGGGTAGTGTAATGGCATCCGGAGGGTGTATGAAATTCAAGAGATCGATCTGCTTGTAAATGAAGCGATTTTGAATAATCCGATGAGAGAAGCAAGAATGTCGTATTTAAGGATATTGTATGGCGGGCATATGACAGAGATAAATGTGGTAGATAATGTACATGCATTTGAGGCTTGTATGTACCTAGATTCGTTTCCAATTAAAACCCCATCGGCTTATTGAAGATACGGGAAGATACTGACCTGTGCTCATTACCCATTGACCATCCTCGCTAACCCGAATACACTGGCTTGCTTCTTCAAATTCGAAATCTTGCAGCAGTTCCACCCGGTTCGAATACTCTGCGTCGGCCTTAAGGCTTCGTTTCCGTCTTCTGGCTAGCCATTCGGGGAGAGGTCTGGCAGTAGACGAGCCAGATATCGTGTATACTGGCACCGCCGAATGGTTGGAAAGCTTCATCCTTGCTTAACAACCTGCCGCTCTCTATTCTCTATCCTTTGCTCCCGCTCCGTCCCTTTGAATATCAAAAAATTTCCTCGAACAACCAAAAAAAAAGGAAAAGGTTATTTTTATCTCTAAACTTTATTCAGCTTGACATCACGTGGGGGAAAGTATATTATATAATCACAACTTTAATGGAAGCTCAAATCAAAACGTTTTCAAACGCGCGACGAAGACGAAGAAGATGATATCAAATACAACCGTCCGTCTTTACGTCCTGTCTTGCCCTCTAGTCTCTTTCAGTATTGATACCAGCCCCTGTGTGGACACTCCACTGCTCTTTATGTGACATTTCCCTCCTGTAAGTGTGACGGCATGCCTTAGGCGGTCTCTCATCCCGGGGGCGTCAAGGAGAGGTCCAGTCACGTATATGGTCATACTACTACTGGGTCCTGTTCTTAGAGATGCTGCCACTGGGGCTTTGGGCATATTTCTCTCCTATTCCCTTGCTCTCAATGGCGAAAAGTTATCTCCGCGCAGAAATTTATAGCAATCATGGAGTTTCCAATCGGGGCGGAAACCAACGTTCGAGTCTTTGTATGTTTGCTTACTACTACAGTAGGCTACCTTGCTTCAGTTAACACTAACGTCTAATCAGGATGAACTTTCAACTTGTTATTGGAGGGTTTATGGCGTTGATTTCAATGAGAGGGGTCTTGGGACCTTGGGGTCTTCAATCAATCAACTCTTTAAGAAAGTCCAAATATGTGCATTAGCACTACGAGAGGCTGGGTGTCTTACATGTCCATCATCTGATGGAGTTGGAATTTGGATATTTTCGCTTGATGCTGAGTTTTCTAGGCTAAAGTCTTTCACGTCAAGTCAGAGCAAATATTCACAAGATATAATTGTTGGACAGGTGCCAATACACGGTACGCCATTTTATTATCATACCACAGGATAATTTCTAACTGGACTTCATAGAATATTGTGGGGGAACCACATCTCTAGCTGAACTTTCTCAAAAACTGCTATCCAAAGCTTCAGATAACCTCCTCAATTCTAGCCAAACTGAGGAACTATCGGATAGAAATAGGCTAGAGATACCCGCATCGTTGGAGTTAACGCATTCTTCTCTATACGCGTCATTTATTAGCTCAATAGCTTGGTCATTCTCACTGTATTTGGCTAAACGTCACGGAGCTATACCCCTCGGAAAAAGGACCTTTTTCACAGTCGCAGATCCTGATACATCTCCTGGCGGGGCTTCTGGCTGCATTATTTCGACACTGGATATCGAAACATCCCAAAGTGGCAAGGTGGCCGTATCACTTCGGCCTAGATTCCAACCAGGAATATGCCAACTTTCTGAAAGCCCTGGGCCCAGTAGCATTGGTGAGCTACGATTACATGACGATATATGGCTTGCTCCCACAGGGACAATAGCTAGATACATAGGTATAGGAGGTAGTGAATATGCACTCGGTACCGGCAACTCGTATAACACCAGCAACAGCGCACATTGTTCAAAAAATGGCTTCTCCGGTGAGGGCCAGGATCCATGGAAAATGGCTGTTTGTTCTTGGCTTGAGAGAACAGGGGTTCCTATAGGGGTATCGGATAATATGAGATGGATACAAGTTGAAGTGGTGGCACGTCATCAACGGTTGGGCCAGACCAAGGCCAATGGTACCCGAAGAATCTACTGGCCGGCGCAATTATGTTTTAGAAAAGCTCGCTTCCCCAAAGGCTCCCCAATTCAAGGAGCCAAGACTTTATCCCGCGACAGTCTGGGGCCTTTACAGTACGCCCATCAATGGCTAAAATGCTCTCTACCCAAGGACGAGGTTTTATCACGGAACCCACCACCAGATGTTACCCAGCCCGCAGAGCAGCATCCTCAAAGCGAACTGTCAGCATCCCCCTACGGAATAGATATCTCAAACACAACTGAAAGCCTGGCAAGAGTGTTGGCATACCCCGATTTCCACCCAGCTACGGTATACCCAACCCTCCCGGAGGCGCATTAGGATTCGGGCAACTTCCATCCGATCACCCTGGGGGGCAGTATCCTCTTGAAATATCGCAGGCCTCGAGGGAGGAACCAGATGCTAACATTGCCGAATCCCTAAATCCTAATACCAGATCATTAATAGAAGCGGCAACCCCCGGGCTCGGCACCGGAGCTGGAATGTACGACACCGCGGCTGACGATGACTTGTTTGAAGAGATAGGTGACAATTTCGACGACAAAGGAATTACTGAGGCAGACTTCAACTTTTTTGACGAACCTGGACTTTCTGATACTAATTTGGACGTTGATTCGGGAAACCTGAGCCACAATTTTGTTATGTCGGACCATCCTACGGTGGAATCAAAGACGGATCTAGAAATGAACGAATCATCGGCTTCCTTAGAGCCAGTTGGACCTGCCGAGCCGGGAGGGATGGAAACCCCAATGTTAGACAATGCTGTGGAATATAACACAAATCAAGGACAAGGTGAACTTAACAGTAACCAGCCCGTGACTGGAGTGGCGGACGCGGAGAGGAGTGCGGAACGCCCAATAAGCCCGCCACTCAGCCCGTCAGGGGTAAAACGTATTTTATTTTCGAACGCAACAGGAGGCTCAGAAAAGGCCAAAAACACACTGACTTCTGCCGTGGCGCTTCCAATAGGCGCAAACAATCAACTAGGACAACATAAAGGTCGTTACGATGCCATACCATTCCAACATGAGCTCGGCTTCTCCGATAGAAAATACGGAATTGATGGCAGATTTTGGTTTCTTCCTGATCGCAAAAACACAAATCAAAACGCGGATTCAAATGTGACAACAATTCCTATGGTCAATGATCCGCCAGGGCCGATCTATAAATTAGGACAGCAGGATTACAATCACAAAGGCAACGAACGCATAAATTGTCCTGACAACGAAAGATGCTCAGCCTCTGACTCTTCAACATCATCAGTTTCAGGGGATGACTATGAACAGGCTAGAACCGACAAGTTGCGCCCCCTAGATCCCATCGATACCAGATTGAGGAGGGGAGACTTAGAAGAAATTTTCTCAGTTAGTTCGTCTCTACAAAGCCCTGGATTCAACGTCAGAAAGCCTTATACTACACCCTCTGACCTCGAAGAGGATGTGCTATTAGCTGGGCTTATCTACCCCGCTACTGATTGGCTATTGTCTGGCTACTTCAAAGCATTCGAACCCAGTGTTCGCTCGGTTCTTTGTGGCCGAGATGAGATGCTCCACGTAGCACAGCTCTTGGTTGATCAAATTACTCAATCTACTTTGGCGCATAAAATGGAGATCACTTATGAGGAGAATGAGAAAGATATCTGGCAATCATCGATAGACGACATTAGCGCACTAGGCCAATCCCGCAGGCCTAATCTCAAGTGTTATGCATCGATTAGTGACATTGGGCCTAGTCAGCAAATGAAGGATGCAACGGGCGGTGGCATCATCAATTTGAAGCCGCCACATATGCATATCAGGCGTGGAAATTGTTCTCTTGAAGTCCTACCAACTGCTATATCTTTCTGGGAAACATTCGGCCTTGAACCCCTCAAAGGCAAGAAGGATATCATTTCCTATTGTCTACACCCCGTGTCCATGCAAGAGAGCGCCAGTGCATTTCTAGATAGGCTGGGTCTAACGTATTTGGGCGCCAATCTGGGCACATTCTCCCGTCCTGGTAGCGCAAAGGGCTTGGTTCCATGGTCCCTAGGCCAGGATAAGCTGGACTATACCTCAATTATGCGGAAGTTACAGCATATTTGTGAATCTTTAGGTACGTGGTAATATGTTTTCCGGGTCGTTAGTAGGGCTAACAATTGAAGTAGGAACTGCGATGTCAAATTTATCAATGAACAACAAAACTGCGGTTGTTTACATCGTGAATCCTTTCAAGATAGGTGCAGCGATGGTTGATATATGCGCAGCGTTCTTACGCCTCTTTCATAAATATGTAGAAGAGGCTGACAAACGTGCAGTTCGTCGCCTTAACGAGCTGGTATTGCAGATAATCCCATCCGACTTTATCGCTGGTGATGACTCGTTGGTAATACCCACGCAAAATGAGTATCTCCGCCTTGCATTGGAGGTCTACTCCCGCTGCCCTCCACAACAGCCTATATCGGATATGTTTGGGGCCGCTCCTGCATTTAGCCTGGCGCCATCCGTTCCAAAAATGATTCCTTTCCGGCTTACTGCAGAGGAGGGTTCTCCCATGGATGCTGGGAAGGCATGCCATGTAGCATATTCTGTGAGCCAGGATCAGCGGTGGGTTACTGCAGCGTGGTGCGATAATCTAGGCCTACGCCAGTTAACGTTGTCGTACTCTCTCCGACAAGACGTTTCTCATACCTGTAGACCATTATCTGAAGTTCGAGAAGATATCTGGCAGGTGACGGTAGACATGACAGGGATGTCTTGCTGCCGCTGGCGTGTTGTTATTGCAAAGGATGAACCAATGGACACTGAAGAAATAACAGGTACACATCCCATTTTGCAGCTGAATTTATTATCGAATATATTACTGACTACTAGATATAGCCTGGACAAATCTTGCGGCTCGTCACAATCAGCATCACCCCAGCCAGGTAGATTTGGCCCTTCTCACCGTAAATATAGAGCCAAACCTACGCATGAAGCTACCCCCTCCGCCACCGCAACTGAACGCTCTTTACCAATCTGGCAATGCTTCAACTCCGGTTTCTACTCCAAAACCCAGCATATCTTCTCCCGATCCGTCAACCAGTGCTTCAACCCCACCCAATATCTCTAGTACACCAAACTTATCATCCGAACCAGCCCTATCTCAGACCCAAACCAACGTTCAGGTTCATCCTACTCAAGTCCCCGTAGAGTCGAATACTGAAACACTCCTTGTGGACAAGTCGGACGACTCCTGGGCCCTAATTCTATCACAGCGCTTGAATAACTCCCACTCATTTACCAATTATAACCCGGCTCTCGCAAACGGATACCTTATCCACCGTAGCGGCACCAGCGACAATGACTGGAAAGCTTCCTTGATGGTCAATTTGATACACGTCCAGACTCGAATTCCTCCCAGTATTATCTTGAAGGATTTACTAAGTATATACCGGGATATGGCTTCTCTAACCCGGGCAAGGGGACTTATCTGTTCCCGGGAAAACCATGGCCTCCCCTGGCACATTTCTACAGCAATTAGGGGACAGGAGTTATTAGGATGTATACTATAAAGAGCCTAATGTCACTTTAATTTTGATACCCTTGAATACTTAACATTTGGAGGGTAATACATTTCAATGCCACCATCAATTGCAATTTAATAGTAGGAACATGATTTAGAACGTATCTTGGTTAAGCTTGAATGAACAAAAATTATGTCGTACTAGTTAGTTACCTTAACTAGCTTCTTGGCATTAACTAGTTAACTATCAAGATGAAACTCCGAATTTGTTGATGTGGTAACTATTTAACTACATAGTCAAAATCGCATTCTATCCTAACACAAATATGTTCAAAACTCGAACACAGTTATCTCGAATACCTTCCAAGACCACCTTTTCCGCCGAATATTCCCTGTAGCGAATGCTCCAACATATATCTAGTTAGATCATTAACTTCTGCATTCGCTTTTCTCATGGCATCCTCAACCTCCTTTTCTTTTACATCCAGAACCTCACGAAGGCGCTGTATTTCCCCAAGTTCATTCTGAAACTGGGCCGCGATAATCTGTCTTCGGGATCCTAACGACCACATAAATACGCTCATTACCGCATGCACGTTGGAGAGCTGGAGTTCTCTGGTCTCATCACTGATTGCTCTCAGGAACCGAACGGCATTCTGCATCATATCGTCAAGCTTTTGAAGGCTCACCCGCTGACGATGGACGGCAATGTTCCGAAGCTCATACCCAGAGTGGATGATTTCTTGTATATTCGCATAGTCTGCTGTATTGAAGGCGCCGATAGGAATCTTATTGACGACTTTGCTCAAGGCCAAGGTCCATTTACTCAGCTCGATGGCCTCTGGGCAGTCCCACATTTCCTTTGATATTAGCTCAGGGGCCCATTTAAGCGCAAAGTCGAAGCATGCCTGCTCGAGCAGGGTCTGAGTTTTCGTCAGAATTAGATGTTGTACTTGGAATGGTGCATGAAAGAAATCTTTCGGGGTACTGTCGGAAGGAGCTTTGCTTGTAGTTTCATCTAGTTACTCAATTACTTAGTAAACATAACGTTTATAAGCGCTGAATATAGCTGTAGGGTTTATACTTTTAGAAGAAGGCTCGTCGAGGTTCACATCCACCAAACTTTCCTCTGTACCCTCACAAGGATCACCTTTGCCCAGCTCTTTCTTATCACAGCTCGGCTCCTCTGGGCTCGCAGGGTCTGATATTGTAGGATGAAGCAGGTTTGGGCTTGGGGAAACTTTGGCTGTAGGTTTAGAGGCGAAGGCATCGTCCGTTAACAGAGATTGCAAGATGTCCACAATTTTCTCCTGACCCAGTTCTGCAACCAAACCAGTATCAGGACATTTAAGAGACCCAATTCTCCTAATTATTGCCTTTTTCTTTCGAATTAATGCGTTTTCCCCGATGAAGAGTGACCGATATGCTTGCAACACCCTTTGTCTTTCGTCTTTGACAATTGCCATATTTTCAGGGGTAGAATTGGGTTTCGGTAATTCGATTGCGACAGTTTGGCCTCAGCAATGGTGAATGGCATATGCCAGGAAAATGTTAGGCAACTTGAGAGAAAACGGGCCTGGACTTATGTGGTATACTCTCGAATTTAAGTCAACAGCTTCCATGAGGTAAACAAGTTGTTCTAAAATGGCAAGTCATAAACAAACCCTCCAGCTCCAGCCATAGTGAGGCTTGCCTGTGGGAATGCGGCAAAGGGAATCTGAACAAGGAATGTACATAGAAGTTGCTGTGATGCTAATGGCTATGTAATGAGGCAGTGCTTATGACAAAGGACAACAGTTAGGCATCAATGTGTCAACGCCTTATAGCCATGTATTAACCCAGAGATATAGCCCCGGTGATGGGTGGAGGCCCCTAATTTTGTGGTCGAATGATACCATGCTATGTCAAGAGAGTTATTTCTTCTAGTATGAACTACCATTCAGGGAGGGAGACCGAAAAGTAGAAGCGGAAAAAGTAAAAAATAAAAATGAAAGAAATCAAAGAAAAAAGGAAAGAAGGGGAAAGAAGGGGAAAGAAGGGGAGAAAAGCTGCGGCAACCAGGAATATACGGTCATACAGACATGATGTCAAGCCACAACTCCTCTGTGTTTGTCTAGTGAGACAAGGCCTGATGCGCCATCCTCAGCCGGACGGATGTTTCGATACCGGCTGTTTAACCAAACCAGGTACCGCAGCAATATGCAAGCGGTAATAGTATTTTGAAATCAAGAGATAGTCAAAACTTGACTGCCGTTGAAGTTGGCTTGTTTTCAGCACCCCTGTACGGGGGGAAAGCTGGCAAACAAGGCCAGAACCTTGGCATAGAACATCAGGAGAGGCCATTGGACTGAATGTAGCGGGTTCGTACGGAATTGCGGCGTTATCCATTCCCATAAAAAGCTGCCTTGCCCTGTGACTGTGACTGTAACGAGCCTGCTCTACCTTCGGTGATGCCGGGGCTCAGCAGTGAGGTGTGGGAGATATACGCATGGGGTATGCTACCAATAATGCCGGCGAGAGATTTTTAATCACCCAGGGCAAAATGCTACTTGCATAGAACCGAATCGTACCTTCTAGACAATGGTGACGGTAAAAAAAAAATAAATAAAATAAAATAAGCAAACTAGACAGAAGTGGATATCAAACTGTAATGGAGGGCAGGCTCCAGTCATGGCAAAGAAAATCTGCATGTACGCCGCTTGCTCATCACCCAAAAAGACTGAGTGGCCGAGGATAATGGTGGGACTGAGACCGAGGGGAAAATCTGAGCACTGCTGCCTGGAGTATCATACCACATGAGCATGCATGAACGTCAGAGGCCGGCGGCCAGCGCCAACAGAGGCACTTTCATTGGTGATCGACGTGCAGGTAAAATCAGTAAAAATAAGATATGATGAATAATGGGAGGGCAAGAGATCAGGACCGAGGATAGCACGGCGTAGGTAGGCTATGCTGTTTCCCCGATCTTGGGAGTTTCCTGGGGGTGTATTGCCACCGGTAAATGAAATGGATGCATAGTCGCACCGTCACTGGAAGCCAGCGTAATGCAAGGCAGAGTTCCAGTATCTGAACGCCCTAGAGGCCGAAGAACGGCCTCATAAAAAAGGCGCGGTAACAAGTCATCGGGCGATGGAAGCATAGAATGTGGTCAGTGATACGGCACAAACGTTTGAAAAACCTGCACACCGAGTTGGAAGCTCTCTCCATGACGTTAATGGAGAAATTCTTCACTGCAAGGCTGATACGAAAACAAATATGAGATTTTGGTAGGGAGAAGTGTCTAGCTCAATCCCTCCGAAGTATACTCCCTACCCCCACACGAGTTGGGAGGCCAACTTCTGGTAGTCCTTTGTAAGTATCAAGGGTATTGTGTAGCAGCCCTCACTCTATAGACCATCTCAACAGAACTGTCCGCGGTCTCGCCGAGGAACGGTCCGTTGAACACGAAAAGTCTCCATACCGGCCTGGGGATCATTGCTTGTGCTGAGAAAAGTAGAGGGAAATTGAGGCGCAATGGCGACAGTGCACCCTCCATAGCAGGGCCCCTTGACCCGTATCTGTGGCTCTAGCCACCCCCTTGAACCCCTTGCCCACCTTTGTCGCAGAATGGTTGTCTGTCGATGTCCTGTATGGCCAACGTTGCTCGCTGTTTTTGTCGGTTTGACGTTGGGCGCTTAGAAAGAGGGAAAAAGCCATAAATAGACGTTTGTTTTGTTTGATTGTGTCATGTGACCGTACAAAAATAGAAACGGCTCTTTTCAACGTCAAACGTCAAAGAGTTGACATCGAGTAAGCCAAAACAACAGCCAACGCGAAGACGAAGCGAAGCGCGAGATGTTGGGAGCGAGGACGGGAGCGCTGACGGTCTCAGGGTTAAACGAGGGTGACACTAAGCCGTTTACGGCAAGCTTGGGGGTTCATCTCAGCTGGGGTGGTTCAGAGTGCTGGGAGGGCAGAGGCGGTGCAAGAACGGGAAAAGGGGGCCGTCACTGTCACCAGCCTCGCTCGCTCGTTTGTTGTTAGTTAGCCTGTGGCTCGAGTCAGATTTTGTTAGCTAACTACTTGAAACCCGGACTGGCAGCTTTGGCTCCCCGTGTGTGGCTTCGGCGCGACAGTAGCTCAGATACGGGTTGGGATGGGTTCTTTGCTGTGAGGGTCACCCACCAGGCTAGCTCCCACCAGCCTCATCCATCGCGAGTTGTGGCTTTTGACGCTAAAAGAAAGGCAGACCGAGCAGCCTTGAGCCTCAAAATGCTCGGGCGTGGGCATAAGCGAGTTAGCAAAGTGTATTTGCAAAGTGACTCAAGCAGGCGATTTGCGCTGCCTGGTCATCACCCCCTCCGAAAGTATGAGTGGTCATCTGAGCGAGTGGAAAGGGGGAGCCTATCTTACTCAATATCTAGCTAGGGGAGCGAATACTCGATATATTTCCAACACTACTATTGGGCAATGCTGGTCACCCCCATGCACCAAACAAGCAAGAAAAACAGAGAGAGGCCATGCAAGTTAGTGTTCCCGGGCTCTGCGTCATCCAGCTATCGAATCTGCACACGACAAGATACATACTCTAGTTGTGACCTTGGTGCTTGCTTGTTTGTATGATCATAACAGCGGATATGACAGTGAAGGGCCAGCGAGTCTATAGAAGCATACAGAGTATTTCGAGGCACAAGACCTTCCTTATTTGGAGGGGAAAACGCCTTGGAGGGGGTAGAGGGTTCTATTGCATCACAGATCTTATCAAAAGCGATACCCAGAGAGTGGCGATAAGGACAACCTCTGCACCAACACCCGTCGGCACCTGCTTTGAGTCTAGCGTCCATGCAATGGAATGTTCCGCCTTGCATATCCCAGCTGCTGCGGACACATCCTCAAGCAAAAGAAGGTGTGAGGGTTTAGGCATCCACCTTTAACCCTTGGCTGATTCTCATTAGTAATAATAGGCACCAGGAAGACGGGTACCCACGATTGGCTAAGCCTCACTCCGCAGCGCTGTTATTGGGTGCGAGCTACAGCCAAGCTGCATCCTACGATCTCGTAAAATAGGGTTGCCCAGCGCGGATACTTACAGGAGGCTTGGCTCGAAAGTCTAAGCGGGTCCGAGCTTTTGAGTTGCTGAGTCGAAGATACAATCTCGAGCTGGTTATTTGCTCATCAGGCCCCCCTTGGAATATAAAAAGGCTGCCATACCCCTCCTTCGTGGATAATTATTTTACCACATCATCAAACAATAATAACAGCAACAACCGATACACATTACTTGCTGGCTCTAGCAACGCTACATCTGCTCTACACCAACAAATCTACAAGCCATCATCAACACTTACCAACACCAGCGCGATGCCTTCGATCACCTCCCCATCCGGGCCCCCAGCTATCTTCAGCCATCGCCGTATGCCCATTACCCAGGAATATCATGTCATGGACCGATACGCTGGACACGCTTCCCGCTGCAGAATCTGTGCAAACCCAGTTGATGCCATCATCAAGGGAGGAAACCTTTGTGACCGTGGTATTCGACATGCACACAACTTCATCCTCTGCATCCGGAGCCACGAGGGGAAAGCCTTTGCTGCCGCCGATATCGAGTTCACGCCGAAGGAGATAGACATCCCACTAGAGTTCAGCGTTATTAGTGACCTTCTTCGCGCCCTTGACCTAGGTCTCCTGGCCAAACTTCAGAAACCGCAACCGGTAGTCATCAACACCACAAACCACACCCGCTCCTCCCGAGAAGACAATACTCCATCTAGCCCTGTCTCGCCGCCTGCATCACTACCCGAGCGTTCAAGCAGTACAGTAGTGGTTGTCTCTTCCCGTAAGGGCAAAGAGTCATCTCGTGATGACCTTTCCTTTTCTCGCCGTGGGACCCTCTATCCTAATGAGACCTCTAGTCAGCCTGTCACTCGCACGTTCCACTCCACTTCCAAGTCAGGAGTCAGAGTCCCATCTACATACCTATCGTGAAGAATAGCTCAGCCCAGTCATTTCAACCTAAACGCTACCTACGATAGATCACTATACTGCAACCCACCAGGCCAAATGCGCCGTCACAGTGCTTCTATTAGGGCCTCAAAGTGCCTCTGTCTTCAGGCAGCCTCCTTCAGGCTTGAAGACACACACTCCCACTTTGCTGGTCGTACTATGATCATAAACCCCACAGCATTCAGCCGTTTCACACATAAGAATGTGTGCGTGCTAGAACTATGCGTCACTTATCCCGCCGCCCATTTATGGCTGGCTTACTACCCGTTGTATTCCTATTTACTTCCTATTAGGTTTTGGGAGATGCCACCAGGGCAAAAAGGGGGGGAATTTAAGTTTTTCCCATATTCTCTTAAAATATCTACTCGGTTATCTACAGAACGGATATTGTATGATATTGAGATATTGATAGTGCAGGGCTTTACCTTTTTTTTCTTTTGTTTTTGGGAGGGGCATCGAAACATGAATAAGTGTTGGAGTTGTCAGTCATTGATATTTTCAATTGAGTATATCAAACAAACCAATCAGAATTTTTGCGAAGTCTGGTCCAGCAATTGTCAATCCTAATACTTCTATAAGATTTCAGGTATTGTATATACATGACTTGGCGGTAAGTCTCTCATTACCGGTTATCGCCGCATAAATGTCAAAAGTTGAGCCAGTCGCCCTAATCTCTAGAACGGCGACTTTTTCACTTGAATTAGAGGGCGTATTTTGGTGAGCAAAGGCTCAAAGGGATAGATTAATCTTGATATGGGCACTTGGTGTAGCTTCGATATCTCTCCGGTTGCAGATTACAGCCATATATTCTAATTATGAATAACGCTTTATATCCGATGAAGAAACGCAATAGGGAAAAGAATCTTTTGGGGTGGGTGAGAACGAGAAAGTAGAGCCACATCTCATTATTGGTAATTAAGCGTTAAGCGCTAAGCGCCACACGCACAAGCGCGAGATGAGTAATTCCTGCTTAGTCACATGATTAATGCTATCAGCTTTTTTTCCTTCAACATCCATCCAAGTCGCAACTTGAGTTGACTGACAACCAGCTTCACTGTTTCCGTTCTACACACCATGGCTAAGAAAGGTTAGTTACCCATTGGCTTGTGGTCCTCTCATGTTCTCATCACCAAGTGATATGTAATTGCTAATTTGTCCCTCGGTATAGCTAAATCTCGAACCATCGCCGTCAGGCTTATCTCCATGGCAATGACCGGCTACTACAAGACATTCACAAGACCAAGAGCAAGCCGTCCTCTCAGCATGCTGAAATACGATCCTGTGGTCAAGAAACAAGTGTTATTTTTGGAAGCGAAACGGCGGAAATAGAACTTACGCAACTTTATATCTGAACTGTTGATATGGAAACCTACGCAAGGACCGGTTAACTGTCGACCGAATTGACGGACTCTCAACTTCCTTCTATCACGAATGGCCATTTGGAGAGATAAATTTACCCACCAACGACATCATTTGCGACAATCTACCCTTACGGGGTCATAGAGAAGACAACCGAGACCGGGCGTTACTGTGACGAATACCCTGTATATTATGGACATCTTTTTTTTTCTTTTTCGAGACATTGTTACCTTTACTCTTATTATTATCATCAAACGCAGTTGGGATACTGTTAAATCAAGCTCCTACTTGGCCTCCCTAGCATTATTACAGCGTTTCATTCACTTCAAGGGTGTTTTTGACAACCAAAGTATTTGCGTGTGAATTCCAGTATACTAATATTACCAACGAAGTCGCGCCGGCATATCAGAAGAGGCGAAGCTGATATTATTGTATCATATTGTTAACTAAACATAGTACCTAACAGTAGATCATGGTTCTCAATTATATAGCTATTCTGTTATGACGTTCGTGTAGATACGTTGCCACAAATCAGTGGAAAGCGTATTTATGACCAAACCTATTGTTGAATGTTTCCTCTGCTCTATCATTAGCGTTGTTGAACATAGGAAAGCACAAATACAGATTCTTACTTACCTCTGCGTCTCTTTCTTCTGTGAACGCTCGATTGTGACATGAAAGTATCCACGGACTGATTGACCGTCCAGGTGGTGCTGCCTTGCTGACTCGTGATCACAGATAGCGAAGGACTTGGAGTTGGCTGAGGGTCAAAGAATCTAGATGAGATACGAGATTGACGTCTTGGAGCAGTGGATATAATTGTCGACCGTTTCTTTTTCTTATCCCTGGAAGGAGTTTGGAAGTGTGTTGTTGTGCGCTTGGAGGACGGTGATGCCGTTGGCTGGTTTTCTTTGAGAATCCCTTTCGACGAAGCTGAAGCATCTTCATTTTTGATGCAAGCATCATTAAAACTATTAGGATTGGTAACAGGTTGAGCACTATCGAGTGTGGGCCCTGGCTTATCACTGGCAGACCTATCATAGCGCTCTGAAAGAACTGCATTTTCAGCCTTGAGCGCAGCATTTTCAACTTTGGCGTCAGAGATTTCCTGTTTCAAGACAGTATTTTCTGCTTGGGCAATTGTTTTTTCTGCCTCAATAGTAGCCTTGGAGGCTTTGAGTTCTGTAACTTCTTTCTCTTGCACCGCTTTCTCTGTTCGGATGTCTGAATTCTCTTTCTCGAGGACATCCATCTGGACTTTGGTATCTGCGAGCCTTTGCTGTAGAGATGCATTTTCTTCTTGGTTAGCTGTATTAGTCTGTTGTAAAATAGCAGTCTCCTGCTTTAGAGCTACGTGTTCTCCACTAATGGCCATGTTGGTGAGCTTTAAAGTTGAATTTTCTTGCTTCAATATCGAATACTCATCTTGCAGAGCTTGAAGTTTCTGTTGCATGTTCTCTTTCTCACCCACTTGTGAAGTTTGCTGCTGCTTAAGCGCAGAAAGCGCTTGTTCATGAGCAATTAAGATAGCCTCACACTCCTCTTCAACATCTTTAATCCTTTGTTGATATGTAACAACCTAAGTAGTTATCAGTAAGGTATGAAATACGGGGAGTATTTAATGACCTTAAACATACCGTAGCCTGTAGCTCCGCGTTTTTTGATTTATTTTCTGCCTTCGAAGACTGTCAGCCTGGGAGTTTAGGGAGAAAGAGCCTTATACATACCAACGCTAACTTTGCAGTCTCGAGCTCCCCTTTTCCCTTTGCTGCATCCGCTTCAGCCTGCTGCTTTTCTCTAGTAAGTATATGCCTTTCTTGTTCAAACCGAGCACGTTCTTGGTCTTTCGACATCAAGCTTGCCCTAGAAAGTTCCTCTCGTATCCTCTTCTCTGCCTCCCTGGAGTTTTGCTCGAGGGTTGATTTATCACACTCAATATTGCGAGCGAGGACCTTTGCTTCCTCAACAGCTTGGTTCTTCTCGGCCAGTAGCTTCTCTATATCCTTGAATTGGGACTCTTTTGATTTCAAGAGCGATTTGAGTGCTTCTTCCTCGGCAGTAAACTGGTGAATAATTCCAGTGAGTTGAGCCTTATACCGGCTGATATTCTTTCCCAAACCTTTGCTACTTTCGGTGAGATAGTTTAGATTATCATGCATCTGGTCCTTCTCCACGTTCAGTGAAACTTGTTCTTTTCGAATGGCCTGATACTCCTTGAGAAGTCTCTCCTGGTGGTCTGCAATCCCAGCCATGAGACCCCTTATCTTTCCGAATTTAAATTTCCATCGCTCAACAGACTGCCTTTGAGCAGTTTTCTCCTTTTGCTGCTCTTTGTACTGACGCTCTAACTCGCTTAGCCGAGCTGTAAGCTGCTTGTTGTTCTCATCTGCAGTATGCAGGCTTGCTTTTAACTCATCTCTCAGCTTTGAAGCAGCTATCTCAGCCTCTTCCCGCCTCTTCAACTTTTGTATTAGCAGTTTGAATAATTCATCTTCGGTAGCTTGTTGGATATTAATAGGAACAACTCCTTCTGTGTTCTTGGATAAATTTGGCTGTGGTATGTCTTGAGGATGTTGCACTATTTCTAAGGCTGATTTGGGGGGTGTAATCCTTTCTAATGAAGGGGATGCAGTTCTAGCCCGCTCAGGAGATTTGGTCTCCGCTCTGCTTACTGGGTTGACATCCACTACGGTGACCAACCCATCCTGTAGTTTTGTATTTTGCGGCAGTGCTATTTCGTCATCTACCCTACTGAAATGAGAATCAGTACGAGGACAAGCCAATTGACAAGTAGGAGCGTATTGATACTACCCTTGAGATACAGCTTTATCCTCCTCACTGGTAGCCCGAGAGGACCTAGACTGCGGGTGTGAAGTGAAGGCCCTCCTTGGGAGCGTAGGCCTCGCAAAATGGAAACCAGCGCCCTGCCCCCCAGAGCTAGGTGGCCTAGCAACAAAGGAGACACAGCTGTCTTTGGCAGCAGCGGCAGGCAGCTCAACAGTACACTCCTTGAGTATCTTCTTCGAGGTGGGGGAGAGCCCATCATCATGCATAGCAGATTCCGCCATGGTGCCGCTGGTCGGTATCTTGAAGATGTGAAGTCGAACAGACGAAGTTGATGTTTTCCCTTTTCGGCCACCCCAGGTCACGGGGTTATCCCGAGTTCACAAACCAACCTCCAACTTCATTCGATCAATCCAACATATACTCCAGATAACATATATAACGGGGAACATGGACTCCTGGGCTCTAGTTGCAATAGATACCTGGGTATAAGCTATGGATGCTGGTGGAACTGGGGACATTGTCCTGTTGGCCTGAAACCTTCGCAAGCCTTGGAGTGCTCCCAATACGATTGAATATATTAACCAAAACCTAAGAAGAGGTAACCAGCAGTATGAAGTACTCCGTAAGCTTGACAAGAACTCATGGAACGTCCAAATATTCAATTTCGGGTACCTTTCTAACAAAGTTATAGGGATCACGGACAAGGTAGACTTCGGTGAAGGGATTTCCCCAGGTAACTAGTTAGCGAGTTAAATGCTGTCAAGCCCGAAGGATTTAGTTGGATCCCGCACAGGGACGCTTGGTAGAAACAAACCAACCAGAAGCCGGCAAGAACGAGAAAGGCTCCATTCGCTCGCAGCAGTGAAACACGTCTGGTTGGCTTGCCTTTAAAGGCTGGAAAAAACAGCTGCACTCATTCGAACCAGCTAGCTTCGCTCGTCTATTTACCATTGCGCCATCTTCTCACTGCCCTGCAAGACCTTACACAGGATGGCTGTGGCTGTGAACTCGCCTATTATCACCTTGTCACGGATCCCATGATGAGGTTGCAGAGGCCCCTGGTCGCCTTTAAATAAGGCTGAAGGTACGGAGCAGTATAGTTAATGATGACAGGCCTGTTTTAGCCCTGTTTGTTCGAGCTGGGTCTACTCGGTAATCTCTGGTGTCCGATTGTTTGCGGACAAAAGAGTCAGCCCAAACAGTTCAGGGACAGTTACAGCTCCTTTGTTTGTCTTAGGAATTGCTGTAACTCACTAAATCCCGCTGCCTCTCTGTGCTCGACACTTCTCTTTTCCTTCGTGTCTTTGTCTTTTTCTATGTTGAGAGCGTAGATATCTTTACGGGGTATCAGAATCGCCCAGAACTCTGTGCAAATGGAACCACGGCGAGACTCGGATTTCGATCATATCTTCCTCCATCCGACTGCAAACAACCGCTATCGTGGAGGAGACTCAATTGCTCTGTCGTCGCGGAATAATGCAGCATATCGCCGGCTATCCTCTGAAGAGCCATATCTCCACCCGTCTGAGGCATACGGCTCGCCAAATCCCACCACTCCTCCAACTTATCGAGATGAATCCATCAGAGGGTTTGGACTAGGGATTGGCCAGCCCGGGAACAGGCCTGTGGGTGGAATGGGAGAAGAGGCAGACTTGGGCTACCATCCAGCACATCACGCAAGGAATTTCAGCCAGTCTTCGCTGCTGAGAGAAGGCGCAAATACTTCTCCAGACTTCTCTACAGCATACAATCGCCCATCGCCTTCTATAAATTCATCCTTTCAGTCTGATGGGTCTGATCCTAATACAGTTCGTATACTTGAGCCAGGAAATGGACGGGAATATGGTATGTTGACCGCCTGGAAAACCCTTTGTTATGTAAAACTACGGAGTATTCTAATGAATAATTATCTTTTCCATAGACCGTCCTAGGCGTGTGAAGTGTCCAACACGGAGACATGTTGTTCAGCGGCGAACGGCATGGCTATCAATCACTATATTAGCGCTGGCGTTCTATTCAACAGCATTTTCTGCGATATACTTTGTCGTTGCTTGCATGAAACCGCATTATGGGAACAAGATCGGAGGCAAGGGGGGCCTTGCGCCGTCAACAGCGACTTTGTTAAGCGCCTTGTTTGCAAAGACAATTGAGTTATCATTTGTCACCGTTTTCGTTGCTTTCCTAGGTCAGGTGCTCAGCCGAAAAGCCTTAGGCAAAAATGCAGGAGGAATTACAATTGCCGATATGTCGATGCGCACATGGGTCATGCAGCCGGGAACCCTAATCACCCACTGGGAAAACGTCAAACATTCGGCTCTTACCTTACTGGGGATTATTGCAATGACAACGACCTTTGTTGCTATGTTTTATACCACTGCCGCCGAGGCATTAGTCTCACCAAGACTCACGGCTGGCATCCCTGAGACAAGGGAGCTTACGGGAGAGGTCAAAACTAAGTTTGCTAACGCCTCATACTTATTCAGTAATTGTCAAAGCCCTGTGCCACTGGCTGTTGACCCAGAAAATCGAGGCTCAACATGCATGCAGATTGCGTTTTCCGGGAGAACGTTTCATAACTACGAGCAGTATCTGGGGAATTGGACTGAATTTAGTGCTACTCAAGGCTCAACCGACATGCTTCTTCGTCCTCCACCAAGTGGTACCTGGTACGACAACACAACCGTGAAAGGAAGCTGGATCGAGCCTTACAATATGACCGACTTGTCTATCAAATGGGGTCGGATGGTTGTCAACGTCACAGCAGCAATGCCGCACGCTGGCGTATTTTCAGCAGCCAGGCAGCCCCAGAACAACATCCGCTTACCAGAGGATCTTGGAGACCAAGGAGGTTTTAACATCAAAGCCGCTGTCCCATCACCCATTGTCAACGTGGTTTGCGCCGGCATGACAGAGGAAGAGCTAGCTCCCATTATCTATACCAAATGGCCCCATCCCAACTTTGAATTTAATGCTTCTACCTGGCTTATGAACCAAACATCGGACATGCCCAATTACCCGGATTGGTTGAACGCTACGGTGGTCGATGACATTTTTGAATTTGGCGAGAAGTTTGGTGACAGGGGCCAAAGACCACCTATATTCCCCAAGATACCAGTAGAATATAATACGATTATTAACGTGACAGGGAGGTTTGAAACGCACTCAATCTACCTCCTAGGAACATCCCCTCCATCGATATATCCACCTCATTATTTGTGCCAGTTGAAGGGAGGGCTGACACCTCAATGCCTAACAAAATACGAAGCGGCTTCCAGCGGAGGCGTACTCTATTCCCAATGCGGTAGCGCTGCTGACTCAATGACGTACCAATCACTTGCCCCCGATGCACCTCGAATTGTGATCGATAAAGACTGGAAGAATGTTGCCGAGGAATGGGCCAGGTCAATTGCCCTGAACACGGGCCTTTCTGACGGCTATGGGAGCAATGCCCGTCTGCTATCGCAACTAATACCCAACTCGGACATCAAGACAAATATCTCATCCTTGAATCCGCATCTGCCCTCTGTTGCCGAAGCCCTAGCGGAAATGGCCAGCGCGCTTCTATTACTTGGGACACAGGACGCTACCTTCGATATTAGTAAGAAATTTGCTGATGCGCGAATGGCGGGCCAGAACGAGTCTGTTTATGAACGGTTTCATGCAACAATATGGGCGTCAGACTATGCCTCGGGAGCGAATTCCCCACCATGGCAGAATGTGTTTTATGCTGTGCTAGCACTCGTCCTGGTTACAAACCTCATTTGTTCAGTTTACTTGTACCTGGCCTTCAGAGGTGTGCAATTGACAGATTTCACTGAACCTCAAAACACCTTGGCCCTGGCCCTTAATAGCCCACCTAGCATCCATGTCAGTGGAGCTTGTGGTGCTGGGCCAGAAGGCAAACAGCTTACCCAGCGATGGATGATTTCTATGGACGAAAAGGAAGAACACTATTACATGATCAGTGCAGAAGAAGCAGAAGCAGAAGAAGCCAGGCTTCGGCAGAGAGGGCCCTATAATCATGATTCGATCGATGACGATAATATTGCTCATATGAAACATGCGGTCAGCCCGAAAGTATCGGAGTATCGGAGGATTTCACGCGCAAGCAGCTCCATTTCATTACTAGCATAAACTATTATTGGTTTAGCGCATGGCTTTCACGGAGTTGATGAGTTGACTACATTGGATGGGGTATTTTCTTTCATTAGGTGCATTAATTATTTGGATATTTGCATCGGCGGCTTCTTGATTTATATATATATATATATATAGTGGGTGTCTGGAAGCGCTATCAAGCATATGGATTGTAATTTACAGTGGAATAAGGTCAGATTATAATGATAAATATTGTAGTCTTACATGCAATGCGTAAAGATGGTATCAAACGAACTGAAAGCAAAAGTAGTAACAGTGATCCACACAGCAGCAGCTCAACACCTGTACCCTGGACAAAACCCCTTGGAAGAAAAGCATAAACTAGGCTTCATGTCATGATATAATTTTCTGTTAGTATGACCAAACAGCCAACTTCCGTCATCTCCCATTTTTGGACGAGAGAAGCTTGGAGAAATTAAAGTTCGACTGGCCACTCCGTCCTTTCTCTTCCTCAGCCATACGTGGGTACTTATCGCTTGATTGTGTCGGACGGTTTTGATATTGAGACATCGGATTTTTGGGCTGTAGTGAAGACTTTGGTTGTCGCGATGCCACGGCCCTAGCCCCAGCGGGAGTCATTGGGTATTGAGCCCGGCTTCTGAATGTAGGGGTCATTGGAGATTTGATAGACTCGGCGACTTTGCGGACAGAGTACCGCATTGTTTCTCTCATCGTCCATTGTCTTCGTTTTGCTTGGTAGAATAAGATGCCAGTGGTTACTAGGAAGGGTTAGTAGTATGCACCAGGAAATGCTCCTATACAAAGACTTAGACGTACTTCCAATGATAACAACTATTACCACCACGATGATGATTGCTATCAGGCCGCCTTTTGGTATCCTGATTGACCCATGATCTGCTCCAGACGAGCCCGTGGACCCATTTGAACCAGCGTCCCCAAGGCTTCCAGGAACGACTCCCTCATAATCGGTTGAATCAGGCTGCGGTGATGGAGCTGCTGCGGTGAGCTGCGATTTCAGCAGCGAAAATAGCGTCAGGGGTAGTATGTTAAGGCGAAGTAGGGACGAGCCTGCCATCTCTGCGTTCCTGGCTTGGTGAATTTCTTCCACGCCAAACGGTATTTATGGGTAGAGCAGAAGCTAGGGTGAGCTATAGAGTGATCAGGTAAAGACAGTATATAGCAGCACCCTTGCTCAATTTGCTTGCTGAAAGTAGTTTGCTAGTTAAATAATCAACTCGTTGTGACTTCAAGGATTTTAGAGGGTATACGGAGTAAAGACGGGCGATACATCGTCTATATAGAAGAAGCCGTAGCGACGCCCCGCAGCCATAACGTCTAAAGCACAGAGGCGTAGAGGATCCTGTCCCCTCTTGCAGCAAGAGTGGCTCCTTGAGGTGAGCGTCTTGCTGTTTCGTCGAATAGATGCGTTAGACGGCCCGTCTCCCAAATTAGAACAGCTGTTAAGCGCCCAGAAACATCATGCACCTGGCCCAGCAGCCAATCATGACGCTGAGACAGGAGTTTTCACAGCCTTGGTCCAACATATCACAGCTTAATCACACTTGAAAGGCTTACGCCAAGTGTGATGTCAACGAAGACTAGACTTAATCAACGCAAGGGCGGTCGAAGTGTGTTGACCAAGGGAGACCATATCCACCCTGGTTTGTATGAGGAGGGCCGGGGTGGCCATGCGGAGTACGCTGCAAGTCGCCAACACTGACAGGCATAGGATTGGGCATTCCATGTACTCATCCCGGCTTTTTCTCGGACATGAAGCTCGATTCTGCACATAAGCATAACCAACGACCAGGAGCTGGGTGCCACGATCTCGGAGATCTTTTCGGTCCTTGTCGATTCCATGTCGAGGCATGAAGAATGGGCGCCAGCAGAGCGAATGCCATCAATGAACATGAAGCCTTTTGCATTTGACTGACCTTCGTGACCAGTTAGCCAGTCGATGGGGAGTCGCTGCCTCAGTTTGAGACAAGTAGTTAGTTGAATACTCCGTACTTAGTTGCGGAAGCGCCTGTCCTATTTTTACTCTCTGAGTCCCAACTCCTCATGCATAGTAGTCATTTCCCTGTGATATTCCACTGTCGAATAGATGATCGAAGGCGGCTGAGAGTATTGACATTAATATTAACCATAGTCCACAGGCAACAGCGGTTCCAACTGTCCGACCGATCTATATATACCCCACGAATGCAAAACGTTAAGGAAAAGAAAAACAGTAAAAGTACACATGATGCATGCTCCTTTGCTCCAATAATAAAAAGCCCTCCAGTACCAAAAATCCAAATACGTTAAGATACTATCATATCCAAAAATAACTCAATAATTCTCTGGCAAATCGCCAAAATCAGGGATATCGTCACCACATTTGAACTCTGGTTCATATGCTTTGGCAGGTAGTATACCCGCTGCCATTCCCTTCCTCCAACTCCACTGGGCAGCAGATTCGCTGTCCCAGGTCCAATAAAACCAGCCCCAGCCCTTTTCGAAGGCCGAAATTTGAGCTTCGGCGTATATTTTAAGCCATTTCTTGTAGGAATCCGAGTACTCAGATGGGTCTGCATTTGCTGCATCGCAGGAACACTGATTGCCGCTGGGGCAGGATGGGGTGAGGACGGGATCTCCGCCTATGGGGTTTTTGTCCATAGTGCCTGTCCAGCGGGAGCCGACTCCGACACTGTTGATGTATATCGTACAGTCTGTGTCTGCCTGGGACCATTCACCACAGATTGTTGGGCCGTATCTATGGCATGTTAGAAGCTGGATGACAATAAGTGGATGCTAGCCGATATATTACTTACCCGCTTCCTTTAGTGCTGCTCTTGGTGATTAAATCAATCCAGCTATCGCAGACAAATTCAAGTTTCTTCTTGTGTGTCAGTTTAATCAGGTCGGCGTTGAAGATTGTGTACTGGTGTGTATCTATAACCAGATCATGGCCTGTGTTTTGCAGGATACTCGACCATTTTGATAATTTCAAGAAGCCGTCTCCAAAGACAATTTTCTGTTTCATTCCATTTTCACCTACAATACCGGCAGCTTTGGTGGTCCAGTCCAAAACCGGCTCAATTTCCAACTTCAACATCATCGGTTCGTTTGCAAGGCCATATAGAGCAATGACATTCTTATACCGTGGTTGAGCAAAGAACTTGGACAGCTGGTCGTGTAAGTCAAGTGCTCTTTGACCCCATTTAGCACCGTCGTCGCCATTAAGCCACTTTATCGCACCCTGACGCCCCGAGTGGTTCCATCCGTTCTGGCTCCCTGGAACGCCGTGAAGGTCTAGGTTCACGCGTAAACCAAATTTTCTGCAATACTCAATAGCTCGGAGGAGATAACGCCAGCCCCATCTTAGCGAAATAAGGGTCATCCTCGTAGGTTGTGACTACCCAGTATCCGTATGGTATCCGAACATGATCAAATCCAGCATCACGTATCTCCTTGAAAGACTGCTCATTGATAAACGTAGCGTAGTGCTTTTCCAACGTCGGTTTCCCTGCATTACCCAGGCGTTTGGTAAGGGTATACTCGTCCACGACGTTATCTCGTAAAGAATACCGCTGGAAGAAAGATGGGGTGATGAAAGGTTCCATGGAAAGCCAGCCACCGATATTAACACCCCGGATAGGTTGTTTACCATATGGGAATGGCTTGTCCAACGCTGGGACTTTCTCGTTCGCCTGGGCTGAGTCGTCCCAAGTCGAATTTAGGCCCATGATGGGTAAACCGCCAACTGTTTCATCGGTATATGTGACATTGAAATCCGCCGTGTCATACCACGAAAACGGATCTAGATGGGTTCCCTTTGCATCAGGCTATAACACATATTAGTACTGTATGTATGTAACATGAGGAGAATGATGAAGACATACCGGTATAGAGTCGGGGCTGATTCCATCGAGCTCACTATGCGAAGGCCCAGTAGTAACAGGGCCATCAGGATGTTTCCCACCACCGCCGCCGCTGTTCTTCTTCGACACCACAACGGCGACGGCGATGATAATCGCAAGTAGGACAAGACACACTCCGACCGCAACAATGATTTTTTTTTTCCTGCTCCAGTTCTGAAGGCATCCTTTGCCGGTATCGCCCTCGTCCTCGTCGTCGTAACCGTCACTGAAATAATCATCATCACCTCCTCCACCTCGCCCTCCACCACCATGATATTTCTCTGCACGGTGCCTCCCGCCTCCTCTGGTTCTTAGCTCAGGGCTTCTCCCTTCTTCGAGATAGGCACCGGAAACGAGTCTTTTCTTTTCCTTTTCTCTGTCCTTCTCCCTTTTCTTTTTTCTCTGTAGCTCCCCTGAGCTCTCCCTCTCCTCACTATCCCCACCAAATCCGCTTTCAAAAATGTATCTCTTCTTCCTCTTCTCTTTCTTCTGCTGTTTAATTTCCTCCTTTCGAGCTTTTTTCTTCATATCCTCGTCTGTTTTGCGGTTTAACTGATCAAGCTGCGCCAATGCATCTGAACTAAGTAGCACAGTCGCACTATTCGCAGAGTCGTTGCTGGTATGCTTCTCCCGCCTTTCATGGCGTTTCGTATCCCTGTCCTTATGCTCGCGCTCATGATCCGTATCATAGCCCCTTCTCCTCCGATCTCTTAACCGTCTGTCGCCATCTTCATCGGCGGTACTGTCCCTTCTAGACCGATGTCTGTTATGTCCTTCCCGATCCCGTTCACGGTCCCGTTTCTTGACAGGCGAAGTGGCGGGTGATTCCTTTGCTTTATGTCCAGCTCTCGGGCTAGGATAATACGAATGCCTATCGCGATCTCGATCTCTTTGGCGCCTGTCTGCGCGAGGAGAGAGTTTTACATCCGGCGGCCGCGCAAAACTCGGTCTTGTGTCAACAGGTATGTCCTCGCTTTCAGTCATGCTATCCAGTGCGGCGCTTTCACCGCGCTGTCGTACTCGTTCTCTGTGCTGCCTATCCCTCGACGGCCGATGCTCCCTCCTCCTGCTCCTATGTCTTCTGTGATCAAATCCGTCATCTTCATCTGGTGTATGTACGCCTTCATCTTCAGTGTTAACACCACGGTACCCGCTTCTTCTCGCCCGGCTTTCCCTTACTCTGCTTTCTCGTCGTCGTCTGTTAGCGCGGTCATGGCCATCGTCATCGTCGCGGTCGTAGGCAGAATCGAATTGAAGGTCATCGCTGTGGTGGCGGCCTCGAGACCTATGAGGAGGGTACGGTGAATGGCGTGTGCCACTCATGGGAAAGTAAGCGTCTTAAATAAGGCCAAAGCAGTGGTTTGACGAAGTCGTGTTCGTTGAATAGTAGAAAAGGCGGCCGTGGCAATGAAAGTCGTAGCTCGTTAACGTTCAACAGGGGAAAGGAAATGTCATATAATAGGAAATTGGCATCAAATGGGACGGCCTAATAAATTGTCAGCAGGCGCCAGTATACCCTAGAGTATCTAAACTGCCCTACCTTGGGTTATCGTATATATGTATCACCCGTCCGTCTGTCACTGTTGGTTTGTTTACGTCTAGCAAATATTGAAGGGTTTAGTTATGGTTCAGCGCTTGGCGCGTGTCCCTGGCGGCAACGCGGCTAAAAGAGGGCGGTGCAGGTACCCGCGCGGGTAACCGCGGTCCCGTAATGATATATTTCCAGTGTTATTCATGGGGAAAGGAATCGGTCCGCTTCAAGAGAATCAGAGGAGTGAGGAGATATTATTCATATTTTATCAGTTTCGCTATCGCTATCGTTAGGCAAGGGATATGTGGTAGAGTAGCTATGTAGACAAGTATGTGGGCATTGAACAAGCCAACAGCCATGTCCAGGTTCGATTTATCAAGGAAAGAAGGAGCATAAAAGGCCACCAAGCGGATGTAAAATAGGAAAAACAAGAACAAGAACAAGGCCAGCTCACAAATGCAACAAGCACAACACAAACATAACGCATAGCATCGCAAATGGGAGGCAAAAAGGAGTAAAAGAAATTGTAGAAGACAGAAAGGACAGAAACAGGCAATGCTCCCAATTTGAAATCGAGTCAAGGTCAAAAAACATCCCGTGTAGATGGACAAAATACATGAACGGACAGACTGGGTGGGCGGTTGTATTAGCTCTCAAACTGAGATAAGAGGCAGGAAGAAATGGAGGCGGAAATGGAGGTATCAATGAACTAACGCAAGCGAAGCGAAGCGTAGTATAGGGAAGTATATGGAGAAGGAAAAGGGCTAAGGGGTTAAAAAAAAAACGCCATCCAGCAGTCCGTCTATGATGAAGAAAAGAAAAGGAGATATCAAGAGGAGTATTAAAAGGAAACTGGGAATTAAAAAAAAAAGTAAGAAATCCATTGCGTCGTATCCTCACACCTTCACAGTATGTTGTCACATTGCATTGTTATTCTGCCGTATCAGCCGGAGATCACAACTCGCGCACCCTCTTTTCCAAGGACTCCGCGCTCGGAGGGTTTGGGGCTTCTCTCTCTGCCCTTCTTTCGGCTGAAGAAAGAAAACATTCCGCCGGATGTATTGCCAGGAATAGTTGTAGAGGACCCGTTGCCATTTGGTAGATAGTTCCCGTTCGCAAGCGCATCGCCGTTAGCAGTCTGATCAGCTAATCCGGACCAACTGCCTGTCTCTTCGAGAACCATCTGGACACCTCCAGATTTACTGCGGTTCCGCGTTGAACCGCGAGGTTGGGATTGTGCCAGTTGCGCCGGCGGTGGTGGAGGAGGAGGGGGAGGAGAGAGCTGTGGAACGCCTTGGCTGGTCGAGGTGATGGTATGAGAGCGGTTGGCATGGCGTTGGGACGGGAGCGAAGGAGGACCAGGGGGAGGCTGGGTTGGAGGAGAGCGGGAGAGGGCGCCGCCACGATCAGAGGATGGGGAGCCAGGATTTACACTATCAGCTGGCACAATATTCTGGCCATGGGCCTGGTCGGATGTAGTAGATCGGTAAGACTTTTCTGTCCTAACGGACTTGTCCGTTCGGGTCGACTGGTCCGTCCGGACCGACGGTGAGGAGGATTCTGAGCGGCCCTGGGAGCTAGTATGACGGCGCCGACGTCGATGACTTGGCGACGTTGTTAGTTCGAGGCAGTCTTCTGGGTTAGCTGAGGCAGCAATAGCAGCCGCAGCAGTGGTTTCGTAGTTCATCGTTGTGTAGTCAAATGGCTCAAACATGGTTTCTATGATACGATGAAGCTCGTCTTCTCGGATTTCTTTGGCTGTAGCATCATCCTTGAGTTCAGCGCGGGGTTTCTGGCGGCGAGCACGCGCTTCCAGAGGCGCCTCCTCTAGTAAAAGCTCTTCAAGATCGTATGTAGCATCAAAGTTGGTCTTGTCGCTTGACGGTACAAAAACCGGTTCGATCTCCTTTCTCTGCAGGGCTTCAAAGTCGATAGGAGCGAAGAAAGAGTGAGAAGTGAACGATTCGAAGCTCATGGCGCCAATACGTTTTGTGGGGTCCTTTTCCAGTAAAGCGCTGAGAGCGTGGAGGCAAGGGACAGTGACAGCTGGGTTAGTGACGTAGTATTTGGGCTGATTGCGCATAATAGCTTCGCTGAGTGAGTTGTGGCTCCGACCATCGAAGGGTCGTTTGCTGTAGATGCATTCATAGAACGTTACCCCAAGTGACCACCAGTCGACATTCGATAGATAACCGCCTCCTTGAAAGACCTCAGGGGCAAGGTATGCCATTGTCCCGGATCTGCTTGTAAGTGGCTTGGAGGGTTTGAAGTCTGACGCAACATTCTGGCTTTGAGTTAGGACAATGTACTTCTTGGGGTAAATGTACAGGACTTACAAAATCTGCGAGATGAACGTGTCCCTCTGAGTCCAGTAATATGTTGTCTGGCTTAACGTCTCGATGTACGATGCCCTGTCCGTGGATATAGTGCAAAGCGCATGCAAGCTCCGCCATCCAGAATCGAACCGCCTCTTCGGTGAAGCATTTTCTCGATATATGGAATCGAAGATCACCACCGTTCATAAGGTCGACAACGATGTATCTAAAGGTGTGTTAGCACAACCAAAGCTATTGAGTTGAAAAGAAAGAGACTGGCTATTTTTTGCTGGACGCACATGTACTCCATGTCCTGGAAGCTGTATCTCAAGTTACAGAGAAAGGGGTGGTTAAGATGTTCGAGCATGCGCCGCTCGCGAATAATATTCCGCACGCTCTCCGATCGGACGACTGGTCAAAAGTAGTGAGTATATGGGGTGACTTCATGAGAAGATTAAGAGATGAGCCATACCTTCATCTTTTCGGATATATTTCAAGGCAAAAGTGAGACCTGTATCTTTCCGTTCGACGATGCGGACCTTTCCAAAAGCACCTTTTCCCACAACGCGAAGTAATCTGAATTGGTTCAAATTGACTATGGAGAAATGAGTATGGCCCTACATGAGGATGATACTAAAGGGGGAAAAAAAAAAAAAAGACATACCTGGATGATCTGGAGAAGAGAGCTTGCCCTGAGAATTACCCATCTCAGCCGCAGCAGCCGCTGTGCGCGTTCGATTGGATTAAGGAGTCAAACCCGCTCTGCATCGACAGATTGAAGCAGAGAAGTGGTAACTAGCTAAGCTGGGCAGAATTGCTTGACGTCGAGTTCGGCGTGCAGTGTCCGTTAAAAGGGGAGAGATCGTGGGAGAGAAAGTCGACTGACGGGTGTGGGAGTTGTTAGTGGTGGTGGTAGCGGTGATGATGATGATGTTGATGAGAAGAGGTTCGAGTTAAGTCAGCCAGGAAGGAAAGGCTAGAGGCCGTTGTTCGTGCTAGACTTTCGGTGGAGGTAATGTGTGTCCGAGAACGAATCTGAAACGCAGAAGGGAGCCGTGTGGCTATTTTTCTTTTTTGTCTCTTTTGGCGTGGAAAGGTGAAGACTGGGTGAGGATGATTGATTGATTGACGAGCGAGGGTGGACCGGGTCCAGGACGGAAGCAAGCCAACTCGTCCCAGCTGTGGATGCCTGCCCGTTAAGTTGAGTTGGAGGTTTGTAGGGATGTTGTCTCTTCAATAGTATCGGTGCATGGATGCCTGTCTGTCTGGTCCTTTCTACAAGTAACTGCGCGCTGCTTCCCTTCTCCCGCGTGAGGCTGTGGAAGAAAACAAGAGGGCACTTGAAGGATCTGGCGAGCGACGAGGCTGGTTGGGTGGTTTAAGCAGGGCCAGGGCGGGCGAAACTCCGCAGATCCAGCCGTTTTCTGCTCGCCGCCGTATTAACTATCCTATATCCGTATCTTCCGTGACGAGGTCGTATATACTCGAACTCCAGCGTCTGTCTTTTCTGTCTCGACGTTCAAGCCTGTGTGGGTGTTCGGCCGGGGCGGCTGCGCAGCTGGTGCAGTGCAGAAGTACGAGTGACGTTGAAATTGAAGTTGAACCTGAGGTTTCTTTATTTTTTGTCGGGCGCGGTTGATGTGTTGTTGTTAAGGGAAGGAACGAACTTCAGGTTTCGTTCTTTCCCTTCAGGACAAGATATTCCACGTGGAACTTCCCCTTTCGGACATGCTCTTTTTTTCTTTTTTCTCCTTGTTTTTTGCAAAAGAAAAAAAAAGAAAAAGTCAAAAAAAAGGATAAACCTTAAACAGGCAGGATGCCGATCTTTTCTGGTTCAGGAACAGGGGAGGTCACATGTTAAATCACGTGAAAATTACAGACGCCAAGTCTTCTTCACCGCCCTGGCCGCCCTCGTGGCGCCACGTGAGTTGCTGACTAAAGGAACAGAATCCCGGGTCTTTCTCTGGCATTTTCTTCGTCTTCTCGACGCTGGTTGAGAAACGCGACAAGCTGGCAGAGGAAGGCAGGAGGTTTCGATATCCAAAGGGCGCATTGTCTTTCAGGGGTTGATACAGAAGCTGACAGGATGGAGCAGCCGTGGAGAAACATGGGGAGACTAGCACGGTGTGCTCCGTAAATGGTAGGGCATGATATACGAGTAGCTGAACTATGTATCTGCCTACGCTCGACTGTGTGGTAACACACCCACCAAAGCGGCTGTCGAACCCTCCATCATAGGGCTCAGGAAGGTCCTCGATCGTCTCAAAAATGCCAAAAGGACCAACTCGTCTGTTCTAGGCTAGCCCAGTTTTATTTTTTTAAGCTTACTTGTCTAGTGTGTCCAACTCAAGCCGGGACGGAGCAGAGCCACTCCCCCCCCCCTTTTAAGAATATTTTCAGCTCTGCGGAAAATATGCACCGTTCGAATGACTTCAGGGACTCGACTGTCCCAAGCGGCAAACCAAAAATCAAGCACTCTCTCGATGTATAACTATATACTTGTTCGCCCGTCCCGACCCAGACCCATTTAATTCCGCACTCCGTCCTTCGCTCGAACTCATGGAGCAAAAAGCAAGCACCAGCCAGCAAGCCACTCAGCCAACCAAGGGCGCCGGCTGGCATTCGCCACCATCAACCACACCACAGCCCTGGTTCTCGTTTCGGTGTCTGTTAACGCGGACATGGCGACGAAACTGACAGGTTCACTCTCCTCGCTCTCTCGCTCGCTCTTTTGACGTCAGGACAGCACTGCTCCTTCGACACTATTACTCCTCGCTGAGTCATGCGAGCCAGCATGTCTGCCACGACGGTTTATCATTAACTTCAATAATCGACGATCGATCGATGACGCGATCGATAGAGCGATGCAGGATGAAAATAGAGGCCCTACTATAAGCGTGTGTGCAAGAGACTGTGTGTGTGTGTGTGTGTGTGTGCGTGTGCGTGTCAGAACGACGAGTGTTAATCGGGAAGGGAGCCGGCGTTCCGTATCACTATTAGATGTGGTCCCTCCCCGTCCGAGGGTCGTCTGGAGACGCTGGAGTCAACATAGCGCCGGCTCTTCATCTATTTGTGTCAACCGTCGGCTCATCTGCATCTGCTTACTTTACTCCTTTCCTCTAATCCCACGATCTTCCTGATGGCAAGACGGCAAGGAGGCTGCTCAAGGGCTTGGCCGGCCAGTTACATGTCACGTGGTTTGGACAATCACCTCCCTTTCTCCGTGGACACAACCCGATTCCTCCTGGTTGCTATACTTAAATGTACGGAACACTCTCTGGCTATCAAAATCTGGCTGCAGTCTGTTGGAAAACGGAATCCTCCGCGGCTGGATGGGCTATACGAGCAGCCTCAACTCAATTCTTCGTCTCGCCTCCTTCTCTGCTCCCTCCCTTGGCGTTTTTGTCGCTTGGCCAGGGAGACCCATCCCATCTTTGCCTGCTTCGGCGTGGTGAAACACGGATGCACTTTTCCTTGCCGCCAGCCACAGGACGTTGTTGGGCTGCACTCACTCTGGAACGAGCAGGGATGCTCAACCCGGCGCTTTTTTTTTGTCCCGGTGTCTTGTCTCTCTCGACCCAGGGATAACAGGTTCCTGTTCTTGCTTGCTTGAGATAACGGAGTCACTTGGCCAATGCTTGCGAGGATGGACCCTGCCGGTTAATAAGAGCTAACTAGAGGCGAGCAGAGCCTGGTTCCGGGCGTGTTTCGCCGGCTCACACCCTGTCGAGAGCTCCCAAGAAAACTGCCACCATGGCGTTTGATCGCTCATGGCCTGACCAGTCATATCATAACGGAACGAGAGCAAGGTGGGCGAAAAGAGAGTGTTGGAAAAAGAAGGAGAGAACATGAAACGCTCCCTGCATCTCAATGGGATCGCTTCGCCTATCCAGTCCAGCTTCAGCACACCACTCCCAAGTTGAAACATAATTAACCCGGCGTTCATTTGCTAGTGCTCTTAATGCATGCATGGGCAGAGAAATTTCTAGCCGGTTGGACAGGAGTTACCAACATTTATTCCGCTTTTCACCGTGCATGTGCATATCTCTAATATGCATACATAGTTGGGTACATGTTATATACATGCATCCATCCTTTTTTCATTTCCTTTTATAGGTTATCCCAGTCCCAAGCAGGTGTCGGATCTCACACGTGGAGGCCAGATCCTTTTTCCACGTGTTGCAGGATCTTTTTTCTAGAAAGATAAGAAGGATATTCGCTTGTTTGTGCTTTTACCCTTTGATCCCGGCTGCCTCAAGGAACATGCAAACAAAGGTCGAATAGGTATGTAGTTACGAAGGAGACATGAAAGATGTGCGCGATTAAATGCCCGGTCAAGGCTGGTCGGCACTTAAGCAGGCAACTTTTTATTGACAGGATAACATCGATCGATACTGGATAGAGTAACCCTGTAGTCCACTTTTATCTTTCATTTCCATCAAAAGGGGATAAATATGTATGCGCTCAAACATGGTCGCGTATAGATGCATGAACATGACACAACACAAGGTCCGGAGTAATCATCACCTAAATTGCTCCATAGCCTACCATCGACGCCCATAAATTGGATCCTCCCTCTTTGAACCGGCACTCGCCTTGCGCTCCATAACCGGCGGCGTGGCTCGCTTCCCGCTTCCCCTTTTTCCATGGGGCCCAAGGGTCTGAGCCTGATGGCCAGACGCCGCCATCTCCTTCGAGTCAAGAAGCTTACTGCTCTTCGTCGTAAAACTTAACTTGCCATCGTCCCATGACCGTGCCTCCGCATCTCGGCCAAATAGAGCCAGCATGTCTTTCATTGTCAGCTTGCCGGCCGCTGACTTGCCTTCAATCGTAGACTTGGCTAGTTCTCGCTTTCGTTCTTGGAGTTCAAGTATACGCTCTTCCACCGTCCCCTTGATTGTCAACTTGTACACTTTGACGTCGACCGTTTGGTTCAGGCGGTGGACACGGTCGATGGCCTGCTCCTCTACGAACTACAAAAGGCGATGGCGTCAGGTTTGGTGCAGTTCTAAGAATAGATGTATGGGGTATGGAGACATGTATAAAACTTACTGGGTTCCAGAAAGGCTCGAGGATCACGACCCTGCTTGCGGCCGTTAGGTTCAGCCCCAATGATCCTGCCCGTAAGCTACAGAGTAACACTCGGGTACTACTAGAGTTCCGGAGTCGGTTCAAACTCGCTTCTCGGAGGTCATTTCTCATACCGCCATCGTATCGGGCATAGCCGATACCTCCGTTTTTCAGGAAGGGCTCAATCTTATCAAGCATGGAGGTAAAGACCGAAAAGACGATGAACTTCGACTGTCCGGATTCTCGTTTGAGGATTCTCATCAGATGTCGAATTTTGGCCGAGGTTTGAACATCGTGGATGGCATTGGGCGTGGACTCAGACAAATCACCCTCCTCGTCCTCATCCTCCTCTTCATCGTCATCGTCAGTTGCATCTTCATCATCCCCACCTGTTTCTGAATCTTCAGAGCCAATCCACTCGCCTCCCCCCTCGGCGTCTTCGCCGTCAGATCCCACAGGTGCGGTAAGGTTTTCAGGGCCACGTTGTTCTTCAGGGACAATCCACTCTCCATCCTCATCCTCATCCTCATCATCGCTATCAATGATAACGGGCCTGGCCCTGCGGCTTCTCGCTCGTTGGGACTCTCTATCCACTTTGGCTTCCACGGGCTTTGGCTTTGACCTTGCCTTGGCTTTCGATTTCCTGTGCTTTTGCTTTTTCTCCGTAACGACCGTGCTGATGACTTGGGTTTTCAGGTCTTCTTCGCATTCACCACAACGTGCGGCGCCACCAAGTGTCTCTTGCTTGGTCAACTCGATCTGGCACACGTCACATCTCTTGGTGGCCATGCTCAGTCCGCCAAGCATATCGGCAATGCTGTCAATATCATTTTCCTTATTCTTGCCCTGGGTATCATCACAAATCAAAGCATCTTGCTCTTTGGCCAGCTCACCCTTAACCAGGTCAGGGTGGTTGCAGGCTTGACGCAGCCTGAGAAGCAAAACCAAAGCGCCAGCATAGCTTATATTCTGGCCACCAATCATTCGCTCTAAGCTTCTATCAGCACGTTGCTCGAGTCGCTGGTAGAATGCCCATTCTTCCGAGCTAAACTCAGCCTCTATCTTAACGATGTCTCGATTCACAATTTTGAACCCGCCAGAAGACCCGTGCTTTTGGTCACTGCTTGATTCCTCCCCATTGGGGTTCTCAGCCTCTGGCTTTGAATCTAGTTTCAAAACGTCCTTTGTACGTCTCTTCATGAAGGCCTTGAGGTAGACCTGCAGTCGACGAAGTGCCAATCCCCCGCGGCCATTGCTCATAGGACGAGTGATCTGTTCTCTCCAAGCAGCCAACTCATCATACGGCTTGATCCGTAAAAATCTGATCAAGCTTTGTAACTCGTCTAAGTTATTCTGCAGTGGAGTTCCGGTAAGGCACCATCTATACAGTGAGTTCAGCGCATAGACAGCTTGCGTGGCTTTAGCATTTCGGTTCTTTATAGTGTGTGCTTCGTCAAGTACAATCCGATACCAGTGGATCCCAAAGCATCCGCTGTCTTTCCCGTGCTCAGAACTAAGTGTTCCGTATGTGGTAATCACAACGTCAAAGTTGTCTAGGTCATCCCGATGTTTTGTGCGGCCTGTACCATGATACACACATACACTTAACCGGTGAGATCTCTCTATTTTGGATTCAATCTCGCCTTCCCATTGCTTGATCAGGGCGAGGGGAGCAACAACAAGTGTGCTTTTGGAGACAGTTGCGGGTATCTTGGATTTATCCTTCTTTTCCTTCCCTTTGTCGGATTTTTGCTCCTTATCCGTTGGAACCACGGGAGGCCGCGGGTTGGTGAGTAGTAAGGCAATGGTCTGAACAGTTTTACCTAGGCCCATATCATCAGCAAGAATACCCCCCTTCGGCAGTACGCCTCTAGTCTTTTTTAACCCGCTCTCTTTGTCCCTCATCCATGCTACTCCCTCAATCTGGTGAGGTAATAGCTTGACTTTTAACCCTTCCACAGTTCCGTCATCTTCCTCTTCCTCTTCCTCGTCTTCTTTGTCTTCCAATTCCTTATTTCCAGCTTTTTCGTCCACCTTGACCCCCATAAGCTTGTCGGCCAGCTCATCAACCTGTTTTTCGATCTTTTTCTTCCGTGACCTTGTACGAGGCTTATCATCCTCATCCTCAAAAGCACCTTCGAGTAAGGCTTTTATGTTTTCGTTGGCTTTCTCGCTGTCAATATACGAATATGCATCTGCTGAGCCAATTATTTCATCTCGGAAGCTGCTGTTAACACTTCCATATCCAACATCAGGTGTGGTAAGGTCCATGAAATTCTTTAACGTGCTGGCTGCCTTGCCCAGTTTGGGGGCTGAAGGTTTAGAGCTGAACATTGGCTCTGGTGCCCTCCAAGTAGTCCGATCAGCATTCATAGGTTTCATAATTTCGACCACACTATCATCGTCAGGTATCGTTATGGTTGAGCGGCTTTTGAAGGAGGATGGCCGGGTAGCCTGGAATGGATTGAACGCTCGCTTATCGTTTTCTTTTGATGCGTTGTCATTAAGGGTAGAGCTAGGGGCAGGACGGTGGTGCTCAGGTCGAGGCCTATTCGTTTTTGGAATCACGAATGGGTGACGCTGGTTTGCATTCATAGAGCCGAGCGGCGACGGTTTTCCGAATTCCACGGGCTTTGGGGGTTGCGCCTTCTTCCCATCCCCTCCGGAAATGGAAGGAATCTTAGGAGGTTCCCGTTCTTTCACCATCTTTTATTCTAAACAGGTTATTTGAAAGGAAGTATCAATAAGTATTGATTGGATTGTCTAAGTCGGCATTGGAATGTTAGATATTGTTTGTTTCTGTTGCTTGGATTTATTAAAGCTCACCTTGAAAGCTCATTAGCGCGCTTTTTTCGAACACTGGGCAAACTCTAAGGTAATAGAGGGTCCAGTATGAGACCGAAGGTGTAAAAATAATATTGCTACTATAGCGTAACGAAAATTGCTGTTGTCATGACCTCGAGCGCGAAGAGTCGCTGTCCTTTGATCAACCGTCGTTTTGCCCCCTCCTTGAAAATAACAATAAACGTTGTCTTATCGATAACTGTCCTGGCAACCAGCCTAGCCTTAAGTAGATTAGCTTAGTAATATACGAGTTATATTACGTCATACACTCACGGTATTCAAATCATGGGAATTCCGGTATGGATCGGCGCTAATGTCACGACCTCTGGTTTTCGTCTAACAACATCAACTAACAGCCCGCGAGTTAAACTACCAGGAGCTGTCCATTGACCAGCGTGAAATTACTCTGAGCAACCACTCTGGTGGCTTTTTCTATTTGTCTGGTTTTACCATTGCCGACGGCAAACCCATCACAAACCGATGTTTCCCCTTCCAACAACCGGGATTGATTGTTGGATGTTTGGCCATCGTCGAGTTGATGAGAAATAGCCAGACCACAACAAATTAGAGAGAAGCGAATTAAACCCTAGGATTAGGGCATTATATGGAAGCGGAGCTCCCTTCTTTACAAAAGATGCGTTTCAAGATGTCTACCGACAGTTAAAAAGCAATGTACAACAGGGTGATAAAGTATTACTTAAAGGGGCAGATGGTGTAACAATTGAATATGACATTGAGGTTGGCAAAATATTGGAGGCAGATGATCCTGATTTGGAATACGTTACGTATGTATATTCAGATTCTAGTTGGCCATACAATGTCTAGAACTAAACAGAAACAGAATGAAGCCCTACCTCAATTATACATCACCCCTACTCCTTATAGAAGGTGTATATTCCCATGAAGCTGCATACTGCGGCATGAGAGTATATCATATACTGATCTTGCGGAATAAACATACAAAGGAGCCGATAGAAACAGAAATACTGCCGTCTATAGACACCGTTTTCACTCGCTTTAAGAGGCACTTGGAGGTTTGGGAGTCTAGCAAAACATGTCTGGAGTTGCAAGCAACTTTGGATAGGATGGAATTCCCCGCTAATTTCAAGATTGATAAAATTGTTGTATTCGCATATCGAATTTCTCAGACTTCTGAAGACTGGTTACATCCTTTGGCAAATATTGCCGAGAGAAGGGTATCATACCAACATGGGTTGGTTGATATGTACAATACGGAAAGCTCTAATCAAGCGGGGGGTAGGTCGGGATATCAAGTGCTTTGCACAGGATCCTATATACACTAGTGTTGATTCCGAACTTCTCAGAACGTATGGAATCGTTACGCATGAGGATCCTGAAGGCTTCCTTCTGATTGATGATACTACCCTGGTGATTTCAATAATGCCAAATGTCCCTGTCAAAGAAACAGTTGCACATATTGCACAGCCGGCTATGATTGTATGGGATGCAGATGATGGCAAAAAGACGCTTTGGTAAACCCCCCATCACTCGGTATATAGCTACAATACCTTCATCCTCGTGCTAACGAACGAATAGCACGGATCCAACGTCGTCGCGGGTTAAGGACTTTCTCAAAGGTTCCTATTCTAAAACCGAGTTCCCTCACGACCCAGATAACTTCAAATCTGTGTCTATATATACAAAGTTGAGTTCACCGCATTTCACCAGATGAGCTTGTTGGTACAGTCACGCCCAACACTGGTGAATATATATGATTTCCTATATAAGCTACTTTGGATAAGCTCCGCGCCAAAAACCCCAAACACGCCCAGATAAGTATATATCAACAAATATCCTCCGATCTTCAACGCTCATTATATTTTTATCTTGCTCATACCGGCCTAACCCTCCACCATCTTCCCGCTGGCTGACTCTTTATTTTTTACTTTTTCCTTTTGATGTTTATCTTTCAATTATTTAGTATCCCGCAGCTTTTCTTGAAACAACGACCCCTTAGGAGTTGGATTTTGTTTTTGAAACCGTCTCTACCCGCGCGCTTACTTGCATTTTATTATGGACTGACAAGAACCTAAGAATTTAGTTATGCGATGATAAGATAGCTCCTTGCTACCATATAACCACGCCTGAAACTTGGCCCGCAATAGGCGATGCTGCACTTACCTCGGAGGCGTTGATGATTGATCAACGGTATCATTAATTTTTACTTCATGCCTAGCGCCCACAATTTCTATGAAACTACTTCTGTCGACACGCTCACTTACACTTACGGTAACTTCATAATTACCTGGTCATCCATCCATGGCGATACTTGAAATATCCTATACCCTTGCTGCAATGCACCACTAGGTCAAAAAATTATGCCAATATTTCCATCAGATCTTAGGCACCGACAGGCACTGCCTGATCTTTAAGCAGACAATACTGTCCAGTCAGCTAAGGTGGCATTGCAATCTACGCCTCTTCTTCAATGCTCTTCACATAACACATATATCTGGAATATCACCCAGTATAGGCAGCAAGGCGTCCTATATGGATACCTATCTAGACAGAATGGTATCTAAGCCACTCTTCTAATGGAGCCTATTGCAGTATATAAACCCCCTACTGGCGCACCAGTTTTTATAGTATTATTACCACCTTTTTTTACACGCATTAGTTACACATAATACTGGCAACCCCATTTACATCACATTATCATCCTAAAGTAGCCACTCTGGATCCTTGATAAAATCCTCTGGGTGGCCCACCTGCATTTATACAATCAGTTTCAACACATTTATATATCACCGCCTTCAGAACAAAAAATCGTGGGTGGCCCTGTTGCTTCTACAGATTATCTAACTCTGCAAGCACTGATATCGGAGTTATAAGTACACCTAACACTTGTATAGACTTATTATGTGCCTTATTATCCGATATGAATACCTCGAATGCGGCCACGCTATTGTTTCAACAGCAATCCCATGCGATTTCTACCCGTCGTGCACTAGAAACTTTGGTCGGCTTATCCCTCTAAATGGACGTTGCCCTCCCTGCCGCAGGTATCTAACGCCGGAAGCTGCTCATAGCAGCCAATGGTACGCAAGGCCGTGGTAATTAAATGGCCAAAACAAGCGATCGAGCTCTGCAAATTAGCTCTCCACTGCGAATTGAATATGACGAGTACCGCATATGGGTTGCGCCTAGTTATTTCTCATCGACCGCTATCCTCTAATTTATACCTCTCTTCCCATGGTTTCTTTTCAAGTTTATTTACATCCTGCTGTCTCTGATCTCTGACCTATTGCTTTACTGTTAGCATTCTATTGATTGCACTGCCCCATCCGTCTGCGTTTTGCTATTATACGCACCCCTTAATCATCTCCTACTATCATCTTATTATCCTGTAATCAACTGTCTTTGAATATGCGTACTTGAAATCATTTTGAAATTGGCATTTGATACTCTTTCTGAAACCTGTTTATAGATCTCAGACCATTGACCTTCAATTCACTATGTCAGCCGCCAACTAAATCCCCCTCTTCTAGCCGAGAGACAGGAGTTTGGCACCAGGATAATAACGTCCCTTCCCTGGTGCCTTAATTCGAATATTAGACGTCTGATCACGTAAATACTCTAATCTCAGTCTATGCATCCAGTTTAAACACGGGATGACTCTTGAGAAATGCATGTACGCATCACCAACCAACTTAGCCACGGAAACAATGGAAATCATGCGTTAGCACCACCACCAATTACCTACGCGGGTTATTGTTATCATCTTGCTAGCATTCAGACATATCCTTACATTTGACGGCCATATCTATCTTGAGCCTAGATCCCCTGCCTCGTGTCGGCTTCCAAGAGCTAGTACACGGTCTACACACCACCCTGGAAGTATTGCCGCCACTATCTATCATTTAACAGGCATCAAGATGTTGGTATGCACCAGTTGGTCCAAGTTTAGGGCTGCCTCTTGAGGCTGAGCTAAGCTGAGCCTCCTTGAACTGTTGGAATACATAGTAGATTGATTGGCCTTTTATACCAGGATGAGGGATTTCCCAGGCCACCGTCATTCCGGGATATCTAAACTCAAGCACAACGCCACAATCTGTGATGGCTGGTCAAAAGGTCAAGAAATAAAGAATATGGCCCCGATAAATGACCGCCAGGAAAAGAGCATAGGGCATTGCGATTGGCTGTTAATATAGTACCCCGTCCTATGCACATACCCGGGTGGTTGGATGGGGTTGTCGGATGTACCGTACCTCGCAAGCACCCTGCGCGCTACTATTTCGGGGGCCACACACGTCTATACAAAAGGACACATACAAGGATAATCATTATGAAGCACTCTTTACTCGGGGAATTATCTTGTCGACATGGGCTTCTACTTCTATATTTAAGGGGTTGATGATTTCGCATCCAACGCCCATCAACCTTATACCCAAAACCTCCCTAGAGAAGCAATATCCAGCTATTTCAATATATCCATCATAAAACAGCCTCAGTTTTATAAAGAATGGCTACTCAACTCGCGGCATTGAACCTGGCGGCCGTCAAAGATGCATACTCTTTGATCAAACCCAAAATATGGAAAACTCCGGTCTACAAGGCAACGGCTCTATCGCATACCATCAGCAGCACCATATTCCACGACAGTAACTCTGGAATCACCGGCGTCCCAAAGGTCAATGTATTTTTCAAGTGTGAGAACTTGCAAAAGACCGGCTCTTTCAAATTTCGCGGCGCTTCCCATTTCCTTGCGAGGCAGAACGATCGGGCGCTCCGAAACGGCCTGGTCACTTACAGCACTGGTAGATACGGACTAACCCATGCCCTCTTCCCAGTCTCCCCTCTCAGCTGGTATGATTGGTATTGTCCGAGATTTGCTAACGAATATGGCTATATAAGGCAACCATGGCATTGCATTGGCCCAAGCTGCGGCGTATGCATCGGAGGAGAGAGGCTTCCCCATACCCCTGATTGTCATTATGTCAAAGACAGCAGACAGAGGCAAGATAGCCAGGATAGAGAGTTTTGGGGCGACTGTATCAGCATATTATTCGACGATGGAGGCTTGCGCGGTACGGGCGGAGGAGCTGCAGCTGGAAGCTGGGCTGACTTTAGTCCCAACGTCTGGTCATCGGCACGTTGTGCTGGGCCAGGGCACTGTCATGCTCGAGTTCCAGCAACAGATTGCAGGCCTAGGCGAGAGGCCACTAGATGCTGTTATCGTTCCCATTGCTGGAGGCGCATTGCTAGCAGGCACAGCCCTAGTATGCCAGGCAGCGAGCTCCCGCACCGATGTCTTTGGAACTGAGCCACTTGAGGGCGGCCCCTCGCTCTTCCAGGGCCGCCAAAGGGGCCGCCGCATCGATACCCTGTGTACTGAGAAGTCGACCATCGCCGATGGTCTTCGTTGCCTCGTGGCCAAATCGAACTGGGATATTCTCAAGAACAGGACGTTCGTCCAGGACGTATTCCCGGTAGCTGACGACGAGATCAGGACAGCCATACGATTGATCCTGGAGAGCGCGAAGCAGCTGGTAGAGCCGAGTGCTGCAGTACCACTAGCTGCTCTGCTTTTTAATAAACGCCTCCGTTCCAACCTGGCTCAGAGGGACGGTCCCTTAAATGTTGGTATCATATTGAGTGGAGGAAACATCAGCGTTGAGAGGCTGTTTTCGCTTTTGTCATGATCCAGGAGAGATTTTCATTCGCCAGCTGCTTTTTTTTTTCTTTTCCATTTATAGCACAGGCACAAACCAACATAATACTATCCGTAATTGTTGTTCTTTGATAAAGATTTTTGGGTAACTCATTGGCTCAATAGTCAATGCAGATGGAAGCTTGCATGGGACCAAGTCAGTCACGAGTCAACCAATAACAAACTAGGCAGTGAGTTAACTGATTGTCCAGGCGAGGAATAAAAAGAGCCGATAGGCTGGATGGCGAGAAGAGGCGCAAGCTAAACCGCCTACTGTCAATCAACCCGGTGGCTGGTCATCGATTAAGTTGACCAACTACCAAATCCGTTAACCAAACTGTTCAATATGACTGATTGAATATGAACTAACTGATTAACTATGGCAGAAATATCACATTCGCTCTTCGGGATTCAGAGCGCGATCTGCTCTTATCTGTGAACAAACACAGAGGGCGTCGGTAACTAACTAGTTATAGCTAAGCTCATTAAACTTGACCCCCTATTACCCAAGCGGCTACAAGTCTCCAAAGCGATGTAACTAGCATAAAGGCATCTATGTTAGTTTTTTACTGGGGCTTGCCGTCAATGGATCTCCGCGCCCTGTTTGCGTCCATGGGGTCTCACATCGTACCCTGGACTCCATGCCGGTATGGACAAGGGAGGGATCTCGATGCTGAGCCGCCGGCCCCTTAATCCCTGCCCTGTTCTCTCGGAATTACATGATTAATCACTCCGTCGGATACCTGGGGGAAGCGTCAAAGCCAACCGATGGACGAACTGGAACCAATATACCCTTGCACAATGGCACTGTTAATAGCCATTAACATGGCTAGGTGGCTACACCTTCAGCCTGCTGCTTTTGGTTGCTGGTCTCCCACCGTTATGAAAAATGCCTCACGGGAGGATCACACTGCCATCCAACCCGTATGGACGGTATGCTTCAGCTCACGGGGCTTACATATATAGGGAGCTCCAGGAGCTCCAGGAGCTATCAGCATCTTTGAAAGAAAGAAGATCTCATTAGGCTTCTAAGCTACCATTCTCTATTCTGCCAATACCTGATATATAACACCTTCCCCCTTTTTCTACACACCGTTTCATTCTTGATGGATACCGGCGCCCAGGTACTTCCCAGTACCAATAAAAGCGGCACTACGACTCTTACAGACTACGCATCTAGCAAACATTCCAGGGATATCTCTGTCGATGGCACCCCAAAACCTGAAACCATATCGTCGGATTCCGCAGATGAAGCTCCCGATGGAGGCCTAGTAGCATGGACTCAGGCCACGATGGCCCATCTTGTCATGTTCAACACTTGGGGGTTTGCAAACTCCTTTGGTATATTCCAGGCATACTACGCGGGGTCTCTCAATCGGTCTCGAGCAGATATAGCATGGATAGGCTCCATCCAAATATTCCTTATATTCATGATAGGGACCTTTTCCGGTCGTGCAATTGACGCCGGATACTGTCGACCAATTCTTGTGGCCGGTCTAATACTGCAGATCCTTGGAGTCTTCATGACATCAGTGGCTTCGGATTACTGGCAAATATTCCTTGCCCAGGGAGTGTGCCAGGGGATAGGGAATGGGTTGATATACACCCCGACTATATCACTGGTCTCGACCTATTTTACCAAAAGAAGGGCCATGGCCATGGCTATTACTTCAGGTGGAGGCGCCACTGGTGGTATTGTGTTTCCACTTGTTGCGCAGCAGCTTCTCCCAAAAGTTGGCTTCGCGTGGACCGTCAGAGTCATGGGATTCATTATGCTCGGCAATGCATCTGTTGTCGTATGTCTCATGCGTGGAAGGCTTGCTCCAAGGAAAAGTGGTCCCATAGTCGAATGGTCGGCTTTCCGAGAACTGCCTTACCTGTTGTTCTGCATTGGTAGCTTTCTTATATTATGGGCTGTCTACTTCGCCTATTCTTATGTATGTTGTCCGGCTTTAGATGCCAGCCCTTTAAATGACAAGCTGCTAACCCCCTGCTAGATAAGTACTTTCAGCCACGACGTCATTGGAATTTCTTCCTCCACCTCTCTGACCATCCTCCTCATTACGAACGCCGTTGGCATCCCTGGCCGTGCTATTCCCGCCTTCATTGCTGACCGATATACCGGGCCCCTGAGCGTATATATACCCATGTCACTGGCAGCAGGCGTTTCTCTTTACGCATGGGCTGCAGTACGTAACCTGTCCGGACTCATATTGTTCTCCGTTATGTACGGACTGTTCGCTGCTGCATGTCAGGGTCTCTTTATAGCCTCCTGTTCCTCCCTGACAATCGATCTTAGCAAGATGGGCACCCGGACAGGCATGGTCTTCACTATTATATCTTTTGCAACACTGACAGGGCCACCTTTAGCAGGTATGCTTATAGAAAAGAGGAATGGTGATTATCTTTATGCTCAAATTTTCGGTGGCACATCGTTCATTCTGGGTTCGCTGATACTAATTGGGGCGAGGTTCGCTCACACTGGAGCCAACTGGAGGAGCCGTGTATAAGCTTGCGGGCTACTTATTTAAACCCGTTCGAATGCTCACCCCTATTCCTATGTTTGATAATGCTAATTAGATATGTGTATATGATTTCTAATGATAGATAGTAGTCAACAAGTTATTGCTATATTATGTATTATTGCTTTCGCTTCTCTATTTAGCTACTAGGTAGTTATTTAACTACTAGTCAAAGCTGAATAACTACATGCGTCATAAGCGACAAATTATATCACTATGAAATACAGAAAAGATAATCTGTTAACTTGCCTGATTATATATATTTTCATCTTCCAACGTTCTATAGTCACTACTACAATTTACGGAGTACTTTCTAGAGACTCCGTCATGGGTGTCTCTCCGGGAATCCTCCGACGGAACACTTTCGCCCGCGGCTACTCGTTAACCGATAAGCACGTATAAATTATTGAAATCCACGGTATCCAAAGGATTTCACACTTGGTTTCCTGTTTCACTCTGTCATAATAAACAGAGTAACCGCAGCATGTCGTTCTTTAAGCCTATACGATGGCTGTATAGGGAGTTTGGCCTCGACTCTGTCTACAAGACGGGACCCGATACCTGGTTCGTGATACTGGCGAGAACATGTCGGATGTTTGCATTCGGGGCTATCTCCCTGATCCTAGCCTTATTCATGTCGTCTTTGCATTTCTCAGACCTTTGGATCGGCTTCTTCATGACGATGACGCTGGTCGGGGACGTCATCCTCTCCGTTCTCACAGCTTTGGTGGCAGACCGTGTTGGGCGTCGGCGGATTCTCTTCCTTGGGGGTTCTTTGATGGTGCTATCTGGTACAGTATTCATCTTCTTTGAGAATTACTGGATCCTGCTCATTGGAGCTGTTGTCGGCGTCATCAGTGCTACTGGTGGTGATTTTGGTCCGTTTCGCTCTGTTGAAGAGTCTACGATATCCCATCTCACGACAACAGCTACACGGACTGATGTGCTCTCTTGGTATGTCACAACTTCGACGCTGGGTTCAGCCCTGGGGAATGAAGTTGCTGGTCGGATAGCCAACCTTTTGAAGCGACTTCAGGGAGCAAAGCGGCATATTACGGATGTGTACCATACTATGTTTTGGATATATGTTGCAATGGGTACTTTATCCATGGTGTTAGCATGCCTAATGAGTAGAAAATGCGAGTATACCGAAGTACAGGTCAAACCTGGCGCTGAAGGGTCTCAAGAGTCTGATCCGCTACTTGACGCTAGGGAAGCAGAAGAGAATACCGACGGGCAAGACGAAGGAGACCCTGTTCTTACATCTTCAAAGGACAGCCAGCAATCATCGGAATCACGGTCTTTGTTTGGCAGGCTATACCACAACAGCAAGATTGCGGATATATCACATGAATCCCTCTCTGTGATTATCAAGCTCTGGGTACTCCTTACAATAGACTCCTTGGCTGACGGAATGGTCTCATACGCACTCACAAACTACTATCTTGTGCGGAAATTTGGGCTTACTGAGTCGTACCTAGGAGACATCATGTCAATCTGCTTCCTACTCATGGCTATATCCACCGCCTTTGCCGGACCACTTGCTCGACGCCTAGGACTCATCAACACTATGGTCTTCACACACCTCCCGTCATCTCTCGCTGTTCTGCTGTTTCCTGTACCCCAGGGCGTGGGCCTGACCATAGCTCTACTATTCATACGCACAGCACTAAATAGTATGGATCAAGGACCAAGAGCTGCGTTCATTGCTGCGGTAGTAAAGCCGGGAGAGCGCACAGCGGTTATGGGTATCACAGCTGTGCTCAGAACATTAGCATCGACTCTAGGGCCTAGTCTTACCGGTTTTCTTGCTGACACGGACAAGTTTTGGATCGCATTTATCGTTGCCGGAGCTCTACGTGTCGCCTATGATTTGGGACTGTTCTTCTTGTTTATTGATCTGAAAATAAATGCTACTGAGCAGACAGAGAACTCAGAGATAAATAATCAAACATGAAACTGATTATCACCCAACGAGGAATGGAGGGAAATATGCTTGTTAAATGAGCAGGATAATAAAGAGGATTGATAGCCGGCTAGGTATAGGTAAATAATTATATAGAGTATTAACCAGTGTAAATTAGCAACCTTGGAGAACTAGTTAACTATACGGAGTATAACTATACAGGTCAAATCCATATTTAATATCCGACCACACTCGTCTACAAGGATAGGAAGAAGACCGGTTAAGTAGTAGAGAGGTACCATTACCCCTTGATATAACAATCCAGAATTTATAATTGTTATTATCGCAATAACTAGTACCATGGTCAACTACTTGGTCAGATGGCTCCATATGTTTGGAATACGCTAGTTCATTTATAACCATGGCATGTTGGGAATAATCCAGCTTGGTCACTAACTAGTTATAGTACCAGCAAATACCCAATTTGTGTCCCAGCTTTGATCGGTTTCGCAAACCCCACGTAACTCGCCTAGATTTCCTCTTGTCGTAGTCCCAGTAATTCTCTTTCTCTCTCAATTGTGATAGACTGAATGTCCGGTTAGAAACGATTAATATGGCTAAAAGAAAAATAGTTAAAGGATAGACATACTAGGCGGGGTGGGAGGGTGGTTGGGCGTGTCGCTCTAAAATTTTTTTGCAACCCTCGTTTTACCATCGAACGCAATATATATGTAATCATCCCCTTGACGGCTCTTACGAAGCTTCCTATAACCATCTATTTCGACTCGGCAGATACGTACTGTCTCTTGTTTATCGGGTGGGAGTGGAGGTCCAAATTCGGAAACGGTATGAGTGGTTTCGATTTTAGGTGGTTCTGGCAGGCCAGCTTTCTCCTGGATCTTCTCAGGAGTATCGAGTGCTCCTCCAAGGACGATGGGTATAAACCGAGGCTTCTCTGGTTCATTTCTTCTTGCTATAGAAGCCTCCCATTGCTCCTTGGTCCACGGGCATGGCTTTGCTGCTTTCAGCCGCGTTATTTCGCTCATCCACTCCCTGCTTCCTTCGGGGTACTTATCCATGATGCTTGGTCAGGGCTGTATCTATAGAATTTGTCTCCGAGCCTGAAACTAAGTAACTGACTTAGCGAAGACAGTAGTTATTCTGTATAGTGATCTCCAATTTTTTAAAAAAATGATGGCATGGAAGAGTGTGGCTTGCATTTATCTTCTCATATAATGTCCTGTGGCAATTCAAACGACAATTAGTCAGGGCCACATGCATTTTAACAAAGCTCAGTTCTAACTATGAATTAACTATTAGTCAGCCTTACTACGCCTATATTTGTCGAGCGTATAGATATCTGGATCAAATTATCAATCTCTTCTTGATGGTTATTGTCAGAGTATTCTTAATATTATCGCTGCCTACAATTATTGTGGGCTCACTCCTTCTAGTACCGTAACAGTTTTTGACTATTATATATCTAGATAGGTAGTTAATAGCCTCTCTAAATTATTAATATTCTAATAAAGCTGAGAAAATACTTAAATTCTGATTCTTCATGTATTTATTCATGTATTTACTTCATAATAATCACTATCGTCCTATATTCCAGTAAATGGTTATCCTGTGTGTTATTAGCTATATATACCAACCCTAGTTCCATTTTGCTTAGTTCTATATTTATTATGTATAGCTGAACTATATGCATGGTATATGTATAGATATTGTTCTGTCATTCATTATAAGCTCTTCTATAGCTGTGTTTGTTTATACATAGCTATTCATGCAATTAGCCCAAGGACCGTAATTTTATTGATACTTTTTGTTTATATATTTGTATTTATAGATGCCTAGTTTTATATACAGATAGATAACTAGATAGAAATAGTGTTCTTGTGGAGTAATTGATATAATAAGTCCCTGGGTGTTCCACCACTTCCTATATTCGGGAAAAATCAGTAAAACCAAATATTACCCCTATCCTGCCTTTTCCTCTCCTTGAGCAACTCTGGTCTGCCAATTTCTGTCCCTCTATTCTCCTATTACCCCGGTATTACTGTCTCGATAGGTACTATTTTCTTCTTCAACATTCCATCCCTCGCTGATTACCACGACGGCAACAAAAATAATCATTGTCAACATGGCGTCATTTGGCGTAGAGATGGAATTGCTGGTTAAGCCAAAAGACAATCTCTTTCCTATGCTTGTCGAATATGGCTATAAGCAAAACAACATACAGAGAATCAACAGAAATGTGGTGCATGCAGTTATCGTGAAGAAATTTCTAGAGGAGGAATTTCCAATGGAATTGGCCACTGAAGATAGTCAGTATATATGCAATTGGCTAGTAGCAAGTGATTCGTCGATAAAAGAAAGCAGTGGTTTCTGTATGTACCCTATCCGTTGAACCTTCGGCCAGCCTCGCTAACACAGAAAAGTTGGTGTCGAGGTCATTACGAGAATCCTGTATACCAATAAAGATTGGGTGGAAGAGATAAACGACTTTTGGGAGATCCTAAATCTCCATTTTGAGATCCTCGTGGATCCATCCTGCGGAACACACATTCATGTCAGGCCAGTAGAGGGTTATACACTGGTGCAGCTAAAATCGATCGCCAAACTTACTACGGTTTTTCAACCGGCCATCACGGCCCTAATCCCTGTTTGGAGACAGAACGCTGACTGGTGTCGGCCGAATGCCGAAATCGTCGAGCCCATGCAAAGAGCACAACAACAAGGCCGTAGGGCCTTATTTGACTGGATCGACTCAATTCCAAGCAAAGATAGTTTATGGGAGGAAGTATCCCCCAACAAAATAGTGGCGTGGAACTTCCGAAACGCTCAAGAAAATGGATGTGGTACTGTTGAGTACCGCCAGCCTCCCCCAGTTGGGAGCAGAAATGAAACGAAGCGATGGATTGCCATATCTCTAGCCCTGTTCCAGACGGGGATAGATCCAAACTTTGTGTATCCCGTAGGAAACCCCACGGTTGAAAATTTGAAAATGGCGCTTATCGGAAGTGCCGAACAGCTTGGGATATCTCAGTGGCTCACTTTCGATGGGGCGAGCCAGCATAGCACCCCAATTAGGAGCTTGACAGATGCAGAGCGCCAATATCTAACGACTCTTAAGAGCTATAAACCTAGTATTTTTGCCAAAAACCTCGAGCGACGAAGAGATTTCTAATCCTCAAAACGACCTTTGGGTTGAGCGAGCTGGGGATAAGCGGCAAACCTAACTAGTTGATTGCTTAGTCGGGATAGACTGACAGCGAAGCAACCGTTGAAGGATAAATGGTTCGAACAATGGGACTTGGATTTTTAATACCCAGTTGCAACAGCTGTAGCTGATACTAGTAAAAGAAAAATAAAGCAGTGCTTTTCTCATTCAGAATCTGTATTTTATCGGTGGTATTGGGGATTTTCCTTAACACCTTTTTTCTCATCAAATTTCACCGATGACATCTTTCAGTATCTCGGGAAGAATAACGCTTGAATCACCTTGGAATAACCAGTCAGTTGGCTTCAGACCCCCTTTCGGGAGATGGGTAGCATCCATATTGACCACAGCGACACGAGCTCCTCTATCTCGCCCTTCTTCAATGTATAATGCAGCTGGGAAGACCCGAGCACTTGTACCAACGACCAGGACTAAATCAACTGGCCCCTCTGCGAGGAACTTATCTATACTATCCAATGTATCGTGGGGAAGCTCCTCACCGAACCAAACTACCCCGGGTCGTAGAAGTCCAGTTGAGCATTGCGGACAATGTGGGAGGTCCTCTTCTGTGAGACTAGGGATGGGGACATTTGCATCCGAGATATCCAAGTCTTCGCCTCCAGAAGGGGAGATCTTCTCATCAAGGGCAGCGTGGATAGCCTTGGCAGCTTGTTCACCAGTGTTATCATCTGTAGATGGATTTAGCTGGGGCCCTGCTTTAGGGATTGCAAGACAAGGAACAAGCGGGTCCTGGAAATCGTTGTTCCGTGAGTAGGTGCAGTACTCTGAAGCGCACTTCACGGTGAACAAAGAGCCATGAAGACGATGGAGCTGAGACTCAGGGTGATCAGCTCGTTCCGATAGCCCTGAGATATCGTTAGCGTAGGTTTACAACAGAAATAGGAGTACAAGGCAATAGGAAAATAACGACATACCATCGACATTCTGAGTCAGAGTCCAGAACTCAGGGATTTTCCTGGCCAACGCTGCGAGGGCATAATGTCCTTTATTTGGATGAGCCACCAAGGACATATGTCGTCTGTAACTGTAGAACTGCCACACGAGACCGGGATCAACGCCAAATGCTTCTGGCGTCGCCAGGTCTGGTGCCCGGTGAGAGCGCCATAACCCGCCTACCCCACGGAAGGTAGGCAAGCCAGAAGCTGCGGAGAGTCCGGCGCCAAGTAGAGCGAGTATACGCTTTGATTTCTTGAGATGCTCACGGAAGCTGAGCAGGTCAGCCTCGGGGATTCCTGAAGCCATGGCGGAACGACAAAGCAATGAGGAAGGCACCGTAAATTTAGGTTGAGTCGGACTAGGGAAGAAGAAACAGAAGGAAAGAGCAGGACGGAGAGAATTGATGCTTCTTTTTCTGGCGAGCGGGAAGGCCCCACTTGCATGCAGAGCCGCAAGCTAGGGCGCTGGCCGGTGGTGGGTGGAAGTAACAAAACTGATCTTAGGGCGTCATCGAGTAACAGTCCAAGCGACGACAGCGCGGGTACTGTTACTTCCACTATGTCAGCGAAACAGCCACCGCCATCAAGACGCTTTATAAAGAGCAATTCTCGTAAACAACTAGCGAATGTGCTGCTAAAAAATTACCTAGGCTTATAATGATGGCTTCTGCAGTACTATATAGCGTTTTTTATTTGGTAAACTTGCGGCTTTAAGGGGTTGTTTGACGATGCTTGGTGTAGTGGAAATAATATTATCTGTGGCATTTCTAAACAGAATAAATGGTAACGTTACTATTTGGGACCGTTACCTCCACGCAAACCGCGTCATTACTACCACATCCAACCCAACTTTTAAGGGAAGCGCGGCTATTGGTCTGATGCATAATAACGCCAGCTCTTAGCAGCGTGGCTTTTAAGCTTGCATATGAATCAAACAGCTATTTAAAGGCATGTCTCACCGGAAAAATGTCTCACAACATACTCCATATTCTGAGAAAAGTAGTATGCATTCGCTGGTTAAGGAGCAGGAAGTTTCATTGCAGCATATGCTTGCTTCTTGTTCTCCTCTGTTACCTTCGAGACGTATTCTTTCAAATACGCTGGCACCTCTTTCACCATATTCGTTGAGCTCGGGACTGGCTCGCCAAAGGTTTGCCAGACAGGAACGATACCAGACCACACCTTCTCCCTCACCTCCATGCTTTCGATATCCCTCTTCTCGTCCGAAACCTCTCCGTCACGCACCTTGCCGCTGCCTGCAACAATCTTCACACGCAAGATAGTCGTGCTCTGAAGCTCGCCCGCATCAGGGGGAGTTCGTGTGTTGTCCCATCGATTAGCCACGACACCGTCAGTGATCAGCTTCATGGCATAGTTCTTCTCGTCCTCGTTCGTGACTGGCACGCCATATCCGTGTAGAACGACGGAGCGGTAGTTATAGCTGTGCGAGAATGGGGAGAGGGATAGAACGAGGCCGTCTACATGAGTTGCTGAGATGCAGAGGGGAAGGCCTTTATCTCCATTCCCCCGTGCCATATTCATCATACGTGCACTGACATATCCATGTATATAGCAGTCGAGAGGCTCATCGATACCGTTGGAGGGAAACTCGTAAGACCCCATTTGTCCGAGCATGGGGATGATGGTGGGAAAGGGATCATCGCCGCCAGGAACGAAAGCGACATCGAGGTGAGTTGCCGCATTGACGATGGAATGGATAGGACCAAGATCATATGTCACTGAGAACAGGTATCAACACTCTCGTCTCTATCCAACAGTGAGGGTTCCGGCTTACCTCGCTTCGCGTAGCGGTTGGCAGTGTTGCTAATCCCCTTGGGGTACACAAGTGTCTTGCCCATGATGGTATATAAGGTTCTGATGGCTTCTATGTGCTGGATTAGAAAGTAGTAAAGGTAGTTTTGGTCTTTTTTCCCTTCAGTAACTGGAAGAGGACTTTATATAGATCGAGGTAGGAGCGTGTTGAAGGAAGGGCGTCGCAACGACGATGATTCATCGGCAAAGTGCGAATCCTTCCTCCATATTCATGCATCCCAAAGTATCAATACACCATTTAGCCGTGCCCCGCCATGCGGGCTCGTACGCCGTAAACTATACCTTTCTCTGTCTGAGGAACCGTTTCTAAGTCATCCCAAACTCTCGGCCATCTCGTCGTTCAACTTTGGCATTTGAACCGAGCCTTATCGCCTTATCGCCTTTCCGCGGCATCTTATCTCCATCCTTAATTGAGATTAAGCCAATCAGCGATTTTTGATTTACAAATTTCCAGCAAAGAGCGCTAACTGTTTTAGACAGGTTTATCCGAGTTATCAGGTGACTCGGCAGTCCTAACCAATAGGAAGTGATGACTAATGTATAACCTTTAAGCTTTGTTCCGCTACGAAGTTAAAAAGCCTGTTAAACTTTAAAAAGCTACTCGCAAAACATTTCCCTTCTTCCAATATCAAATGATCAAAATATTATACCCTCCATGATAGCAAGCTTCTCTCAATACACGGCGAGTACATGAGACCGAAAAAGGAATACCCCCCAAAAAGTAGCCAATACCCTGTTATGCAGCAATTTGGCCTCCGTTCGTCAATGCTCATATCCTGATGACTACTTTGCCCATATGTTTGGCGTCATATAGGTAATCAAAGGCTGCCTGTGAGTCGTCGAAAGTAAAGACGGTGTTATCAAGAATGGGCTTTAAACTGATTTTCTTCTCTGACAAGAAATTAGATAGGTTCTGGTGGTCAGTTTTTGAGCCTACGGCGCCACCTCTGTTACAAAATATCGTTAGTACTATTTGAAACAACTATCATTCTCCTAAGGGGATAGTTACCTTATGGTTGCGGTCTTGGTTAAGAGAGGTGTGATTGTGTCAGGGAAGCTCTTGATGTCGAATCCTCCCAGGAATCCCACTACGGTAATAGACCCTCTCCGGGCGAGAGATGTAATGCTCTGAGCTATCGTTCTCGGTCCAACAGTCTCAATAACATAATCAACCCCACGGCCGTTGGTGAGGCGGAGTACTTCATTCTCCCAGTCAGGGTGGGTTCGATAGTTGATGGTGTCAACCACTCCCGGTTTTCCTAGGGCTCTCACTCGTTCTAGTTTCTCGTCGGATGAAGAGGTGATGATTGGGCGAATTCCGGCCGCAAGGCAGATGAGGAGGCCGAACATGCTTACACCTCCGGTGCCTGGGGAAGATGTTAATATATTGCTAACTAACGAGGTCAATATTGGTTAATCTTACCTTGGAGCAGAGCGGTGCCTGTGGAACGAGGCATTGACAATGCTCTCCATGCCGTGGTACCGGCGCAGGTGATACACGCTGCCTATGAAAGAGTTAACGTGTCAATATATCGACCTATTACTTTAGTAGTGAATTGTATACATACCTCCTCCCAAGATAAATATTTGGGCAAATGGAATAATACGTTCCTATCGAAAACCGCATACTGGCGCAACACTCCATCGATATGCCCTCCCAACGCAGCTTTATCTTCCTCGTCGTCGTTGATATTCTTCACGTCAAAGATAGGTGCAACATGGTCCCCAATCTCAAAGTCCTTAACATCAGACCCAACTGCAACAACTTCAGCTGCGCAGTCTGAGGCGGGGATACCTCTGTCAAGAAACTTGATAGGATATTTGCCGTGCAACATAGCAACATCTCTATAGTTTAGTGATACAGTATGGATCTGAACGAGAACTTCATGAGGCTTGAGGGAGGACGGGATCTTTTCTGTGATTGGTTCGAGGGTCTTGAGATCGCTGCCCTTGCTGCGTCGGTAGGCTCTGGAGGTCTTTGGAATGGCCATTGTATATGTATTGCTTCCGGGATTCGCTAGTGTATGATTAAAGGTTGATATTGTATTAAGTAGTTGGTTATGCTTATTATTGCTGATTGAATGATGGCTCGAAGTTTTCTACTCGATAGTTACCAGTCCCTTTATATCTTTGCGTTGGATTTATAATTATCAAGAGGACTTCGGCATGTCCGTTCAAGTCCGAGAGGCTGACCTTGCATAATGTATACATGCATGTTGGCGTCATCTAAGGATACATCGGCTTCTATGGACAGTTTTCACACCCTGCAAACCTCTGCTACGACGTAGGATCGTCTGCGCGCTTGCTCCTCTTGTTACACTGATTTCGTAGGATAGAAAATCTATGTATCTAAATACGCACCGTCTAAGTCGTACCTCGATTATGCAAGTCCCTTAGCACAAATACAGCATTCTCCTTCTACACATACTTCCGCCACAATCCATCTCATCGCCCAGCCGACCTCTCCTCCCAATTTCTGCATCACCCGCTGACTGGCCTTATTTACTTTTTCAACATCAGCAAACACCCATCCCTTCTCCTTTCCATCGACATCATTGTCCAGCTGCAGCTCATGGATAGCGTCATTGCCCATGCCCCGACGCATGATCTCCTTCGAGATCAGGGCTGCCAGGCCTCGTCCACGGTGCTCCGGCTCGACATGTAGAACGATCATGCTTCCGTCGAATGCGAGAAACGCCCAGCCAATAGGCATTTCTTCGGCCATGTCTAACCCGTTCCCATTGATGTGAGCAGCAGGGGTTTCACTCGGACTTTCCACAGCAGCGCCCGCCTTCATGTCGTCATGATACAGGGCTACGCTAACAGGGAATGACGCCCGAGTGCGCTGTATCTGCGTACGACTTAGCACCAGTCCAAATTGATGATCCTGGATACCATGGCGGCCCTTGCTGTCATGGAATCGGTACCCCAGTGGTGGCTCATTTTTACCATGGTCATAATGGGTTCGGTCAAACAGGTACTTCATGCATTTATCGACACGGAAGACGTGAAAGAAAGGCTTCTGGCTTGAACCGTCTAGGTCCCTAGGCCCTAATTGGCCCAACAGCTCAGCCAGGCCATCATTTATCGTTCCCATCAGTAGGCCTGTCGGAGGAGGGGCAGGGAGCTTCTTAACTCCGTTTGGCTGGTGGACGATGTTTTTCTCCAGGGCCCCGGGCGTCGATAGGAGTGACGGCAGCAATTTTGAGCGAACATATGCAAGCAGACCCCTGAGCTGCTCTCGGGCCGCTTTACGCGTCTCTTCATCGGCTGTTAGAATGGTCTCTATCGTGTCTCCAACCATCTTGTTGCGCCCGTCTGCCTCCAGGCTTGAGTATGCCCACATCTGCGTCTCAGGGTAGCGGAAGACGTCTACATATGCCACTACCCATGGCTCCTTCAGTCGACTCCCATCCTTTGCAGCGTTTGATCCCGATTCTGGGGAAAAGGAAGCCAGAACGCACGCCTCTGCAGACCGCGGGAGGATGCCGAAGGATTGAATGACTCGCAGCAAAGGGCCTGAGTGTGGCAAATGGCGCTGTAGGTGAGGTACAAGCGTGCGAGTTGGGTCAGGATGGGCGTGTATCGAGGCCGCCATCGCAACGTTCCTGGCTTTGAATTGATGAAGAAGGCGATATGACGAGGAGAAAAACGAAGAGACAATGGAATAAAGGATTTGTGTTATATAAATCCTTCCCTACAACTGGACCAAACCCCTTGTGTACCAATCTCCGTTATCCGTATAGGTAGTTGACTCACCGGTTACCTGGCCATCAAACCCTCCATGCATGCACCGCTGCACAAAAGATCAACATCTTCCATATTGCCCACCGTGAGGTTAGCTGCATAGACCTCTGTTTACTGCCAGAATTGATATTCAATGTCTCAATCATAGACTGTCAACATCAAAAGGTGTAGAACACTTGAAGCTCAGTTTAAAAAAAAGAAAGGTTAAAATAAGAAATTACTAATTAGCTGATAGTTATGGAGTTGATATCTGGTCACGTTACTATGTGTCAGGTTAAACCAATAAAAAGACGTTAAAATGGAATTTAAAGCTCTATTTTGTTTTAAAAGCAACTCCTATCTTGTTGCGTTGCGCAGCTTTTATCTGATCCTGGACGAAGGATAAAGTCGAAGCAGTCTGGCAACCAACTTCTTTCCAGCACACGGCCAGCAGGTATCTTAGGCCCATTATGTCGACCGGGACTCAATTATGGAGGCATTGTTCTCGAAATATACTCTCGTTACAAGCTAGAGTTCCCCGAAGCAGCGTTATCACAGCTGCACTACGAAGAAGATACAGCAGCATCTCCGCCGCAGAGCTCCAGTTCGGTCAACCATTGCACGAAACGCACCCTCACCTATTAAAAGCCGGAGAATGTCAGTTGCGCCTCGGATTAGCTGAGAATCACTATTCCGTGAACTCTTGTTAGCATATACTTACTCCTGGTTGACGAGTGTATAGTGACACCCGGCATTACCGCGCTCGAATATGATCACCGCCGCTCAAAACTTGCCTCCAAACTACCCAAGAACGCCGTCGCCATCGTTCGCGCTGCGGAGTTGAAGTATAAATCGAAGAATGTGTTTTACAAGTACCATCAAGATACGGATTTCTTTTATTTGACTGGTACGGAAGCCTGTTGAAATCAACGTTTGACAAGTCATGTTGACAGCGATGGTTTAGGATTTAATGAGCCTGGAGCTCTAGCTATTATAGGTGAGTACAGGATAGAGGAGGGAGTGAATTGGTTAGCAGACCAACCGGGTACTGATATCTGCGAGGATAGCAAATACCGGCCAACCAGGCGAACATACCTTCTACCTCTACGTTCGGGAAAAGGACACACGAGCAGAGCTATGGGAGGGAGCAAGGTCAGGGACACAGGCAGCCATGGATGTATTCAATGCAGATGAGGTATACACCCCGCCCAGAATGCCTCTAGACAAACGGACTGGCTAACATCCCTCCAGTCCGGCAACATCGATCATCTTCGAGACTACCTACCAGATATCCTATCCGGCGCATCGGAGATATACACTGATATCAGTGCCGGAAAAGGACGTTCAGCCTTCTCCCGCTTGCTATCCAGCTTCACAGATTCTTCTAGTTCGACTGGTGATGCAAGAGATCAAGCCATGGAGAAGATCAGACCGTTGGCTCCGATAGTTAACGAACTCCGCGTATTCAAGAGTGATGCTGAGATTGCCAATATGAGACATGCAGGACGTGTGACTGGTCGAGCATTTACTGAATCCATGCGCCATGGTTTTGGCACTGAGAGCGAGCTTGATGCCTTTTTGGAGTATCAGTTCCGTCGTCAGGGAGGCGATGGGACAGCGTTCGTGCCTGTTGTTGCTGGCGGATCGAACGCGCTAAGTATACATTATGTTAGGAATGATAATGTTTTACGGTATGTGTCTTGAGTGCGCGTGTCAGGAGGTATGCTGACTTTGAATGTAGTGACGGGGAATTGGTTCTGGTTGATGGCGGTGCAGTGAGTGTTATGCACATATTTTTTCTGGTCTATCTATGAACTAGTACTGACCCCATGCAGCAATATGCAGGATACATCTCGGACGTGACGAGAGTATGGCCGGTGAACGGCAAGTTCACTCCCGCGCAAAAGGAACTGTACACTGCCGTCTTGAATGTACAGCGGTCATGCATATCTCTGTGTCGCGAGTCGGCCGGCCTATCGCTCGACAAGCTCCATGATATAGCTGAGCGAAGTCTCCGAGAACAGCTCAGCTCCATCGGCCTTAATACCTCTGGCGGCGTAGGATGTACTCTTCCGCTTTGTACTTGAATAACTACTAACATACGACTGCAGGCCATGCAAACGCTGTTCCCTCACCATGTAGGCCACCATATCGGTCTCAGCGTGCACGACTGTGGTGGCTACTCAAGACGAGAAATGCTGCGCAAAGGCCAGTGTATCACCATCGAACCGTGAGTTCTCTTCTTGCTAAAAACATATTGGATAGACTGGTGAATTGCTAACGGGGAGTTGTAGGGGCGTCTACGTACCGAACGATGACCGCTGGCCCGAGAAGTTCCGTGGCGTCGGCATTAGGATAGAGGATAGTATATGCGTGGGAGACGACAACCCCATCGTCCTGTCTCCTGAGGCTGTCAAAGAGGTATGACTTGGTATTCGCGGCTTCTGCGAACGCATCAACTAACGCTCCCTTGTCTATAGATTGACGACATCGAGGCTCTGAGATAGAATAGAGCGTAACAGGATCGTGGCATGTTTCTTATATGTATTATTAACATGACGACTCTCGCTGTACCTGTACTTATATATACACCATACAACCAAGGCCAGCCAACTCAAAAATAATTAGAGAGCAATCTGTAAATCTATAAATAACTACCACATTCCCTCTTTTATCGCTAGAAATAACTCCATGAAGAAAAAAAAAATAAAAGAAAAAAAAAAGAAACTAGACCAGGCGGGATTTGAACCCACGACCTCCGCATAACAAAATGGAGTTAGTCATATCACTTCGAGGAAACGATATAAGAACGGCACGCTAACCACTGCGTCACTGGTCTGTCTAAGTGGGCAGTTGGCCTCCCGATCCTTGTAACCTTAGGTCGCCTACTTGGCACTTCCCTCACCTGTTCCCTTGCCGTTTAGGACCTACCAGGAGCCCGGCGGCCTTCTACAGTACAACAGAGTATTTAAGAGTGGCGGCGACCACAGTAAGGTGGCTCGCAAGCGCGTATGATATACTACTGGTCTGTTTGATAGGGCACTGGTGTACCACTGGCTGTTTCATACATAATTAGCCTCAGCCCGCCCACTAGTTAAAGAGTTACCTCGGATGTCCATCGATGTAACCAATGTTATGCATAGATAGTTGATACATTTTTATATGTACTCCAATGGAGCTCAACGATGCGATATAGCTGTTCTAGAGATTATTTACTCTTCTATCCTTGATATATTTACTTATATCCAAGTTATCCCCTTGGTTGTCTGCTGTAGAGCGCGCCTCTTGCCTAGGGTTTAGGGTTTGTCGCGAGGGATGACTGCTTACTCAGCAAGAAAAAAATAACGTGACCCGACTTTGTTTAGAGCAAAACAAGACGAAGAAGACGAGGACGAACGACGTCGACATCGCCAACCACCACAGCCAGCTCCGTCGTCTCAAGGCACAGCGATGACTGCGTCCTTCTGACGGGCTCCAGAGAGCGTCCTCCGCCTCCTCTTTCGTTCTCTCCTTTTCCCCGTTTGGTTTTTGTCATTCCTACGTCCTTCTTTCACCCAAATCACCGTGTCTCCATCGCGTGTCGTCCTGAGGCTCTTTTCTACAGCTTCAGCAGAACGAAAGGATACTAACAACAAGCCCTCGCCGTTCACTCTAATACTCGGTACTCCTCACTCGCATGACCCATATCGTTATTCATGGCCACTTTATTCGTACCATCGCCACACGCGTTGAATGCAATGACTACCAGAAGAGCGCCCCTAGCAAACGTCCCCAATGCTACAAACTCCCCTCACCGAGCCGTCTCCACGGCCACGGCCGCTACCATGAAGCGTACTCGCCCATCGGGTCTGCCATGGGACTCTACCGCTGCTCCTCCACCGTTGAAGAAACAGTTGCTTGACACTTCTGAAAATGTCGACGCGCGATTCTCTCAGCGGTCTTTGAACCAACCACAGCCCCAGGCGGGAGAGTCGAAGATATTCACTCGACGGACTAATAACCAACCCACGGCGTTTGAGAAGAAGCTGGCTGCAGCGAGGGATAAGCCGAAACAGCAGCAGGGCGTGGTTAAAGTGAACAGGAACCTCAAATACTGTCCGGAATCGATAGAGAGCGTTCGCCAATGGCAGAAGCACTATCGAAAAGTCTTCCCGTCCTATGTCTTTTACTTTGAGAGCATTCCTGAAGATATTAGGAAGAAGTATGTCAGGCAGATTATATCTCTCGGCGCTGTAAGTTGCCTGATGAACCGCTTCTGCTTCAATCTACCCTCTACTGACCTGTGCCTTTAGACTGAAGAAAAGTTCTTTTCTCGAGTAGTTACCCATGTTGTTACCTCTCGGTCTATTCCCCCCGAAGTCGAAACTGAAAGGCATACTGAGACTACCCAGGTTGTTTCTGTCGAAAATAATGTATCAGGCTCGGTCCAGACAGTGAACCCATCGATGTTGGAGAGGGGTGTGGATGGCCAACTGGGCAAGACGCGATCGAGGACAGGGCTTGGGATGATCGAACCGGACAATAAAAGAGGCGTGGGCGGTGGCAGTGGGGATCTCCTTTACCGCGCCCGTCAGATGAACATGAAGATATGGCCCCTGGACAAGCTTCAGCGTATCATCTTCACCATGAATGACAAGGAGCTAGCCCATATTCTCCAGCCCATGCGCAATGGCAGTGCAGCGGCGAAGAACAAGACCGAGGATGATCTCTCCCTGGCTCTTCAGCATGAGAAACTCCACGCCCCTGCCGAGTCTGATTCCTTAACGCTAAACAAAGGTCTTGTTCCTTTCAAGGGTCCTTACCTGTATATCTGGGACTACGATCGGGAAACACGCCCTGTGGTTGTTCGAGAGTATCCCAAGGTCAGCAGGAAACAAGACGGCGCATGGCCACAGTTCCGCGGTGTAGAGATAGGGAAATGTCCCTTCGTCGAGACCCCGGGCAGCAGAAAAGCAGACAAGGATAAGGACAAGCAAAAGCAACAACAGGCAAAAACTAATAATACCCAAACCACCTTAGTAACAAAATCAATGGCGCCTCCTGCCAGAGGGCCAAGCAAATTAATCAACCAACAACAACAACAACAACCTACTACTACCGCCACCAACCAAGACGATACCGAGTCCGCACTTGAAGACTCCGCAGGCAGGCCGTTTGAGCCCATGGAGACTGCTGCTGCCACTACCACTACCACCAATATAGGGCCAAGGCCAGTCTCTAAGGGCTCCATCTCAGTTTCTTCATTACCCTTCAAATTTGGAGGTGAAATTGCTGCTTCCGGAATCCAGCCATCAAATATCACATCCGCCATCCGCTCCCAGATGATATCTTCAACAGCAGCCGCGCAGGGCGCGAAAGCTGGCACCAGCAAGGAAGTACACGAGCTCAAACGCAAGGTCCTAGAGAAAAGCAGCGGAATTATCTCTACCACGATCTCCTCATGTCACAGAGCTGATGCAGCAGCCGTTCCCCAGTCTCAGCCTGTTAGGATGCCAATTGCCCGCGCAGCTAAACTTAAAGCTCAGGCGAATGACGACGGCACCGTGCAGCTCACAGAACGGAACAGACGAGCCAGTGAAGCCGCTCCCAAGAAACAGAGTGGGCTACGAAAACAGCAGGCCAGCAACAAGAAGCGTGACTCTAAGCCAGGCTACTGTGAGAACTGCAGAGAGAAATTTGAGGATTACGAAGATGTATGCTCACTATCAATTCCCTATTTCATACAATTCTCAAGCTAACCAAAATCACAGCACATTGATACTAGGAAACACCGCAAGTTTGCTTCGAATGTCGTAAACTTCTTTGAAATAGATGCATTCATTGTTGGCCTGAATAGTGAAGGCTTTCGTCGGTATCAATAGCAGCATACCTACAAATAGGCTTGTGTTTGTTTTGCCTTGGTTTGCACGGCTTTCGAAATATTTGTATTTATAGCGAAGCGACTTCAGCGTAAATCCTCAGAACACACTACCCTGTGCTTGCGAAGTAATTAATATACCACAGATACCAGTCGAGCTTCTAATCTTCATCTCCCATCTACCCCTTAACATCCATTGAGTTCAATTTGTCTGCCTTCCCCATTGCCAAGTCATGTCACATGATTCATGGTCTCGTGATCAATTCTGGTCCAATCACATGCGTCTCTCGCTCGAGCGACCGAACTAGCTGGAGAAAAACCGAACTAACGACTTCCATATTCTCTTCTCTACGCTGCATAAACCATCACGTACCAAATATATAAGAGCTGATTTTTTCCCCCCTGAGACAAGAGGAGAGAAAGAAAAAGTTTCAATCTGATGGAATGGGCTTATCTCGTTTAATTTCACACAACGGGTTATTTTTCTATAATTGGTTGACATAACTATACCCTGCACTGCATAACTAGTTATACTAGGTCGTAACTAGATAACCCCGAGCCGTGTAAACAAATATATACCCTGCTTACCCCTTTGTTTCTTACGATACCTTACTGTCCCTCAGCCCCCACCCTCTACCACCCATGGCATCTCGACTTTGCTCTCGCCTGGCATATATCCGGCCATCCCCTATTGGCATCCGTCTGGGTGGCGTCACTCGGCCTACTGCAGCTACAACGTCACTGTCCAACCTCTTTCCACGTGCAGCGAACCCGGATGTTACACGACAGCAAGAACGATGTAGTTCGAACTCTCCCATGGCACCAGCACCAAGTCATGCCCGGAAGAAAGTGACCATCAAGTCATTGGAGGCTCTGTATCGAAAGGGGGAACCGATTACCATGATGACGGCGCATGACTTCCCTAGCGCTTATGTATGTGAAGCTGCGGGTATGGAGATGATTCTGATCGGAGATAGTCTGGCCATGGTTGCTCTGGGGATGAACGATACAAGCGAGGTGACGCTTGAGGAGATGATTGTGCATTGTCGAAGTGTCTCCAGAGCAGCGGCGTCTGCTTTTGTGGTATGTATATGTGTACCCATAACCTCCCATTTTTGCCAATTGTATGTCTGGCTGTTGAAATGGCTGATGGTATAATAGGTTGGTGATATGCCAATGGGTTCGTACGAGGTTTCTGAAGAACAAGCTGTCCAGACTGCTATCAGACTGGTAAAAGAGGGTCGTGTCCAAGGCATCAAGATCGAAGGGGGCCAGGAAATCACCCCCACCATCAGACGTATCGTCAAGGCTGGAATCCCCGTCGTTGCCCACGTTGGCTTAACTCCCCAGCGACAAAACGCTCTCGGAGGGTTCAGGGTTCAAGGCAAATCCATGGCTACAGCAGTGAAGGTTTATCAAGATGCTCTGGCCGTCCAGGAGGCTGGTGCATTTATGACGGTGGTTGAAGCAGTGCCCGCTGAGATTGCTGCTATTATCACGAAGAAGCTGCGTATCCCAACCATTGGTATTGGGGCCGGTAACGGATGCTCGGGCCAGGTACTGGTACAAATCGATATGTTGGGCAACTATCCTCCCGGAAGATTCTTGCCGAAATTTGTGAAGAAGTATGGTGACGTGTGGTCTGAGAGCTTGAGGGCTATCGAACAGTATAAGAATGAAGTCAAAAGCCGGGAATACCCATCACCAGAATATTCGTACCCGACCACACAGGAAGTCGTTGAGGAATTCGAGAAGGTAGTTGGAGAGAAACAGTGAGAGGGGGGAAAGACCTGTGGTCCCCTCTGAAAATATCACGTTGGCATGCATATATTTCATCCTTTACTGGAGCTTGGAGGTTAATGTCTTGCTATATTGTTATGCGGAGCCCAGGCCGTACATACACATACCTTTAGAAAGCATTCATGTAAGTAATAGCAGATAGTGAAAGTATACAACACATACAGACAATCGTTCTTCTTGCACTGGTCGGGCATTAAAATCACCATCCCCATCCCTCACCCTTAAGCTTTCGCCCTTTACTAGGAACATCTCATCCAAATGCCGGCGTCATGGAGTAAGATATAATCAACTGGTCATCTGACTTGAAACACTGTTTCAGTCAAAAGAAATCGGTCAGATAGCTTGAACATGGATGGAAAATGCCAAAGTAGTAGGACATACCCTCCACAAACCACCAATCCCCTCGTCCAAGCCAGGAGCAAAGACACTATTCACATAACAAAACACGGAATCTGTGTCCTTGCAGCCTAGCTTCTTCCTCAAGAAGCGAACGATGGTCTCGAACTTCTGGGAAGCACTCACTTTGAACACCTTGCTCTGAAGAAGGGGGGCAGATGGCATAGGCAGGAATCGAACAGTAACTATCTCATCGGGGATGGGTCAGTAAACGTAGGGATAAAGTACCAGCTAGATGCATTACCCTTTCTGCCATCTAGTGCGTCTATCTCTGCCAAAGCCTGACGACTTGTCTTTGGAAGCACCGGCAGTACCATGGAGGTGGACATGGGTAAGGTAGCTGGTTCTCCGGTGTCGGGTATGGGAGCCGTCGACCCTCTTCTGCCACTATCTTCCATACTAGATCTGCTCTGGCTAGTTTTTTCGTTGGATATATTCAGTCCTTCGGTGGTGATATGCTTTGAGGTCCGTCGTGAGGAGCCTGGAGAGGGTGACCCCAGTGGAGCCTGTTGTGACATCGCAGCTTTCTATTGAAACACTTTCGGGAATACACCTCGGGATGATCAACTAGTAACCAAACAAAAAGACTAGTTAAATAACTCGCTAGCTTGGAGAATCGCCTTTATAAGTAGGGTGTTTAAGTACTTCCCGTATCTCTGTCTGAAGAGGGTGAGACGGTTTTTATTAGGAATCCTTGAATCGTATATGGCGGAGGTTGCTGAGTAAGCTGGTCTTGGCGAACAATATATCGGATTATAATACGGAGTAAGAGTATTTGAATCGCTCTGCTAAGATACTACTAGTTTTTTAGATTAAAATATAAATATCTATAAATTAAGAGAGTTTAATAATATTTACTAAAACTAGCTTACCTAGCAATCTTTGCTATATGATTCAAAGGGTTCCTTATATATCGAACTATGAAGTCACGTTTTTACTCGGGTATTTCTGTGTTAATAAGCAACACTCCTTATCTAACTAAGGAAAGCTTGTTTCAGCATTGCGCCTTTCTATTGGATGACGGAGCGGGAACAGCGAGCGCGTTGGAGCCTATTTTTAAGTGCCGACAAAATTTGCCCCTTCCTTTCGTTTGTCAAACTCTTCATAAGGAAGCGAAGAGTTACGTAGGCACATACATAGGCAGGTATCAAGGCGAAGACGATACTTGCTAGTGGCAGTGATGCCTGATCATAGCCTGTCTCTTACGGTTTTCCTCTTGGGCCGAGAAGCTGCGGCATTTACTGGCGACTCCCGTTACCGAACATGATGAATAGGTAGTTATTCTTCCTCCTGTTTTCTTCTCCTCTTCCTCTCCCATCCTCCTCTTCCATCTTTCCCTTCACTTAACTACCTACCTACCTACCAACCGCAATATCCCAAGACACAAAATGTCTAGTCTTTTACTCTGAATGGCTGGTCCTCGATCTATCTCCTCGATCCCAGGCACGCTGGCTGGCCTGCAACCCTCTCGCGAGTTTGCAAACGCAACTCATCCATCATAACTACCCTGTAGGCCAATGGGCCTGAAAGCCTGAGCAACTGCAGTGTATCGGATCCAACATCCAGCAGCGATTATTTTGGTCGGCCACAATGAAATACCCCAGGCCTGTCTTTCGATGTGAGATTGGGGGCGGAGACGTAGCGGGTGGCAATTGAAAGGGATGCAAAGGTTGATGGTGATGGTGCCGCTACAACTAGGTACTGAAGATACCTCCGGGTACAAGATCAAGCCGAACCCGAGACTGGTGGACCGCTGGCTCGATGTGACAGTCCGGGTGGCCGGGTCGGCCCCAACGTTTCTGTTCATCGTCGCTGGCCTGTTGACGTGGGCCTTGATGAGCATTATTCGTTTCGGCAACTCGGATGTCTGGATTGCTGCCATCTCTGACGTCCAAGCTATTCTATGCTATGTGTTTGATTCAGTCCTTATGCGCCAGCTGCTTCGCGAGTACTCCGAGCAGCGCGAAGCCATAGCCAAAATTCAGTCCTGGTGCAACAGTCATCAACGAATGATTGCCAGTGTCAAGAACAAGCTGGGAGCAGAAGGGATTCGTCGTGTCTCCGAGAAGTGTAATAATGAGCCCCTCGAGCCGCTGGACCATGGACTGCGCACGCACGGTCTCTTTGCCCGCTGCATCATCGTGTCGGCCAAGGCGTTCGGACATGTTGCCAGCGGCGGTCTCTACTAGGTTTGCATCTTCATCTGGCTGGGCTTCGGCCCGCATTGCAACTGGTCGAACCGATGACTACTCTACACCAACGACGTGACATCGGCGCTGATGGTACTGGTCTTTGCGTTCCTGGCCTGCCTGCGCGAATGCTATGCCGACTATTCGAACACCTGCCTGGACGCCACCTTCAGACTCGATTCGACTCTCGAGAAGGAGTTTCGTCGCCTCAGCGGTGATGACCTGCCGAACCAGACGGAGGTCATGTTGCCTCCCAAGGAGAACTTCCTGCAGGTGGTGATCTTTACTACGCCGACATCATCGGCACCCTGGTCGGCATGATCTTCCTCGTGCTGGTGATAATTGCCTGGGCAGCAGTCGGACCCGTCTTTCATTTCAACAGTAACTGGTGGCTGCTCATCGGCATGTATGCAGGGCTGGTTGGTCTGTTCGACAGCTTCGTCCTCCGCAACATCCAAGGCAAAGTGCACCAGTACATCAACCGTCAAATTCGTATTGTGGAGAAGGCAGACTTATTGTTTGTTAGCAGGAAGATCGTGCCGGATCCAAGAGGGTAAGATCTAGTGGGCAACATACTGAACTTATCCTAGGGATTTTTTGTGTCTGTGGTTGGGGGTGGGGGGTGTTAGTAAAAGAGGGAAGAACCTTACAGGGGATAGCTTCCAGCATATAACTGGCTAATTCTGGAGGAGTAGTTAAGCACCATGGCCTATAATTTAGGTAAGTACATACCTAGCTAAACAATAGATATTATCAGCATCGTCAACATGTTATCTCCTATAGCTACCCTTACCTAATCTCCCCTCTCTTTTTATGTGGAGGACTCAGCCTGCACTTTTCATCTATAGTTGAAACCTCGAGCAGCAAAGCGCCCACGATTACAAAGTCGATCGCCATCCCCGTCGGGGTCTGATTCTGACACCGCTCGCTTGAGTTCTGCTGTGCGTCGTTGCAAGGACAGAGATGGCAGCCGCTGTGTTATAACGAAGGCCTTCAACCCAATCGATGTCGCGCACATTTATCCTTATTCCATGCACAACACCACACAACGAACAACCATCGACGGATTCTGGCGTCTCTTGTCCTTTTTCTGGACGGAGGAGCGTGTCAACTCGTGGTTTGACTCTGTCTTTCCAAGAGAAACAGAGGTCGTGGAAAACCTTTTATGCCTCGCGCCGCAAATGCATAGATACCATGGCGCCGCACTTTTTGCCTTGAAACCGATCAGTTTGACTGAAGGCAAGGAGCGTTTGACAGTCAAGTTCTACTGGCTCACGAGCCACCAAAATTCCGATTCAGTTGACACATCTACAGCCCCAACTCTGCCATCCAACCTCACCAGGCGAGGCGACATGCATAAGGCATGGAATGTCGTTACGGAAAAGAAGATTGCCTCGGGGGATGAGATCGTCTTCGAGACAAGCGACCCAGAGAAACTACCGTTGCCCGACTAGAACATCCTGGACATGCAATGGGCCTTGCAGCGTGTTGTAGCATTAAGCGGCGCCGCCGATATGCTCCTGGACGACTCCGAAGACGATGACAGCGACGATGGTGGTATGGCGCTGGATGAAAGGACAGTTTATTATGGCGAGGAGGTATGGGAGAGAGGATTGTGCGGCGCTTCGTGACACTGGTTTAAACCCCCCTGATTTCAAGCATTTGTATGATACCAAGCAACGGCTGATTGCCTTTTTCTTACTCCTTTCTACTTTAAGAAACTGAGATGCGGCAAATAGATTTACTTGTTTAATACGTTATACACCTATCAAGTGCATAATTACTCCGTAAACCTTTAACACACCCCAAGCTGGGCCAAGGACCAGCCACGAACTAAATAAACCCTGCTCGGCCTCCGGACCGAAAGTGAGTCAAGATAAAAAGAAAATATATTGGCGTAAATCACCGCTGGCTGAGCGATAAGGATGTGATGAAGCCTCTTGCTAAGCGTTCGTACGCCATCTTTGTGTAGAGTAACTAGGAGAATAGATTACTCGATACTACACAGCGCAGCTTTTATGTAGTTGAAGTTGATGGAAAGTGACAAAAAGCGCGTCTTTGATGTAATAAAAATGCCAAGGAATTTACGTTAATAAGCAATCGTTACTAAGCCGATGTCTTGGCTTCACAAAACACAAAGAGGAAAAAGCAACAACCACAACATTACACATACTCCATACAGAATTACACGATAAGGCATGCAACAGGGTACCCGTTTGTCCAACTCATGGACCGAAGCGGATGGCAGGCTGGGCTGATTCAACCAGCAAGTGATGTGGGCTGTGCTTCTAGAAGCATTCGAGGAAGCTAACATAGCACGGGCCGAGGTCCTATCTGTTTCGTACACCGTTTCAATTCTTGTCTGACAAAACGTCATGGATCAATAAATATAGGCAACGCGCAGTTGAAGGCTCTTTGCTGGGGCCAGATAAATCCTTATTTTCGAGAGTTCGATGGTGCTGCATACTTGCATACCTTAGGCTGCCTCCATATCGCGAAACGCAGGATGAGATCTTCGAGCCCTGCGTGGCAGAAATTCTCCTAGGCTATTTTTACCGACGAGCTTTATTCGCTGTGTCATATTATCTATTTCTCGTCAGCTACTCCGTACATGAGCTGGCACGAATAAGAAAGGAATAATTGAATATTTGGCTACGCCGCCGGGTGCCCAATGTCTTCGAGCTGAGACCAGCCACGAGCGCCGGTGACACGCACGCACGCACGCTAGTTACTGTCAATACAAGGTCAACTTCAAATTCAACGGACACTCCGCGAGCGCTCGACCTGGGACTGGAAAGCAGCCTTTCCTTGGGGTGACACAAATCCAAGGTCACCGCCCAGCGGTGTGCGGAATTAAAGAGCAACCCTCGATCCCACTGCAAAGCTTGTCCATGTGCTACCAAGATGCCCGTCAAAAAAAGGCTATATTTGTTGAATACGAGCGAAAGGAAGGTCATGGATGCCACGAGGGAAAACGTAGGGCCTTGACTCCACAGGGACGCGGGTTAGGCGGGAAGATCCAATCCATTCTTGATCTCATCAGAAGTGCGAGCCTTTTATTTTACTGGCTCTTGAAGGATGCCGAGTGCGACCCATCTGGTTTCTGTACATACTGCCAGGGACGGAGTGTATCGAGAGTGAACAGAGTACATACGATCCATGATGCGAGATGATTGTCGTGCACGTACTCGGTACTCCATGAGAAGGTAGATATTCTCGAAGACGGTTTAGTAACTAAACATCCATTGTTGGCTAAAGTATTCTTTTAAATGAGCGGTTTAACTGGCTAAACTAACTTACGGCTATTTCGCCGGCCGGCCGAGATTTAGCCGGCCACACTCTCTCTGACAGGCAGCAGCTCACTTTTCTATCTCCCATCGCCTGTCTAGATAACTGCCATTTATTCGGACAAAGGAGATAGGAGATGAGTTAGCTAGCTTCTAACTATAGATGAGGCCGGGACCGTTCTCGAAAAGCGTGGTGTCCTCTTTTGGTACGCTTGCTTGCGCCTCATCTCCATAGAGCAAGTTGTAACGAGGTCTTGCGATGGGCTCTTCCAAAACCAGCCATCGCGGTTGCATACGCAGGGCTCCAGGCGAATTAACGAGTTGCTTAACTCGTTATCACAGCGGAAGATTATGCCTGTGCATGAGGAACGGCGGCGACTTGCACATCCTTGGCCAGCATTGACTGGGCCAGAAATCTTCATTATCCCGGAGGAACTGCCTTTTCTATAATGAACGCACTCCCTGGCGCTTAGTTATGATCAATATATAATGAGGCCATATTTTAAACTCCTCTTGGTCACTGAACCCAGCCCGTTTGCGGTCAACCCTTGCGCCTGGTAGCGAGCGAACTTACCGGCCAAAGTCGCATTTCTCAGCCTTGCCCCGGGTCAAGCTAGTTAACTATGTATCGATACTCAACTGGCCAAGCAGCCTGAGAGGATCCCACTACAAGAGCCATCTTTCTTCCGTACAGCTTTACAAAGAGCAGCGGTTCGAGGTATCCCTACCGCCATGTGAGGCTACCATAAGACCATGGCTACCTTAGCACATGTAACCTGCATAATTTAGTGTTGACATGGACCGCATGAAGACGACGGCTTGCAAGGGTTCATGATCCTAGCACCGCCAGTCACTCCCTGTCCATTGACATGCACAATTCAGCTGCATGAATACGGTGACACACTCAAAACACGCCCGTCCCACTGTGTATCGGCTCCTACAGCCTCGTGGGGCCCTACGGTTCAACCCCGTCCATTGTCCAGTTTCTTTCTTATTAAAATGACACTCCTGCTTGCCAACATCTCGATAGAGAAAATATTGGGCGGTTTAGCTGCTGAGCCTATTCGTCTGTCCAGGCTCCTTGTTTCCTCGCCGGCTGCTCAGGTTGATTAAGAAGACTTGTTTTGCAGCAGTATTAGCTGGTCTGGTGGTCATTACTGCGGCCCTCCTTGCTCGCGATGGCAGATCTGTCGAATATTCCCATTGCCCCCAACCCAAATGGCGGGCCGTCCAATTTTGTCAACGCGCCATCGCTTGAGTCGACGGTCCTGTCGCTGGGTCTAGCGCTTATATGTATTAGCATGGCATGTCTAACGTTACGGCTGCTTTCTAACTATCAGCGAACGAACAAGTTTCGACTGGATGACTGTATGTGCATGAAGAAAGATGTTTTGGTCCATGGCGAGGGGCCCAGCCTCGTCGGTCCGGTGCTGCTGCTAACACGATGCCATGTCAGATCTATGTATATTTGGAGAGTTGGCTGGTATTGGATTCTGGGGCATAGTTTATTCGGGTATGTGAATTTATTTTGAACATTCGTCGTTCGGTTTTCCTTGAAAGAACCCCGACTGAGGATGGACCAGTTGCTCGAGATGGCAATGCCAAACATTCATGGGATGCACCGATGAGCATAGTCACGCCATCGTTCATCAAGGTCAGTCCACTGCGCCCGCTGAGTCCGCCACTGACGGACTGAATGCATTAGCGATTCAAATCTAACTGCCGCAGAGACATTTTGCATCGCAAATGCTTAGCTATCCAGCGCTGTGCGCAACCAAGGCTGCTATCTTGGCTCTTTATATCCGCATATTCGACAACTCGCGATGGATGCGTCGAACATGCTATGTCCTCATGGTCCTGCTCTTCCTGGCATATGGAGTCAACATCGTTCTAGTGATTGTGTACTGCCTCCCGCGAAAAGGTGCCCCCTGGGATACCACCGTGCTGGATAGGTGTGGTGATCCAGGAATTCTTGCAATATCCTTCGGCGCCTTTTCGGTCTTGTCAAACATAATCCTGTTTGTCTTGCCGTTCCCGATTATCCTAAAGCAGATTCTCTGCCCCATGAAGATGATTGGCCTAACGGGCGTATACTTGGTCGGAATATCGTAAGTTCAGTAATAGCCACAAGCTATTCCGGTGACCTCAACTAACTGACAATCGGTAGGACGATTGTCACCAGCATAATGGCCCTTCGCTACCGAGTCAAGACGTTCCAGGGCGAAGATCAACTTTGGAATGGCTTCACCGTCACCATCACAACGTAGGATTCGCCCCGAATATATCTTTTGGTAAATAATGAGTCTCGGAACGCTAACAGCACGCTAGGTTCGCTGAAATATTTGGCACAGTCTGTGTCAGCTGTGCTCCCGCCCTGTACGCCTTCTCGATGGACTTTGTTCAGAAGAGCGACCTATATCCAAGCCGTCGACCGAGACCGTTGTCTTCCAGGACAAGGACAAAAACAGACAACTCCTCTGCGGACGGAAACAAGTTTGACTCCATGTCTAACTTGAAGGTCCACCATGACTGGTCGGATAAGTGCACGATGAGCCACGGCGGGCGGCCAGGCCCGCTGACGAGGATATACTCCACTGTCAACCCGTCGTCGAACTACATCCCGATGGCAAACTGCATATCCAAATCAACACGCATCGACCAGTCATCGACGATACTCGATCCCAACGCGAGCCCACACTTGGAGAGCTGGCCGGAAAAGATGTGATCGACCAACATAACTAATAATTAGTCAAATACCTCTCTGGTTAGAAGGCGTTCTTTTTTTTTCCATGGGAAAAGGCTGGGTAAAGGGGTATCAGGCGTTAGGATGGATGTATATGACAACTTGTATGTATATAACTAGCTGGGTTCCAGCAGCGGAGCGTTTTAATTAAAGCCTCTCTCAGAGCACTTGTGGATTCACGATGAGCTAGTTAACTCCATCACGGACTAGACCACGAAGCAGCCGCCCCTCCCCGCAGGCCCAGGTAACACTCCCTATGACGTCGAGCTATCTAACTAGTCAACGATCCCGATCTTCGACTTTGCCAACCTGCTTTTTGATAACTTTTTCTCTTTTCTTTTATTCGTTCACCAAAGTTTTCACTGTATCATGTGACTTCTCCTTCACACGATGACTAAGCTACCAGCACATGACCTCGTCGGGCGGCCTTCTTATCGATAAGCATCTCGATCTCCGCCCGACGGAGCGACTTCTTGCGTCTTGCATCTTGCATCTTCCTCGCCTTTCCTCCTCTCAAGGTTGCTGCAACGTCTTCACGCTTGTCGCGCCTAAACCAGCTCTCCAGCGTGTCTTTGAACACTTTGTCGACTCTGCTACTACATGCAAAGCACTTCTAACTGCTCCCTGCAAGCTGCCCTGTGACCCCCGAGACTCGAACAACCCCGCTGGCTCCTTCTCCCTCCCCGTGACGAGACCAAACAACTGTATAGCTGCCCACCGACGCCCCGAATAACACTCAGATTCTTTTCTGCTGCCTGAATTTGAGCTGTAAAACCGTCGAAAGCAGCTTTTTCTAGCCAGTTGAAGCACTGTTACGCTGATTCGCCACGTTCACCGCCTACATCCAGCAAGATGAGCAGCCCAAAGCGGAGAATTGAGACAGATGTAGGTCTCCGAAGGTGCTGATGTTTTTCTTTGCTACTATAACAGAAGATGGACTAACTTAAGGATTGTTTTTCATTTGTCTGGTAATTATAGGTCATGAAGTAAGTCTGCCTTTTCCCCTGACTAGCAAACCTCATTGCTTCATTCTGCTGACTAGGTGTAGGATGTACGACTTCCCTCGGCCCTCCCATTAGAATGCACGTCCAGGAGCACACCGAGTGCTTCTGCTTCGATATAGCAACCGGTGGAAGAGCCTCTTGACAATCTAGGTACTAACATGGACGTCTAGGTTGATGAGTGACTATGAGGTCACATTGGTCAACGATAACAGTAAGTTATATTCAAGAAACCTTACAAGCAAAACCGTGGGGGCTAACATTCTGCTTTTATTATCTAGTGTCCGTGATATCCCCCATTATCCACGACTAGACTGCTCTAAATGTTGAATGTCTAACCACCAAGCACGCTTTAGGCAAGAGTTCTACGTACGGTTCAAAGGACCCGAAGAGAGTGCGTTCTCCCGTACTGAAATGCTAGGTTTTCCTGTTGCTTACGAATAGTAGCTCCATTTGCCGGCGGGATCTGGAAAGTACATGTTGAGTTGCCGGACCAATACCCATACAAGAGCCCGAGCATCGGCTTCGTTAACCGAATCTACCACCCAAACATCGATGAACTGTATGACTACCATGGCATACCATCTGGCATTAGCTAACATACACTTTAGGTCTGGGTCCGTTTGTCTGGACGTTATCAACCAAACCTGGTCCCCCATGTACGACATGATCAACATATTCGAGGTCTTCCTCCCACAGTTACTTCGATATCCCAACCCGTCAGACCCGCTAAATGGCGATGCTGCCGCGGTCCTTTTGCGTGATCCCAAGAAATACGACGCCAAAGTTAGGGGTAAGTCCCGACTCCGCAATAGATGGTCGCTTTGAATACATGGAGGCTAATAATGCAACCTCTTTTAAGAATACGTCACCAAGTATGCCAGCAAAGACGCTGCAGACGATGGTGGTGAAGATACCGAGGACGATGGCGAGATGAGTTCTGTGGGTAGCTACGAGTCTGGTGGTGAAGAGCCGGCTGGTGAGATGGATGATGTCTAAGTGTATCTCTTCCATGCTTGCTCAGCCCTCGGCGTACTTTGTTATTTGCTGCTGTCCTTTCCCCCTCCTGTTTTCCCCTTTGGATATATTAAGTATAACATGGCGTTCTAGCGGTATTCACATCAACTCCGAAATGGAGTTATATTGTGTGTTAAATCTCTTCGCGGGAGGCATTGCGTTTATGGTGCTCGGATTTCTCTTCCCCCCTGTTCCCCTGTTCATGGAGTCGCGGGTGGCGGGTCAAGCAAGGCAGAACTGTGAAGTTTGCCTCTTAACTTCTGACTCTGTCATTTGCGTTGACTTCCAGCTATCACTATTGCTACTATTCAACTAGTCTATTCTACTAGAATCAGTCATCTCACCTATATCGATGCTATCTTTCACTTCTCTCTAGATACATGCATATATAGATATATATATATATATATATATAAATACTCTATCAGCTCCAGCCTTCATCCGGCTTACACGCTCCACGATGCAACACCCGATGTTTAGGAATAACTCCATCCTTAAACGGAATCTGCCACGCTACAGTCTGCATGTTACTTGGGTACACAGTGAAGTGGCCCCTTTCACTAACATCCACCGTATCCGCAGCAATGATGGCTCCATTAACACCACCCCGTATCCAGGCTTCTTCCGTCCTGTTAGGAAGAGTGATATGCGCCACACCAGAGACAAATACAACCCATCTAGAAGCACTTTTGTTTTAACAGCCTTTCCCTTACAGAATACCTATTCTAGGGCCATAACTTACTGTGCGATGGGCGCGTTATGCAAGCCGCCATCGAAATTCGGTGGAAGGACAGAGTACTTTGCTTCCCCCGTGAGGCCATCAAAGGGGAGAACCGCGGCGCCCTTCGTGCCTGGTTCGTCTGAGACGTCGAACTTGCGCTCGAGCTGCCAACATTCTAGCGTTGAATGGCCGTTTTCTCCTGTCAGGGCGGTTATGTTGAATGACCCGGGGACTTTGGGCTGTGGTATCGTAGCATAAGCCAGGAGTTGATATACGGTAAGTGTCGGTAATATGAAGAAGGGATATGGCTTCATGTTGTTCTTGTGTTCTTGCTGATTTCCGGTTGAGATAAGAGTATATTTCTGCCTGGAATGTGTAGTTTATATGATGGTGCAGTTATATAGATATATCAACCGCTGAGCTGAGAGGCTGGAGATGCCGGATAGCCTACAGCATCGGAGCACCATCGCCGACAGAAAGGCTACCGGGATGCATCCTTCAGGTCGAGGGCGACGGTTGAACTGAGGAGGTAGCCGAGTAACTAGTTAATAATAGCTACCGGGCTATTCAGCCACCAGGACGAAACCCTGGCGTCGATCCCAGCGCCTCTGTCGTCACTAAAATACCAAGTCGAGAGCCCAGAGAGATCGTCGCTGGTTAAATAAAGTATATCAAGAACATAACCATCTGAGAGCCACCATAACTCTGTCGCACTTGACGGTTATGATGGTTATGTTCTGCCATGCTTCTCGGAGAATTCCTTTTCGAATGTCTTATTATTATTGTTTTCTTTTTTCTTTTTTATATTATTTTGGGACAAAAGGGGGACTAATCTATCATACATACCTGGGCATCTGCGGATTTAGCAGAGCCCACATCACGTCACCCAACATTTTGTTTCAAAGCCCAAGAGCGAAGGGATGAAAAGGGAGAGAGAGAGACAGTAAGGAGATCGTGTTATTGTATGGATATCTCCAGGAGCCAGTTGGGGTTGTACTGATGCCTGGTAAAGAGGATAATGTGATGCGGGCGGAGGTAGATATCCAGCTTGCCATCCTTGTGCGTTTTCAATGCAAAAGAAGAGGAGAAGAAAGAAACAAAAAGTTCTAGGTGCAGGAAAACAAGAAGCGAATGGAAATGGAAGTAATATTAACTAGAAAGGAAAAGGCAAGGTTGCGTGCATGTCGGGGTAAGGATATCTAGAAAAGAAAGGGGAAAAAGCGGCTAGCCGGGTGGTGTATGTATGTATGTATGGATGAATGGAAAGTCGTATGTTGGTCGTCATGAAAGCTGGGAGAAATTTCGAGAGACGTGTCCGGGTGGATCGTGGTGATGGTAGTGGTGATGTTGTAGAGCGAAGTATGTAACTCTGTCGTAGGCCGAGCAGGTATGATATGTTTGGATCATTTGACTTTCAACACACCAAAGACGTCTACCTCGTCCTTCTGATTATCGTCCAGGTTCAAGGCGGGTCTGGTCTTCTTCCCCTTTCTTGTGCTCATCACGACCTCTCCCCAGTGCTTGGGCACGGCAGACAGGTTGACGTTATGCGGGTAGTCCGGGTTTCGGCATGATACGTATCTCATCCCCGCGAATTCGCCAGGCATAGGAGACGAAGACTGGCGGGAAGATTGAGACCTTTGAGATGCTCTGGGAGGGGACTGAGTGGAGTTGTATGTGTCGGCTTTGAAGGTAGCCTGGGTGATGGTTGCTTCTGAACTTGGGATCCGGGATGCTTGAGCACTGCTCTGCGCCGAGGGCACGAAGGGTTGAGACTGGATGGCCCAGATATCAACGACAGAACTGGCAGGAGAGTGTCCTGTTAGCTGTATTATATCTCACATAGAGGGCCCTTCAAGTCAAAATGCTTACTCTGACGCTCGCTGGCAGATGGCCTCGAGAGCCTCCCGCTCACGCTTCAGCGTCTCGAGTTCTGGCCCAGGCGGAGGCCCCTGGACGGTCCCGTAGTTGAACCCGGCCTGGTATATATCTTCATCTAGCAAACGCGAGGACTCGGACTGCAGTACATCGTAATGCGACGGTATATCAGTCAGTAAACCGCTCTTCTTACTATTAATGCGCCCAGCCACCGGACCGGCAAGCAAAGGACATACCTCAGTCCTCTCCTGCCTATGCAGGCACGAGAAACAGGCACCCATCGGCAAAGGGTATGGCAGAAGTTACTGCGTGGGTACGTATATAAGAGCGTAGCGAGCGATGAGCAGCGACCAGAGTTGGGCCGTCCACTCAGTGTCGATATCGAAGTCGAAGTCGAAGTCGGGGATGTCTTCACAAACAGCTGCAGGCGGGCAACAGGCCTGAGGAGAAGCCCATTGAGCGACCAAGCATCGGGCAGCCAGCGGGGGAGCAGAGAGACAGCGGGCTGGTTCTGATTGACTCGCTATTCCATCATCATCTCTTCTTCTGCTTCTTCTCCTTCTTCCGCTTCTGCGTCTTCTGCGTCTCTCACTTTGTTTTTTCCTGCTCTGTTTCTTCCCTGCAGCCGAAAATGAGCTGGCACGTCGCTGCTGACCAATCAGCCCCCGGCGCCTGCAGTTGTCCAACTCGTCATCTTTTGCGACGCAGCGAGACGCACACGACGGTTGAAGATTCAAGAAAAGAACCCGACGCTGGCTGCAGTGACGGGACAAGGGCAAGACAGCGCTGGACCAGGCTCAGGGTCTGCTGGGCACCCGGAACCCAAGGAGGAAAAGCAGAGGAGCGCACCATGTTCGCGTTACCGAGTGCCAAACGGTAGTTAAATGCCCTCGTCGCACAGCTTTACAGATACACACGACCTCCAGTCAAGCCATTACATAGCTTCTAACAAGTATCCTAGGGTCTGCCGCGATGATTTGAAGTCCCCCGCGTCGTCTCGGGCCTCGTCGCCTGAGAGTACGGCAGCTACGTATGCCGCCACCGCACTGGAGAAGGCCTTTTCGTCCTTTGAGACGTTCAATTCGAAGCCGGCCGCTGCGTCTGAGGGATTAGATCGTCCACCGCAGGATACCAGGATGGACGATGATGCAGAGGAGGAAGAACAGGAGTTTGAGTTCCGGCTCTTCAGCTCTGTGGCCGCCAGAAAGCCTGCGGACGAATCTCAATCGAGAACAAAGGAACACGACGGGACCGGTTTGGGAGGAGTCCAAAAATTAAAGATACGGTTACGGTCTCCTTCGCCTTCAGCTCGTCCGCCGGGGGATAGTGGTTTCATTGTACCGTTTCGAGGATGGGACTACTACTTTTCTAACCCGGAGATGGTGATGCGAGCGGTGGGGGATAGCTCGTGGCAGAGAGGAGCCAGAGACAAGGATACATCCGAACAACTTGTCGCGCTGAGAGATACATTCAGGGATGCAGCCGTGGATGGGGAGACTGTCCTTGCCCGCGCTGCTTCGGTGGCCTGGGTATGTATACTTTCTCATTTTTTTGTCCTTCTTTCTTTTTGTTATCTACATGTTTGCTAACAGTGCTTAGCCTGGTTGCCGTCTTCCGTGGAGAGTGGTACATATTCCTGCACCAAAGCCAAAGTCAGCTTCAAGTACGACACCTCCTGCCAAGTCACAATCTCTATCCAAGAAAAAGAAGCCGGGCAAGAAGAGACGGATAGCACTGCGGAAGCGTGTTGTCAGTAAAAAGGAGGCCGAGGAAGCCGAGAAAGAAAAGCGGAACCGGAAGAACAGAGAGAGAAAGGTGAAGCGGAGGCAGAAAGAGAGAGACAAGAAAGCCGCGGCCAGGGAGGCTGCAGGCGAAGATGAGCCTGTAGCTGCTGCTGCTGCTGCTGCTACAGGTGCTACCCCTGATGAGACGGCTGATAAGCCGTGAGCAGTGGTTACGGCTAAAACCGTCAGAATATAATTATTAACTATATAAATCCAAGGCAAGCCGAACAGTCACACCTCGCTGATATATCAACTATACTAAAACATCATATTAACGATAATATATATTAGGAGAGAAAAGAAAAGGGAAAAAGAGAAAGGAGAGAAAACAAGCACAGGGGTATCCCAAGAGTAATTAAAAGTCCACCTCGTTGCTTTGGCCGATATCAAAGCCTCCCATCACCTCATTTATGACCATGGGGTTAATGAAAAATCATCCTATACGTTGGGCTCTATTCGGAAAACAGACGTTATCGCAAGAGACTACTGTCCAAGCTTACTTGGCAGCGGCGGCTTCAGTGGTAGGAGCGGCAGTTTCAGTTGGCTTAGCTGCCTCCGCAGTCTCCGTAGCTGGAGCTGGGGCGGGTTCCGCGGCCTTGGTTGCATCAGTGGTGGTGGGAGTAGGTTCAGCGGGCTTCTCGGCTTCCGGAACTGGAGCTGGAGCTGGAGCTGGAGCTGGGGCGCTGGTGGTGGTATCCGGGGCGGCGGGAGTCTCTACTGCCTTCTTCTCTCCCGCGGCCTCCGTGGTAGCAGGTGCCGGTGCCGGTGCCGGTGCAGTTGGGGCAGGTTCGGGTGCAGGTGTCTCAGGGGTGACCTTGTCCTTGTTCGCTATGCTGGTGTTAGCCAAATAAAAGCACCTAATAAAGAAACCTCTCTGCACCTGCGTGTGTGTGTTGATATGCATACCATCTTCAGTTTTTGAGGGCTCCTGGGTTTCCTCCGGCTTTGTCTCAGGGGCAGTCTCAGGGGCTGGGGTGACCTCTGGTGCTGGAGTCTGCTGGGTGGTAGTTCCGTCGGTAGGAGCTGGAATTGGAGCTGCGCCTGGGGCTGGAGCTGCAGGAGTTCCTTCTGTCTTCTTGTCCTCGGGAACGGTTGTGGCGGGAGCAGTGGCCTCCTGGTTCTGGTTCTGCTTCCTGTTCTTGAGACGGCCAAGGAAGTTCCTGAAGCCCTTCTTCAGCTGGTTAAGCGCATCTGGGGCTGTAAGGAGTCAGTCTTGCCTTCTTCCTGAGTCCATTTCAGGGCGTCTTCGTGATCAGCGAGATACTTACGGACACCTGGCATCTTGAACGGGCTTGGTCCGGTTTAAGGGGCTGGCCTGGTAGATCTATAACAGCGTGTTGGATGGCGACGCGGGTAGCTCCTTTCGAGTAGAGTAGATGCTTCTGCCAGTTGGCAACAAGTCTGCAGTGGTGTAAGGCGTAGTCCTGGGCCTGTCGCGCGCCTGAAGTCGAAGCTGGTCTCCAACTTCTTGCTCGTCGTCGTTCTCAACGTCTCTTCAAGCGAGAAAAAACGCGGCAAAGAAGAGAAGGTGAAACGCCGAGCACGGGCCATAATATAAACACAGTTCCACGTGATTCGCGCTCCGAGCCTTGGATTTTACTTGGTCTATTTTTATACTAATTTCATGGAACCTGGGTACCTATTAGATGTCTGTTTCTCCCTTTTAGGTGACATTCACTGTAAAAGCTCTGTAAAAGCTTTACCTTCAATGCGCTGTGGCAGTTATTGTATCGGCACTCATCTCCATCTAATTAACATGGAGAACGGAGTCTGTGGAGAAAGACAGAGTGCTTGGTTATCGGATAAAGGGATAATAAAGGGGCCATCTTTCTCCTGCTAGAGATGGAGAAATAACAAAAACGTGCAGTTTTTCACTGGCTGGAACTGGCATCCAGCAGGCTGTCGGGTAAGGCCATCTTGATTTGAACTTTGCCTGATAAGCCATACAAACCGTTCGAGTCCTTCAGCCAGTGGAATAAACAACTGCCGCAGCCACTCATGGCGCCAAAGGGATTAATCTCGACAAGCTGCGTTTGCCCGTCAGGCACACTCAAGATATCAAAAGTAAAGCCCTCCCGCTCCATCATTTCCAGAACCAACCCATCTGGCAACTGCCGGGCTGTCTCGATGATCTTGCTGCGAATCTTTAGCGAATCAAGGCAAACCTGATGGGCCACTTTGACTGCATCTTCCATATTGTTAACTGCAAACGGGGATGCCCATCGGTATTGCGATATGGCAGCGATGACATTCCCCGGCGGTGGGCAGAAGACCCGAAACTCGCGCGAGGGATCCATCAGCTCATTATACGGAACCAGAAAAACCATGGGCTTCTCCACGCTGCCCTCGAGGATATCTAAGATGGCCCGCCTCCCTCTCATGGAGGTACATAGCTGTATGATAAGATCCTGTACACTTGTAATGGGCTTCGTACCATTCTCGCCATCCTTGGTACTGCAACTATCCAATCGAAGGAACCATTTCCGATGACGGCCAAAGATATCCTCGGTCTTCACGCCAGCAAGAGACTGCACTGGAAACATCTCAATCAGACCATCAAAGATGGACAGCCTAGCAGAAGCCCTTGCGCACCAGACCTGGTACATCTCTGTCGTCTCAAAGCCTAGGTAGCGAGGAAGCTCGAAGGCATGCCATTCCTCTGCACCTTGAGTAGACATTATCAGCGGTGCCCAGTGTTGGTATAAGGTCGAGAACAAGCCTGGCTTGACATGCTTGAGGTCTGGTGTCTCCGGAACTAGCGCATTGATGTCTTCGTAAGAGTGGCCGTGGGTATTGAACTTGTCGGTCTCAGTCCAAGCGTCCTTTGCCTCCTGCAGCGCAGCCTGCACCTCACTGAACGGGATGGTTATTAACTCCATTGCAGCAATGGATATAACCTGTGTTTATCCTTGTCATTAACCGGAAGACAACGGCCTGTCTCTAACTGTTGTTTTTGTGCCAGAAGGTAGAACGTTGTCAAACCAGGGAAAGAATGGCCATCGAGGGTCTCCTTCCATGTTTTGAGCTACTGTATAAACCAAGCGAAGGTAGGAGCCCCAGTTGCATTTCCATGGTACATGTTTGGAGTGCTTTCCCCTAGTTGCGTTCGTCTTGTGCCATGGTCTTTGAACAAACGCTTCAAGCAGAGCTCGGGCTGTCAAGACAGCCAGCCACCCAGGTTTCGGCGGTAAGAGCACCGTCTTCGCAACAAGCCTGGAAGTTCAATATCGCCACGCCTCAACATCAGGGGTTACCGACATTTATAGATATTAATAATATATCCCTTCTCTCGCTCCTCGTGGCCTTGAAAACGCTCCGACTTGCCGTGGTCACTTTTTGATACGCTTACGTGATCTCGGTTCCGCCCGCGTCTCATCCCTGCCAAGGCCCAGGCCCCGCTCTCAACCTTGACTTTATTTGCTTTTCTAGACATTTCATTGGACGCCTCGGTTAACCCTCATTCCGTGGCAGCATTAGCTTACCTAATATGGGGTCGGATAACCTTTGCCAAGAACAGGCCGCGGAAGCGAAGTTTTGCCGACAGCCGACATCCGGTGGACTGAAAGTCTGCTCAGGCGCTTCTCGTGTTCACTTTCCACCAAGGCTGTCAGCACCGAAGAAGGGCAACACTTTGTTTCGGCATAGTGGATGCTGGCCGTCATAATCAGCTCTCCTGTTTTCATCGGTATTAGAAGACTCCGTTGTCTAATGCCATTGCATACGAAGTGAACTACGTTTTCGACTCGTCACGTCCATCAAGCCACGGAGTATAAACTCCGTTCTCCGTATTGAGCCCCGCTCAGCTCACTACAGGCCACTTTGATCTTTGATGTGGCAACTGTTGACCTCGTACTTGGGATACAGGATATCCAGAAATATTGTCGGGAGGCTTGCATTTCTCCAAAGTGTCCACTAGGGAGAATGTTGGCTGCCACAGTTGAGCCCGTTCAAATCTATAACACTCCTTGTTCGCAAGGAGACATGGCATGGCCTCGTCAAACGGAGGTAGGCTTGGCCGAGAACCGCCAAAATAGCCGGAATGCGTCGGATCCACGGAGACTCGAATCTCCCGCCTATACTCTCTATTGATGACTTGGTTCCGCTTTATATACACAAACGGGTGATTAGATATGCAAATCTAGGCGGGGAGTTTTGGAGCTGATGAAGGCCTGCAGATAGTTATAAAGTCTGCCTATTTCCCGCCTTGTATCGGCCTTGTAGCTCATTCTCCATCAACTACTCTTTCAAACAGATTTTCTTTACGATCTATCACGGCTCACGGCCTCTTCAAGAACTAGATATATCCACTTCAAACACTGAACATTCTGCCAACTAGATATTCAACCATGGAGCGTGTTTACCTCATCACCCACCCTCGCTCTGCTTCTAACCTCCTTGTCCAGATTCTGGGCTTGGAAGAGCAACCAATGGTCAAGGCTCGCCCACATGCTGGCTACTATTTCCTGGACACCCTCATGACCATCAGCGAAAAGGGCCTCAGATCTAAACATGTTGACGAGTGGACTGAGGAAGAAAAAACTCAGGCTCGTGCTCTGTACCAGAAGGGATACGATGAAATGATGAAGGATGTTGCCGAGTCCAAAGCTGCCGGCAGAATCTCCGTCATCAAGGAGCACGCCAACGTTCTCATCGAGCCTACCAACCAGACCAAATTCATGTTCAAGACCAACGATGTCAAGGAGGCACCACTTACCCTCGATGTCCCAGAGGGATCGGAGGTTGCTCGCACCCCAGGAAACCACACTATTTTCTCTGATGAGTTTCTCCTTACCTGGAAGCCCGTCTTCCTTATCCGCCACCCAGCTCTCATGTTCCCATCCTTCTACCGATGCATGGACGACTTCAGAAAGATGAAGAAGGAAGATATCGGCACCGCCGGTTCTCTCGAGACCGGCAAGCCCGATCTACCCATTTACATGAGCTTGCACAACATCCGCTCCATGTTTGACTGGTACAGCGAAAAGCTCCATCAGACTGGATCATCTTCCACCACTCAGCCCTGGCCCATTGTCATTGATGCTGATGATGTCATGGCTGATGAAACCGTTGTTCAAAAGCTGGCTGACATTATCGGCTTGGACCGCAACCACCTCAAGTTCACCTGGAACCCTGTCAGCGAAGAGCAGGCCAAGAAGTATGACCACATGGCTAAGCGCATGCTGTCTTCTCTTAACGCCTCAAATGGTATTATGAAGGACAAGCTTGCTGCTAACATCGACATCGAAGCTGAAGCCCCCAAGTGGAAGGCTGAGTTTGGTGAGATCGATGGAGCTAAGATGTACAAATGGGTTACCGACGCCATGCCTGATTATGAATACCTGAAGTCCCGCCGCCTCACCGCATAGATGTGTTGATCACCAGCGGTTAGCCCATAATGCCTCTTTTCAATTTTTGCTCCCTTGTTCTTTTCTTTGTATAGAGTGCATTTGTTTTATTCCCCCATCCCAAAACATATAAAAGAATATTCATTTGTTTAATTTTGAGTTAGTATATAATGCAATAGATATATCCACATAATTTCGGACTACAAATCTGATGGGATATTACATTTATCGAAGTATTGTCTCATTCTGAGGTGGAGAGTATATTTTTACCTTCCTCAGATGGTTTGATATACCGCTTAAACAGTACATAACCATGACGGGATAGGATCAAGGATTATGCCTTGGCTGTGTCCTTTGCGGCCTTCCATATCTCATTTGAAACACACGGAATGGAAGTACTTAAAAAATAGCCTTTGTCTGGCCTCAAGCTCGTCTGTCGGAAGCCTGACCATGTTCATGCAGTGAGGCTGGACCCAATAGCAGGAGTATCCAGCCTTGTCTTTGCTCTAAACCCGGCAAAAACCCTGCTAATTGGTCTCCTGCGGCGATTTGTAATGCTTTTAAGCAAGTAGCACAATGTATACGCTTTGATAGGATCGAGGAGGGAATAAAGATACAGATTCACATGGATAATTGCGACAAGGTGAGCTGTAGAGGTCTGCTGGCCAATATAAATATCCAAACATGAGCCCTGGAGGAAATATGGGAGTATAATAGACACCAGAATCATCGTATACAGCACAGTTATCACTATCTAACACCACACAGCCAACTCATACAGCCGCTATGTTTGATCTTTTGAACAAGTTCAGCCCACTCAACAACCTGGCCCTATTCGTGCTCGGTTACGTTGTGATATTAAGCGTCGTCCATATGTTTCAATCCATGAAACCAACCCCGCCAGAAGATCCATATGAGGAGAGCCATAACGAAGTGCGGGAGGGAATGAATGTAATTGTCCCAACCAAGACTTATTTGTTGGCTGTTGGCTAATAGGGGTAACTAAATCTAGGGGACCATCTTGAGATAAACACATGCCATACGTCAGTATGCAGGGGGCTCTACGACATTTTAGAGCTAGCTGGCCCTTGTGAAGTGTGGTTCAAGGAATTTTTTGTTTTTGGCTACGCGGGTGGGGGTAGTTTTTATGTTGAATGGTTTTAAGGAGTTAGATCTTTATCATCTCGGGTCTGGATATAGTTGCGGTTGTGTCCTTCAAAATCACAATGCTGGTCACAACACTAAGTCGATATATATCTCGTTCTACCTCTGTATACTTTTCATAATACTTAGTGAGAGTCGTTTTCAGCTTCATTACATATTATGTGTTAATTATAGCATCTGTATTTTTGTTTACAATAGTTACTGATACTGAAGTAGCGCTGGAAGATGGATCCATTTCTATGATTTAACTATCACGTGCCAAATACGCCCCGCACTTCTCGACCAAACATCCACATTCTTTCCCTTTAATGACAGCGGAATATCCACTTTAGCTACGAAAGTATGCTTGGGGCATCAGGCATTTTTGTCCCTTGCGGTCCAACAGCGGACCCTTTATCATTCTAGCTAAAGGGTAAAGGTAGCGCTTCGCCCCAAGATGTCAAGCATAGAGGTGATTGGCGGCATCTCCGCCGTCATTGCAATCGTTGACGCGTCGATCAAGATCTATAAGAATGCAAAGAAGGACATAGAGTTATCTGAGAAATTCAAAGCCGTGGGGCGCCAACTACCGATAATCCACGATACTCTCCAAACATGCAAAACGCACCTCGAACCGAGTAAAGACTCCATACCCGCTGATGACTGTAACGCCTTGGAGGAGATCATCTATGCTTGTGAAGAAAAGGCTGAAAAGTTGAAGAAAATATTTGACAAGGTCATACCTGGTGAATCAGGCACGTGGGAGAAAAGATACACCAAAATTATCCAGAGACTCGGGAAAGGAAGCGAGGTCGAACAGCTCATGATATCGATTGCCCAAGACGTCCAACACATCGTCAACAATCGCGTGGTCAAGTCTATCAAACCAGAGCAAAATGCCGAGCTTGAGAATATCATCCAAGAGATGGAGGCTCTCAGATTTTCAGAGGAAGGGGACTCCGGAAATACTTTCAACAGCAAAGGACCGATGACGAACAATTTCCTCAGAGACAATGCGCAACAAATTACCAACAACGCCCGTATTGGAACGCAAAAAATTACTTCCGGTAAGAGCTAGCCGTGATTGCACTTTTCTTTGTTGCTAGCACAGGGCCGTAAGGCGATTTGGTCGTGTTTACGGTGACTAAGTCACTCCTTGATAGTTGTTTACAAGCAGAAGGAAAACTTCAGCTTCCGGAAACCAGTGGGAGCCTGTCTCGGTCAGGCACCCCATATCGGCCCGGAGCTATTCGTCGGGCGTAACCCTGAGCTCGATCAGATGAAAAGAATTTTAGAACCAGAGGATAATCCTCGAGAGCAACGCCGTCTAGTTCTCGGTGGTGCGGGTGGCATGGGCAAAACACAGCTTGCCATTGCTTACGCAAAACGGTACCGCACCCTTTATACATCAATATTCTGGCTAAACACAGCAACGGAGACTACCCTCAAGGATAGTTTTCGATTAATTGCCAAAACTATCTTTGATATACAGGACCCTGATATTCTTGAGCCGGATCAAACGATCATTCACATTTGCCGATGGTTATCTGACACGGAAAATACGCAATGGCTATTAATCTTTGACAACTACGATGACCCAAACCAGTTTAAAATTGAGCAATATTACCCTCTTGCCTCCCATGGGGCCATTATTGTTACTACACGACGTCCAGATCTCGTTTCCGGAAAGACTGTTCAGATACAGCCTCTTAAGGACATTAGGGACAGCCTTATAATACTGCAAACCAGGTCCCAGAGGCAAAACACTACGTCAGGTATGTTATCAGCGACTATAATTAATATCTACTAACGGCCATCGCTAGACTCTCATGCAAAACGACTAGCAGAGCGACTAGATGGCCTTCCACTAGCGTTGGCTACTGCCGGGGTATACCTTCGATACAGCTCCTTTACTTTCGAGAGATATCTCCAAGAGTACGAGAAACGCTGGAATATCGATTCATGCAGGCCACCCACGCTCGAGGAGTATCAGAATCGCACGCTCTATACCACCTGGGATCTGTCGTATGCTGCTCTAGGAAGGGAGGATCTAGACGCAGCCAAACTACTAAAGTTGCTAGCTTACTTCGATAATCAAAACATTTGGCGCGAGCTTCTGTGTGCTGGTTTAACTGATAACACTCCGAGTTGGTTGCGTGGAGTTCTTGACGACGTTGCCTTCGACGGTGCGATGGGAACGCTGGCAAAGTACTGCTTCTTGGAAGCCCAGACTGGGGATGCTCAAACGCAGCTAGGGCTATGGAGCATGCATTCCTGCGTGCACGACTGGACATTGGCTACACTCAATAAAGATATTGACGCGGAGCAGTATTGGTACACTTTTGACTGTGTCGCTGAAGCTATTGGTTCAGTTGATGATTTTGAGACTTTGAATCACCTTTCTCATGCTCGCTTGGCTGCTCACGCAACACGGCTAGTACATCAGCGCTTCCTCCAAAACGATCTCATAGACAACATTGCTATCGGCCGGTTTAAGGGAGCAGTAAAAATTGCAGTACTGCTTCGAGAGCAGGTACAGCTTGTGGCTGCAGAGCACGTGAATCAACGCGTGCTTCGAGGATACCAGAAGGCGTTTGGTGCTAATCATACATCAACACTCAATATAGTTAATAACTTAGGCAATCTTTATTAGAAGCAGGGTAAGCTAGTTAAGGCCGAAGATATATATCAGCGCGCGCTACAAGGATACCAAAAGGCATTGGGTGCTGACTATATATCAATACTCAATATGGTAAATAACTTAGGCAATCTTTATCAGAAGCAGGGCAAGCTAGCTAAGGCTGAGGATATGTATCAGCGCGCTCTAAAAGGAAAGGAGAAGGTGTTAGGTGCTAACCATATATCAACACTCAATATAGTTAATAGCTTAGGCAATCTTTATCAGAAGCAGGGCAGGCTAGCTAAGGCTGAGGATATGTATCAGCGCGCTCTGCAAGGAAAGGAGAAGGTGTTAGGTGCTGACCATATATCAACACTCAATACAGTTAATCACTTGGGCAATCTTTATCAGAAGCAGGGCAGGCTAGCTAAGGCTGAGGATATATATCAACGCGCTCTGCAAGGATACCAGAAGGCGCTTGGTCAAGAACAGGTCAAAACTTTTGTCCCTGCGCTTGATATCCACGGGAATCTTGGCTTACTATACAAACGACAAGGGCGGAAAGATGACGCTAAGGTAGCCTATCTTGTAGTACTACAGGGGATTGGAACTGTTTTTGGAACTTCAGACAAGCGGTATCAAAAGGTCACGGCTCTTCTATCTGCGCTAGGTAGTTGATAAATGCGAGTATAATGGACTTGAGGAATACTGGCGATACCCTCTGGTAGCTGCGGTAGCCGCAGCCATAAGTTCTATGAGGATGCCAGATGTTGAATGCAAACGAGAACTTATCCAGGTGGTCTTGGGGTAAGAAACCAAGCCAGTCAAGACGTTGATGTATATATTCATAATGATTAGTTATCGAATCAACTGAAGATCTAATTACCCACAACGTGCTAGATAGTTATATTGTGTAGTTAGTGTTCTACTCCCACACCCAAGCGGCCACTGGAGGCATAGTTCTGAATACTGGCTTGGGATTGGAGTATATGACGATAGTCACCTTTTCGTTGTGAATTATTTTTCAAAACTTCCGGAACAGAAGAAGGGTGGGAGCCTACTTTACTATGTATGTATCCTAATATACGGTGGATAGTCCAAGGTGTCAAAACTAAAGGCTGGACTCCACAGCTGACATCATATTGCATGTGTTTTTCTTCCAGATGAATAAAATCAGGGGGAATATCTACAACGACGGAAAGACTGGAGAAGGAGATAGAGCTGGTTAAGGAGCGTTGAATTAAAAAACTAGTCTATAACATGATTAAGTATTCAGTAATTATTAAGGAGCGTCATTGTCCCGGAGACTTCCGACCTTCGTCATAATCGGTAAACATAATTCTTTTCATATGAGAGAAGCACGTCGGCTGCCAACAGCCTAAGCCTTGAATCCACAGTCGCTTGGTTTAGCGGGCTCGTAGGTGACGTTGATTCTTCCGAGGTGCTCGGCCTGGTTGTTGGTAAGAGTGTCCATAGCCCTCTTGGCGACGTTGAAGCCGGTGGCCCTGTCGATGGAGGTAACGAAGATGGATTTGTTGAGGACGGGCCAGGTGACCTTGAAGCATTTTCCGCAGTTGGCGCTGTTGTATCCCTCGACGGCAAAGGAGCCACCGATGTTGGGGAAGTTGGGGAGAGAGCCGGCGGTGGTGAAGCCCTTGGTGATGAGGCCGTTGGTGCCGTCAGAGCAGGCTACCTGAGTGAGACTGAGACCGGCATTGTCGAACATTGGGTCGTAACTGAGGGTGACTGTGCCAGAGATGGCAGCAGCAGAGGAGAGAGAGACCATGAGGCCGAGAGTAGCTGGGATGGTGAACTTCATTTTGGCTGGTAAGTTGGTGGGAGGTTGGGATTTTTGCTTTGAGAAGTGGTTTTGTTTGGAAGGTTTTGGTATAAGTAAATTGATTGTGATTTGTCTTTGTTCTGTTGAAGCTGTGTTGTCTGATGATGGAGAGAGTAGAAAGAAATGTCAGGACGGTGGCTACCTACACGGGGTTTATATAACTTTTTTTTTCTCGTAGCTATGTTGACAACCGCACTGAGAGTTGAACACGGTCTTCCAAAGTCTCCATTGTCTCTGGGAGGAGTAACCTCGCATGCAAAGAGATCTGCAATGAGGGATTCATGGCTGGAATCCACCAGCGAACGCCTCCATGCTCTCCAAGCCTGCAAGCTGCATTCTGGGAGAGCACTTCCATGTGCGACCGGTTCAGCCCGTGATTCCCGAAGCATTCGATGCGGGGCAGGGAAATGGAAAGCAACATGTACAGTTTGAAACATTCGCAATCGGGACGCATGTACAAGGTATTCACGGGTCATGTGAGACACTATTGCATACAAAAGTACTTTTGTATGCTGTCATCGAGCATGTTCTGTTCCATAAAACCCGTATGCTCTTGTCAAAAGGCGACGGGCAGAGCAAAGAGAGAGCAAAACCACAGGGTACATGCTTGCGGCGTGCATGCTCAAACCTGGAGGAAGAGAGACATGAATCCATCATGCTGCAGCAAAGCCCCAGTAAAGCCATAACTAACCATAACCATCTCCTCTTCATCCAAGGTAGCATTGCAGGCCATCTTCGCTTCGCAGGCGGGGGGCTCAGGTTGTGCAAGTGCCCGGGGGAAAAGCAAAGAAGCAAGCTCCAGATCCAGTGACACGGTAGCTGCAGGCTGTCGATGAAGAGGAGCTTGAGCTCCTTCTGTGATGCGATCGGCATATAGATCGACATCGCCCGCTGCTCTATATTAAGAAGTCTTGTTGTATCTTGTATCTTGCTAGTGTGCAGAAGATGTCTCACTCTCTCCGAGACCCTATCCGCTGCTGCACCGGCTGTCGGATGAGGGCATTCCGCCTGCGCCCGTCTGGTTACATCTATCTTTTGGACAGAAGCAAGCTGGACAGGCCGGGCTTCTTCGCAACCCTCAGACTGCTTCGTCCTGTTGACTATCTTGATGTCCTTCCATGTTGTCGTCTTTTTCTTGATGTCTGCTTGTTTTTTACTCTTTTTTTTAGCTTTCGGAAAGCCGACCTCGATCTAGCCAGTCACGTGCAGGTCATGTGGTCGCTTGATCGGAACATCGGAGGCCGATACCCGGCTGACTAAGAATTTGGTTATATAATCGTTCCTCGCCTTTTTCTTTTTCTACCAACCAAAAAAAAAAAAAACAAGCAAAAGGAGCCCAAGTTGATTGATGGTGATGGATGAGATCAAAACAATTTGGCTGGTGATGTTGCTCTTGGGACTGAAGGATGAAGGCGGATGGAACGCTGCGGCTGAGCATGGCATGATCAGTGCAGATGTTCGGGAAGAGTGAGACAGGTTGCACCAAGCGGCCAGAAATCTCGTACAGTCCCACTGCTCTTGGGCATCAGAGGCAGCCCTGGTTTGCAGGATATGCCTGTCTAGGAACATAGTGGCAGAGAAGCGATGCAGAAGGTATATGTGCTTAACGGGCTCTTTACCGAGTAAGGTTATGTTATTTCAGGGGGCTGCTAGTCGAGCCACGGCAGAGCGCTGGAAGAGGACCATGGATGGGAGCTGTCTCTGCAGTACAAGGCGAGTGACCGAGTAGAGAGTAGAGACGGTTATCGTGCCTAGCTAAACCGGCGCCGTCAGCAGCTCGTTATCCCGCACTCTTTTTTTTCTCGGAGATAGGCGAAGGAGTCCGCACTGACGCTGATACACGAGATTGGCTCATGGAAGGGCGAGCTTTGCTTTTTTCCGATACGCGGAGCTGTCCCCGGTTAACTGCTTAGAGGTCTCAACAGATCCTCACCCCCACAGTTTTCCGCGCGAGAAGAGGAGAACCAGAACAACACCAGGCCGTAGCCGAGATGGCAATTCTCACTGTCTAAGCACGGGGGAAAACAAGAGGCAGGATCGGTCACGTCGCAGTTTACTTGCGAGACAGTGAGGATGGCGGCTGAGGCTCAGGATCAGGATGCTACTCATCCTCCTCCGTCAGAAACATCACCATTGCTGGGTGGTGGAGCGAGCGTCGAAAACGGAGGACCGTCGGGTGAAGGTGAAGCGAACAATACAGGCCTCCCGTTGGTAGAGGAAGCCAGCTTCGGGGAGCTCTTGAAAATATTAACGAGTACTTGGGTTGGTGTGTTTTTTGCAGCTCTCGGTATGTCGCCTCCATGGTTCTTAGATCTTAAAAACAGACAAAAAATGATATCCAAGATTTGTGGGCTAACTAGAGCGACTGCTTTCTTGAAGACGGCACGATTGTTGCTACCATTTCGGCTCAGATATCTTCCTCGTTCAATTCATTGTCACTTATATCATGGCTTGCCACCGCTTACCTGGTCTCGAGCTCTGCCTGTCAGCCCATCAGCGGCAAGCTAACAGACATCTTCTCTCGCCGAACGGGACTGGTTATATCTAACATTCTCTTCGGAGTCGGTAACCTGATTTGCGGTCTTGCTACAAAAGAATGGGTCATGATCCTTGGACGAGTTATCGCCGGGATGGGCGGGGGAGGACTGACGGCGATTTCGACATTCCTCACGTCTGACCTGGTGCCTCTGCGCAAGCGAGGTATCTGGCAAGGCATTGGAAACATTTGTTTTGGAATTGGGAGCGGTCTCGGCGGTATATTCGGTGGATATGTGAACGACAACTGGGGGTGGCGGTGGGCATTCCTTATCCAGGTACCCTTTGTCGCCGTCTCCGCTATCCTGGTGTCGATATATGTCAATGTACCCGTCAGGGTGACAGACACCTCTCGGTGGAAGAGGATTGACTTCCTCGGTGCCGGGACCTTAGTCTGCGCTCTCGTTCTCTTCCTACTTGGACTCAATTCTGGTGGCAATCAGGTGCCATGGACGCACCCTTTGGTTCTCACAACAATTCCTCTCTCAGTCGTGCTTCTGATCGCTTTCATCTATATCGAGGATAGGGTCGCGGCTGAGCCAATTATCCCTATCCGCCTGCTCATGGACCGTACCGTTCTATCCTGCTGCTTGACCAACTGGTTTGTCACCATGGCTGTCTTTGCCCTCTTCATCTATATACCCGTCTTCCTCCAGGTACAGGGCTACACGGCTACATTGGCTGGAACTCGTTTGGTTGCACAGGCTCTTGGTACCTCCGTCGGCTCTCTAGGTTCAGGCTATCTGATGCGTATGACCGGACGCTATCTTTACTTTAACTACGGCTCAGTCGTCCTGATTGTCATCGGAATAGCATTGATATGCTCCGTCAATCTCGCAACACCGGCTGTCCCGCCTTTTATCTACTTGTTTATCTCAGGGTTGGGATACGGCGGCATGCTTACCTCCACCCTTGTGGCCATCATCGCCGCCGTGGACCATGAACACCAGGCCGTGGTCACCTCTGCCTCCTACGCCTTCCGCAGCACAGGCAGCTCGATCGGAATATCAGTCGCCTCGGCCGTGTTCCAGAATCTTCTCCGGTCTGGCCTCTGGTCTCGCCTTGGACACCTCGGTAATGCCGAAAAAATCATCCGGAAAATTACAGAACGGTTTGAGGAGATCTGCAATCTTCCTCCAGACATAGCTGCGATTGTTCGGAACTGCTACATGGGCTCGCTCCGGGCAGCGTTCTTGACTGCCCTAGGACTGGCTGCCATGGGAGTATTGGCAAGTTTGGCGATGAGAGAACACAAGCTGCATATGAGCCTGGCCAGAAAGGACTAAACGCAGTATTTGAATGGTAGAACCTTTTATAGCTAGGACATTGGATTCAAAATATAGATATCATCCCGTTTCTCCATATTAAATAGCGCTTGGCTAGGCTTTTGGTGGCGACAGCGCAAAATCTTCTAGTTATCCCGCGCGGAAATAAACTTCCCCAAATCCAGCTCCATAACTATTTGAACAACAACGACGGAGCATTCAGCTTCATCTACCTGCAAAACACCTTTCGAGTCTTGTTCCGCCGACAGCTATAACTATCCTACGGCAAAGACCAAACTCCCAGTGAGAGAGGTAGGCGGTTGTCATCCTATTCTTTTTCTATCCTGCTGCCTGCCCGCCGTCGCTGTGGCTTTCCCGCCCGTTCATGGCGGCAACCAGCGGATGGGCTCAAACTCACTATTCGGCATATATATTAACGCAATCTGGTATTCTCTAGGTCTTCTCAGGACGGAGAAACATCGCAATATAACTAGCCGTATCTTCCATCTTCCTCTTTGACCGACGGTGCCGTGCCGTCATCTCCATGTTCCTGGAATGCGGCTTGGGCATCCATGCGTAGCCCCTGCAGAGGACTCGAAGCGATGAGAGAGCCGGTCAGCCCAAGAAACGAATTACAAATATCACCACGTCGTGTCCCTCCTGCATCTTCTCGGCGGCTAATTCGCTATTTATAACCAGCCAGCCAGTTATAACCCCCCTGGCCAATAGCAGCGATCTGGATTCCCCGTTTCTGGAGATTATTTAACAACGTCGCCAACACCCACCTAAAAGCCCATGCAGATGGCTGTTGGTATCAAAGAAGTGCTGAATGGAGAGCGCTCAGACGCCAAAGCTACGTCAAAATTCGAAACTATGAGCCCTGCTCATATAAATGCCGGTCCTCGAGATGCTAATCCTTGCCACGGCGATGAAGGTGTGGGCGATATTCGACTCGAAGACAGCATGGTGGACGGGCGGAAAGACAAGGCCTTGGTCGGAATGACTGACAGGCCGACAAAACGGGTTATCCTATCAACCAGCACACCATTCGCCGACACGGTTGTTCGCTCGCTCTATAGAGATCCTGACGTCGAGCTTCGATTAATCGTACCGCAGGGGTTGGTCGTCGGACAAGGGGAGTTGGAGAACGTGAGATGTTACGAGGATGCGCCGCAGCGAGTTACAGACACTACCAGCCAGCCATTGCGAGGACAGTTCAATATGACGGCTGCAAACCTCGCAGATTGGGCAGACTTGTTGATTATAAGTCCTATGGATGCCGGAACGCTTGGGTCAATGGTTTGTGGACTAACTACGAGTCTTACACTGACGCTACTGCGAGGCTGGGATGTTTCTAAGTCTATTATTCTTGTTCCAGGGATGACCACTCGCCAGTGGGTTGCGCCTATCACGAGAAGGCATCTGGACGACATCCAAGTCTTTTGGCCGTGGGTTAAAGTGCTTCCTCCTATTCTCTCCAAGTTCGAAGCTCCCGATCGTCTGGTCGAGCTGCCCTGGGATGGACGGGAATCGTTTTATGATGAGATAAAAAAGGGTCTGGGATGGTCTATGGGGATGGATATAGAGGGTGGACGTAACCCTTCGCAGGAAGTTGATGGGGCTGAGAAGGAAAATGGTCTGAATGGAAAACAAAACGGGACGACGATACCCCCCATCGTTAGCCTTCAGTCAAGCGACAGCTTCTCATCACAGGCTACGATTACACATCCTACTCCGACCCAAACTGCTCTTCCTTCTGAAATACTATCAATGATCTTTGAAGCTCTCGGTGACTGGGAAACTGCTGCTGCAGTTGGCATCTACACCCGATTACCAACTCCTGACCAGTGGAAACCTCTAATACCCCGTTCACATTCCTCGCAATGCACACTTGAGTATGCCATTCTAAAGCGGCCGTTCTCTGAAATCGAGCAATACCTCTCGTCAGCCTCGCCGTGGAAACCACTCTCCTCAACATCCGCCCATCTTATTCTCAAATTTTCACGAATAGATATATTAGACTTTATTATTACTTCTCGATCAGATATTTTCTGGTCTACTCCCCGGCTTCTAAACCTCCCGTTCCGAGCTTCAGCTATATATGGCAATACTGCCCTCCTTGACTGGTGGCTTCGCTGTCCTGAACTACCGAAGAAAGACTACCTAACAGATGCAATGGACTCTGCTTCACGCGCCGGGTACATCCATGTCCTTGATTGGTGGCGAAATTCCGGCCTACCACTCCTCTATACCGAGCGAGCACTCGAATCTGCATCAGCGGAAGGCCATGTATCCGTACTATCCTGGTGGAGAAACGCATCTGAATGCTCCCCCGAGCATGCTTTACCGCTAAAAGTCGGCAAATCTGTTCTGCTAGCTGCTCAGTCTGGCCGGACAAATTCAATAGCCTGGTGGGATCAATCGGGTATACCTTACTCATACACCGAATCTGTCGCTCGAATCGCAAGTACCCACGGGCATGTGCATGTTCTAGAACTGTGGTACAAGCTGAAAGGCACAAAGATGATATTTGATAACCAGGTTCTTGTCGGCGCCACGAAAAATGGGCATGTAGATGTTCTTGAGTGGTGGCGGAGAAGTGGACTGCATGTCGAATTCAAGACGTGTGACATTGAAGAGGCCCTTGAAGACGCAATCACTGGTGCGGAAGAGCGTGTCCGTCGGTGGTGGGAGAGAAATGGTTTGAATCTAGGTGTTGGAACCAGCGAGTGGATGAAAGTCAAGGTATTATAAGTTGCCAATACATATATTTCTAATGCCATATGGCGTGTCATGAATTATCCTTCCCTTATTCTCCCTAATTATAATTAGTTATGTTTTTGTTTGTTTGTTCGGCTTATTTCCAAAAAATGTCAGCTATGTAGTTCGCCTTCTTATAGATAGTTGATAGCATCCAAGTCACTTTATCATCGACCCTTGACAACCTAACAAAAGTCGGAGCCTTGGTTACCGCTTTTAGCGATTGTTCATCTCAACTTAAAATTCACGCCGCTTTAAGAAAACTTATGCTTAACTAGGTAAACCTTTTTTGTTGGCCACAGCCGAAACCTTAACCGGAATATGCTTTATGCTTACTTTCTGCGTAACATGTCAAACAAGTGAGATTAAATTGCGTACGAAGTACGTCCAAGGCAGATTGCAGATTGACTAGCATAGATGACACTAGCTTCAATATAAATTATGTTACTAGAAAAATGATTAGTTACTGGAAAGTCAAAGTTTTTTCGTGTATAATTTATATTGATTTCTATGTAGCATAGATAACTATATATATAATCATCAAGTATATCCAAAATGAATGGAGCATGGCACAGCCATAATGGGCAAAGGGTAACTGCTGGCGGTTGCCAGCAAGCCCCAATTGACTCCTATGCTTAGCATGTGAAAGAAAGAAAGAAAGAAAGAAATTAACGGTGGGTATGTCGCCTATCTTGATGCAATCAAGGGCCTTGAGGTTCTGAGGCAGGTCAGGTTATGGAGCGCACCGATTTATTTGCCGCTGCCATTGTAGATAAGCTTGCCGGTGGTGCCCTCGCCAGGGTTCTTGATAGCGTCAGTGGCCATCTCCTTGATAGTATCGCAGAGACCTGGGCCGCCCTCCTTGCCCAATCCAATGAGATAAGCACCGAGACCACAGACGTGAGGAGAAGCCATGGAGGTACCAGAAAGAGTGTCAGTGCCGTTTCCTGGCTTAACGGAGGTGATCTCATTTCCTGGGGCGTAAATGTCGACTATAAAAGAAATATTAGCCTCAGTACCATATATCAGTGGTAAATCGAGATTTCGTACCAACGGCTCCGTAGTTAGAGAAGTCAGCCTTGCTGTCATCCTCAGAGGAAGCAGCGACAGTGCAGATAGATGGCTCAGAAGCGGGAGAAGAATGCTGGGCGTCCATCTGTAATGTTGTTAGTTGCGCACTTTGGTATAAATATACGGAGTTACGGCCTGAAACTTACGTTATCATTACCAGCAGCGACAGCCATGAAGATACCGGCATCAGCAATGGCCTTAGCAGCCTTGTTGGAGGCCTCAGAGCGAGGTCCGCCGAGGGACATGTTCATGACGGACTTTCCAGCAGCCTTAGCGGTGCTGTTGCCGCCACCAGATGCCTCCTTCATAGCCCATTCCATGCCCATGATGACACCAGAGTTGGATCCGGAGCCTTCGCAATCAAGGACCTTAACGGCAACAAGGTTGACACCCTTAGCAACACCGAATTTGGTACCACCAACAGTTCCAGCAACATGGCTTCCGTGGCCGTTGCAGTCCTCATCCATTTTATCAACGAAATTCTTACCCCACTTGGCACGGCCACCGAAGTCTCCGTGGTGGATATCAATACCTGTATCGATGATATAGGCCGTGACGCCCTTGCCAGCGGTGTCATCATAGTAGTAGGTAGAGCCACCAGCCTCCTTAGAGCCAACGCGGGCGAGGCCCCAAGAGGGAACATTATCCTGCTGGGTGATAGCAGTGGCCTTCACAACGGTGTCACGCTCAATGAAGTCGACCTATCAAGTAACGGTTAGCAACGATCGTTTTCTACTTCAGGGACCGCAAGTTCTCATGAATGGACAAGCATCTCATACATCATCATGGTTGGAGATATCCTTTATCATAGCTTCATCGAACTCGCCAGTGTAGGCCTTGAAGGTGCCTCCCAAGGAGAATTTGTGCTGCATTCCAGCCATGGGTTTGAAGCTACCACCGCGGCGCATTGGGCGGCGGCTGAAGTTGTTGCCAACCCAAGTTGCATGGGCGTTGAAAGCCTCGTGAGAAACATCCTGCTTCATGACAACAATGTACTTGTTGGGGATGGTCTCTGCATGAGGGCCAGCCTCGAGGATCTTAGCACCATCGACAGTCGACAACGCCGCCAGGACGATAGGAATGGCCTTGGTGATGAAACCCATGATGGACAATGCGGTAAGATAGGCGACTGAGAAAGGCTAAGGGAAAGGAGTATTTGGTTGTTGGTAGTGAGGATGGAGAGAAAGAAAGAAAGAGGGATTGCAGTGGGAAAGAGAGGCCTAGATATAGACTGCCAAATGGTACGATGAAGCCAACCAATTTCTATCGTCATCACCTTGATCGTATCTCTATTTGGGAGTCAGGCAATCTTTGCGTCATCTGTTACATGCGACAGGGTTGAAACCTCCCCGCTTCTAGGACAAAACGCTCCCTGAAAGGTATGCCCCGGGGTACTTCTAGAATAGAAACTGAGATCAGAGACCTTGGTGGAAGCGATCGTCAACGAAAAATGCAGCTCGAGCTTGCTGCGTGAGGTGAAGGATGAAAGAATATGACAAGATAGACCGGCAGATGCCCGTCACAAAACCTGTTGTGGGGATAATGATATTACATTAGTTGCATGAGGTGTAGGCCGCATGAAAGGAGATAGAAACTTTTGAGAAACGCAGTGAAGATCAGATTGCTGCGATACGATAAATAACGCCCAAAGATTGTCGCTTGTAGGCTCTGGAGAGCAAGGACAGGGGACGCAATGCGGAGAATTTCCTGCACGATCTACAACTTCCCGTCTTTGCCCAGGGTGGGATTGCGTAGTTAGGGCCACATCGCCAGGGGACTAGCCAGGGATAGTTATGGAACACGAGTGTATCAGCGTATCGCACCAGCAGAAGAACAGGTCAATGTTGCTGGGCGAATAGAGTAGTGATAACGTATAACGGAGGCTCCATCCATAGTATTTGGTTAACTGAGGAGCAGTAGTATGTTTGAAGTAGCTAGTTTGATAACTAGTTCACCGACTATTCTGACTATGGAACAATTTGGCAGAATGAGAATAGAATGGTATCAAATCGTGCCTCATGGGACACTTCCACGTGGAGAACCCGTTCTCTGACGCGCGTTTCGTTTTTGAGAACCCTTAGCGTTAAAACTAGATCAGGGACCCCGCCTGTGCCTATGCCGCATGTTACGTGCAGCCCGTGTCGATGTTGCAACGAAGCTCGCTCTAACGGAATAGTGGAGAGCTCTAACTTGTGAGATTAACGCTCGGAGTTTTAGGTACTGCCGATCCTCAGATTCTCTTAACCAGCTCATTTCCGGGTGATTTCCCGCCAATGAAGACCATGGTTTTTTATAAGTACGGAGTGCTTATGGGGTACGCTGGCACCTAGCTAGTTTACCGGTCTTGGGAGCCTTCCTGGTGAGTATGTATGTATTGCATACGTCGTAAATGAACTAACCTTGTCGGGAGATAAAATGGCATGGCAGAAGCATACTCAACCTTCAAGTATCCGATGAAGTCAGAGTCGACTTGCAAGGTATACAATCCCTCTTGATCATGGGGTTGTTGTGCATATGCAGGTAGCCTGAACCCTGAGGAGAGGTCAAGACCTTCTGAGTTTGCCACCCGTCATGTTGCGACCGGATAACTGATTGATGAGGGAGATAAGCATTCCAAAATCTTCACATCCCCAACCTTGGCGGAAGTCGTATGTAAGTTGAGCGAGTATATATATAATACGAGCTCCATAGGTACCCGCGGCTGCTTATCTGAAAGTGGAAAAGGCCGAAGTCTTTAAAGGGAGAAGTTCCTGTTGTGGGGTGATTATGGCCTTCATAGTACCCAGCTTCGTCATCAATGTCGGGGCTATAACCAACATCCTATGCAGATCTGGGTTGAATCAAAACCTGAGAAGAAATTGGAGAGTACGGAATACTCTATGCCATTCTGACGGAGTGTCCGACCAAGTTCCCGCATGCAGGGGTTTCGGCCTCTGGGCATGAATGAAAATCTCCTGATTCTGGCTGCCACTAATAGAAGTCACATTTGAATTTATCTTCTCAGGAGAATTAAATAGACGGCCGAATGTTAGAACGATGTTAAACTGTGTACTAACAGAACGCTTTCTTTTCTAGAGTGAATAGATATGGTTCTGTGGTTAGCCGATCAAATCTGTCTGGTGGACATACAGGGTACATTTGGGCTCATATCCGGCCTATTAAATGGTGTCAGCTATCTGCACTCTAATACTCAGTGGCGTTAACTTGCACAATTATTCCACCTAAATAATGAGGTTCAAGAGCTTAACCCGAGTGTTGAATAGTGGAGTTGTGGCCTGCAACGGGCCACCTGGACAGTGCCATCATTTCCATTCAGCAATGAGAGTTTCCAGCCCAACATCTTTACCATCTTGCGCCACAGCGGGACGGAAACATTATCCAGGGGCTGTTTCTAGGCTGTATCCTTGTCCAGGTGGTTGTGTCGTAGTAGTTATTTTTGGACCTGCTGCGATTGCGATTTTCGTTGCTGCTGAAGGTTTGGTGGTTGAAACTGCTTACATAACATAAACATGATGACTAAACTATAACGTGATCAAACCCTGGGAGCATTTGAGTCACGTGGTTTGTAGTGGCTTATCTAAGTCAAAGGCATCCTAATAGAGTAGTTTACAGCTTACTCATTACTCCGTCACATTGATACCAGAATAAACCTTAAGACGGTCATTTTACCCAATACGAGATCTTGTAATACTCAACTCTTTGTATGAAAATACTACAATCATACACGCGCTTTTTTTAACATATAAAGGAGTACTTTCAACGACCAAGAAAACCCATCAACATCAGCTAAATAACTGCGAGTCGGCAGCTGGCTGGTCTTTTTCAGTATTCTGGAGAGAAATAATCCTACAGAGTACTGACACGCCAAAATGGAGAGAGTCTGCCACACTTCTTGTCAAATAACTGAGGAAACACGAGGGTCTTGGAGGTTGGGACAAGCTTCTCTACAGAGCCTACCGAGAAGTCCAAGGCTCCAGTATCTAGTTTTCCTAATTAACGGGTTACATACGACATAGCTGATAAACAGCCAGCGAAGGCCCGAAAGCGCGGCCAGGAAGCGTGGCCTAGAAGATTATTGTGCCCTCATCTTTTCGACAGCCCAAGAACGATATCGCTCTTGATGCGGCCTTAAAATCCTTGCCAGTGATATCGACGAACTAACTAACTTGATGTAGAGAGACGGATGGTTCCATCTCCCGAACGCCGTCATACCGCAGGGATAATGTTCAGCCGCGGTTTCTACCCCAGACTATATGAAAGATCCTCCTCCCCGGATCATAGAGCTGAGAAGCCCGCTGCAATGCTCAACCTCTAACCGCTGGGCTCAGAAGAACACACTTCAAGATGGTTTTACTTGGGCTTGGTCTGTCTGCTGCCTTGACCTTTTTCCTAGTCTCCTATCTCCCCAAGTACTCCATCGCTGGGTCGTTTGCATGGACGTTGCCAGCTCTCTTTACATGTTACCTTCTACTCCGAGCCCTGTATTTTGTCATTTTATACCCTATCTTCTTCACACCATATAGACATTTGCCCGTCCCACCAGTGAGTACGCCGAATGATCTTTGATCAGCATATAACGCTTACTGACTTTATATGCGATAAAAGGGAAGAAGTGTTTGGAATGGACATTTCAAAATCCTGCAGGCATCTTCCCAAGGCACGCCAAGTGCAAAATGGACCAGAGAAGTTCCCAATGATGGGCTCATTCGGTATTATTTCATGTTAAACCGAGAGCGGCTGCTGGTCACATCAACAAAGGCCTTGGCAGATGTGCTCGTTAACCGGGCTTATGACTTTGAAAAGACCCGGGCACTGGTTGCATCTATAAGCTGGGTTACCGGCACTGGAGTCATCCTTGCCGAGGGGGATGTACACAGGGTAGGCTTGTCGATATTATAACTGCCTCATATGGCTGTAGCTGACAGCTTCCAACAGCTTCAAAGAAAGCACTTGAACCCTGCCTTCTCATTCCGCCATATCAAAGAGCTCTACCCTATTTTCTGGCAGAAATCGGTAGAGATGACCGAAAGGATTGCACAAGACATTGCCGCTCTCCCTACGAATGAAAAGATTGTTTGCTTCGCTGACTATACCGGAAGAGCAACCTTGGAGATAATTGGCCTAGCCGGCATGGGTTATGATCTTGATTCGGTGAATGAGCTTCGGGAGGAGTACCGAAAGATGTTCAGTACCCCAGGCCGCTTCACTGGAATTATTCGGAATATCGTCTTTTTGACTTGGCCAGACTTGTTTTTCTATTTGCCACTTCCGTATGTAAAGGCAATCACTGCTGCGTCACAAAAGACCCGCACAATCTCTCGTCAACTTGTCCAGCGGAAGCGACACGAGCTCTCCTCTAAGAAGATTGATGATTCAAGTGGTGATATTATATCCGTTGCCCTTGAAAGTGGCAACTTCACGGAAGAAGGCCTAGTAGACCAGATCATGACCTTCCTGGCTGCTGGCCACGAAACAACCTCAGTATCTCTACAGTATGGCACACGCATACTATGCACCCACCCAGAAGTGCAAAGTCGACTGCGTGAAGAAGTCAGGGCTAAGATCCCGTCCACAGGGCAAAATAGGGATGCAAATGGGTTACCACATATATCCTCCTCCCTACTTGACACGTTACCATACCTCAACGCATTTTGCAATGAGCTCTTCCGCTTCTATCCACCGGTCACTGTCACGTCTCGTCAGGCAATTCGTGATACCGTCATAGCCGGCCAACCTATTAAGAAAGGGACAACATCGCCATTGCACCCCGAGCAACCAACCGAAACCCGGAGTTCTGGGACCAGATGCCGATGTCTTTAATCCAGAACGTTGGCTGGCTCTCTGGCTGTGCGAATACCGGCGGAGCTGAATCGAACTACGCCTTCCTTACTTTTATACATGGGCCTCGCAGCTGTATTGGAAGCTCTTTTGCGAAGGGTGAGTTGATGTGCTTGATTGCTGCACTTGTAGGAAGGTTTGAGATGGAGCTTGAAGATCCAGATAAGGAGCTGGAGATCACGCCTGGTTTAACTAACAGGCCAGCAGATGGAGTTAGGGCCAGGCTGAAGGTTTTGGAAGGCTGGTAGAATGTATTACGTGAAAGATTCAACCCGAGGGACGTGTTTTCTATGTCTCTATTCATGTGTGTGTTTGAACGATAGATGAGCCCACAACATAAGTCCATGGGTGTATGTGATGCTAGAGTACTACAGTTAATTGTAGTACTCATCTCTGAATGCCATCATTCTCTCCCTCTGTACACCATTGGCATCTTCTTCCGTCCAAGCTCGAAGCATGCCGCCGCTGTTAAAGTCGAATACTGCCTTTCCCTTAATCGGCTCATCGCTTTGGTGCTTTTCAGCCCCGTGTGGTACTTCAGTCTCAATGCCAATTATTCCTCCCGAACCTTCTCCGGTAACTCCCCACCGTGGGCCTGCCGAACGCTGAAGCTCTCCGCCAGGTCCAGCGATGGCAGTGATAGCATCTGCAAGCGAATCCTTTGCTCCCAGTTTCAACAGCGAGGCAGCAGAGTGGGCAGCGGCTACACGGACGAACGAGTCGCCGTTACCGGTGCAAGAGAGTCCGAGAGCTCGGCGAGATGACGAGTCGGGGACATCCCAGGCTTCAGCCCAATATCCGGTCCCAAGTGTTGACGTATCGCCAATCCTTCCAGGCAGTTTGTTTGTCAGGCCCCCTGTACTTGTAGCTGCAGCTATATTTCCCCATTGATCAAGGCATACACACCCAACTGTTCCTTGACTGAGGTACTTCGAAATATCTTCTCCTGGTTTAGGCAAGGTGTCATGGTCAATTGAAGCTCCTTTACCCAGCCCTTTCATGTGTTCATCCCACCGTTTCTGGGTGAAGAACCATTCATCGGGCTTGGATTCCAACCCCCATTCATTTGCGAGGGATTCCACATACGGTCCACACAAATGAGAGTGCATGCTATCACCTTTACCCCTGTGACCTTCCACGTCATTCCGTAGCAAGACTTCCCTCGCTAGCCGTACCGGATGGCGAACGTTTTTCAGCATCATGACGCCAGCACCACGCTTAATTAGTCCCCGCTTTACATCTTCACAACCTTGAGTTTCCGGGAATAGTGAGCAGACCATCACGGAAGCTTCCATCTCGTGGGTGCCAGTAACTGTAAACACGCTTCCCCGCCCACAGTTGAAAAGTTCATCATCTTCTAGCAATGACACGGCATGGACAGCTGCGTCGATAGCAGAGTATGGTGTAATCTTCTTTTTGGTACCGTCTTCTTCTTCCTGTTCACCGTTGAGGAGAGTAACAGTAGAGTGGAGGTATTTCAATAGAGACGCTCGGTATCGCTCATATAACTCTGGCGGGATTCTGGCGCGTGTAATGTTCCCCGCACCGCCATGGATGATGACCGTTGGTTTAAAGCGCGGTCGCGGCGTGGGTTCCTCGGAAGCCGCATATGTGACTGTCATGGTGTCCGCGCCAGTCAGCTATGGGTGGGAAATGAATTCCGTAAAGGTCTTTGTATGAGTAGAATGATGCCCAACTTCACCTTCGGCTAAAATGCGGAGTAACAGCCGCTCTTTCGCCCGGGTATGATCACGTGGTGCTTAAAAGCCAAGAGAGGTATATAAAAACAGCAACAAAAAGGAGGCAGTTCATCATCGAACAATGAGTTAGTTGCAATTGATATGGCTTTTTCGCTGCAATGTGCAAGTAATGTACAGGGCGCGGAAGGTATTCTCGCTTTCCAACAATCATTAGCGCCAAAAAGAGAAGAGAAATTGGGCATATATCCATGGTGGTCTGGGAAGGTGCATTGCACATGTAGACGTTGGGGGGACATGCATAATTTATGGATGTAACAGGGCAGGATGAGATCTGGACAAACTGCGAGGCGGAGGTTTTGGGCGTTTTTGGTGAGTTTGATGAGACACCCTGGGAGGAAATTGGGGTTTAATAAGGACATTATAAGAAGGGTAAAACGCGGGATTGAAGGAAACCGGAGGGAAAGGGGAAAGACAAATGGACATCATCTATTTATAACCCATGCCCCTAAGAAAATAAGAGACCAAATAACTCCAGATAAGATGAGGATTTCGAAGGATGATATGTGGGCGAGGATAGATCCAACGCAGAATCGTTGGGGTGAAGAAACGGTGTGGAGATATGAGGCCGGCTTGGTATATATGGTTGAACTGACTACGCAGTCATTGTATTTGATGAACCACTGGGTGGTGGTGGAGGTGCCTATATGCAACATACATCAGTTTGGAGTTTCAAGCCAAAAAAAAATTCCTAGGACAAACTTACATCTAGTCTGGTGTTATCGGCCATCATTCTCTGGAACCCGATACCAACACCCTCGATAACAGCCAAGAAACAAGCGCACATGATGGCAGAGTTTCGTGCAGCTCTCATACCACCACGGATAGCGAGTGCACCACCAGTGAAGAATCCAGCGATAACTGATGACAGCACATTAGTTCATAAGCCCGCAATGACTCTCGCATAATGTATTGTGGAAGTGAAGGTTGACGTACTGGCATTGTAAGGATCTTCCTTCTTTCTTATTCCCTTGACTGTGCAGTCGAATGTCGAAAAGAGACCACCCCAAACACCAAAGTTACCGCCGAGGACTGGAGCACGAGCTTTAATGGCTGTGATGGCTCCTATTCTTCGTTCACCGTATGGGCTATTTCTGAATCCCTTCACACCATGCCAGACTGCACCACCGATGGCCTTAATGATAACCAAGTCAGTTCAACTATACCAATCACCCAGGATAGACAAATATGACATGAAATAGAACGATTGATGAGAGGCATGAACGTACACCCATACTGAAGGCACCGCCGAAATCACTGAGGATGACATAGGGACACGGGTCGCGGGTGTGATCCATTATGCCGAAGTGGAAGGTATTATAATATTATAAAGATGGCCGTAATCGTGCAATTCGAATTTATTTTCAAGCCCAGCAAGAAAAACAGGCCCGCCTTATCCGGTGTATTGTACAAATCGAGGTTTATGAAGATTTTTCTTCCGGCGATGAATCGGTGTCGGAATGAGCTTTCACACGGCTGCGTCGACCGTGTCCGGGGATCAGGTAGTGGAAAATAAAATATGGGAACAGTAGAAACGGAAAGAAACGGCGGTTTCCTGATGGGTTGACGAAGGTGTTTCTTGCGCCGTCGTTCGTTTGTCTTTTCGATCTTTGTCGATTTTGCTTTAAAGCTTTTGAGAAATAAAAAAAGATCGCAAGTCTTTCATGCACGTGACGTCATGTGACGAGATTTTGCCTTCAGCCCTCGGCGACAACGAAAGCTGAAGATATCAAAGTCGAGTTCAACAAGAGGCAAATATACAAGTCTGGAAGTGAAGATATGCGAGTGAGATGGTGGAACGAGAAGTCAGGTTTATGGTTTTTATTTTTGCTATTCTTCGTCTTCCCGTATATATCACCCTCGCGGGCTGGACGGGCTGATCTAGATCTATATCTAGACTAAACTGATACAACTTCAACAAACGCCTGCAAAGAAAGAAAATACCCAGACACAAATGATAGCTAAGTCTCCAAAGAAACATACATGAAGATGCATATGGTCATGTTCAAAATACAAGACAGAAAACAGCCAAAGAACACGCGGATAGGCCATTATATCCGGTGGCAACATCAGAAATACACATTATGGTCATCAAGAACAGTATAGCAACGCGTGGGACATCAGCTAAATAGCTTTCTCAGAGGAGAGGGCTTCTTTTTCTTCTTCTTTTCCTTATCTTTCGTTTCATCTTTCTTATGCTTGCTCTCACTGTGGGACCGAGACGTCTTGGAGCTTTTGGAATGTTTGGATGAGTGTGAGCGGCGTGAATATTGTGAGCTGGTCTCGTACACACTACCACCAATATAAGACGATACTCGGGTTGGTGCAGGGAGTATCCGGCTGCTTCTGACCTCGCTTCGACGGTCGTTCTCGTACGCCTGCTGTTCGTTAAGCATCACACGAGACATTGCCGCTGCAGTGGGTGTAATGAATTCCCCGTCCACAGATGTTCCACAACTCTCCGCCTCGGACTCCGCAACTCCTCTTCTCCAGCCTTCGATGCGGCTCATGCTGGAATTGACTTCAAGTAGCTCGTCGACCATAACAGGAGCTTCGAGTTGGCGTTCTTCCACTCCTTCAGGCTTGGATGAGATCTGTTTGATGATTTTGTATCCTCCAAACATCACTACAGTGACGCCGATACCCACACCGGCCGCAATCATGAAGTGTGGGCTCGCCAGGAGAGCGAAAACGGCTGGTGCACTGGCTCGCAGGGTTGCAAGCGCAGTGGGGCCGAGATCCGTCACGAGCTTGCTGATTTCAGCCAGGGTGAGAGCAACAGCGGCCATGGCATCCGGGTTTGACTGCAGGTGTGCAATAGTTGCTGTCACGGAGTGATGGGCGCAGTCGGCTTCAACGAGTAGATCCTTGACCTTTCCCACGAGTCCGGGCATATCGTTAGGTTCCGGATCGAGTCGATCGAGTGCAGACTGATGGAATTCGCCGTATGCTAGATCCATGTCGACTTTGGGGAGGGTATGGGCGCGTACTTCGCCGTATGGAGGCCTAACAGGCTTTGCCATAGTAAGGTCATAGTCCGTATGGCGTCGGGCAAGCTGGGCGTTGGGATGGTGGCCTTCGGGATACTCGGAGTGAATCTCAAATTCGAACGACCGGCGTTTTTGCGACCTGCTCGAGTGGTGACTGTGATGTCTGCTTTGCCTGTCGTCGTCATGGTGCCGAACAACCGATTTGGCTCGGCCTAGGTGCCGTTTAGCAGTCGTGGAGCGGCCATCCTCGATGGTGTATGCTGCAAGGGCTCGACGGGTGTCTCGTTCTGCCTTTTTTGCATCCTCCGCGCTACGGATAACCGCCTTGCGTTCCTTATAGGCAGAACGAGCTTCTTTAAACACGCTGAATAGATGTTTGCTCTGGACAGAGCTTTAGCCAAAGCACTGGTGGTGGCAAGGCAACAGCGGGACTCACGGTGCTAACAACTTTCCCAGACTTGTCTATCACGGAGATCGTCTGACCTATAGCGGCGGCCATTTTGGGTGCTAAAAAGCGATATAGATGAGGTATGGATGGACTGGCACACAGTGTCTAGTCTGGAAGAAGCCGTCCCGAGGCTTCGACTACCATATGTACTCGATATGAAGAATAAGAGTATATGGTCTATTTCGAGTGTGCCAGGAGATCCCTCTCGCAATGAAGTGCTTTGCTGAGTATATATAACTACCGCTGCCAACTCAGCAATCTGGAATGACATCCAATATTAATAAATATGAAGCGGGACCCATCCAGCCATCGAGCACCATCCGATCCACGGCGATGCCTACCGCCCACTCTCCGCTGGCCAACTGGCGCCCTACTTTTTCTTTCTCCCTTCCCTGTTCGGCCTCAGTTGGGCTGGGAGAATGAAGCGGTTGGGCTGCGTGATTGGCGTGAAAGAGACGAAGAAAAAAAATAAAAGGAGCCGGCCACTCGATGACGATGTGGCGGTGAATCGTGGCGCAGATTCTCGTATAATATGCAAGAACAGCCACAGCAACTCGATTCTGCTGATGATGCAAACTGAAGAAATGCAGACTCTTCTCTGACTTCCTGGCGATGCCTCTTAGCTCTGTCTTTGCTCTCCCTTCTCGTCTAAGAGCGAGTGTGATGTCGGACGCTGGAAAAGATGAGTCTGATCGAGAGAAACGACGGTGTAGGGGTCGATATCCCTGTGGAGTGCAGTGGACCGCCGGGTAGTCGTTGGGCTAACCCTTTTAACAAGCATCCCGTCTTTGCTTGGTCCACTGCTTTTTTTTGGCTCCTTGTTCCGACAGATAAACTATCGGGCGAGTTTACTTACGGTCAGCAGTCAACCGTCCACAGCTCTTGAAGCTCGAACAACCGCCGTCGTCCGAATCATTGCATAAGTACTCTATATGCAGTGGCCGTCGTTTGTTGACAGCTCCATCAGTGGTAAAAATGATGTCTCAAAACGAAACACCAGGGAGGTCCGGCTGCTGTCGAAACAATTCCCACCAGTTTTCCGCCCAAATTTCCCTCCGCGGTGCTAAGACGCATCGGAGCTTTGATGAAAGTCCCTACAAAGTCGTGATAGCCGATGCTATGTATTCCGCGGGCTAGAAACCATCATCAGCCTCTCCTGCCCTCAAAACCACCATGGAGTCCTTTGTCCATCCATCCAACGAGCCCGACATTACTTAAAGTTCTGGTTGCTCTCCTAACTTCGCCGTATTGACCTTCAGTCATGAAGTGATATTGGGTGTTTCTGCGACTAGGCGAGTATGAATCCAGATGAATCCAGACGCTCGGCAGGGGGATCTGCACAGTCGTCTGACAGCTAGGTAAGCCTGAGCATGTCAGGGCGTCCATATACAATTAGATAAACGGTAGGTTTGGGTTGGGGGGCTTCCCCATACCTTAGGCAGATAAGCCTGGATGTGGAGGAATTGTGTCGTGAGCCCCTCTCAATTACTTCGTGTCCCGTAGCTACGGAGAAAACGTCCAGACTCTTGTCGCCTCTCCGGAGCTCGTTAAGGATGCGCGCTGGGCATCGGAATTTTCTGATTTTGCCTCTTCTGCCTGCAAGGCAAACTACTATTCATACTCCGTACTAAATGGCGACAATCTCACACTTCGGCATGTCTACCTAAACAATTACACCAATCAAAGGACCACACAAGAGGCGGGAGCTGCCTTGCCCAAGCAATGTCTCGATCATGAGAATGCACCTCTGATTGGTTGGCTAATGCATGAGAAGTGCCTCACTCGTATGGAGTACCTTGTACCCGGCCCCATAAAGAGATGCACGATATATGACCCCGATACTGCATAACTTCTCTTCACCTAATTCTCCATTGATGACCGTAAATCAGAAGCCGAGATGGTATCCGTAAACCGTGAACAGTTTTTGTACTGATTAAATAGCTATGCAGGAGGTAGATCCATAACAGCTAGATTAGGGATATTTACGGTGTCCTAAACCTTTTCCGTCTCATCTCGTCCCCCTTTGCCCATCATGATGTTAACTCGTCACTCGCTATGGAGTGGTCAACAAGCCGTTTTCTGCGGTAAGCCGGCCCGCATGGGCTACCCAGCCCTTCCCGCTAGATATGCCGGTCTCGCCGCCAGGATGACTCCGTAGAACCGGTGATTTAGCAGGCCATTAACAGGCTCCGTTCTCCCCTTAGCCAGCCGTTCTCTACCTGGCATCTCAAGATCCAAGCCGAAGACCAAGCTCCAAACTCCAAGCCACGCCTCATTTCCGTTTGAGAAATACGGCCTAGCTGCAATGCCAAACCTAATGGCTCTCTCCTTTTCAGGTCACGATGCGGTGAAGCTGCACCGGTCGATGCAACAGGCTGGCTGGTCCCTTGAAACCAGCGAATTCCCACGATAGCAGACAATAATTGGCCTGCCGATAATCCATTGTGCATCATGCATCATTGATTAAAAGATGGTCGAGTGACCGTGTCCTACCTCCCATTTATTTTCCTTCCGGCGTAAGAGAAAAGGATAGTCACTTTCGTTAACCTGTCGACATTCTTTCATCCTCTCGTTTGAACATCGTCTTTATAGTCTTGCCCAGCTGTTGCTGCTGTTTATTTTGTTGACTGATTGATCCAACCTCGACCTCTGACCGCAGCCATGCCTCCTTCAGTCACTCGAACGACGCTGAGATATGGCATCAATTACAGCCAGTCCGCAGCTTTCGGTAGGTCGATCTCATTGCAAGTCTGTTCATCTCTCTTCTGCTGTCTGTATGGATGCCCTCCTTTACCCGTCGTGTGATTGTCGCGGAGGTGAAGTTGTTGTTGTTGTTGTTGTTGAGATGAAGTTGGTGAGAAGAACAAAAAGGAGTCAGTGCACCGCCACACGATGTCGACATCGCGCTTCATGGAAAAAATCTCCCCTTTTGGCCAAGCTTCCGCCAACTTACAACATGACACAGGGAGATTCATAGCATTTATCATTGACACAGAGCACAGTTCTGTTGCGGACGAGTTAACGGTGGTCCCTTTGTTTTCGATAAACTACTTAGCTAGTTACAAAAATACGAAGGAATTGGCTAAGCTTTGATTGACAGTTTTCATCTTGCATTACTGACGGCATGGATGATATAGATGCCAATAGCATTGATACAGGCTTCACCAAGCTCTCAACAGCTGAAACTGCTGGATGGAATGCACAGGACTCTGATTCATCGCCGACGACGGAGTCTAGGACTGCTTCTGGGGTGGCGCATCGGCTGCAGGCCAGCCGTTCGGTGCTCTCATTAGCTATTGGCAGGCATTGCGTATTTGCAGGACTCCAAGGAGGAGACATTGTTGTAAGTACCATGGCAATTATTTTGATAGGAAATGCTGTTCAAAAGCTGATTTCTACATCAGGCGTGGTCACTTTCGACTTATGAGTCAATAGCTTCAGTGGCAGCACATCAGGAGAGCGTCCTTGGGCTTCATTTGTCCCCAGATAAGGAGCTCCTATTTTCTAGCGGTGGAGACTCTACTGTCAATGTATGAACCAATGAGTTACATTATGGGTAGAAGTACTAATGAATTATAGGTTTGGTGCACAAGAACGCTGGAACAGTTGTACTCTATAGAGTCTCATCACGACCCTGGGGACATTTTTACCGCTGTATACTCCTCAGATAGGGGAACGGTGTATTGCGGTGGTCAGAACACGAGTATACAGGTATGAATTAAACCTATTTAGTTCTCCAGGCTATTTACTCACAGATTCCTTCTAGTGGTGTGACCTCCAACAAAGTGACATACCACAGACAATCGCGAACAAGGCAAATAAGCCGCACAAGTTCTTTGACTCCACCGGCCCTGGATCCACGGAGCCCATCTCTACCCCTTGCCAAAATGGGGTTGGGAACCATCATGGGCAAAAACTATATTTTAGAAAAGACCAGCACCGGCTCTTCGCTCACAACGGGTACGTTTATTGCATGAGACTTGTCCGGGGATTGGTAGAAACTAGTGGTGGAGAGGTTCTTTTAACAGGATCTGGTGACGGATCTGTCAAGATATGGGAACTAGGCCATGGCTCTGGTGTGGCGCCAAAAGAGCTTTTTACATTGCAAAACAGAGACGAATCGGTTTTATCCATCTCAGTTGACGGGACATTCCTCTACTGTGGCCTCTCAGGAGGCGCAATCAATGTCTGGAATTTGGAGTCGAGGCAGATCATCAAAACGATCTCTAGCCATACAGGCGACATATGGGCGATTGACATTATTAAAGGGTTCATTCTTAGTGGTGACTCAGATGGTGTTGTGAAGGTAAGAATAACTAGCTTCCGCCTCACAATATATGGCCAACCAGATCTAACACATCCAGAAATTCAACTCCCGTTTTGAGGAACTTGGGAGCTGGACCGCCCATGATGGGAAGATGCTCACATCTACATCTGGGAATATCAAGGATAGATGGATCTTCGCAACTGGTGGTAATGACAACACAGTTGCCCTGTGGGATTTGACCGATGAGAAAGCCGATTCGCAGGAGATACCTGCCATTAGCAACGGTATGCAGCAGCCCTTTTTGGTTAGCTATGGATTATCATCTTTCTAACGAAAAATATTAATAGATGAAATGGTTAACACTCTGGCAAAATTCATTGCATTCAAGACAATTTCGGGTTGCTCAACCTTTGCTGGCGAATGTGCCCAAGGAGCAATCTTCCTCCGCAGGCACTGCAAGTATCTAGGAGCTCAAACTAAACTACTCGGGACAGGCCAGAAGAAGAACCCCATTGTGTTTGCTAAATTCCCTGCGAATGCACCCACAAAGAAGGACAAGTCTATTCTTTTCTATGGTCATTACGACGTTGTCGGTGCTGGAGCGAGCCACCCTAAGTGGAATACTGACCCATTCCACTTGACCTCTCTAAACGGATATTTGTATGGCCGTGGCGTCTCCGACAATAAAGGGCCGTCCCTTTCTGCGCTTTATGCTGCTGCAGAACTCTACCAGCGAAAGGAGCTATCTTACAATGTTGTTTTCCTTATTGAGGGAGAAGAAGAGTCTGGCTCACAGGGGTTTGGACAAGCAATCCGTGAAAATAAAATCTTGATTGGTCCCATTGACTGGATTCTTCTGGCCAACAGTTACTGGCTAGATGACCATATTCCCTGCCTGACGTACGGCTTACGAGGAGTAGTACACGCAAACATTGTTGTATCAAGCGACCAACCGGATCTTCATAGTGGCATCGATGGAAGTTCGCTACTCGACGAACCCCTCAAGGACCTGACATTGCTTTTAGGAACTATAGTTGGACCCAAAGGAGCCATCAACCTTCCAGGTTTTCATGATCCAGTTCTACCACTAACATCTACTGAAAAGGCACGCTACGACGCTATTGCCGCAGCGTTACTACCGCACCACCCCGAAATCAAGGACTTTGAATCATTTACAGAATCTCTGATGCATCGTTGGCGTGAACCGTCGCTTACCATCCATTGCATTGACATTCCTAGCTGCAAGAAGTCGACTACCACTATATCAAGAAAGGCCAAAGCATCACTGTCTATTCGTATCGTTCCAAACCAAGAGTCCAGCAAGGTGGCAGAAGACTTTATCAACTGTGCTCAAGCCCAATTTGCCGAGTTACATTCCCAGAATACCCTTACTGTCGAAATTACCGGGACTGCGGATCCATGGCTTGGAGACCCCGATAATGAACTATTTGAAACCCTTTCGCGTGCCGTGACATTGACGTGGACCAAGGAAAAAAACGGCAGCCAGGGACACAGCTACCCTCCGTTGAATAAATCACAATTACGCTCTCGCCCTGAACCAATACATACTGATTCGACTGACATCGCACATATCGTTACTTCTTCATCTTCGCCGAAATCGCCTGCTGCAATGCAAAAACAGAGCATTCCAACGTCTTCAACTCTTGTCGATTTATCAGCCGCCTCCAGTTCAAACAGTATAAAATCTAACCCAGAAAGCCAAAGCTCTCCCCGAGAACAAGGTACATACTCTATCTCTGGACAAGAAAACTGTAACGGTAGGAACCTCACCAAGCCAATATACATTCGTGAAGGAGGATCTATCCCGACTATCCGCCTTTTGGAAAAGGAATTTGGTGCTCCGGCGGCTCATTTACCCTGTGGCCAAGCAAGTGATAACGCTCATCTGGACAACGAACGTTTAAGGATCCAAAATCTGTACAACAGCCGTGAAATTTTCAAGAGCATGTTTTCTGGAAACTAAATAGGTCCGGTTAAATCATTTACTGCATATACCCGGTTTGGTTTCTTTTTTTGTTTCTTTTTCTTGGTTATTTTTTGGGATGAAATGGACCGGTTAGATTTCATTTACGCTGTGAAATTTCGGGGCCTACTTTTGGACCTAAGCCAGACTCTCATTTCATATTTATCAAAGGACGTGATAGTAAGTGATGGTCAACCAATGATACTACCTAGTCAAGCTTATTAAATGATCCTTCTAGTAGCCAACCAGTCTCTGGATTAATAATTATCTTGTTTTTCCTCTGGTACGAAATCTGCCCACCCGGAAGCAATGTTCCCGGACTGCCTAGGGCCACCCTCCATAACTATTTAATCCAGGAAAATAAACACTCCTAACATTTCTTCAACTAATAGCATTTGACTGTTTACCAATATCTTGTCCTCATTATTTAATCATGGCCGTATATGCGGTCGGTGCCTACGTTCTACTAAGTTCAATCGCAGTCATATCTCTCAATGTTGTCTATCAGCTGCTTTTCCGCCTGTTGAATAAATCTAGGCCGCCGCTAGTTTTTCATTGGATTCCATTCCTGGGCAGTACTATCAGCTATGGAATCGATCCATATAAGTTTTTCTTCTCGTGCCGAGAGAAGGTAAGAGATGAATGAACAGCATCCTTTGTACCATTCTTGCTTAACTAGCTAACATGGATCTCTCGGATCTAGCATGGCGATATCTTCACTTTTGTTCTTTTGGGCCGTCATACTACCGTCTACCTGGGTGTGAAGGGCAACGAATTTATCCTAAATGGCAAGCTAAAGGATGTAAATGCAGAGGAGGTGTATTCCCCTTTAACAACCCCAGTTTTTGGATCTGATGTGGTCTATGATTGTCCAAATTCCAAGCTCATGGAGCAAAAAAAGTTCATCAAATATGGTCTCTCGCAATCGGCTCTAGAGTCTCACGTCCCCTTGATCGAAAAGGAAGTACTGGATTATCTTAATACTTCTCCCAACTTCCACGGTCAATCAGGAGAGGTAGATATTTCTAGCGTCATGGCTGAGATCACCATTTTTACTGCTGGGATTACCCTTCAGGGGGAAGAGGTACGGTCGAAACTCACGACCGAGTTTGCCTCCTTATATCATGATCTAGATAAGGGGTTCAGCCCTATCAATTTCATGCTACCGTGGGCCCCTTTACCGCATAACAAAAAACGTGATAGTGCCCACTCTCGCATGCGTGCCATATACACCGATATCATTGATAAGCGGCGACGCGCAGGAGCTGCGTCCACCAATTCCCAGTCGGACATGATTCATAATTTGATGCAATGCACCTATAAAAACGGAAAACCGCTACCAGATAAGGAGATTGCGCATATCATGATCACCCTCCTAATGGCCGGTCAACACTCTTCGTCCTCAATCAGCTCCTGGATTATGCTTCGTCTAGCCTCCCAACCAGAGGTAGTAGAAGAACTTTACCAGGAACAACTAGCCAATCTATCTCATACCGGCCCCGATCGCAGCCTGGCTTCCCTACAATATAAAGACCTCGACAACCTCCCGCTACATCAAAATGTGATCCGCGAAACCCTCCGTCTCAACTCGTCCATCCATTCACTCATGCGAAAAGTCAAGAACCCAATGCCAGTTCCTAGCACACCCTATGTAATTCCCACGTCCCACGTCTTACTAGCATCACCGGGCGTAACGGCCCTGAGCGATGAACACTTCCCCAACGCGATGGAATGGGATCCATATCGATGGGAGACCCAGAAACCTGAGGGCAGTGAAAAGGAAGAGGATATGGTTGATTATGGCTACGGTGTAACGTCCAAGGGCTCTAGTAGCCCATATCTTCCATTTGGAGCTGGCCGTCATCGCTGTATTGGAGAAAAGTTTGCATACGTTAACCTAACTGTAATCGTGGCTACAGTGGTGCGTCACTTGCGAGTATACAACTTGGATGGGAAGAAGGGTGTGCCTGCTACAGACTACACATCACTCTTTTCTGGCCCTATGAAGCCTACGCGAATCCGCTGGGAACGAAGAGTGAAGTCATAGGTATCCTTGGTATATTCATACGGTTGCTGTAATCACCTTGCTAGAAGGAGACAGAATATATGGAAATCGCACCCTGGAACAAGTTAATAATAATATTTCTTACTCTCTCCATACATCATTTGCATGTATTCCTCAACATGAGTCTGGTAAATACAACTCGCATGGTTCAATCTATGAAAGGCCTACTTTATCGTCAAAATACTATAGGTCAAGGATAGCCTTATTTAGATCTTGAAGTTGGCGTTCTTTGGAAGTTGCGGCTTATTTATGCTTAACTTCGCGGCCCACTTCTCTAACCTTCTCTGCCTACCTCAAGAGAGCGGGCTCTACTTGTGATAACGGACGCAATAAAGAAAATGAACACATTGTTACTTCATTTTCTATTCAAGTACTGATATCAAGAGCCGAGAATTGAGTAATTACCATATCCTCTTGGCCGCCATTTCATATCTTTTTACGTTTTCAAGCCCATGGGCCCCACTACCAGATCCACCAGGTTTATCACTTCTGCTTTTTGCTTCTCGATCACGCACTCTCCGCAGACCTTCAGGGTCATCGACATATATCCATCTTCTTTTATCTTCCCCAACCTCGACGGCACCCCAACCACCACCACGTCGACCTCCTTCTATCATATCACTGTTGCTGTTGCTTGCGCTATTAGACAGCGACGTTTCGATAGATGGGACAGGTAATGAAGACCCATGAGGTAAAGGGGATGTCGAGTTTATGTACTGTTGTTGCTGCTGGCGCCGTTGCTCCCGTTTCTGTTGTGCTGCATACTCCCGCTCTCGATATTTCATATTCTTGTACCTTGTTCGAGAGTAGCCCAGAAGTATCATGCCGAGAACGAGTTTTCCCAGAAGTAAGGTGATATACAATAGTAGAACAAGGATGACAGTGAAGATAGGGACGAAAGATGCGGGGGAGGGAGTGGCATATGAGACTAGTGTTTGGAAAATAGAAGAAGCTGCTTGCGTGATTGTCGAAAGTGAGATGGAAGATAGGACTGCAGAGGCGGAAGAGTTGGATAAGTCGGATAGTATAGACGATAAAGAGGTCGATGGGCCAGAAATGGGTGCATAGTGACTGTGTATCTCAGTCAAGGACGTAGCGTTTGACGTCGAAGGGTAGAAGGGAGATGAAGATAGCTGTGGTAGCCAAGCAGTTAAAAACATCTGATATGTCTGAACTGAAACGCGGAAAAATAGACAGGCAAGGGGTATAACCGGTAGTCCGAGGCGGCGGTTAAGATTTGGGTCGGAGAATGCGCTGCTATAGTAATCTTTGGCGAGAATATCAAGGAACCTGCCGTACATTGCTGGCTTAAGGTTATTAAACTTGCTAATGTAGGCATGTTTGAGCCAGTCGACCACCATCTCGGAGCCGAGAACAACGAGGAAAGGAGCCAGAAGGTGGCCAATTGCAGGGAGAATGGAGTTAACACTGCTGAGTGAAGAAAACACGGACGATGGAATAAGAAGCGTGAATGATTGCGGAAGGATTGATGTGGACGGTCGAAAGGCGGTTGTGCTGTTGGTGCTGGTTGCCGCGTTGCTTTGAGATGTCAAGGCACCTCCGAGCTTGAAACCTCCTGTTTCTACGAAATTTCTTGAAGCGATTATGACGAGCATTAGCCACAGCTGGAACCGCTCGACGACATCTGCACAGGTGAGTTGGAAAAGGTTCTCCTTTTCAAATCTTTTGAAGACGGTTGATTTGATCTCGACGAATTGGTTGGATAATAGCAGGGTAATCAGCGCGTTGGAGTATGAGTTTACTGCCACGTTTAGGGTCATCACCTGATAAAAAAGCGCCGTGGCGTGGATCACGGTATATATAAGAGCAAAGATGAACATCCAAAATGGACGTACGACTTTGCTTCGGCCGTCTGGTCTTCGTTCCAATGCTTCTTGAGAGAAAAGACATTCGAGAACATCTTGTCCGATGGCAGAAAGTAATCGATCTCCAACCTAACGCAAGGTTTAGCTAGAGAAAACATTCAATGGGTACTTTGACACCTACCTCAAGGACGTTATATATAACGTAGAGCTTGATAGCTGCCTGCCCTCTAATCCAGTGGTACATTCGACTCGCATCGAAATACATTAGAATAGTGCAGGTGAATATCATCAGTAATCCTTTAAGGATATCTGCCTTGTCATTTGCAAGCAGTGTGGACGGGATAGACTTTGACCTCCGATGTCTTCGAGTTGTAGATCCACGACGCCGATGTGCATCTGACCCTGAAGCTGGATCTAGAACCGGACTACTATCTCTTGGCGATGGGTCAATGGGTATAAGCTTCGGTGAGGAATCTTTGAAATTAATAGGTCTCTCATGCGCGGTTTCAGACACGGAATCACGTCGTCGTCGACGTTTCCACATCCGACCGAGGCCGTTCACAATATATGAGGCGACGAACTGGATCTCAAGCCCAAGATTAATCATCCAGGACTGTAGCAGGATGTAGACTGCCTTTAGAAATTGTAGTGGGAGAAGAGTGAAAGTATGCAGCCATGAGTCGAGACAAGCCAGCGTGCCAAAACATAACGCCTGTTCTAAAAGCGGAGGAAGAAGAAAGAAATTCTGCAATCTTTCTAGCATAACCCTAGAACTCTCATAGGGGAAATCATGCGCTCCTGATCGATGGATATATAATGACGATGGTCGGTGAGAGGACAGTTCGAGCTGGAGGTAGGTAGGTATAGAAAACGGCGGAATTGGAATAGAGGCTGGCACGGGTGACACGCTTCTATTTGCGCCCGATGAACGTATTGGTCGGAATCCTGCATCTAGATTCAACGGGGACGGCATCCGTCTTGAACGGCTACTTGAGCCATTGTTGTACGGTCTCGCTCTCCCATCCACAGGCACTGGACCAGACACAGACGAGGCCTTTTTAGAGGAACGAAATGACGTAGGGAGTGGCTGAGTTGGATCACTATTAACACGCCGGCCATGAAACTCCAACGGATCCTGAAGATGGACTTGTTTCTTTCCCGTGCTGGACCGACGTGTTCGCGCGCGGCTTCTATTGCGTTCCTTTAGTGCACTGTTCGAGCCCGAGGCAATACCCATATCTGCGTCGTAAGCATCCTCTTCATCTTTCTCATCCAAAGGTATCAGTGAGCTCGTCGGTGGTCCCCGTTCTGTTTCTGCTCCAACCTCGATAGGCGAGATGTGAGCCGGCTTTAGTGGTATCTGTTGAACTTGTGGCTCCGCCGTGTCAACATCGACATCAGTGTCAACATCATCAGCTACCCGCACACAAGTGAATTCTGGCGAAGACGTTAGGTCCTGTAATTTCGCTGGGGATAGCTTTTGGATCTTGTCCTTTTCTCTCGTCCCGTCCCCCTCAGCATTGTGTTTATTTGACTTTGGCGGGCGCGAAGAGATATATGAGCGGTCTTTAAGCGTAACTTCGGCTGCCGCAGGTCTTGGTATCTGGCCAGCTGGCCTTTTCGGGAGCGTAAGGCCTTCGTCTACAGTATTTTCCGGCCGTTTCGTTCTTTGACTTTCTGGCTCTGGCGTTTGGACTGGGCTGGGTAGCTGTCTGCGGTCGACATTGCCGCCAACCTCCACTGCTGTCACTGGTTTCACTTTAGGCCTGCTGATATCAGTGACTTTACTTCTCGCATTCTCCCATTGCTTCCCTTGTACCAGTGTTGTTGATACTTACTCCGAGCTCGCCGCCAGCTGCTCCTCACGATCAAGCTCATCTGTGTCCTCGCTTCGGTGTCTGCCGCCATTGAACAGGGATAAACCAGCCATCTTGTCCGGGGTAGTCACGCGCTTTTCTCCTCCATTATCAATACCCAGCCCATTCATTGTATGGTACCCATCACTTGTCATTCTGCATCATTCGGGTGGTGGCGGTGTAATTGAGGTTGGAGGCTAGTGGGTGAATAGCTATTGGGCTCCGAAACTGGATGCCACTTTTTCAACGCAGGTGGAACTCGAACTGGCGTTTGAGTGCAAAAGAAACGATAGAATACTAAGCGTCGGTATAAATGTAGACAGCGGAGGAGGGTTCTCTGGTGCTTCAGGTAGCTACCAGGTATTTTATGTATCTGTGTCGTGGCCATGAAGCTGGATGTTTTGGTTATCTTTTCTTATCAGATCTACAGCTTACATATTGGGCCTCGCCGCTTTAACATGCATATCAAAAGTCCTCGAACAACAAAGTATGATGAAGATGAAGCATGAAAAAAGAATCAGTCCATATATTCTATTTTCTGCCCATATAACAAGGCATGTCTCCCGTCTTTTCCATGCGCCTAGCTCAATATGGCGAGAGAAATGAACTATAACCTGAACCTCCCAGAATGTCTGTAACTACCGTACAATATCCCTGATGTCGTTGTTTCCCGTCATAGGGGTAGAAAAAGAGAAAGGAGAAAGGGGGAATCGCTTTAGGTTTATTTTTTGCAAAAAGAAGAGAGAAAAGAACAAGGAGCGTGAGAGACGGGTTGAATGAAAGAGTATCAGGAGATGGATATATGTATGTAAATGGTTGAATGAAGGTGAATGTCAATGTCAAAAAGCAGTCAATGAGTCAATCAATGAATCATTTGCTGCACCAGTCGTTAAGAAAAGATGTCAATGGTTAAAATTGGGAATCTGTGAAGAAGAGGGAAGAAGGAAAACATAGATTGGTCTTTAAGAAGGGAATATTCAATTGAGGCTCATAAATTGGTGAATGAATGGCTAAAAAAAAGGGTATATGCCAGTTGAAAGAAGATAAATAAGTAGAAGACGGATTTATGGGTTAAAGGGAGGGTATGACCCATTTTGTGTGTTGTTTGGTGGTTCTATCTGAGGTAATTGAGGTTCCTGCTGAAGACCTGGCTGTTGCTGCTGCTGTCCATGGTCCTGGCTAGCAGCTTGGCCATGGCCTACTTGGCTGTGACTGTACTGCTGCGCATGGCTGTGAGAGGGTAAAGGTGCAGTTTCCGATCGCGGTGGCATGTCTTGTCCTCCCAGGGCGGAGTAGGGAGCTAATGACGGTCGGGCAAAGTTTCTGTAAGGTGCTCCGTAACCGTTCGTAGGAGGCGCGCTCGGTGTGGGAGTTGGGACAGACGGTATATGCGGTGCGGAAGACATCTGTGGGCCGTCGTACGGCCCGTACCTTTCACGTTCTCGGTCGCGGTTAAACGATGGCGCAGGCGTAGATACAGATGGCGGAGGAGCAAAGGCAGTGCCAGGGCGAGATATTGGTGGAAGAGTTGGTTGGGGGTTGTGTGGCGGTAGATCTGGCACTTCTCCGGCATCCCAGGCCTGTTGTTGCTGCTGCTGCTGACCAAATGGAGTTTGGCGTCCCATTGAGCCCGGCCCCGGCGTCAATGGTCCTGGAGTGCGAGGTCCTGGACCCGGAGTCATTGGGCCCGGAGTGCGCGGACCCGCGCCAGGCCCTGGTGTCATGGGTCCCGGTGTGCGACGGCCTTGACCAAGCCCCTGAGAGTTGAAGATTTGCGCAGTAGAGACAGATAGCGGAGTGCCGTACCGTTCTACGGGTGGGAGCATAGGTGTCTTTGTGTATTCACGTTGCATCGGGTCATTCTGGTAATGCTGCTGTTGTGGTGGATGATGTTCGTATTGCGACGGTGGCGGTGAGTATCCAATACCACCAGCATTATTCACTAGAGAAGCAGAGGCATCGTCTGAGTACTGCATTTGATGCATCGAGTTAGATGGCGCCATGCCATGATCAGTATGGTGGTCGTGATCATGGCCATTATAGTCATCGTAGTCGTGGTCGTACTGGCCGTGTTCATGGTTGTGGGCATCCCAGTCGACTTCTGGCAGAGGCGGTGGCCGATCGGTGTTGGATGTCTGAGGCCGGTAGGGCGGCAAGGTAGTGACGGTCGTCTGGCGCGAAAGAGGCGGCATCTCCGGTAACTTGGGTTGTTGCGGCTCCATGACTGAGGGAAGAGTGGGTAAGGTAGGGTTGCGCTTGACGGAAGCTATTCCAGTCTCGAGATCGGTGTTGGTACGCTTCCTATCTTGTAGGACGACAGCGTTGGTGAGAGCCTTGTCGACCTTCTTCTTGACGATGCGTTCGAGTCGCCTGTTGATCTTGCGACGACAGTAGACTGAGAGAGTGCCGTCCTCTGACGGGATATGGTGCCAGAGGAAGAGCAAATACAGCAGCACGGAGACACAGAAGGAGATAAACTCGAAGGCCCAGATGACGAGGGTGAAAAGCATGGAGAAGAGGATGAGAGCCTGCAGCCTATCCTTTTCAGCCAGAGCTTCGATATTGATGAAGAACTGGGAGATTGCTGACGTTCCCTCTTGCTTGTTCTTGTTGCGCTTTCGTCTTGCTCGTTTGCGACAGAGTAGAGGGTGATGCCATTGATGACCTGGCGCGGTCCCTGAGCAAAGATCACTCTCAACCATGCTAGTTACCCGTTAGATAAGAGGAGCATTTGATGCATTGTATCTATAGCAGGACTCACCCTCGAAGTTGAAGTAAGTAAAGATAGCAACGTAGTCCGCTCCCTTTCTACTCTTGGTCAGCTCGGCGAAGACAAGAAAGCGTCTCCATCCAGATGCACGCTTGCTGGTGCGAATACTCTGGACCTTGACGGCGATAGGGTCGAGGTAGCACTGGGCAATACCGCCCGAGTTGATAACCCTGATTGCGCGCAGCCAGCGGTAGATGAGCAGCACGAGCGAGAAGATGATGCAGCCGGCGAATATCCACTTGGAGATGTCGAGCGGGATAGCAGGCTTGATCTGGCTGGACCAGCGGGAGAATGCAAGCAAGTTAACGGCCGTGAAGGTGTCGAGCGCGTAGACGGCCAAGGAGATCAAGACGTTGAAGTAGAGGATCATGTACGAGATGGGGATCCAGCAAGACTTTGTAGTAAAGTCGTTCAGGTTCTATCTCCGCATTAGAATATATCTGGACAGTGTTTTATGAGGAGTGTATGTCTGGATCTCACAATGTAATCCCATTTCTGCTCCTCTCGGAGCCTAACCTCCTCATCGCGGCCCCCACAACAGCCCATATTGATAATCTGCGGTAGCAGTAGTAGCAGCAGTAGTAGGTGATGCTATGTATTAGAAGCGACGCGCAAAGAGCGAATTGGCAGCGCAGCCGCACGTATATGTCAAATATAGCAGTATCAGCACAATGCGACTGGCTGCCCTTTTCTTCTTTCCTTCTTCCTTATTTCCCTTTGTTCCTGGAAGTGTGTCTGTCTCCTGTCCGAACCCGCGGACAGAGGAGGAGGAGGAGGAGTAGTAATAGTAGTATTGATAGCGGCTAAAAAGAGCGGCAGGACAGGCATTTATCAACAATGCCAGGTCCCTGGACGACGGTCCGGTCTGTTTCGACGTCAAACAGCGAGCCTAGCGGCAACGCGCATCATTTCGACCTGGTGGTATGTATGCGCTGGGGCTGTAGACGAAACAGGCCGAGCAACCTATCTAGATGCAGAAGTAGACGGAGTGCGCCGGCGAAAAGAGCGAGATGCCGGCCCAGCAAGCAAACAGAGGGCTATCTAGCGAGCGACAGCAGCAAATGAGCGTGTGTGTCTGCGAGAAGACGGCGGGGAAGAAGCAAACAATCCTGAAGATCAAGACGTCGACAGCGAAGAAAAGACGCTGAGGTCGAAGTCGAAGTCGAAGTCGCGGGCGGCAGAAAAAAGGGAGACAAGGCGGAGAAGCCGCAAGGGGACTAGCGCCGCCAAGAAGTCAAAAGATCTTCTTTTCAGGGGATAAAGCTTGTTAATAAGCATGTGTTACTCTGTTTTCTTTTTTCTTCTTCTTTCACTCTATATTTTGGATGTTTTTGATGCTCGATGACACTCGATGATACGCGATGCTGGCTGACGATGGCTGATATGACATGGTCAGAGACAGATATAGGCAGGATGACATGCATGGGCAGTCGACTAGTGAGGCCTGGCGGGTCACGACGATGCGCTTGATCGCTCTTTAAGTGGACAGGTCTGAAACACGGCGATGGAGATGTGGCTGAAACGCCTGCGCTCGGCTGGCGGTGCAGGCAGATTACCAGCCATTAGGCTCGCTGGAGGAGTTGCCATTCACACAATACACAAGCAGTCAAGTCAAGCCCGGATCAGCTTGTGTCTCTGGCCTTGTGGCGGCGGCTTTATGCTTAACTCGTGGACGCTGGGCATATACATATCAGCCAGCATCAGCCAGCGACGGCAACCATCAACATCAACACCAACACCAACACCAACTAACGGCACGACGGGCAGAGTACGAAGGCTGCCCCATGCATGAGCTTACTAAGTTAGTCACTCCGTATAAAGATTATGGCTGGTGGTGGCCTTGGCTTGATACACGATTAATTTAATCTCCCTATATGATATCCTGCTGGGGTTATCTATTTGAAGCTCGGGGAAGGGGTCCGTACGAGCCTTGTTTGGTTGAGGGGTGATCTCATCTCCCCTCAACTGGTCCTGCAAGTTCTACTCTGTATACCTCTCTGGACGGCTTGTTTGGCTCTCGAAGGCCGTTCGATCCAGCTTGGCAATGGCTTGTTACAAATGCATAGCAGCCGTTGACTGGTTAGCAGCGAGCGCTCTGATCAGCGTGCAGCCAAATTATCCATCTACGTACGGAGTACCACTTAACCAGTCCACAAGCACAGAACATAAAGTGGAAGTATATGTCTTATTCTAGAGGCAGTTATTTTTACCTGCTGATCAGCTGCAGTTCCAGCGCTTAGCTTTGCCTGCCAGATACCCCGGGCTGTTCTTGTCTCTGCTTCATACATCCAACTTTGAAGAATTCCCGGATCGACACATTGCTATACATAGGTCAGCATGGGTGATGACATCGTCGTTGAATATCATCAGGTATCAACATGAAAGAACCGGCAGGATTTGATGGCCGTAACTATAGGCGTAGATACCCTGACCATTACTTATGCATTATACACCTTCCAGCAGCAAATCAAGGGCCAATCAACCACGGCGCTTAGAAAGTAAACACGTAAAAGAGAAATAGCTTGCATAATATGCATGCATGCATGCATGTATGTATGTGCATATGTGCGTATGTATGTATGTAACTATGTGCATTGCGTATGTTCATATGTACAGGTGCAGGTGCTATGTACGGGTGTTAATATATAACAAGTATTTATTCAGCCAGTCGACCCCAGGCCGGACCAAGCCATTCGTCATTCATTGGTTCTGTTCTGTTCTCCAGACGATATATCCCTATCTCATATCATCCGGAGTAACTCTTGCCAGCCATTCAAGTGCAAGTAATTTAGTGGCCAGCACGGAAAGCTCTCCAGGCCTGGGCAATGCGGGCGGCCTGGCCGCGAGTGAACTGGTTCATGCAGACACTAGAGAACGTCAGTATATCAATTCACACAAATTTTTTATCCCTTGTGAAGGAGAGAAAACATACTCGTAGCTGTAGTCCATGTAGTTGTGGATAGAATCAACACCGCCGCCAGGGCAAGAGTCCTGGCTGCTGGGGCAACCGCTGGTCTTCTTGGACTGAGCTGGAGTGTCGGCGACCATGTCAGCGTCAGCGCAAGAGCCGTTCTCGCTGAAGACGTGGTAGAGACCTACGGACCGGACAGTTAGTACTATATCACTTGATACTTGGTGACAAGTGTGTATAACTTACCCAAGAAGTGACCAACTTCGTGGGTGGCAGTCTTGCCCTGGTTGTAGTTGGTGGTGGAACCACCGGGGACGGTGCCGGAGCGGACCATGCAGCCATCCATGGTGATGGTGGTCTGACTTGGGTTGGCTCGTGGGAAGTAGCAGATCTATCTCGTCAGCCAAAATGTAACTTTTTTGACAAGGGGGGCTAGAGCAGATAAAAGACTTACTCCCAAGAGACCGCTGCTGAGGTTGGGGATAAAGTAGATGTTGAGCGTGGAGTAGGTGCCCTGGTGCAGAGCCCTCTTCATGCCGGCCTCGTCTCTGCCGCTGGCCCAGTTGGCGTTGTTGGTGCGGGTGGCCCTGACAAGTCTGAACTGCACGCCAGCCTGGCCGTAGTGCTGGTTCATGGCGGAGATCTGAGCCTGGAGCTGCTGGTCCTGTAGAATTTGTTAGCAACCAGGTGCCTCTTACTTAAAAATAATGGAGTATAGAGTCCTTACGGAAATGTTTCCATTCTGGCCATCAGTGAGGACGTGGAGGTAGGTGTCAATGGTGATGCCGGCGGTCAAGTCAGCGCTGGCAGCCTCGGCGGTCAGGGAGCTGAGGGCCTGGGTGAATTCCTGCTCATAGGCACGAGGAGGAACGGCACCGCAAGATCGCTCAGCGGCAGCAAGGGAGCCAGCGGCAGCAATGCCGGTAAGGAGGACAGAGAAACGCATGTTGAATATGTGTTTTGAAGATAGGGATATCTGGATGACTGTTCTGGCTTGGTCTGGTCTGGTCTGGTTTCTGCTGGAGAAGGAGAAATCCAGCTCGACAGCCACGGAGAGTCATTCTTTATATACTCCTCTGGCATGAGCTCAAGCCCTCGACCTGTCCATCCGTCTGCAGCCCGGAAATTGGTCCCATACGAAGGTGGAATTGGGGATATGCGGGTTCATTGGACTGACAGCTCGCATGAGGCCTTGGCCCCCTGGCTGCGAACCGTCACTGGGGGAGGGGGATAGCGGTCTGCAAGCTCTCCAAACCGCGGTTGGTATCTCCTCCGCAACTCAGCTAGCTACGGGGAAGTGATGAAACCGAACGTAGCCGTATCCGCAGGACGAGATAACTAGCTAAGGATCCAGAGGCAAAGAAAAGAAGACAGGAAGAAACGGAAAAAGAAAAGAAAAGAAAGAAAAAGGAGCAATCACTATGAAGAAACAGCCATTGCACAGGCCTGCAAAAAGCTTCAAGAGACAAATAATAATAATAGTGTCAAAAGAAAACGAGCCGGATATTAGGAGCCGGGGCGGAGGCAGCCTGCTTGATATCGGCCGTGGGAGGCCCTGTTATCTCGAACAGCCAGCTGACTCGGCTACCCAGGGCTTGTGGAGCTTGATACCATGCCTCTAGTCGTAGAACGCCGCGGGCGAGAAGCAGTCGAGCATGAATGATATCAAGCTGGGCTGGAAAGCTGGGGGTTGCAGAGTCTAAGGGTCGTCGACATCCCCCTTTTTATATATAACTTGCGTCGTGACTAGTTATATGTATGACCCCGATGCTCGATCGTCGCGCGGTAGATCAACACCACAGCCGCCTTCTGGAAGTATTCTTCGCTTCCAAGTCGATCAGAGAGTAGATCCGTGATATTTTCGAGGCACACCCGACGGCTCGTCTTCTCGTCCCGGAGCAGGACTGCACATCACTGCTGTTTCCCCCCGCTGTTTCATGTGCATGAGTCTGGGGTGCAGGCTGTAACCCTGGACGGAAGAGCCAAAATCATGCTAGTTTATCTTGGACGGGGGCAGTTCGTTCGTATTCCCTGGAGGCAAGTCTTATGTCGCATTCACCTGCCAGGCTATCTGCGGGGACGGGCCTTGATGAGTTGTCATATTCGTGATGGAGATGGAGATCGCTGGCAGAGACAGCGTAGATATGGACGGACGACCGGCTTGATATTGGCCTGATATTCGCCGCAAGACGGCCTCACCGGCGTTCTTCTCGCAAGTTAATTAAACAGATTGCAGTGCGGAGTAATACCTAGCGGACAGACGACGGACAAAACCCGTACTTTCACCGACAAGAGTGTTTTGTTTGGTTGTTTTATTCTACTGCCTGCATGGCCTTCGCGGGTTGAAACGTCTCGAAGACGTCGCAGCCAAGCCGGCTGGCTTCAGGCTTATTTCTGGCCCCTGAAGCGACGGCTGAGCTGGCAGGCAAGGCAGATGCAGCCAGCAATGCAAGGACGGGCGCCTCTTAAAACCGTCCAGCAGCCTGGATGAGCACCTGTTCATCTGCTGATATTAATATTGCCATGGTCCTGTCTTCCTGCTCCGTCGTCCAAGCCGTCTTATATATTCTCCGGTTACTCTCCTAAGTGACTACGGAATATAGGAATGAATAACTAAGTCTCCTTGCCAGGGGACATGGGTCATCATACATAACTACCTGAATCATGGGAGAGCGACTCCTGATGCCTTTGACTTGACCTTGATATCAGCGTGGAGAGCTTCTTCTCGCTGCTCCCGGTCTTCGGTACTGCTCTTGATTAGAGCGCACCAGATCGTACGATCTGTAATAATTAATGGAATCCATACCTTATAGCTGAGGCCTTAGCTGTTGGCTCTCGGATCCCGGGACTTCGTGCTTCCTTGCTCCTTACGCCCTAGTAAAAGTGACTGTGGATAAGCAACTGAAAAAGCTCTTCCTGCTGTCAAATTTCCTGTCGTCTTTTATTAATCTCATGCCTGGTCATGGGTGAATGCTTCAATTAACTCTCCAGTTACCTAATTTTGATTGATTAATTGCATTGCATTGCATTGCATTTTTTTTTTCCTTGTCTTATTGCTTGAAATATCAACCATGGGTGCCAGCCAGCGGAAGTCGCCAAAGTCTGAAAAGGAGGTCGGGCAGCCAGCGACTTCAACTTCAGCATCATCAGCAACGCCATCAAAATTGGCCAAATTCACTGATGGCGCTTCAGATGAGTTCCAATTTGGCGGCTCGCTGGGAGCTACGGGAGTCATGCTGGGCTCTCCGCTGATAATGTGGTATATGTGGATTGGCGCAACATACTACAACGGCGCGTTCCCCTGGCCTGAAGCCGGCCAGAGCTGGACGGACTTTGCCCTCCATCTCGTCCATCTGGTGTACGAAGGCGGCTACCCCACGGCGAAGGCATGGGCTATCTACTGGGTTTTCTTCATTGCTGAAGCCCTGATGTACTGCTACATGCCGGGAGTGTCGAGCCATGGACGACCCCTGAGGCACGAAGGTGGCCTTAGGTTGCCTTACTACTGCTCTGCATACTGCTCGTTCTACGCGACTCTGGTGGCAGCGACGGTCCTGCATGTCACCGGTCTGTTCCCGCTGTACACGCTGATCGACGAGTTTGGCTCTATCATGACTGTTGCCATTCTGTCGGGTTTTATCAACAGTGTCATCGTCTATGTCCAGGCGCTGGTGCGAGGCCGGACTCACCGGCTCACTGGACATCCTGTCTATGATTTCTTTATGGGCGCTGAACTGAACCCCCGTATTGGTATCTTGGACTTTAAGATGTTTTACGAGGTCCGGATTCCGTGGTTTATTTTGTTCCTTATCACTTGCTCCGTGGCTGCTCGCCAGTACGAGACTTACGGCTATGTTGCACCCGAAGTAGTCTTTTTGGCTGTTGCTCATTATCTGTACGCCAACGCCTGCGCCAAAGCAGAGCAGATGATCATTACTAGCTGGTAAGCCTGTCAAAGTCCGCTTTTACTTTCTTTGGTCTATATATATATGTATATACTAACTTTCACGTCCAGGGACATGTACTTTGAGAATCTGGGCTGGATGCTCACTTTTTGGAACATGGCCGGTGTACCGTTTACCTACTGCCACTGTGCCTTGTACATGGCCAACAACCATCCATCTGAGTACCGCTGGAGCCCCATTGCCCTGTCTGTTCTCGGTGTCTTCTATCTCTTCATGTACTGGATGTGGGACAGCGCCAACGGACAGAAGAACGCTTTCCGTCACAGGGAAAGGGGGCAGCTTATCAAACGCAATACATTCCCGCAGGTACCCTGGCAGGCTCTTGAGAACCCCAAAACTATCAAGACAGAGGTGGGAGACCATCTGCTTATCGATGGTTGGTTCGGAATCATCCGCAAGCCAAACTACGTTCCGGACATGTTCTTCTCCTTCACCTGGGGTCTACTCACCGGCTTTAAGTATGTCTTTTAAACAGTGTTTTTGATGAATCCGAATGACGGGCTAACCCAGGTTCTAGGAGTCCCTTCCCCTGGTTCTACTTTGTCTTCTTCATGATTATGATCATTCACCGCACCCTACGAGACATTGATAGATGCAGACGGAAGTACGGTGATGCTTGGAAGGAGTACGAGAAGACTGTTCCTTACATTTTCATCCCCGTGAGTATTCTTCCTCTCGATATTGCCCGTATACACATGCTAATATTAATATCTTCGCAGTATGTCATCTAGCTGTCGATGGTTTATAGGTGGCCTTCCCATATATTACCGCTGCTCTTTTGTGGCGCGTATGATTCCACTATAGTAATGCTTCATGTATAATAAAATTATCTAATTACTAGCATTGGCTGATAGACTGTATAACTAGAAAAAGGTAGTACGCAATTGCCTTTAATCGTCGACAACTTTCAGATCATCAATCAACAACGTACCTTCGACTGTCAAGGTTTTCAGCTCGTTCTTCTCCAGCCGCGTGATAAGTTTAAGCGGAAGCGTGGAATTGAAAAACTCCGGTTTTGATAAGAACCATACCATACCCATATCCATTGATCAACCTTCCCTCCCTCCGGAGCAAGATCATCAAGGTGAATACATTGACTTGGCATTCCCGGCTCAAGATACCTCTCTGTTATTGCATCTTTCTTTACTTCGTGGTTGACGAAGTGTGGCTTTCTTCTAGCAGAATAATGATTGGAAAAAGGGTAACTGACTCCTGATGCTTCATCAAACTGCGCCTTCTATTGAAACCGGCATCGTTTCTTCCCCCCTGCACATGCCAACAGCCAAATATTACTCCAACCCAGCTGCATTCTCCACGGAATGCCGCAGATGTTCTCAGGTATGGAAATACCCAGTGATCCAAAGCTTCGCTCTACTAGACACAACCGCTCAACTGTGTCAGCAAAACACTTTCGGGTCATTCACCCGAGTTGGCGGCTGTGCATAAGCCCATACGCATATATCTTTCTATTGGATATATAATATTGAGAGCGCCATGTTGATGGAGAAGAGTATAGAAAAACCTGCCATACAGCTGGGGGAAAGGGATGGGCGAGATAGCAAACTGCTCCCTTCAACCGAGTAGTTAACTAACGTAACATTGTTAGCTACTTGCAGTCGAAGTCGGCGGTGATAACTTGAACAATAGCCCTGGCCAACATCCCTATGGGGTTACTGCCCAATTTAAGTATTTGTTAATACTCCACCAGCACATCATGCTACATGAAAACATCACCAGACACCTCCTGGGCAGTGACCTTGTCTATATCTTTCTGTCCTTGGTGATATCTGCATATCGTCCGACAGTTCTCAAACGCGGTACCCTCCGAACTGTCTTGTAACTGATTCGTTTCGTTCCCTGAAACAGAGTGGCGGATAATTCTCCTGATGGGGTTATCCCGACTTCAACTCTGGATAAAACTCTTCAAACCAAGATGAGAGTTGTGATAGAGAACCAGTCAAATTGTACTAGTCGGGATGTCCCCGGGTTTGGCAGTGGTATCAGCCTTGGTATCAGGACTGGAGCCCGTAGTAATGGGTATGGAGGCATGGAAGCAGGGAGCATTAGATGGCTAGGACGTCTGCAGCATCGTCAGTGCAGGAGAAGCTTGGTGTCGATCTCATGAACGTCCCCCGGAGTTTAAGCACTTAGTTACAGGCGCATGGAGCATTGCCCGACTGGTAAATGGGTAACGAGGCATTGCGCCGTCAGTGCAGGATGCGTGGACGAACGCTTTCTAGAACTCCTCAAGTGGCAAAGGCCGAGCGAGTATATCATTATGCCGCTGAGGTTGGGCATGCATGCGCACGTTGATATATAAGGGAGAAAGAGCTCCACAGAAATGGTTGAAATAGGCAAGTCGCATATAGATTGAAGGTGGCATTCTTGGCTATAATGAATATCATTCTTCTATATTAATATCAAAGCAAATTAACGCTAGATGCCGGCGTGTTCTGTATATGTATGTACACATGTGTCTGCATGTCTATATGCACGCATGTCTATTATCTACGGAGGATGTATATACATCATTCATTCATCGTTCATGCGACCGGTGCATAGAAGCTGAATTTGCCGTTGGGGTCATACTTCTGCTTCAGGGCCTTGAGCTTGTCCTGACGCCATTGCTCGTAGCCGTACCATTGCTGCGGCGTCTCGCTGCCAAAAGCATAGTTGACGTACGTGTGGAGCTCGGAGCGGCCGCTGCCCTTGAGCAGGATATCACGCAGCTTTTGGCCGAGGGCGACGGCCTTGTTGTCGAGATCAGAGCCGGTAGAGTCGTAGCTGATGAGAGGGGCGGCAAGGTGGTTGTCTCCTCTGAAGGCGTAGGCGGTGGACGCGGCGTCGACGGCCTTGACGCCCTGAGTAGAGTAGCCTTCGAACATGAAAATAGAGTTATGGAAGGGGCCAGCGATGTTGGTCTCAGCGGCGTACAGGGTGTAGGCTTGCTTCATGGCGGAAACGTTGAAGGACTGCAGGTAGATGGGGAAGCGAGGGTTGGAGGCACCAGTCTTCTGGCATGGAGGAGAGTCGAGGGCGATACCGGTCCATCTGCCCAGATCCTTGTATGTGCCTGAGTCGGGAACAGCGGAGATTGGGTTAATGTCATGGAATGGGTTGGTGATGGCCGAATCAACTGTCGAGACGCCCTCTTGGATGAGGTAAACGATGATAACAGGCTAGAAAAACATGTAGATGTCAGTAAATGTGGAATATATATATTTGTATATTAAAGAATAAGGGGAACGGACGTTGTTGGCATCAGCACTGGGGTTGTTGAGCCAGTATGACCACTGGATAACTCCCTCGGGCTGGTTCTTCACGAGGTTGTTGGCGGCGGTATAGACTGCCGCGACCTTGTCGCCGGAGAAGGTCAGTGTCTCGATGGCCCAGTTGGTGTGCTCGATATCGTAAATCTTGAGCGTGACGGAGGTGACGATGCCAAAGTTATGGCCAGCGCCCTTCATAGCCCAGAAGAGATCGGTGCTGGGAGTGATAGTCTTGAGGGTGCCATCGGCAAGGACAACGTCCATGGACAAGAACTGGTCCGCAATGAGTCCATGGTGGCCCTGAAGCCAACCGTGGCCGCCTCCGAGAGCTGGTCCAAGATAACTGACACACTCGCAGGTTCCGGTCACTAAAACGCGAGTCAGCAATTAAACGAACTGGTCATAAAAGAAGAATGATAATAGATAGCTGGAGCTAAATTAAAGGGACTAACCGGCTTGCTTATTTGCATCCCAGAGCTTGTCGGCGAGGTATTTGGAGTTTATTCCACCTCCGGCCTTGACCGATTTACCATCCTGGGCGATTTCGACACTGTTGAGTTGTTTCATAAAGATCTCAATACCACTATCCATCTTGCCCAAGGTGGTGAGGGCGCCATGGGCAGAGTTAAAAGCAAGGAACGGAACATTCTTGTTGTTTGCAAATTTGACCTAGTCGCTTGTGAGTATCAACGGCTATAACGAGCGAAATCGTCATTATCATCGTCGTCATGAACTTACGGTTTCAACAACATCCTGAGCAACGGTTACCTCGATGGCCACACTGACCATCGGTTTATCGAGGGCAGACCATCGAACGCTGGCATTGTCAAAGTCGCGAGAGCCAGGGAGATAGACCTTGGCCTCTGGTGACAGCTTTGGCACCAGTTCTGTCTTGATAGCATCTACCCAACTGGTATCCATATCTCTAGGACATATGTTCACAGAAGCGCCATTGCTAGCTGAGGGCTGTTGCTGAATGCTTCTGGCGGCTGAGCCGTTCGCCCATGCAGCCAATGCGAAGACGATCCCCTTTAGAAGCCCTTGCATCTTTGTGGTGTTTAAGGGGGCTGGGCGGGTGAGAGGTAATAGGGAGGGATGGAAGGTGTTGATGCAATGTTATGCAGGAAATGAGAGGTTAAAAACCCCCCAACCGAAGACGAGACGCCAGCACGCATACTTAAAGATCGGCAGGAAAGAACAGAAAAAGAAGAAGATGACCTGGATGGAATAAGCAAAGTTGTAGGCCCGCCAGACTATCTTCACACCGTACTCCGAAGCTAGCGTCGTGCAGCACGCAGAGCAAGGCGGCATGGCAGCGCGGCAAAGGGGCATATTGTCTTCTGATATAGGCCGGGGACTTAGGGGGGTGGTTGAAGCCACCAGCGAATGATAAAATACCGTCATACCGGACCCCTGTACCCCTGGATTTCGAAAAATGGGCCATTTGGATCTCCGAACGAAGGGTCCATATCCACTTCTTGGGTATAAAGTAGTATGTACGGAGTATGTTATAGTTATTTGCTGCGTGAACCGAACCTCCGCGCTTCTGTAGCAAAAGCGGTCGATGGAGCCTCCAGACATGAGAAAACAGAGACGGGGCCCATATAATTCGGTCTCAGAGCCCGTACTTATTGGCCACAGCCCAGAAATGGCCGTTTGCTTTTTTTTCCTTTTTCGCCATGGGCTCCGTCATGTTTTGCCTTCAGGACCGTCGCTGTCAGATCACACCAACTAGTTCTAGCTCTCACTGCGTGTGTGTAGATTTCGAGCTCGTATCCTCGGCCTCTTCTGGCTCAACCAGAATAGTAAGAATGCAACCCAGGGCTCGGACGATCAGACGGCAGGGGATCCCGGAAGCAGGCAAATTCGACTGTCTCTGCGTCTCATAAAACTCAGGTCTCGTTCTCTGTGGCATGGAGCATTGCCTGCCTGACTGCCTGTTCCTTTGCCTGTTTGATGCAGGCATCCTGCTGTATTACTCCTCTCCTCTTCTCTTATTTGCATCCCAGCCCGCCCCCCTTGAGCAGATCTCGGCCTGGACGAACTCCTGTTTTCTTCTTTTGAACCTGCTCTCGGCCATGCACAGCCATTGAATTTGAGAGACACCTCGATCTATATCAGTGCGCGCCTGTCCGACCATCCTGCCTGCTCTGCTATAGTACACCCCGAACAATATCATGCTGCCATCCACCCCGGCCGAGGTGGCTGCGGCCATGGAAGCTGGTCGCAAGGCCACGATCGAGATATGGACACTCTTTGGAATCGGCTTCACGGCGACGATGCTGCGAATCTATGCACGAATACACGCTGTCGGCGTCAGAAACCTGCGGCCAGACGACTTTCTGGTATTAGTAGCTTTGGTCAGTTAAAGTGTTTGGCTGTTGTTGTTGTGCGCTTGTCTGTGTGGCTGTGTGTTTTTCTGTGGTGGTGTGAAGGATGCAGCGACGTCCCTGGTCAATAGAACGAATAGAAGTGCTGACCATCCATGCTTTGGCTTCTGCAGGTGTTGTACGCAGCGCAGTCGACGCTGGGCTACCATGTCGGCACAGAGGCCCATGGGCTGGCCAACAACTTCATGCTGGACTCGCAGCGAGCGGCCCTGCCGGTCAACAGCATAGAATACAAGTTTAGGTGAGTGTCACGGCAGCAGCTTTAATTATCAAGAGCCCGGGACTGACGGCGCTGTTAGGGTCATCGGGTCGAAGATTCAGGTAGCCGGCTGGACGACGTACACTCTGCTCATCTCGATGCTCAAGTTCTCGATGCTGGCATTCTATATCAGACTGACCGAGGGCGTCGGCGGGACGTACCGCACGCAGATCTATATCGGCTTTGGCCTCGTAGCAGGTACCTGTATGGCATCGCTGCTCACCATCTTCCTGGCCTGCAGGCCCTTCCACCAGTACTGGCAGATATATCCGAACCCAGGCAGTGCGTTCTTCCCGTTCCCTACTATTATTATGCATATAGCTAATGCTGGTCCTTAGATGCATGCCAGCCTGCAGTCTCCAAGCCGGTCGTCTGGGTCTCGTTTACGGCCAACATTATTACTGACATCTACCTGATACTGATCCCCCTGCCCATGCTGTGGCGGTCGACCCTGCGTACGATCAAGAAGATTGCAGCCAGCATCGTGCTTGGTGCAGGTATCTTTGTGCTTGTCTGTGCCTGTCTCAAGAGCATCTTCGTCCTCGTAGTAAGTATACATCTATATACATACACACCTATATACATTTATGCAAAGATACTGACAAGGTAGAACCCTGTGAATGGCGCACAGCTTGCTGGCGCATGGGGAGTGCGAGAAGCCTTCGTCGCCGTCATGGTGACCAACCTGCCCATGATCTTCCCTCTCATCCGTGCCATGCTCTCTCCGTGGTTTTCCAAGCTCTTTTCCACCCAGAAGAAATCCGGTTACAAGTCTCCGGGGTTTCAGACCATCGGCGGCACCCCCCACGGCGGCAACTCGTCCTACGTCAACCACAACAGCCGGAGTAAGGGCCGTCGACAGCCCCAGAGTGACCTCACCACCAGCTTCACCCTCAACGGCAGCGACGAGCGCATAGTACACAGCCACGTCAAGATGCAGGACCTCAAGTCCTTTGGCTCTATGGACCACGAGCACCCCGAACCCCCACCAGCTCGAGGTATCATGATCTCCAACTCCGTCGAGGTCATGCACGAAGATAGAGGTAGTTTACACGACGAAGAACAGCAGCGTGTGGAGAATGTCCGTGAAGTCTGGTAACCCACTTACTTTACGGTCACTTACAATGAGGCACGACGTTTGATGTTCACCATAAAAAAGACAGGAGCCTTTTTTTCCATCTTATCTTCTTATTTTTACTCTTATCATCTTAATTTCCTGCCGGTGGCTTAACTATGTCAGGGGCGTCGAGACGGCACATTCGATATCAACCGCGGACGGCACGACGATACAAAAACCACGAATTAGTTACCGCTCGACTTATCAGTTTCGCCTCTGGCTCGATTCGATTCGACTCAACAGCCCACCTTCACCCGCCACGTTTTTTGCTCTTTCACCTACCGTTTTGGTCCTTAGAGTGTGGTTAATCCATGATACCCATTCCATTATTCTTGTCATTATTATTGCTTTTTGATATGCTTGTCGGTTTCCCTCTCCTCCCGTCTTAGTACGAGCTTTTGCATATATTCCCCCACTTTATATACGGAGTACGAGGCTTCCTGGAGCATTTCGAGTCCCTTTTGTCGATACCATTTCTTTTTTTTGTCCGTCTTTCTTATCTTGAATATCGTCTTTTGTATTTTATGGAGTAACCTACCTACACACGCATAGTTTATACGTTTGAATGACGGATGTACCTGTACCAATATCTGAACTAAATCAAGCAACTGTTACTTTAATTAAGGTGTAAAGAAGGCCTTCACAGGCTTTTTGGTAGCCGAGGAATGCGAGGTGGCTGGCGGGATTAGCCCGTGGGGACGAGAGTATCCCGGCCTTGCCTGACACTAAAATATTAGCCTCCTGACTTTTTCTGCTTATATTAGGGCTACCAAGGACTGGAGGGTTAGGCTGTCTTAGCACGGCACACAGGCTAAGACGGTGCAACGTGGGACGGGACGCTTACTCGAGAATGTTTGCCTCCAACTGTCAGCCATATAGTTACGGAGTACTCCGTAGTTATCAGTTTGTCCGTTCAAATCCTTTCGAATGTTCCGTAGGACTGTGAGAGTCGGACGAAGAGTTACTCGCAGCAAGATCATCATCATCCACATGCAGATGAACCAGTCGATCGTTCCCCTGATTCCTAACGGTAGATGTGGCATCACAGCCACAGTACAGAACGGCTCGCATAACTAAACTCTGACACAGCTTTTGCTGATACACACGTTTGCGCGGAGTACGGAGTACCTTGGGCCTGAATTGTAGCATAACAGGATTTATGTCTAAGTGCGCCATAACTATGTTACGCCGTATATAGCTCCTCATCTTGGTTCTTTGCATCTTCTCTCTCACGGAATATGGTTGAGTTGCGTCAGTGGCACTCGGATGGTTGGCTAACTACCTAGTTACCAACTTAGCCCGTTGTTTACTCCGTAGAGTATGCAGGTGGTATCATCGTCCCAGCTGCCCAGATAGTTCTCAGGCGCCTGGAGCACTCCGAAGATGAACCTTGGAACGAAAGCAAACACCCACATCTCCACGGTTGAACATACATATGCAACTAGCGTACTCCGTGCGGAGTAAGTAGTTAGGCACATTGTTCAGGCATCTCCGAGATGGAAACCCCGTTAGACCTGCAAATCCGATCAGCAGATGGAGAGACAGAATCTGGAGATATCTTCTTCATCGGGTCCAGGAGCCTCAACCCAACCAGTTTGCCCTGTCGGTCACTCCACTGGCTGCCGAAAGCAGCGCAACAGCCACGTTGGCTGACCCCTGGCGTCCCAATTTTTATCTCGACGGGCTAGGTAGGGAGAGGCTGGACGCCTCTCGGCTACAAGCCCAATTTGAGATGCTACAGACGCCTTGCAAGAAAGATTCTGTTGTTCCTTGTGCCTTCGCTGCACCCACTCTTCATCTGTCTAGGTTTGATGCTAGAATAGCTCGCTAATGCCTGGCCATGGCTATCGGGCGATAACTAGAGCCAACTGCTCGGCATTCACCACTTGACAAACACACGGCCGACCGCTCCATTCTGATGCATGGGTTCGACCTCGTGGGCATCCATCAATGAATCCACACTGGAGTGTCGTCGGCTGTCTCCTTGCTCTATGCGAAAGCCTTTTGTTCTTGCTCTTTCATCCTGATCTTGTTGTTTGCTTGGTGCTCGGTTATTCCCTGGACCCGACATCCGAAAACAACCATAAAGTAGTCTGTTTGCGAGGCCCACCGATGCCGTATGCCGTGAACTCGATATCGAGATCCCGAAGCGAGAAGCTAACTCCGGGTCGTCAGGCCCGAACAACCCTAGCACTCACAAGCACAGTCAAAACATCTGCCTTGCTCCTTATATGATCTTAGGCTTTCCCTATACAGGACAAGTGGAAGCGTTTCCGAGAGCCATGGCCTTAGCGCGTTAAGACAACCTTGCCACCCAAAAGGAGCGAAATCTGAAGAAGCGAGTTTGCGGACCCTGATCAGTAACTAAACATGATTACCCTCCGACTGTGATGCAACACTGCGTTAACTAACTAGTTAAGACAGCATTTTGCTCCCTTTCGGACAACGGAGTACGGAGTACGAACGATCTGTCCAGTTCATGGACGAACAGTCGCCCCGTTCGGATAACCCGCTGAAACATCTGACAGATCATTTGCTTGCGCCCGATCAGCATATCCGTACTCCATGCTCCGTACCATCGTCTCGAAATGTGCTTCTCTAAGTCTGGTATGGCTTCTGGTTGGACGGCACCAGGACCCAGTGCCACGATGGCGGCAAGACGTCGATCGGATCTCGCGGAGCTGAGATCTGGTGTTTGCCCGATCTCTGCTTTATCTTAATTCTATTTTAATACTCCGTGCCTCTCCTTTCTCTATCTGCTCCGCTTGCGATTGTATAATATCATGATAGCAGTAGGCGTTCTCCGGTGATAGTTGCAGTGACATAACTAAATCAACGAGATCTCGGGTTTTCCCTTTTCTCTCACAGCGATGCACGTGATGCCAAGCTTTTACTTTGCCGATATCCAGATGGGATGAGCTTCGGCTGTTGATGTACGGAGGATATTGACGTAGCAGTGATAAGCAAACGGTACCGCGGTCTTGCTTATACTTGTGATTGCTTGTACGTGTGATTATCGCAGATCCCACCATGGCGATATCGGGGGTGATAATGATTCTAGCGATCAGCGAGTCTGAGTATTATATACAGCACGCCTCCTCAGTCAGTAGTGGAAGGCAAGTTGGCCCTGAATGTAGTGAAACAAGGACGTAAAAATAAGAATCATAACAGAATAAAAGTCGGCTCAACATTTACAGCCTTCACGCCATAACACCCTTTACAGCATGCAACTCCATTTTAAACAAGTCTATGTTCTTCCCCTTGGCATATGAGGTCGTTTCCTCTCGTTTCCTTTTCAAAGATGTCTTCCCAGGAGACTTTGTGTCAATAATCCTCGCTCGTTCGAAGTCGATAAGAATCACACGTTTGTTCTCTGCATTCCAGAACATATTGTTAATGTGTGTATCTCGGTGGAGGACCTGGTGCCCGTGTATTGCCTGTAGAGATTCCAGTACAGAGGGCAAGAACTCTTTCAATTTATCCAGGCCGGCATGGAGTTTAATGACTCTCCCTGCATGTCCTAGAAGCAGCAAGCGTACTACTGCACAGATACCATCGTACCAGAGGGGGCTTGGGGATATATCGACAGCTCCCAGGCAGACAGGGATATTGACACCCTGAATGGAACTCAGATGTTTATATATACGCTCCTCGTAAATAGCACGGTTCACCATTTCAATAGGTACCGCCTTTGCAACAAGCGTGTAGCTGTATGGAAAAGTGGTAACCCAGAATAATGCTGCGGAAGTTCCGTGGCGATGCATGGACTCACAGCCCCAGGGGCCTGCTTTCCCTATGATTTGCTCACGGATTAGCTCACGACATTCGCGGTCATCAATGACATGGTGGCCGTTGCCATGACTGGCTACATTTGGACAATCCGGGTCAAGAGGGCCGCGGTTACGCAAACCAAGGAGGCATTTCTGGGTACACCAAGGTGCAATTGGTCCAGTATTATAAGTATATTGTTTTCTCCCTGTCGGTGGAGGGGGAGGAGGGTCCCGTGAAGAAGGTTGAGGTATGACAACCATAACATTAGAAGACCGGCGAGGAAGCATAGCAGTTGGGCTGCTTGGAGGAAATCCGCCGCCTCCATTGTCATCATCACTGGAGCCTGAACTGGCCTCCGGATCGCGGCACGATGCAGAGAATAATTTTCTCGACCTTGTTTTGACTGGCGTAAGACGTATGTATTCGTCTCTACTCCTATGGGTTGGTTTATACTCTGACAACTTCCTCCCTTTGATCTTCTCAAGCTCTGGTATATCCGGGGAAAAAAGCCTACTATCATCTTCAATCTCCCATCGCTTTAGCTGAGCTTCTGCGTTTTTTCTCCAAACTTGGCCATGGGGTCGAGATTTTAAGGCTCGGAGGGTGAAAGCAAGAACCTGTCCGACAGCCGTAAGATGTAACTTGTTATTCCCCGGATCGATATTCCAGCCAGTAGTATCCTTGATATCGTTGTTTGGGATAGAAAGGTAGTAGTAAACCGTAGTAGGGTCATCAGCAGCGACACGAAGGAAGATAAAAGCCTCCCCAGTACATATATATCCAAACTCAAGCTCTCCTTGGATCATATATGAGAACGCCTGTGTAACAACCGCGGCAACTCGCCGACGAATAATCTTTGTTATACTATCATCCTCAGCAACGCAAATAACCTCATTGACATCTATATCGCCGAGCCCTTTTTCAATGGTATCAAGGGTAAGCTTATGTGGTGCTTTATACTCAATGATAAAGACAGGGATATTCCCTTCACTTCCTGCATTATAAACACAGAACTGGTCGGCACGCGGGCGAGAGGACGTTGACCATACGGTTGGCATTGCGGGAATATCGTCTCCATGTTCATCGACCTGCCTTCGCCTTTTTTGCACGGGGGATTGCTGTGGGGTGCTATTACTTGGGCCGGGACTCCGTTCAGCAGAGTCTATAGTATTGCCATGATTCTCAAATATCACTTTGCCCAGGATATTAAACTTGTCACGGAGCTGGGAGTTCATATGGAGAGTTCGGATAACAAGGGAGACACGATCCTCGACAGTATAACGCTCATAGAAACAGAGATCCATCTCAGAGCCCATCAGTCTCACCTGCATATCCTTCCCGATCTCCTTTAAGGTATGCAGGGACGTAAAATGGGGCTCTGAGGCAAAGTCGACATTCAGAAGGTCTTGCCATACTGTCAATTGTTCCTGGGGGAATGTCGTCCACTCCCTGATATAGTTAGGTCGAAGTTTGGAGGACGCATTCTCCGGCAACCCTTGCGTGCCGGTTTTGTGGTTGACACGCGAGGAAAAGCCTACAGATAGGTGAACGTGACAAGCATCCAGAAATTCAGGGAGCGAGGTGGGCTGGGTTTGCTTCTGAGCCTTCTCGAGTTCCAGCTTCGCGTCCTCTTCCCTCCGTTCAGCATTCTCTTTCGCCTTTTCGGCGTCCTGTTGAAGACGCCTCGCCTTCTCAAGTTCCTGGCGAAGAGTCTCAAGCTCCGAAGCTGACATATTTATAAGTGTAGGTTATAGCTTGGAGAGTCTTCTATCGCGGTTGTTTATTAGTTCGGTCAACAGAACGCAAGAGACCCATTGATATTGTGTCAAAACGACTGAGCCACAAGAGGGAGTATACATTGAAGCTGTATTTTAACTTGTTGATGTTGATGCTGGCGTTGGTGTTTTTGGCTTCCAGGTAGCACCCGAATAGCCTCTTAGCGTGACTTGATTTGATTGGAGCCCTGGAAAGCCAACTGCTTTAGTCGCGTCTTGGCGTAACTATAACTAATACTCCGTATATCATCCAGTAAAACGAACAATTGTTTCATTGATACCGGCGGCCATAATTTTGATGTTAAATAGGGCGTTGTTGACGAAGGTGGATATATATTAACCTATCTATCGTGCTGCCATTTTGATAGCTTGCGTCTGACTATAAACAACATGCCCGCTCGGTCTAATAAAAATCAAGAATCTGGCCTGACTATATTATGAAACAAGAGCAAAGTTGAGGTTTTTGTGCTAACACTCTATGTAAGTGGCTCATGCGCTTGTTTAATCACCACGCGCATGCACACCGTTTAGCCTGGGATGGTGACTTCTCATACCGAGACCGATCGTTTAGTTACTGGATGCCTGGTAACGCCTGGCCACCGACAAATCGTGGGAATCCTTGGTAGCCGAGCCAGAGCTCACCAGTTCCCTGCGAACCACCGACAATCTCGTTTTTCCGAGCCTTGAGCTCATCAACGTCCCAACAAGAGAAGACGATCTTGTTCTTCAGGAATTCAGCTTCGGGGGAGACAATCCAAACGAGGAAGTCGGCAGGAAGAGAGACTGGGAAGGGATAATCATTAATTAGTTATATTAGGCATAGAGACGAAGTAGCCGCAAAGAACAATGTCAGTTGATACTCACTTTCGTCGAAGGCAAATGGCAATTTAATTGACTCTGACAGCTTAGCAGACATAGCTGTTTGGAGAAAACCAGGATGAACATTATGAAGACGCACTTGCGGGTTCTCGACAGCGAATGACTGCAAGACCTTGACGGCGGCCATCTTACTACTCACGTAGGCGCCCATGCCAGTAAATGGGGGAAAAAGGATGCCGGCTGTCGTCAGATTGACGAATGTGACTGGTTTGTCTTCATTAGGACTAACTGATTTGTTTGCCAGAACAACAGCCTGTGCCGTTACCAGCGAACCAACAACGGTAGTCTTATAGCCGTCCAAAAATGTAGCCGGATCGGCTTCCAGGAGCGGAACAACAGGAGCCAGAGCACCAGCACAGTGGATCAGGATATCGATGCCGCCAAACTCGGCAGCCACCTTGTTCATGATGTCGCGGACGCTTGAAGCATTGCACAGCTCAGCCTCATGAGTTTGGATTGTCACCTCTGCGTGGTTGTTATGGACAATAGCGGTGGTTTCGGTCAGGGCGTCTGTGCGCCGACCGAGAAGAATGAGGGCTCGCGGGCCCGATGCAGCAAAGGATGAAGCCGTGGCCCGGCCGATGCCGCCAGATGCGCCAGTAATCAACACAACCTTGCCCGCGGTGGAAAGGCCAGGCTGGGTTGGATTGATTCCAGCATATGTGGTAGAGTGAGTAATCTTGGTGTACGAGGGCGGTGGTGATGCCATTGTATTGTCGCTAGGTTGGTTGGAGTGTAACGGAGGTAACCGTAAGGAGTCGACCTGATTAAATAGCGGAAGCGGGAGGGAGGGGTTGAATAAAGCGTGTTATAGCCTAAAGGAGGGGATGGATATCTGGATATTTATTCTGGTGATAATATGCCATACCGGAAATAAGGCGATTGAAAAAACCCTTTAAGTCCAAAATCTACGGTTCTTCATGTGCATATTCGAAATCCAACAGCGAAATGGCCGTTAAGCCCGAAGGCTACAGCTATATCCATGTAAATTTCAGACAAGGGTTTGGAAATACCCTTATGCCCAAGCATGGTAGGTACGCTGTTGCATGGTCGGCCCTCGGTGTGAAGGATCCGAAGTGGAACCAATCCTTGGGCTTACGCGGGAACCCAAGTCTCGCGTGCTTCGGGGGTTTAAATATACCGAAGTCTTAAGTTCCCGTGCGGCTCCGAGAAGATATGGCCAAATACACACCACTGCTCTCTACATTCAAGATCAAGGCACATATCGTTAACTTGGGTAACGATCATGGTGAAATCTAGAGCCTATATATTTAAGGTTAAGTTTCGCAGAGCCGCCTTTTAAGGTTGAGCCTCATCTATTCGAGTAACTAACGAAGGATGGGTTGTTCTTTTGCTAGTTGTTTGCCTATCCTTAAATCTACAATGAAATTCGATGCTGAGGGATCTATGAATAAGACAATCCCTTATAAAGTAGTAAGTCAACAGTTGATCACATATTAACAAGGTATCAAGTATAGGGCGTTGCAGGGGGCTCCATACACTTACTCATCAACTGACCAACAATGCAACGGGAGTAGTAGCGACAAGATGATATCAGTTTATCTCCTCCTTCTCGCCACGGCTACTATAGTCGCAGTCGCTTAAAATAAAGCCATCACCGTTATCCTCCCTACAGCAACACCAAGTGCCACAATCGACCCGCCACACTGCCAGAGACAAAGTTTCACCAACTACTTCTTTTTCCCGGACCCAACCGGCGAAGTGTAATCACGGATTATGTCGCACGACAACAGACCTTACAAGCCCTGTTCCTCAGCTGCTGTCGATAGAATCCTTAACTGCCCCTTTCCCGAGGCCTCCGACTGGTGCAGTGTCAGCGCTTCCATTCCCGTGTCTGTACTACCCGCCTACTCCTCATACGGAAGCACGGTCTCAGATTAGTGGAAGTCTCGTAGCTCAGCGGCCTTCTCACTCGCTGAACAATGCCCTCATGGCTGGTTCAAAGCAATGAACATCTATTATAATGCTGCGACATGGCTGAATATGACTACTATCTATGGCGGATGCTATGCTGAAGCCAAAGCGGCTTCTGGCTCTAGTCTTTCCGACGGGCCAACGGTGACAGCTGCACCGACAGCAGCGCTGGGTAGAGGAAGCGCTACGAGCGCCATCGAACAGACCAGGAGCCCGAACGCCAATGGTGTACTTGATCGGGCGATGATCTGCTCTGTGTGGAAAGCTGCTAGTGTATGGGTAGTCTGGGTTTTGATAAGCTATGGCGTGTAGATTGGTATCACGGATCAAAAGTTTGATTGTTTGGACTGAAAAGGGGTTCATTTGTTATTTGTTCAGTGGTCAACGTACGCTGTAGTACATTTCTCTAGATATCTTAGCAGGGATACTAAAAAATAAGTTAGTTAGCTAGTTGCCCTATCTCACTACTTTTATCATAATTTCCACTTACCGGGTAGAGCGTGCTCTTATCAAGCCTCCACGCCGTTGACAAGGTGCATATCATGGATGTTCCAAGTTCGCGTCGACGCCCAGGGTTGAAGTCGAGATAAGAGTGTATTACATAAGACAACGACAGCCGCAGAGATAAGGATCGATAAGCTTATCGCTTATCGCAAGAGTAGAAATAGACGACAAACAAGGAGTCAAAGGTGGCGATGAGATGAGGAAGTCGAGCTACTTGAACGTCTGTGAATAGCAGAGGGATATATCATTTATACAATATACTGCGCATAGCCAGGAAGCAAGCTACAGCATGTCCGAGTCGCAGCAGCAAGCGGCCCAGGTCGTATCGCATGGGCGCGGAGGTAAGGGGTTTTCTAACATATCCCACCTTGTCACATATCTTCCGAGTTAGACTAACTAGATTCTGGCGGTGTTAGGCCAGGGAAACATCGCTGCTGATTCTACGAAGTTGGTTTACTGTTCGCGCACCTCTCAGTGCGACTTCTAACGGCGCATAGATACGTCGATGCAGAAATTGTCCGAGAAGGTGTCGAGGGGGACCAAGGAGACGGCGCATATTCTGCAGGGGTACGATAAACAGCTGCAAGTTCGTGGATATGGACATGGCTAGAGCTGATGTGTTTGGTTTTCGTTTCTAGCGTGGAGGTGTAGGGAATATAGGATCGCCTAACGTGCCTCCGTCTCGTGGCCAGCCGCATGATGCAGACGTTATCCCCCCCACGGCCATGAGGAAGGCTTCTTCTGCTGAGTATCATGTTGGAGTAAGTGTTTTGCGCCCTCTGCGCTATGTGAGGTTGGCTGACGGCGACATTGTGTTGTAGAGAGGCGGACAAGGGAATGTACGCAGCGAACCGTCTGAACCAATACCAGAGCAGGAGGGGCATGATAAGAGATCCGAGGGGTTTGTGGATAAAGTCAAGCAGATGGTTTTTGGTCGGAAGGAGTAGCTAGTTGGTTGGGTTTGTAGTTACTTACTGTATTATGTTGGTTAATGGAACTCTTTACTCACTTGCTGTGTTCTAGCCGTAGTTTGTATATTGATTGATGGGTAATTAGACTAGACTAGGCTATAAGAATGAAATGGTGGATTGTATAGTAAGTGTAACTGGTACGCAACGCAACGCAACGAAACGCACGGCGAGGCAAGAAAACGGAACGGTGTACCAACGTAAGACGAGATAAGATAGAGTCAAGTAAAGTGAGGTGGAAGGTAGGAAATTGAGTATCTACTGAAAGGTGTGTAAGGAAGCGAGTTGTGAGAAATTTGATAGATAGATAGAAGAGTGACGGAGACATATGAGATTTGCCCGGGTATAAAATAGATAAATAAGATAGGTAAGTAAGAGAATACTCCTGACCTGGTGGGTTGTTACGCGTGATGGATATCAGAGTTAAAAAGGTCAGGTCGGGTAAGGAGGTGGAGGGTGGATGGGTATATGGAGAACGCTGTGGACTTGGATGTGGATGTGGGAGTGGGAGTGGATATATGAACTGCAGCCGAGCAAGGCAGACAGGCAAGCAAGCAAGCGAGAGGAAGAAACTGCAAACTGGAAACTGGTTTGGCGAAGAGGAGAAGATCTGGGGTATGAGAAGCAATAAGACAAAGGAGATTAAGATAAAATAAGATATTAAAACAGATAGGAAAGAGAAAAAAACGAGACAACGAGACACGGGAATAGCAGCAGGAACGGGAACAGGCTGAGATAGATAGGCAGATAGATGGACAGACAAACAGGCGTGAGCGAGCTCTTTTTTTGTTTAGGGGTTGGGTTAGTTAAGTCAATCGTCACATTTGATGGCGTTAGATTGTTGCTCATGGATCGGTTCGGGGTTTAGATTTAGTTGGCGCGAGAAGATTCCATGTTCTTGGTCAGTTCGGCAACTCGGGCCTTGATGCGTGCGGCTCGCATTTCAATCGCTATGTCTGTTAGTACGGAGGCAAATATACGGAACGATAGAAGAGGTGCTTGACTTACTTTCTTGCTGAGTAGGTTGCCTTGGCGCAGAAGCGGGAGCAGCAGCAGCAGCGGGCGCAGGGGTAGGGGCCGGGGAAGCGGAGACGGCAGCGTCAGGGGCAGCGGCGCGCTGAGCGGCGTTCTTGCGGATCTGAGCCCACCGGTCTAGAGCAGGGACTTCGGGCTCGGCCTCTGGCTCTGGCGCTGGATCGGCCTGTGGCTGCGTCTGTGGCTGCGGCTCAGGGGTACGGACAGGAAGCTCCTTTTCAGCCTGGCCGTTGAGAGTCTTTGACTCTGGAACGGTAACTGGAGCGGCCTTTGGCTCGGGTTCAACGGGGGAGGGAGTCTCGATGGGCGAGAAGGCTGGCTGGTCGACTATGGGGCTCTGGTGGGAGAAGGAAGAGAAGGCGCCTGTGTCTGGTTTCTTGTCGATGGGGGAAACAGGGGAGACGGGGGTAGACTCCATGTTGGCGGTTGGACGCTGGCTCTCTGGTGGCGGAGGAGAGACGCGAGGTTCCTTAGCTGGTACGGGTACGGGAGCTGGAGCTGGAGCTGGGGCCGGAGCTGGGGCGGCAGCAACAGGCTTGACTGGCTTGCGCTCTACGGTGGCAGCTTGTTTGGCCTTCTGGCTCTCTTCCTGGAACTTCTTTAGGCCGAAACCGGATAGACGGCGGGTATGTGGGATCCGTGAAGAAGAAGCGGGCGAGGAGTTGGCTGAGCGCTGCTGGGATTGAGATTGAGACTGAGACTGAGCTGATCTGCCCTCGAGCGCAGCACGGGCAGCAGCTACGGCGGACTCCTTTTCGGAGGGGTCGGCCTTGGAGCCACCGAACATGCCCTTCAGGCCGGCGTTGCCTGGCTTCTTCTTTACCTTCCTGTCGTCTGCCGCGGACTCTTCTGTTGCTGGGGTTGGAGATGCAACGCGGGCTGGAGTTGGGCTGGGCGAGGCCGTTGCTGGCGTAGATGCAGCAGGAGTAGATGCGGCGGGACTAGCAACAGTGGTAGTAGCAGAAGTAACAGTGGCAGCAACTGGGGGAGTTGGAGGAGTGGGCTTGTCAAAGTTGATGCTGCTGGCCATGTCGTGCTTTGGCGGAGTGTCCGGGCTAGGTGACGCAGTGGTAGACCTGGGCAGACGATCCCGGATAGAGGGTATATCACGGCTGGAAGTCGAGCTCTCGTGCTTGGGTGGGACCTCTGGCTTGTTCTGGTCTGTAGAGGATCTCGACCGGCTTCCCATGTCGAGACTTGTAGCGGGCTTGCCGGTTCCAGCAAGGGAGTTCTCCAAGTAAGCGTTGCGGATGTTGTTCTTGTCGTAGTTGCTGGCCCACTTCATGGCCTGGGACATCTCTGTTATCATGCCTGGCTGTAGGGTGTGGACAGAGTTAGTCTTGGAGGTCTGGTTCATCTCGGACCTTGCGCGTTCCTTGTTTGCTTCTTCGAGTTCCTGTTCCCGTCTCTTGCGCTGGAGAGCAGCGGCAGCAGCCTGGATACGAGCATGCTGGTCGGGTCCTATGCTGGCTTTGCTGGACGGAGCAGTGCCGTTGGCGTTGTTGTACTGTTCTCCGATGAGGCCGCCTACTTTCTTCGCGCTGGTCTTGCTTCTGCCGAGTCTGCCCTTGCGGGTCTTGAAGCCGAAGAAGGTCTTCTTCTCCGCGATGTAGGCGTTGGCGTCTGGTTCAGGGGCAGATCCTTTGATCTGCTCTTCGAGGATGAGCCACTTGCCCCCCGGGATGATGGTTTCGAGCAAGGCGCATCTGCCAAAGACGGCCTTTCGGACAGCGGACTCTTCGCCTGACAGACTGCTGACCCAAACCCACCAGAAGGAGTCGTCGAGGTCGAGGGTGGAGATGCTGGCGAGTTCACCGGGATCGAGCATGGAACCGTCATCGAGCCCTCCGCGCTTGTGAGACTGGGAGGACTGGCCACGGACTGCCTGCAGGGGAGGCAGGATCTTGTCAGGGGGCAGCAGGAGAGTGGTGGGCGACTTGGCACCGTTCTCCTCCGAGAAGCCAGAGGAGAGGAAGTCAGCCCAGGAGGGAGTGGTAGGCCGGCCAAAGTCAGCGGTGCGAGACTCGGGAGCAGACCTGAGTCCCATGGGGGTGCTGCTGGTCTTCTTGTTGTTGCCGTCTCCGTCCAGGTCGTCTTCGATGGCGCCTCCAAAGCCGATATCTTCGAAGCGAGACCAGGAGGCGTCCTGCAGGCTGGTGGAGGCCTTGACGGAAGTGGAGACCTCAGACTGGTTTGTGGTAGCGATGCAGCAGAGGACACGCTTGCACTCTTCGGTCAGGGCATCCTGGGGGTCCTCGTAGCTGGCGAACTGCTGCAGGGCATGGTCACTTGCGCGGTACTCGAAGTTCCTGACGCGGCGCAAGAGGGCAAAGGGGGTGGGCGAGACGACGTCCACGAGCATGACGACCTTTGTGGTGGTCGTCTGGAGCAAAGAGGGCGTCTCTGGCGGGTACTCTGTGGCGCGGACGAGGTTCTGCAAGGAAAGGGGGAGGGTCGAGATGCCGTTGGTGCCTCGCAGGGAATCAGGGGCCTGCGACCTCAGGTACGCAAAGAACAGGTGGCTTGTGGCATCCGCAGCTCTAGTTATCTACTATTAGCCACCATACAGGCATAAAAATGGAAAAAAAAGAAAAAGGTAAAGACGTACGTGTTCCATGTCTTGTAGCTGGCCTCGAAGCCCTTGCCGGTGTCTGAGTGCTCAAAGGCCCACCATCCAGCGTATCTGGACAGCTTTCGTCCTCCGAGGCCATTGGATTTACCGTGGGCCGCGATGGCAGCCATGAGGTCGAAGAAGGCGAAGATGATCTTGGTGCGAGCATCCGAGTCGACGCTGAGGGGGATGAAGGTCGAAAAGGCGTCTCTCGCAAACTGGGCATCTTCATATCATTAGCATTTACATATATAGTATATAGATAAAGAGAGAGTATAGGAGTACCATTCTCGCCGACTTTGAAGAGCTCGTAGGCCTCCCAGGTAACAACACCACCGGGCAGTCTAGCCCAGCACCACTTCATCACACTACACAGGACCTATCTTCCATTAGCTTATGCTCTTATATATAGATAAAGAGAAAGAGAGTATCTACCATTGGCTCTGAGAGACGCAGCTCCTGGGCGAGCTGGCTCCCCTGCAGCGGCCCCGGCCTGTCCGTCCGCTCTGGCGGGGGCGAGAAGAAGTTGCGTATGAAGGTCTTTGCCGCAGAGGGATCAGAGGTCGGCCTGAAGGGCAGCAACAAGAACGGTATATCCAGGGCTAAACACATTAATTAGGTATATCTTTTCTTCTTCTTCATTTTCTTCTTCATCTTGTATAAAAGTAGAGTGGAAGAGTACCCCTATCTTTGAGCTCGGCGGTGCACCCAAGCAAGAGGTCGACCACCTCGTCTGGCTCTATCTCTGTGCGGAGCCATTGCGTCCGTCCATGTCGGCTTCTCAGGCTCAGCGGAAGCCCGTTCAGCCTGCCAGCTTCTTCGAGGGAGTCCTTGGAGCGGAAGACGCGCGAGAAGAAAGGACATCCTGCATGCCGTAGTGGTGGTCGTAGGTGGCAGGGGAGTTCAGGGGTTGGCAGCGAGAGAACCGCAGTGTCTAGACTAAGCACCGCGACAACGAGCGTGAGAAGTAGAAGAAGAGGAAGAAGAAGAGTAAGGAGAGGAAGAAGTAAAAGAGAGTGACCACTCGGAGAATAGAAGAAGACGAAGAAGAAGAGGACGAAGAGTAAAAGGAGAGGAAGAAGAAGTTCAAGCAGCAGACGAAGAATAAAATAATAGTGTTAAAGCGTGTGGCCCACCCGCCGTCGACATAACTTTAGTTATTTAACACTAAAAAGAAGGACTTGACTTGACTTTTCGACTTGGGTTGACGGACTCAGGGGTAAAAAGTAGAAAAGTAGAAGAGAAGAAGAAAAAGCAAGGAGGAAGAGAGAGAAAGCAGAGAGAGAGGAACCAGTCACATCTTGTCTTCCTCTTCTGCCTGCCACTTCTCTCTCTCTCTCTCTCTCTCTCTCTCTCGTCTTCTTCTACTTACTCCTTCTTACTACTACTCTCCTTACTCTCTTACTCTTCTAGTCTCTCTCTTACTTTTCCTTCTCTTCTTCTTCTCTTTCTCTCTTAAAGCGCGTGGAAGTAAGAGCCTCAACCTCTTAGTGTGTCTTAGTCATCCTCTTACTGCCACGTCTCTCTTCTTAGTCATCCCTTAGTCATCCCTTCTACCGTTCTGCTGACTCATCTATTACTCATCCCCTCCTTTTCTCTCTTTTCTATCTTTAGCAACTTTTTTCCTTCTTTTTTTCCTTTTCTTCTTTTTCGTCTTTTTATAGAAATTTCTCACTTTTATTTCTATGTTTAGCAGCGACGAAGAAGAGCCAAAAAAAGAGACAAACAGCCAAACAGCGACTTTTGCCCGGTAGTGACTTACTTACTCACCTTGCCTTGTAGACCTAGGAGGGTCTAGAGATCCATAGACCTTAGGCGACGGCAGACGAGGAGACGTTGGCTGCGCTTAGAGGCGACAGGCGAGGAGCGGAGGCGACGAGGACACGGCGTCTACAGTTACAGCGACAGCGACAGTGACTTGAGTGAGTGACTGGCCATGGGCCGCCGCAAGATCGAGATCAAGGCCATCAAGGACGATCGCAACCGCTCAGTCACCTTTCTGAAGCGGAAGGGCGGCCTCTTCAAGAAGGCCCACGAGCTCTCTGTCCTCTGCTCCGTCGACGTCACCGTCATCATCTTCGGCCACAACAAGAAGCTCTACGAGTTCTCCTCCGCCGACATCCAGGAGACCCTCGGCAGATACCAATACGTGCGTCTTTCTCTTCTTCTTATTACTTACCACTTATATAGATATGCCATGCTAACGAAGAGATAGTATGGACAGCCGCACGAGCACAAGGGGCCGGCCGACTTTCTCGGCAAGGGCGCGCTCGACGACGACGAGGACGACGAGTCGCCCGCGCCAGACGACCAGATGGGCGCCGTCTACCGCCCACCACCACCACCACCGCCGCCGCCCCATCAGCAACAACAACATCATATAAAGCAGCCGCCGTCAGTCTCGCCGCCGATAGATGGACCCCATGCGCCGCCCGGACAGCCGTCGCGGCCCTCGTCGCGCAACCACGTCCAGCGGATGGCCATGCAGCAACACCCGCAGCATCACCCGCAACACGGCACGCCCCCTCCACAGTCCACGCCTGGCGCGCAGAACGGCTTCTACATGCAGCAGAACTACCAGCAGCAACAGCAGCAGCAGATACCGCGGCAGCATCCACAGTACTACCCGCATCAGCCTCTGCCGCCGCCCCAGCACCCGCACCAGCAGCACCCGGCCATCGCCCAGCAGCAGCAGTACATCCCGGACAACAGGCGGCAGTCCGGCCCCTTCCCTGACCATCCACACCAACAGCATCAACAACATCATCAACAGATAAAAGTAGATCCCAGCCCGCCGCCGCAGGCAAAGCCCATGCCGACCAAGTCACGGTCCATCTTCACTCCCATAGACGACCATGGCTCGGTGCTCGCGCAGCATTTCCGCTTTGGTCCCACCGTGGAGTCGCCCAAGAAGGAACCCAGGCAGACTCCCAAACAGCCACCTCCACCTCCACCACAGCAGCAGCAGCAGCAGCAGATACCACACAGGACGTCTGTCTCGTCCATCCCGCCGCCCTCCAGGACAAATAGCATCCAGTCTAACATCAAACGGCCTATCCTGAAGGTGCAGATACCCAGCGAGACTTCAGATGCAGGCAGCATGACTGCAGGTTCCTCGCCTACCACTGGAACTAACCCTGTCCCTGCCGGTGGTGGTAATCCCCCCGGTGGTGGTCCAAGTAATGCTGCTGCCACATCAACATCTACCGGGCTGGTGCCTGGAAATAAACCGGCAGAGACAAGCCATTCAGCTGTCGTCCTGCCTCCACCGTCACCCTCGGCCTCTGCCTTGCTCAGCGCAGGTGCCCATGGCCCGCCCAACCCCTTTGCCCGCCCCCCTCCGCCAGCATCAAACAGCCAGCCATCCAACAACCCTTCCAATACAAACAACAGCAGCGGCACCAACAATAACAATAACAACAACATCGATACCCCCATCTCTGCCCTCCCGAGCCGCTTTGTCTCTGACACCTTGCTCCCCTCCCCGTCCAGCTTCTACCCTGAATGGGGCTTCGGTCGATCCGGCCCAGACAGCAACATGCTTCCCTCCCCCTTGACCTTCTCCACGCCTGTCCTGCAGAACTCCTCCCAGCCATTCGCTAGCAGCTCCTCTAACCCCAATGCCCATTCGAATGTTACTTCAAACATTAACAGAGAAGACGAGTCCGATCGCAAGAGAAAGGAGCCCGAGTCCAGCTCTGAGACCGCCGTCGACAAGAGGCTCAAAGTCGAGTAACTCTTGACACCTACTTTTCTATCTTCATCCCTGCTCTTCAACCTTGTCGTTCTTGTTTATATATGTCTGTCTGTATCTGTCTTCGTAGTAATCCCTTTCTCTCTCTCTGTCGCTTTCCTTCTCTTCTGTCTTTCCTTTACTCTATCTCTCTTATATATCTATATCTGTCTACCGGCGCATGGCATGGTACGTGGTTAGTGGTAGTCTAGGTCGGCGGTCATCAACTCTTCCTCTTACTCTTACTCTTACTCTTACTCTATCTTCTCTGTCTATATCTATATCTATATCAACTACTTTCATCTTCTACTTCTGCTTCTACTTCGACTCTCTAATAATAGCCAAGAGTCTAAACTCTAAATTCCATCACATGACTAGGGCTCGCTAACATCCGCTTCCGGACTAGCGCGGCCCAAGACACAAACTTTCACAAAAAAACTTCAAGAAAAAAAGCCGAAGACGAAGACGAAGACGACGAAGAACGACAGCGACGACGACGAACCACCTCGACTTCGACTTGGAACCCGGAACTTCCACTTGCACACCCTTCTTCGGTCGCTTACAGTCGTCAAGATGACTTCGGATCACGGTCACAGATGTGAGTACAGGACTCCTGCGTGCGATAGATGTTGATAGATGATGTTGTTGAAGTTGAAGTTGATGCTGACTTGATTGTAGTATATGTCAAGTAAGCGCCTGCCCTGTCCTATGCTTTACTATGCCATGATGGGAATTGAGAGGAGGGGGGGGTGTTCAGTTGGAGGAAGCAGAAGTGGAAGGGGGGGATATTGCGATTGGGAACGGCGCAGAGATGGAGTTGCGATGAGCTATGAGTTACGATGACGATTAATGAAGGAAAACGATCGAGATGAGGGAGAAGAAGAATATGGACTGGATTGGATGCAAGAAGAAGTCATGGATGAATGATGAATGCTGATTGTGGATTGCGTCTAGGGGTCGACACCTGAGCTACCAGCGTGGAAAGCGCGTCACCAACCCCAACACAAGGTACGTCTACACCAGGACAGAGGACGCAGAGGAGAGTATAACTAACAGTTCGCAGTCTTATCAAGCTCGAGGGCGTTGAGGACTCCAAGGCCGCTACGTATGTTTGCCATCTACTATAAACATGTGTATGCATGCATGCATGTGCGGGATCTAACGTCTACCAGTTTCTACTCCGGCAAGAAGGTCGCTTTCGTCTACAGAGCCAAGCGCGAAGTTAGAGGGTCAAAGATCAGAGTTATCTGGGGCAAAGTCACCCGGCCACACGGTATGTCAATCTCTACACCCAAACATGAAGCAAATACGTTTATATGTATATGTGTGTACTGATGGAAGTAGGAAACTCCGGCGTTGTCCGCGCCCAGTTCCGACACAACCTCCCCCCCAAGTCGTTCGGTGCATCCGTCAGAGTCATGCTTTACCCATCTTCCATCTAGACGTGTGGCTGTAGCGGTGGATGTTGTGGTTACGGTTGCAGAGGAGAGAAGTTGTTGTTGTTGCAGAGACGAGCGCACTCGGCCGGCCTGACGGACGACGGACGACGACCCCGACCCCGACCTCGAGGCTGAAGAGACGAAGCCCTCGCGCAACGCATGAGACGAGAGCCCGACAGACGCCTGTCTTTCTCTTCTTTTTTTTATTACCTCTTATTCTTTAAAGTACTCCGTATACGACTACAAACAAAATAATGGCGGAAGGACGGCACCCTGTCTGTCTAACTCTGGTCTCGCTGCTGGTCCTGGTCTCTGTCTCTGTCTGTCTGTGCCGGTAGATCGAAGTGCTCGCTGTCTCTGCCGGCGTTACGATAAATCAAAAAATTAAATAAATGAATACCTACCACTTCATCGTCCATATCCACCTCTGCCGGTATCAATTCCAGTATCAATGCCAGTATCAATGCCAGTATCAATGCCCTGCCAATGGTAAATGCCAATGTCAATGCCGGTGCCAACTGTTCATCCATGTCCATGTCCATCACTCTACACTATATATCACTGGCTGTCAAGCAACGGAGGCCCCGGCTATGATGTCAGCGCTGCGTGGCTGGTGGAGTTTGCCCCAGCCTCCCCGAAGACAAACCATAGAACTTGGTCTACGTAGAGAGAGACATGGAACATACTCCGTAGAGACAAACAGACAGAGCAGATCCTGGGCCAGCGAGCTATAACGACTGTCGCTAACGGACTAGCAAGCCCAAGCTAACCAGCCACTCCGAGACATCTTCGTATCTCTTTGCTTCTTCCCTGCCATCTGTCTGGCTGTCGCTCTGGCTGCTGTCTCTGCCTGTCTCTGCCTGCCAGAAAGCCGGCCCTGCTTACACAGCGTCCTTGGTACGACGCGCCACCTTGCAAGGGCTGCGTCTTGTTCTTCGTCTTCCTCTACTGCTCTCTGTCTCGCTGCTACTACTCTATCTCTGCTATCGCTCCTATCGCTCCATCGTCTCTTGTCTCCTTGACACAGGATATACGCTCGTTTAACCAGTGCTGCTCTGACTGTCGCCATGCCAGACCAGAAACCCGGCAAGCTCGGGCGAGTCCTCAGCTTCGCCAGCAACAAGTCGAAGAAGTCGGCCTCCAACCAGCAGCCGCTCAGCCCGCAGAAGATCTCGAGCCAGCAGCAGCCGAACAGTCCTAGTCGGCAGCAGCAGCAGCAACCACAACAGTATGGCCATGCGAGGAAGAATACGGGCCTGTCCGACAAGAGCGCAGAGCGGCCGTCGAGCAACAAGATGCGCACCCACGCCGACCCCACGCTCGCCATGAATGAAGCGCAGCCCTGTTAGTTTTACTCCTTTACACTGCTTTATACTCATAGTCATGGCCGATACTGACGATATGCGCTGGTGCAGCTGCAATTGCGCTGGAGGAGTCGAGTCTCGGACAGCTGCGAGCCATCCAGCACAAGGACCGCTTCGGCAACCCCATCAGTGAGTCGCCCAGCTCTTTATATACTCCCATATTATTTACTTTTATTTAAATACTGTGATCGGTTTACTAACTGGCGTAGCGGAGCCGGACTTGTCGAATCCTACTAGGTATCGCTTTGAGCGCCCGCTGGACACTATCAGGTCCTTCGAAGCCGCTATCGACGGCTCTTATGGGGGCCGGCGCATGTCCTATGCTCGCCCAGGTCGGTCCACCAACAGCCACCCTTCCCCAATTCTACCAAATAGTCACCGCTAACCCACCGCTATAGACGAGAGTACGAATGGCTACAGTAGGCCCACAAGCTTCTTTGGAGGCGGTACGTCATTTTTTGAGCTATGTGATGCATCTATCCGTCTAGAAAACATCTACTAACATGTCGCAGATCGCTCCAATGGCCAATACTACCAACGAGGCGGCTACGATAGCTACTCTGCCTCCCGCGGCTACCAGTCCAGGCCGGAAAGCTACGTCGATGCGTACGGCAATGGCAATGGCAATGGTAACGGTTACGGCTCGACCGCCGACATGAACCAGTACAACTACAGCAATCAGCGACCTGCTCGAGCCGGTCCACCCCGACAAGCGCCTCCTCGAACCAACTCAGATCCTAACTACGGCTACGGCTCTTATCCAACACACAACTCTAACCCCGCCAACTCTCAATACCCTCAGCCGCAGTATCAAGGTCAGCCTGATAACCCAAACTCCAACTCCCCGTCTGGATCCGGCGGTAGATCCGTCGACCACTGGGTCAACTCCACGGACCCCAGCTCCGTCAACAGTTCCATGGATAGGTTGGCGCAGCAGCAGCAACAGCAGCAGCTTCACCCACAGGGACAGGGACAGAAGTATGATGACCAGCTTGCCGAGTCGTATGGACTCACTGGCTTTGGTACCGATCCCCAGCTAGACCAACAGCCCCAGAACTTCATGAGTCATGGCCAGGAGAACATCTACAGACCCCAGCAGCAGCAACAACAACAACAGACACCGCCCAGTGTGCCTCGGAAGAACGTTCCTGCTGCTGTTACTGCCCCAGCACCGGCCGTAACGTCAGCAACGCTCCAGGAAGGTAAACGCAAGAGCTGGTTCAAACGACGGATCAGCAAGTCTTGATCGATCCAGCCATGTACGATAAGAAAAAAAAAACACCATTTCCATTCCTTTCCTTTTTCCTCTTGACTGTCATGGTTAGAGAAAAAGAAAGATCTTAATTTTGCTGTTACTACTCTACGGGACTTCCATGGACCGACCCATACAAGAACAAGGGCAACCTACAACCTACTAACTACCACGGATCTGCCAATGAATTGTTTCCCGTTTGTCTATTCACTTTAACTACTTACTTCCTGGACACATGTTTGACGACATCACGACCTCAACTCTACCCGTTTGATGGTTTTTTTATTTTCATTTGTTTTACCGCTCTGGCAACGAACAATATACCTCTATTAATTCTTCAGCTTCAACTTCAACACGAACCCTCGTTTCTTTTATCTTCCTGTTTATATCTTGTCATCTACGACAGTCGGTTTTTTCTGTTGATAATTATGGTGCGCTACGGTATGGATATGGATGTATGGATGGAATGGAACGGAAAGACGGCAACGCAACTTGGTTGATTTGCTATTTGGTGTGATTTGATACCTTGACTTTTTTTCAGTTTATGCTTATGATTTAACTTAAGTAGGGGGAACTTGCAGTATGTGGTGGCCATCTGAGACACTACGTAGTGCCAGAGACATCACCAAAATTGATTGGTGGGGAACGACGACGGGGCCATGTAGTATTAGTATTCGCATTCGACCAAACTCTGCAGATATTATGTAGTTTTGCTATAAGTACGTCCCAACGCATGATATGAATCACTTTGCTTAATTGACACTATTCCCACCTACACACCATGTATTTGCAAAGAAATAAACGCCAATTTTAGATAGGATTTCCCCTCATATCATTGGTAGCTCTTTGCCTGAGCCCAGACGTTTCGAAATACGCCGATCCATAGGGCCAAATTTGGCCTCGTGGATTCGGCCAAAACGGACACTATACCATCCCACCGCCTGCTTATCCAAACAATAATCGAGAATATTATTATCAACCTCTAGGTATGCCGTTATCATAGATACCCAGCACTTTAATAACTCGCCCCATGCGGAAAATCCAGCGTCTGTTTCTTCGTCGATCGCAGCCTTGACAAAACTTTCAACTAGTATTGGTTCAAGTGGGTAGTGTAGGTTGCTGTAGGTATCATATTGCTTGTTCTGGCTGTATCTCTTATGTTATTCGAAGGGTTAGGGATGTGTTCTGAAGGAAGGTGCGCAAAGGAATTTGGAAACAAGTACACCTGTAAGCCTTTTTCCGCTGGATCACCGCATGGATAATCGAATACTGCACATAAACGATCTACGCGTTTATAGCCTGCATTTATTTCCTCTAACATCTGTTGTGGGGTTGGGTGATCCTCTATAATCTCGGGAGCTAGGTTACGGTTTAGAACACTACGGGTGAACCCCGTGTTCTCGAGCTTTTGAATGGCGGATGTATAGTCGTGATCCTGTAAAACAATCATGGTAGCCTACGAGGATAGGAAGATAGTTAGCAGGAATAAGGAGGTTACGATATACTATTAAAAGGGTAAAGTTCTTACCCCAACACCGATAGGCACGCCCAGATACGACAATGCGAGAGGACCCCAAGGAATCACTGTGAGAGGATGGAGTACGGTGCCGAGTCTCATGGAGAACCTGTCCGGCTGAGTCTGTCTCGGCTGCCTAAACATAGCTCCTATAGGATATCGAACCCTGTCCGATTTTGGTCTGTCTCTAGCTAATGCTAATAACTAAGTACATTATATAAGGAACATGCATGGAACAGAGATAACTAAGGTACATGAGTAGTAATATACTAGATTGTAGATCGAGGGCAAGCGTTCTATAGCTAGTAAACTATCTATAAATATCTGTCAAATTATGTGTATTAGTTAGCCTCGCTACGCTTACATTTGGCCGCGCACAGATATCTCAATCAAATCATCCTCCTCCTTCTGACCTTCTGACAATATCTTACAAGTAAGCTTATATAAGTTCCACATTCTGGCTTATAGTTAAGTCCTCTATGCTGGCTTATATAGTAACTACATTAAGCCTATAACAATTTATACTATCTATATAGTAGGTTCTACAATACAACTCCCACCGTAGAGGTAAGGTAATCAACAGTACATCTATACTAGTAGATCTACACATGCATCCCCCTATATTCTTCGTAGTTCGCATAGGATAGGTACCTAGGTAGTCTAGTGTTGGCTTTAAAGCTTTTCCATACAATATATATTACCATAGTAACTACCAACACATTAAGGATAGCAATCTCTGTAACATATATAGTAAAAGCAATAGCTTCAAGCAACACACGCTCGTTAAACTTTTCAAGACTCGACCAACCTCTTTGAACTTAAGAAAAACAACATCACTATCAGCACTAACAGACTCAGCTCACAACCCAGAGGCAGCAGAGAGCAACCACCCCTATCGCAAAGTGAGCAAGTCTTCTACATGCATATTCCCTACGTTATACGCCTGATAACGCGAAAAAAAGCATCAAAAACGGACTGCTAACGCATGTTGTGAGAGTTTTTAGGCCTGAATGCTGTTTTTTGTGTGAGTCCAAAGTGAGATGACATCTGCGGTGAGTGTGTGAAGGCATTGCCAGACAGACCTTGTTCAGTACATTTCACGGAGGCCCGTACTGGGTTTCCAGGGGGCTTGAAGCCATCACCAGGCCTCCAGTAACTAACTTTTGATAGCCCATGTTCACCCCGATCAACGCCATCAATATTGATCCGCAATTGCTAGAGCACAGCACTACAATGCAGAGCTCAGACGAGGAATTGTGTTGGAATACTCCACTTTAGCTACGACTCGCACTCATTACCCAAGGATTCCTTGGGGCATTAGGCCTTTTTGTCCCTTGTGGTCCAACAGATATTTAGAAAGCCTGCAATATCGACACCAATGACACGCTTATTGAAATTTTGCGGGGCCCCACGTTCTTGCCCGCATAGCGGGACATATACCTCCAATACATTCTTCCCGAACAAGAGGCAGCAAAGGTCAGACAACGACGACGTGGACATGACGGATACCCCAGCACCGACATCCTCTCCCAGCGAACGCTGGCGAGACGAAATCTTGACGCCCCGCCGCCGCACAGCCCTGCTCGCATCTTCTAATAGGGACCTTCAATAGAAGGGATAATTATTAAGATATATTAGTCCTAACGAGTTACCAATCCTTCAACAGTCGTTATAGCAATAGAGAGCGGACTTCGTGGCTCAGGGACTACCTATAGTGCGACACCAAGAATGGCTGTACTTATACTGATCCCTACCTAACTTTCAACACTCGCTTCTTCACAAGCCTTACAATGCATAAACCAATCTACAAAAATGCCCCGCGACGCAAAGAGGGATATCGAGGAAGGCACGCAGATGTATCGCCCGGGAGGATTTCATCCAGTGTACATCGGCGATGTGTTCAAGGACCGGTATAAAGTCCTCAACAAAATTGGATACGGTATCTATTCGACAGTCTGGCTGATAAGGGATCTAAAGCCGACACAGTGAGTAGATAAACCAGAAGCAAAGAAAACAAATTAGATGCTAACACAGATATACACAGGTCTGGCCTTAAAAATAAGTTCCGAGCTCTCAAAGTGCTCAGTGCCGAATGCTACGATGGCACTGAATCTCCCATCTTTGAGAGAGAGATCTTGACCCATCTCCGAGATGGAGACCGAGACCAGTTAGGCTATGACCACGTCTGTCGTCTACTTGATGACTTCGAGTATTGTGGGCCTAATGGAACTCACGTCTGCCTTGTCTTTGAACTAATGGGTGAAACGTTGCGGAGCTTCGGCGCCTGGTTTGCTGAAAGTAGACTTCCGAACTTAGTGATGCGGAGGTTCACCATCCAACTCTTGCTGGTTCTCGATTTTGCTCACGAACATAATGTCATTCATACTGGTATAAGAGTGCCAATCTATATATCCTTGTTTGGCCATGTACTATGCTAAATATCTTTTCTAATTCTCTGTAGATATCAAACCAGATAACATTTTCGTCAAGTTCAGGGACTATTCCTTGATAGAATCCGGTTACCTAGCCAATGTTGCGATTCCCCAACAGGATCGATCCGAGGGACAGTACTCTGTCGTGCCCTCAACGCCTTTACGCCGCTACTACTTCAATGAAGCCGAAAGTAGACGCATTACTGAGTTCGACATTGCTCTGGGAGACTGGGGCGTCTCCAGCTGGGCGGACCGACATCTAAGCAATGTGATTCAGCCCGTTGCCCTCCGATCGCCCGAGGTCCTGATCCAGGCGCCGTGGGACGCGAGCGCCGACTTCTGGAATCTGGGGGCCGCCATACTCGAAATCTTTCAGGCGGTTCGCATGTTTAGCGGATCGGTCCCACCGGACGGCCATTACGAGCTCAAGGAGCATCTGGCGGAGGTTATAGACTTGTTTGGGCCATTCCCAATACGCTTTTACAGAGAGGGAATCAGAACCTTGTTCGGAACCTCTTTGATGACGATGGCCGGATCAAGGACGCGCCGCCAATGAATCGGTCGGGATTGGCGTCGGAAGCCTTCATGCCAGGCCTCGACAAAGAGGCTAGAGATGAGTTTGCCTCCTTTCTGCACGCGATAATGAAGATAAGTCCCGCTGATCGGATTTCGGCAGAGGACCTCTTACGCCATCCCTGGTTAGATGCACTTTAGATAATGCTACGCAACCAATAATAAGAAAGGTATTTTAAATAGTACCTTTTTATATGGGTAATACTTTATACACTCCCTCTTCCCTTAAGGATACTTACTTTCTCTCCCTCTATGCCTCTTCCTATGCCTCTCTCTAAATCTCTCTTTTTAAGCCTCTCTCTAGATCGTTTTCTTACAAAATTTCCTACTTAAGATCTTAACTACTACTCTCCTTTTATTTTCTACTACCTTAAATTTTAGTAGGAGAGAGTAAAAAGCCTATAAAGAGGCCTAGAAAGAAGCCCAGGGGAAGGCTTAGGGAGAGATCCAGGGAGAGGCCCGGGAAGAGGTATAGGGAGAGGCATATGTCTAGGGGGAGAGGCTTAGGGTAGAAGGAGAGAGAAAGTGAGTATCCTTAAGGGAAGAGGTGCTTAGGTAAGATAAATAAAATACAGAGAGAGTAGCTTAGTAAGTAAAGCGTATAACTTTAGCTAATAAGATAGCTTCATTTCCTTAGTAATATAATTATATGATTAGAAAATCACCTTTCTGCGTGTCTTTATGAATAATGATAGCATGGTCGCTATCGTCTGCCATAGCAAGGCCAAATGATGGTTAAAGAATTGGTCTTGTCTGGCCTGGTGTACGTTTTGCCTACTGTACATATTCGCTCCAAGAATGGAATACCAGTTCTACATATCAAGCATTAAGCGTCTGCATTGCTATATAACCGTAACAGTAGCGTATATAGTATACCCAAACAAATACCACCATTATTACCCTTTACCAATTACCTGTTCTTCTTAAACTCGTCCGTAGCCTTCTTCTCCATCTCGTTGTCCTCTCGTATAGCGAAGATGATGTACACGATCAACACGACGTTTGCTGCTCCCGCCGCCGCTGCGCCAGCATATGTACTGTTGCCTACACCCGCCATCCATCAGTTAGCAACGCCATAAAACAGGACAAGCTCAGCTAGAAATGCCAAATGCGGCCGACGCACCCTCGAATACCCTGTTAACAGTCCCGTAGTATGTCGCAAGAGGACAGCAGACAATCATCACGGAGTAGAGTATGAATTTCCATAGCACGCCACTGCATCACAGCCAGTTTTAACTAGTCAGCTATCTGTCGAGAACAAACGGACCGCAAGGACAGAGCTAGAGGGTAGAAGCATACCCCGGGAGATATCTTAGTTCGGTACCGGCAGGCAACGAGGAGGAAGGCGGCTTTGGAGTTGGTATCTCTGCCTGCGTCTCTTTCGCGGCCCCGCGGCGCGTAGCCATTTTTGCTCTGCTTGTTCGGCGGTGCGTAGCTAGTTTAAGTAGAGGCGAGGATGATGTCGCTGGTTGTCGACGGGATGACTGGATACAACTAGCGATAAAATCGGGCAGTTTTGCTTGCGATGGGGAGTGTGAGAGTATTTATTGTCGTGTCGCGGCGTTTTGGGATATCTGGACTCTTTGGCGAGCTCTGGGGAAGTCGAGCTAGTTAAAAGTCGAGACCCCCGGACATTTATTTAGCTAACACTAACTGACTAGCCTATCAAGCTTGCGAGGGACTTCGTATATAACAGTTGGTGCCGGCGACCAACAAACAAGGTGTGTCCAGGTTGGCTGCAAGGATGACGCTTGACAGTTATTTTCTAAGGACCAACTTGATCCTGACTCCGGGGTAGAAACCCAACAATAGCCAGCCAGTTAGTTACAACTTAATAATTCGTCGTCTCTTCCTCGACTAGCTAGGTGAGGATATTCTACATGCATATCAGGTACCAGCCAGTAGGATCCAGGAAGAAATATACAAAATCGATGTAAAGCTAATAACTGCATTACGATACTTTCTCTGCACTTTTTATTCCTAGCTTGCTCTTAAGAGCCACCAGTCTCCCCAGTACAAGCGCTTTGATGTTCCTGCGAGGTACTTCCTCAAGAGTGACAAACCGCCGGATGATAACATTGAATATGTTTCCGAACGCTAGGGCGATGACGGTGCTTGTCAGGATGATGACATTATATGGCATGCTGAAGTCAGGCGTTGGCAGGGGGAGAAGAAGGTTGGTTGTGCGTAGATAGACGGGAGGTGACATTGACGACTCGTTCCTGTTTAGAACACGAACAATGGCGGGAGCAACATTGAAGCCTCGGTTGGCATCTGGTGGATATTCCGTATACCGAAGGATGGCCTTCTCGAAATCGTATACCAGTGTGACTGTCGACGCTGGCGGAACGGACAAGACGAGCTCTAGCTGGGTGCCACGACGACGGTCAATGGCAGGCCGGTAAAAGATATCCTTGATAATGTCTGAGAGCGGTACTTCAACCGCAGGTTCTGACCCATAACTAATCTTTGTCTTCATGGTGTGCAAAAACGGGCGCATAAACCAGGGGAGCGTTTCAAAGTAGACAAAATTAGCAGTATCAGTTTGCGAAGGGTTCGTTAATATAGACCGGAGACCACCTCGCTCTTGACCATGACCAATTATAGTCCTTTCTAAGTGCACAACTTGAGTTTCCAAGGAGCTGGCACTGGAGTGCTGTGCGGGGACGACTAGATTGAAAGGCTGGTTGGGGCGTAGAGAATAACAGCGTGATTGCCCGTCCGATGCACGCGTTTCCGCTGCACCTGAGCTGGGCAGTACCTCCATGCTATCGGGAACCTTTATACAGACAGTCTGCGCATCATTTCTCCCAAGAGGGCAACTGGAAGGTATTGTTCGTCCAAAGACATCTTCAATGCTCCATGTCTGCGATCGGGACGCTCCTATGGGATAACAAAAGTCTCCGGAGTGGTAGGGTTTGGATTCATCACAAATCAGCTCCCCTGCAGGCACAGGACGAGGAATAGGGTTGTCTCTAGCCCGCTTTGATCTATCCAGGTCAAGTACCATGTCAACGGTTTGCTCAATCTCAATATGGCAGACTCCGGACTCGTCCGCACAAGCTGGTCTAACGTCAACAGACATAGTCTGCCATGAAGCATCAAAGAGCTTATGACCATCGAATAACCCCGATATGCCACTTTTACCTTTACACGGCAGAAGCTTCAAAAATGGTGTCAAGTTCTCCGTGCATACAACCTCGCCGGGCAGCGTACCATGAAGAAGGTGTAGTCCATCATGCGGTATAGATCCCGTTGGAGTAAACGTAAGTGAAGGGGTGGTAGTCCGTGTCGAGTCGATAAAATTCATCGACGCACAAAACAGTCCGGAGAGTGACTGCGTGAGCGATATCCACTTTTTGAAAGCTCTAGAATGTCTAATATTAGCCCTCTATTCGGATGTCCATGGCTCCAAGTCGTTATCATACGCATCAGCGTCCTGCGCTTCAATCCATGCCCAAAGCTCTACTCCAGTTCCCCCTTCCTTGAAACCGTGCCAGGGTCGTTCTCCCCAGTTCTCCGCGTCCCATCGTCCGGTCGTAAATCGTAGATGCAGTTCCTTCGTATGTGTATGCTGTAGAATCTGACCGAGAGAGCGGGGGAAATAGCGGTAATTCTGTTGCTCAAATGCAGTGCTGGATTCATTGCTACGGAAGTTGAAGGATGCCAACAGGTTTGATGGCGGCAATGGTTGAAGCACCAGCTGTTCGTGATAGTCGACGGTGTTGGCGGCAGCGAGAAGAGCAAAGGCCACCAGCGTCCCGAGCAGGGAATGTAGGGAGCGCATCATATCGTGGGAGCCAAATTGAAAAGGGCCGTCACTCCCAGCCAGTTCGCATCATCCCTATCCTCCAGCTTGACCCCTTCTTTCTGGTATCTATCGCCTTGTTCTTTCGTCTTGTTCGTCTTCGTCTCCTTTTCTGAGTGTTTCTTTTCTTTTGATCTCGATGTAAATAAGCGCGCGCCTAGAGATTAAGACTAGTGATATTATGTAATTAATAGCTAGTCGCGGCTAACGACCAAGTCTCTTTTCTTGCTTTTGCGCAAAAAGTTGAACGATGTTTGATAAGAGACAAAGGGACGATATAATCTCGACTCTCGCGGGGATATATGAACATTCCGTTTAAGCAAGATATATTGATTCTTATATAATCTGGGACTGTCCCTGGTTTGCGCCTCTACAACACACAATGGCTGCAGAGCAGCGAAAGCTGTTGGAACAGCTCATGGGAGGTAAGCGATTCCCGCCTTCTAACAACGTCAAACCTGGAGTGCTTCATAAACTGACATTTTCGCGTTTTTTAAGCTGACCAGCTGATTGGGGGACCCAGTTCTGGTCGAAACGCGCAGGTTGCGATCACTGACCCTAAAGTTTGCCGCTCCTATCTCGCTGGTACTTGTCCTCACGACCTCTTTACAAACACGAAACAAGACCTAGGACCCTGTCCAAAGCTGCATAGCGAAGGCTTGAAGGCCGAATACGATGCTGCATCATCGCACGAAAAGGCCAAATGGGGGTTTGAGTATGACTACTTGCGAGATATGCAAAAATACATTGATGAATGCAACAGGAGGATAGACTCGGCACAGCGCCGTCTCGAGAAGACCCCTGATGAAATACGGCAAACAAACCATTTGGTAACTACTCTCACTACTCTCACTCCGTTAATGTGTGCCCTCAATTTCAACCTACTAACGTGGAACGAATCATATCAACAGCTATCTCAAATATCGGACCTGAACAGAACAATTAACGCCGGATTAGAGGAAACGTCTGTGCTTGGTGAACTTGGAGCCGTTGCTACAGCTATTGACGAATTTTACAAAGTGCGAACTGCTAAGCACCAGAAGGAGTCTCTGGAACGCGACCTTAAGGCTCTTGCAGATACGTCTGGTCCTTCAGGGCACCAGAAGCTGCAGGTTTGCGATGTTTGCGGAGCGTACCTCAGCCGACTGGATAATGACCGTCGCCTTGCCGATCATTTCTTTGGGAAAATGCATCTGGGATATGCTAAAATGAGGGAGACCTATGGCATCCTACAGAAAGAGATGAAGGGGCAGCCCCCTTCAAGGCACGACGACGGCCCATCTGGTCGTGGTGATGCCGGATTTGATGACGCTGGCTGGGGCCGAGACGGCGGCGGTGGATATGGTGGTCGTTCCTATAGGGGTAGTGGAGGTGGTAGGAGAAAAGGTGGCGGTGGTGGTTACAACAGGTGGTGATCGACTCGCCAATTCCTTTAATGACATCTGCATAGCGCCGGCGTTGCTGGGTTTTTGGTTCCAAAAGGGTAGCTGATACCAGTACCGATTAACTTACATCGAACCGTAATTTGTCCTGTCTTTTAGACGCCTTTTTCCCTCTATCTCAAGCCATTCTCGGTTGAGCATTCATTGATATACAAGAAGTGGTTTACGAAATAATTAGAACGGAAACGTTGAATAAAAGATGTTAACAAAGTGATACTACTCAGAAATAATAATTTAACACAATTTCTCTCGCAAAACATGGCCGTGAAAAATCGCCAGGCGGAATTGAAATTGCAGGGATAATGAAGTCATGTCTGATATGACACATTTCTCCAGTAGGTCAAACACCACTCGTACAGGCCTATGGCATAGGATAAACATAAAATAGAAGGACAAACAAAATACCACCCATACGCCTTAGAGTCTTCCAATTATGATAGAGGCATACCTTTGTCGTTTTTGGGAAGAATAGCAAACAAGAGTAAATGAGGAATTACACAAACATATGTACACGAATACAAACATTGCAATAAGTATATCTCGGAGACGTTTCACTCAAAGCAGAAAGGGAATCAAGAGGTATGCTGAACAGAAACAATAGTCGGTAACAATATTGGCCTTGACCGGGCTAAAAGGTTGAAGGCAAACTGTTGATTTTGTGGTGGAAAGGAATGCTAACTGGCTGATTGAGGGCGGGAATTGCGTTAAGATCATAGTTGGGTATCAGTGAAAAAGTTGGGAGGCAACTAAAAGCCTTCCTCAAGTTGATTGTGCCCCATTTGTCGTCTGCAAAAGCGCACCCATTAGAAGTTGGTAATTATTAGCGGTGGGAGGATTCTGTCTCAGGATGCTTGCTATGACATTGAGCTGCTCGACACTAGCATGAGGTGCCCTCTGTAACAGTTCCTGGATGGCAGGAGCCGATGCTAGTGGCCCAAGCACCTGAATAGCTGCCTGCTGGCCCGTAATAGCTTGAGTAGATGGCCGGATATTGGCTGGACCGTTGTTGAATTGTGCTTGTTGGGTATTTATACCTTGGCCTGACAAGTTCCCCTGGGCTAGGCCTAGCCCTGCAGGATCAACTGGGTTGTATTCATTATCCGCTTGTAAAGGGCTAGCCGCATTCCGGGATGGGCCTTGGGGAGTTGTATGAGAGGGAGTAGATTGGTTAATGTTAGTTTTGACAACAAGGACAAAGAGGAGAAGACGGGTCGGTGTCGGATCCTGGACCTGATTATTCTCAAGGAGCTCAATAAAGTCCGGCTTCTTGCTGTGACCAGCCTCCACTGGAACTAGGTAGGCATCCTTAACTGCAGGAAGAGGGTGTTTTCCGATCACTCCGTACCTTTTGCGGTCCATGAAATAATCGAACAGTCGGTTGAACTGCACGACATCATTGGGTGCATGGGGCTGCGCAAGGGCAACTACCGAAATATCTGTGGTATGACTGTATCTTAACCCGCAAAGGTAGTTACTTGCCAATTGGACATCGATCCGACCATCGACTGTGATTGTTGGAGGGACAAGTTGTGACCAGGGAATCCTTGCACTGAGATCAGCGCCACCAACATGTTTCCCGGCAGTATAAAAGGTTGCCACAGAGCTCATAGACACTGAACCATGCCAAATGTCCCCATCATCCTGGATATCCTTGGGAGAGTAGGGCGGAGAGTCAGCTTCGTCTCTTAACAAGTTGTCAATCTCCGCGTCCTCCTGGACTTTATTCATGGGAAGTGGAGGCTCATTAAATGAGGAGGCAAGACCAAATTGCTGATCCGGGTGAGAGGCCCCGGGAGAGTGAACGCTTGACCAAACATTTTCAATATTGAAGTTGGAAGACGCCCGGCGATTGGTATCAGAAGATTCGCGAGCAGCGCCGTCCGCATATGGTGGGCCATGGGGTGAAGTAGGGCTGGTATGGCGCGGACTTTTGGCCGAAGGGAGCTCGTTTTCGGTAGCAGTGTCCCGACGAGCTGGTGCTGTAGAGAAGACGGATTCGGTGCCAATGGTTTGCTGGTCAGCCTCTACCAACTCTTCTCCTTTATGGGTGCGTCTAATCCGAGGTCCTTGTTCCTGGATGATAGTATGCTGCCTCTCTGCCTCCCGCTTGATTTCTTCGTCCTTTTCACGTAGCTCCTGGCTAGCCATGTTTTGTGTGCTCATTGTCGATATAGCATCTGGCGTTGTACGGCCTACAAGCAGACTATCACGTAACGAAGGATTTTTCCTTACATTGAACAGGATGGTCCGCAGTTGGTTTTTATAGGCATCATTAGGTTCCCCGGATGACCCACAAAGATTCCTATACATACAATCTTCTATCTCAGCCCCGAGCCTTTCACCAACAGTCTCTTTTGTGCTGTCTGATGGGATAGTAAAAGTACCAGCAGCCACTGCAGCACCAGCAATTTCGATGACCAGTTTGGACAATGCGGTTGCAGCACTTCTCCTAGCTACAATCAGATGATCGATCCCAGCCGTAGATCCAGACCGAGATTTTAAAGTAGGCCCCTGGCTAGGTGTCCTTGGGCTTGAGGCACTTTGTCTTCCGCTTTGCACTCCACTCTGAACAGGTGAGCTTCGTGCATCCTGAGGCGGAGCTGGGAGGTTTGTAGACAACTTTTGTAGTTTCTGTCTCGAACCCTGGTTAAGGGTTATTCATGGTAAGCAAGATATTCAAAAAAAAGGTAGATATAGTTAAACTTACCGGTTCCTGCGGAGTATTCTCCCCTTGTTCTTCGTGTTTACGTTTGTGGGCGCTGCTGTCCTCATAGTGAGGGGATACAGCTACTTCGATATTATGCTGCATCGGGGGGGACTGCTTATCCCCCTTGGCCGCAGTCGGAGTATCGCCATGCTCTGGTTTGACATCACTTTGCCTGGCTTTCTTCCCCCGTTTTCCACCCTTCTTCTTGCGAGCTTTCCTCTCTTCCGCCTCTTGCGCTCTCTTTGCGGCCGCTTCTTCCCATGGTTTCTCGCCCCTATTTATCTTATCCAACAACTCTCTATGGTTCTCTGGTTTGCATCTTTCACAGAAATATTCCGCCGGCTCTTCTCCCTTCGGGAAGACAAGGCCCATACAGTCGTTATGTTGCCAGGCAGCACATTTGTCACAGCATATCATATCACGTTCGACATCCTCTTCCTCTTCGTATTCACCGCATATACATCGGATTATTTCGTCTTCTTCGTTTAATACCGGCGGCGTAGGTTCGTTCGAGTTCTGTTTTTGGCCCTTTCCTTGGCCCTTATTTTTCCGTTTGTTTTGCGGGGGTTCGATATCGAGGTTCTTGTGTTGGCCTTTCGTTGCTCGGCCTGAGCGGCGCGGTTCGTCTGTGATGATATGTTAGCCTAAGTTCCATCAGAACGCGGTCTGTTGCCTCCACGACGCGGACGGCCGGGGTCTTCATGAGGACAACACCACTGGTCTTGATGCTCTCTGGCAAACCAAGAATGTACAGCGTGGGATACAAGTGCTTACCAGCCATGATTTTATAGTTAAGAAGACAGAAGTGCTGTTGATAACCGATAGTCTACAATCCTTTGAAGTTCAGGAGCGTCGAGGGCTGTTGATTCTGTTTGCAACCCAACGAAACCGTTCTGTTTACAGGCATCGAAGGTGCTTAAGAGTAATACACAGGGCTTGTCTCAGAGGACAGCAGAGGTGACGGATAACTGATACCTGAACTCCCTCCTTGAACGTAATACCGTGTAGACCACAGTGATATTGTTATTGCGCGGGGAAAGCCTCCACTCTCACACTCAATAGCCGTACCGTAAGAGAAGGAATCGTAATTATATCTCTTCTCTTTATCAAATCAATTTTATGTAGCGACGAAATCTCTGCCTGGCGACAGAAAAAAGCCCTCGCCTGCAAATTGTTGCTAGGGTTGAGACCGTGTGCGCGAATGGAACGGACTCAAAGGCGCGCGCAAGACGCGGTGTAATATGGTATCTTTTGTCAAATAGAGGTAGACGAGGTAGCAGTCAGAAGATTATCATGGGTTGCCCTGATTTTTGCACAGGAAAAAGGCAGCGTAAGGGAAAAAGGACAGGAAGTTGTTTGTGATGTGATGTTGCTAAAGTTGTTATTACAAGAAAGAAAAGAAAAAAAACTAAAAAGCTGGCTTACAAATAAATAGTTAACTACCGAAGTGGTTAGTCAGTCACGTGCTAAAGCTTACTTTAAAATCAACGTCAGAATATGTTTTTGTATCAACAGTAATAACAACAACAATCACAATAATGATAATAACGGAAAAGAACTTGTTTGCTAATATTCTGCAAGCTTAGTATAGTCAACTATAGGTTTATTTATCATCTGACTCTATATGAGTTTTTGTTATAGCTAGGAGAATAGCTATTTTGTTTTTTTTATCATAAACAGATGCTAACTAGCGACAGGTAGATAGCATAGGACAAAACCAGGGAAATACCCCTTGATACAATTTAGGCGTGGTTATATAAGCATGATATCCTTCAAAGGGAGGTGTCGGCTCGGGTGCTCTAGCTGGAGTTAAATTTCTTAGCGGACCTGGCAGCTTTTACTTGTCTTCAAGTCCAACAAAACGGCTGCTCAGTCCGGTCTGGATTTTACCTTAACTGGTGGAAGCAAGAAATATCCATCTGAACCTGACCAAGCCTTTCGAGGCACTCCTCGGCAGTCTCCTTCGGCCAAAGTAACATGGGCCACAGTTGAACTTCGAGAAGTGAGACATCGGCATCAATGTGGTTGACTGTTTGGACTATTTCATCCTTCACTATGCCGTTTTTTCCGGTATTCAGCCCATTCTCATCTTGTGACCAGCTAATCACTGTTGAGTGTTCCAACAGTCACTTCAACTGGTGTGATGCCCACAAATATATCACAGATTACGAGAAGAAAAGCTGGCCTGAGAATGCAGAAGGTCAAACTGAGTATTGACTGTGGGTGAGGATGGGTCAAGGGTCACTGAAATCCAACTGACCTATCACCAAAACAGGCTTTAATGGATGCGGTCTTTGCATAGATGAATGATTGCACGATACAACGGCTGTCTCGATGACTAGCTCAGTGAAATTGGCTTAGCAGTGCAATGCTACTTACCTCTAAAGGAAGGAGGACCTTTGCAGCTTTACTGTTACCTGTTATGATATAGTTTGATAATTTCCAGTGTATAAGGTAATAGATATGAAAACTGGCATCACATTCTGGATATCAATTGATAGGAAGAGAGCGGTGCTAAATTTTCAAGACTGCCAGCCTAACCCATCCGCACCTGCAGTAGACGAGGTTGCTCGTCTCACGCGTTATTTGAAGTATTCAGCAACAACCGAAATTCTTGGAGCCAATCTGAAATGAACACTCAACAGGATCACGATCTGAACAACTCATGATTCAAAATATCCCCCGCAACAGTGCTTTGAGAAACCCATCCTGCTTAGCTACCTCTTTGGGGAATATTTTCTGGGTCTTTTGTGTGTATTGTCGGAGTTCCTGAACGCGGCGAAAGATGGTAACAGGAGCACCGGTCCGACGGGCGTCGATGAGATCGATAATATTAACGTGCACTTTGGCAAGGGCCTTGGAAATTTTTAGCATAAGCCTCAAAAGCTGGCTGAACACTCTGTAAACCTTTTTGCATTGAGTGATTGTTTTAGGCTCAGAAAGGCCAACTTCGCGGCATAGTGACTGCCAGTTTTGTAGCTTCGAAGCTTCGGTACCATAATGTTTGCTGAATTCTGAAACCCCGAAACTTGCCCATCCTCGTTTGTAAGCCTTCGAGCCATGTTTCCACCTCATATGGCGCGCCAGGCGCGCAAACTCGTCTACTGCAGGTGCGGATGGGTTAGGCTGGAAGCCTGGGTAGCGGCTATAGAAATTGGGCTCCATCCTATTCTTATACGGAGGCTGAACTTAGTGAGAAACGCTATAGTACGGAGAAACCTAGCAAGATAGGCAGGAAGATATAAAATGTCTCTGGCAACTCAGTTTGGGTCAGCTGGTCCCTTCCTATCAAGTTGGATTGCCGGCCATTAACAGGGAATAGACAGGATCGTGGCTCGACAATCAACATGAGACCTACGAACGCCTATGCATAGTCACTGCCCGGGCATAGCCGGAAAGACTGCTAAGAGTATGTAACTACAATTGGTCCAGCTCAGCAAGGCCTCACTAAGGAAGCCCGAGCCAGGAAATGGCAAGGGAGCAACGCCGGTGATCGATGCGGTACCCTAGCTTGTATGCAAACCTGCACTGCGCCGCACAAGCCAGTCAAACCCTTTGCCTGCGCCGCAGTCACAACAAGGCCCTCTTCCCCGTGGCCTTCTAAAAGCTCCCGCCGGCACCAACGGCACTTGGTGTGGAATAGAATGAATGGGTTTGCATCTGGTGATAATGGATTGCAGAACATTTTGATTCTAGATATTGGATATGCGATAAGCATAAAAACGTCTTGGAGCGAGGAAGATTGAATAAAGCACGAGCATCCGCAAGTTCTTATCTCAATCCCGTGTATTCGTCGAGCCCCCCGAGCCAACTGGTTCACGGCCTTGTCTGTTAACCACCAAGGACCCTCTTGACCCGTCCCATCGGTACGCGGAGAAAGCAGCAGGGCTGGGAGGGAGACTCACGAACCTAGCTGCTACATCGGCACGGGGGCGAGGCGACCTATTATCATCAGCAGCAAACGAAAAAAAAAAAAGAAGAAAAAAACAGGACTCCGTCTCCTTAGGCCAAATGAGCAAGTTCTAAATGCAGATACGTTACCAGGGGGGAAGCTTGGCGGTCACTGCGCCTTTCTGCGTAGAGTGGTGCCGAAGTTAGGCTGGATGAAATAATTAACCTAGCAAACCCTCGCATGATAGGTTGAAAGGTACAACTAGTCCACCATCATGTATGCGGGTTTGGTGGCGAATATTCCTGACCAGCCTTATGTCGTAAGGTCATTGCATATGTCGTAGTAATCTCGGGCGCAAGCATCCCTGGGTGACCTTCACGCCGGTCCTGCTGTGTGACGTCGTAATTGCTGTTGATTTTCCGAATTTGTCGACTTACAGATACCGTGCAGCAATGAGTGACTTGAGGAAGATAGGAAATTTGTTTTTAATTTCGCGGAAGGGTATATGTTGTTGGCAGGTGTCCCGCAACGCGTTTAAAAAATCATATCTCAGCTATCAACCTCGTTGATGGAAGCAATAGCAGCGGCAGATCCACTCAAAATGCACAGCGAACGTTTCTACGCAATTCGGCCGATCCCTGATAAAGGTTATGGTGTTGTTGCCGCGACCAAGATCAATAAAGGTACACGGATTATCTCTGAGTCTCCGTTGTTCAGGGTCGATCAGCATGGTGACTCGAGCAAGAAAAAGGAGCTGCGCAAACTCATGTCCAAAAAGGTTGCCGGTCTTCATGAAGAACAGCGACAGGCATTTCTCTCCTTGCACAATGCATTTGAAGACGAAGACGGCGTGGAGCTGGGAATTGTCCGAACCAACGCGCTTCCACTGGGATCCAATGCAACAGAGGGAGGTATGTTCTTAGACTCGGCGCGTATCAACCACTCATGCAATCCCAATGCGCAAAACACCTGGAATGAGAACCTCCAGAAACTCACGATTCATGCTATTCGGGACATCCCAAGGGACGAGGAGATCACAATCTGCTATCTCTCGACCATCCAGAACCGCAGCGCTCGGCAGTGCGCACTGCAATCCTGTTTTCGCTTCGTCTGCTCTTGTAGTCTTTGCGCCTTGCCGGTTGATCAGTCTAGAGCCAGTGATAAAAGATGTGACGAGATCCAGAGACTCGACGACGCGATCGGGGACGGACCAGGGGCGCTCTTTTCTCCCTTGCAGACTCTTCATTCCGTGCATCGACTGCTAAACCTTCTGGAAGACGGAGGGTTCACTGGTGCCAGCATACCAAGAGCCTATTACGATGCCTTCCAAATCGCCGTTGTACACGGAGACAGAGCCAGAGCAAGGGTCTTTGCCGAAAGAGCCGCTTCCGCTCGGATAGTCTTAGAAGGGAAAGATAGTCCGACCGTGGAGCAAATGGAGAGCTTGGCCAGGAACCCTGCACGCCACCCAGCAATTGATGGGACGAATAAGTGGAAAACGACTTTGGGTGACATTCCAACTGAGCTAGACGGGGGTGCCTTTGAAGGCTGGCTCTGGAGGAAAGAAGTTGTCTCTCAGTACGCCAACTTGCGAGTGGAGTCGGCGTTTCCTTCATTTGCTGGACTGCCCTGGGATAATGACATCGACTTGGAGTTCCATGAAAGCGTTGATGGGGTTTACCGTCCACGCAGGCATTGGTGCTTCCTTGCGGAAATTGTTGATATCGAGATATTTTTACGCCTCAAGCTGATCGTTAAGGATAAGGCTGGCCAAAAAATTCCGATTGCCTTTTACACCGATGATCGTGGTTTCAACCTCAATCCTCAGAAATGTCACACAGTTGCGATCCTCTATGCAGAACAGCATGGGTTTCTAGATCTTTCAGTTGGGATTCGACAAGAAACCCACGCGACGGTGAACGTAAGTTGGCCGAAAACGAGGGAAAAGAAAAAAAAAGGGTGCTTTGTGTTACTAGTTAACTAATTGGCTGCCCTACTAGATTTTTCCCTTCCAGATGTCTTACTTACTGGCCCTGAGTGATAGAATACAGCAGTATTCGACCGAAACAAACGGGGTGAGAATGTGCCAGGGATGCAATAGAAAAGCAGCTGATATGAAAAAATGTGCGAGGTGCCACCTCTTCTGGTATTGTCATAAGGTATGAGATGCCTGTTTGCTGCCAGAAAAGGCCCTTGGACTATTTTAACAATAGCTTTTGCTAGGATTGCCAAACCACTGGCTGGAAACAGAAAGGCCACAAGGTAGATTGCCAGCGACTTAAGGATTCTGACCTGCAGAAGTTATTTCTTGCCAAGTGGGGTGCATTTCGGGGCTACTTACAGTTTGATCCCAAAGAATGAATCTGAAATGGGAGACACGCTATAAAGGTATAGTATTCTCACATAGGCTCTTTTCTTTATTTGGCTTTCTTTAACCTTATCCCAAAACACTCATGCATCTAGCTGAAATCATCATATTGTTTCTGCCATTTGGTTGATAAAGAGAAGTGAAGCCTTACTGTGAACCCTTAAGCTTTTTCTTTATTAGATTAATTATTATCAGAAATCTAAAGTGCCTTTCCGTATAGTGAATATTAAGTGAGAAAAGATAGTAGCGTAGTGACTATGCTGCTTCCCCTTGTGGGTAGCTAAAGGGGCTAGAGTCACGTACTACTACAGGGCGTTGGAGTTTTGAGTTCCGTGTATATACTAAGCGAACTGTAATACAAACTGCAGTTAACTAAGTGTTGTACATGGTTATGCAGCGCCTACTAAATACAGAGCCTGTTGGCAGTGTAGTTAGTTAATTTCTCTGAGGCCCAAAACAAAGACTCAAGAGTGAATACAAGTCGCACTCCTACGCGTCAAATAGGCTTCCTTGAACTCATAAACAGATTACTTCCAAGAAAACGGTAACTACTAAGGTTTAACTACGGTACGGCCCGACGAGGCGTTTCCTCACAAGGTTTACGGAGTTTTATCCCGCTCATCGTGTTCAGAAAGGCAGCAAAAAATGTTGGTCAGAATGGTAACATGGCCGTATACTACACACCCTTGCTTGTATGGCGCTCAGCCAGATTTCCAGGACATAGTAAAGCGGGGAAATATCGGTACTATGTATGCTTAATACGATGCACGCCGGATACATTCGGCGTCTTATCAGAATCTATTACGGCAGTTACCACACTAGCCATTGAAAAGAAGGGTTCATATAACTGATGTCTCATAGACCTTGGAGAGACTGAAGGCAAGTAAACAACAAGTTAAAACTCGAAGATTGACGTGATAGAAACTTGAGGGCTCTAGATATCGTTAACTATGGCTGGTCCACCTGTGTCTTCTTTAACCCAAGATGATATACCAACAGCAGACGAGGAAAATGCTACCAAGATACTCGACTCCTACTTACAAGAGAAATCACCTACTTTTAGCGCCTTTCGGGCCATCCAGAAAATAGTAAGAGCCTAGTGGTGCTCCATCCCAACATTTATATCGGATACTTATTATTAAAATTCAGGTCTGGCAGTCTCCCGCAGCCGATAAGCATTTTTTGAAGCAAAGAGAAGCCGCCGATTCAGCTACTCCAGCTCTAAAGAAACACTTCTTTGGGATGATGCGGGGTATTGGTGATCAGCTCCAAGCTGCTAAACATATTATCCCGCCGCCTAGAGAAACAAAAAGCTTCAAGGTTCTTGATATCTGTATGGCACCTGGAGGGTATTCGGCTACGGTTCTCAAATACAATAAATATTCGCGCATATATGGCCTTAGCTTGCCAGAGGAGGAGGGTGGACACCAAATCCTTTTGCAGAATTGGCGGAAAGATCCCCGCGTGCAAATCCTGCAGATGGATATCACCATGCTATCTACGGAGCTTGGGTGCCCCAATCTGTTGCCGCCGGATAATCCTGCAGCCTCACAATTTTTTGACTGCAAACCTTTCGACGGACTAGAAGCTGACTTGATCTTTTGTGACGGCCAAGTTCTCCGTACCCATGAACGGGCAGTTGATTCCAAGTTTGAGGCGTCTCGGTTAACAAGCGCTCAGCTTATCATTGCACTGCAAAGGATCAAGAAGGGTGGAGCTATAGTAATACTTTTGCACCGCGTGAATAGCCCGCAGAATGTGGTCCTCCTTCACAGCTTTAGCCAATTTGCTGAGATCGATCTATTCAAACCCACTCCAAGTCATGCCACCAGAAGTTCGTTCTACCTCGTGGCAAAGAACTTGGACCCAACGAGTTCGGGGGCTTGTAATATGCTTGAAGACCTAAAAAGTTCCTGGAAAAGGAAGACCTTGCAAGCTTTTAACGATGAATCACCTAAAGTTGAGCAGGCTATATCTGGAACCGAGATGAGGGACATCTTGGAGTCATCGTTTGGGGAAAGGGTTATCAGTCTCGGCGAACCTCTTTGGAAAATTCAAAAGGAAGCGTTGGAGAGGAAATTTTTGAGAGAAACCCCGAAACACCGGAACTAGAAACTATCTCCTAACGTCTTCTTTTTTTCACCTCTCTCTTATGAGCCCTATCTCTTGTTTGATATGTCGGCCAAACGTCGGCTCCAATGATGAATGTAAAAGTTAAACTTTAACTAGAGGGGGTGAACCTAATGGCACGTGATTCATTTATTTTCGTTACATAATCAATCAACTCTAGCTGGAGCCGCAATAACTATAACGAGCTATCATCAAGAAGACGCAGCTGTTGATAGCACTAGCACTCCCGGTCGACGACAAAGATTGGTTACCAATAGCTCTATCGCACGCTCACAACTCGAAAGCCAAAATGGTAGATGTCCGAGAACTCCTTCGAAACGAACTCGCGTCACGACAAATCTCTAGCTCGAAAACTGCCAAAAAACGCAGACACGGCCTCGAGTTAGAGCCAGCACGGAAGAAGCCCAGGGCGGATACGGAAGACAAGCCAGAAGATGAGAGCACCGCTGTCATCAATACTGAAACCGAGCTACCGGAGAGGTCATCACCTACCCGCAAGCTAGGGCTCAACACTGCGGATACAGTGGAGGTGGAACCGGAGATAGATACAGAGGAGCTTCCACCAGCACCCGACAACCAAGGCGTTGATGAGGACGAGTGGGCAGCGTTTGAGCGTGAGGTTGCCCAGCCTTCCAGAGAACAACCTCCAACCACGATAAATACTTCTGTCACAATATCTGCTGCTCCTGTGTCTGCGGCTGAGCTTGAGTCGCGTGAACGTGAAGATCGAGAGACTGTGGCAAAGAACAGGGAAGCAGCGTTACTGGGGGACCGTGAAGATGCAACTAGATTCTTAGAAGAAGAATTTGACGAGATGGAGGAGCTGGATCAACGTGTAAAACGGCTAAAGCAGATGCGGGATGAGATTCGTCGCAAACGGGAGGAAGAGAGCCGAAGGACCAACGTTGCAGAAAAGAGTGGGCTACCAGATGATAATCCTAAAATTGTTGATGGGAGTGAAGAAGAAGAAGAAGAGGGCGATGATGACGAGGAAGAAAACTGGGATGATTGGGGATTTAGGTGATGCGAGTAAATATTGGTACAAATGGTTGAAACTTGTCCCGAATTGGTGGTTCGACAGCGAGATACCCTGCGTTTAATCCGTCCAACGATTTTGCTTGTTGATGTAATATAGCATAGCGTGATACCTGTTTAATATTCATGGCATACATACATGTAGCACAAACGCAGCTAGGTGTCATCGATATAACTCTTTAGACCTTCCCTGCCTACTTTCATAGCTCTTTGAATCTCAGCGTCTTCCTGGCGAAGGGCATCTTTGCCATGCATAACAGCTCTGTGCTGTCTTCGCTTGTCTTCTTGCACTCTCATTTCACGGTCATGCAAGGCCTTCTCCCGCTTTCGCCGTTCCTGCTCTTTCTTTAGCTGTTCCGCTTTTTCGGCTTCATCTAAGGTATCTTGTTGCTCTGGTGCAGGGGGTAGTGTAAGGATATAAGATCCAATGAGCTCATTCCGGGTCTGTGCGGGCAAGGATATATATCGGAGGTCAGCAAGAATTTGCTGGGGCAGAGTGTGGATCGAAGTTGACATATTGAGTGACGATAACGGGATAGATTTCAATAACGAAGAGAGATCGGATTTTCGGGTACTCTCTGGCAGTTTTAGCCTCGTAATATGGTCACGGTAGTGCTTCTCTTTCTCTTTCTCCGGTATTCTGCTATCTTTCATCTCCGGTTCCTTTCGATACTTGCGCTTAAACTCAGGCCAGTAGAGTTTAGGAGTAGCATATTCATGTAGAAGAGCAAAGTATCCAATTCGAGGGTTCGCCTGTTGTTCCTTTTTCTTCTGTTCCTTATGCTCATGTATTCGGTCACGGCTCCATTTAGACCAAACCTCCCGTCTTGATTTCATATTCGGTAGGACCGTGTATCTCGGGTCAAAAACTATCTTTCCTTCTTCAATGATATTTTCCCAGGGAGTATACGGGCTTATCCTGAAGTCGTCAAGCAAGTCACGGAACAGAACGTTGGTATCCTCTTCAGAGAGTGGTGGCTCCTCTGCATTTTCTTGCCAGTCGGCTTCGCCAGCCTCGTCATACTCATCGTAGTCGCCGGGGTCACCATCATAGTCACCTGCCATGGCAGCCAGCTGATACTCGATGTCGTCCTCGTTAAATTCGACTTGTTGGTTAATTTCCTCGTCGGCCTTGAGCCTCTTTGAGGGAGCGTTCTCTTCATCATCCGTCACTTCCACTTCCTCATATTCGCTATCGGAATCTCTCCTCTCGGGAACGACTTCTCCAGGTGTTGATACTACTTCCACCCGCTTGTCAGACGGTTCAGTATCGGCCGCTGCTATCGGCATCTCTTCTTTCCCCCTCTCACGCCTTTCCTTAGCTTCTCGCTCGACCCGGTCGTATTCCACAACACCCTTCATCACTTCCGTAGGATATTTCCAAAAGCTCTCGTTTGTTTCTGGGTTGTGCACAAACCGACGCCCCAACTTTGTCTTTACCAGGACCCATGGAGCGCATCCGGGTATTGAATGTTTGGACTTCGGTCGGTCTTTGGGGTGATGATGTTTTCTATAAGGCTCTTTAGTCCGGGAGAGCCCTTGAAAGCTCGGGTCAAAGCCTCGCGTTCCATGGCTGGGTGGTTGAAATTGTAGCGGGTATGACGGCAATGCAGCTGGTACCGCCACTGGCACGGGTGTTTCTTCAGCCGGCCGTTTATACGTTGACTGCTTCGTCTCTGCATTATAGTAATATCGATGCCCTAGTACATGAAACTGTCAGTATAGGCCATTGATTATGGGTATGACTTCTATCTCTGACCCGAGGGCGCCTTATGCTCGGTCCATCCCGGCGGTAAGGCGTTAGTCGGAGTGTAAGTCGACTTCAGCATCCTGCTCTGTATATCCACAAGCGATTCGTCTTCCCGGCAGACTTATTTGATTGCTCCCGTGGTAACCTTCTTCTCGTCCACCCGTTCTTTCTCTGGCGTTTTTTTATATTGAAGTTCTGCGGCTGCCCTATGATTGGTCCGAGCTCTTCTCTTGGTACGCGCGATGCTTTTGGTGGCCTAACTGAAAGTTGCACCTTGAGCTGTCGGAACAACAACAACTGACAAACAGACAACGGAACGGGGAAGCAGAGTGAGAACGCATACACGAAGCCAACGATATATTGCTGCTAGGCGTTGGGGATTGATTGTTTGGAGCTAAACTGTTAACAAACACGGACTTGCACTTGGAACAGGACAAATGGCGCGGAGATACGACTCTAGGGTATGTATCTCCCTCCATCCAAACGGCCCGCCAGCTAGCTGAAGACTCCAGGCTGATGATCATACTCTCTATAGACAACTATATTCTCGCCGGAAGGCCGCCTGTATCAGGTCGAATATGCTCTAGAGGCCATCTCCCACGCCGGAACCGCCCTCGGCATCCTGGCCAAGGATGGGATAGTTCTCGCTGCGGAGCGGAAGGTCACCAGTAAGCTTCTGGAACAGGACACCTCGGCAGAGAAGCTCTATATCTTGAACGAGTCAGTTTCCACGGGGATTGCTGTTCTAACTAAGTACACTTGCTAACAAGATCGTTGTAGTAACATGATATGTGCCGTTGCTGGAATGACCGCCGATGCCAATATCCTCATCAACTATGCCCGTCAGGCTGCTCAACGATACCTCCTCACCTACAACGAAGACATCCCCTGCGAACAACTGGTCCGCCGATTATGCGATTTGAAGCAGGGCTACACCCAGCACGGTGGTCTCCGGCCGTTTGGTGTGTCGTTTATTTACGCTGGCTACGACCCTCTCCGACAGTTCCAGCTATACCAGAGCAATCCAAGTGGCAACTATGGTGGATGGAAGGCTACCAGTGTCGGGGCTAACAATGCCAGCGCACAGAGTCTTCTAAAGCAGGACTACAAGGAAGACTGTGATCTGAAGGAGGCTTGTGGCATGGCTGTCAAAGTTCTGAGCAAGACTATGGACTCTACTAAGCTGAGTAGCAAGAAGAGTAAGTTCTCAATATACTTTCCACAGCCGTTTGTCTGATGAATCTAACCTGGCATGGGGAATATTAGTTGAGTTTGCCACTGTTGGTAAGACCAAGGACGGCAAGATCTATCACCACCTTTGGGGCGCTGATGAGATCGATGCTCTTTTGAAGGAGCACGATCTAGCTAAGCCTGATGACCAGGAGACTGGTTAAATGGCTGGCCCATGGTTCCACGACCATGTTCTGCCCATCATGAGACGGCGCTTTGTGTTTGCTATACAGTAGATCAACACTATCAATCATTGCAGCTTGCAGTTTGTCTGCGCCTAGGAGGCAGAAGGTCCCTAGCCTATAGTTCTTCTCATCGCATTTCCTAGTCACCATTATATATCGTACGCATATAATGTTACCTAGGAAATATGTCCCTAGTAGTTATAAACGCGGCCTCTACTACGCTCAACCACTCCTCAATGCCTTGGCAACATGCCGAAAAAACTCATTTTACTTCCGTAGACGTTCTACGTTCTTCCAATTCGACTGCCAAGTCATTCCATGTCAATTCAGCGTCCGTTTTGCCATCGTCATTAAGGCCTGTAGGATCTTCCCTCCACGCAAGTTGTATTGAGAACACCCATGTTTGTTTGGCACCGCGGTTCGGGGACTTGTTGCGCCCTCAATAGTTATGTTAAGACCTTCCCCTGAGAGTTCAGCGCATGTGAACAGTTTCCACGCCTTGGGCAAAGTCCCAAGTTGTTTACTGAAAACGGTCTCAGCCAACCAGATAACTAACTACCTAATATGATTCAGTGATGGTGCAGCAACCCTGTATCGTGAGTAGGTACAAATGCGAGCCTTGTACCATGACCTCTACGCTCCATTTTCCTAATCAGGGAGTTGCTTTTAAACAGCAATGCATATATGGGCTCTGTCCAGGTTGCGAGGAACTTGCGTGAGGCATACCCCGAACTACTCTCGTCGCAAAGGCGCTAAACCCGCGATGGGCCATCTGCTTGCCTGTCGTTTGGATGCGGGGAGATGGCAAGTTATGATGCAGCAGGCTCGAAGTGAGGCAATCACCCAACTAGTTATGTGACGTTATATGCAGGCCACTATCGGTCGTTGGTTATGGTGCCGTGGTCTGCATCGTCACTGGATGCTGCATACATACGCATATTGCTCTCTAGGCTCCCAGGGGGAGAGACCCCGAGGAAAAATGCTCAAAAGCGAAGCAGTCTTGCTCTGGTAGCCATTGGAATGATGCCACCTACATATGCCTAGCCCCTTGCTCCCGCGGTAAAAAAGAAAATGTCTCCATGACGTTTGGGCGGAAGGAGAGGGGAAGATAACTAGTGAAGCGCTTTGGTAGCCCGTTGTTATTCAACTGCCTAAGGTTACAGTTAGAATAAATTGGCTCTTATCGTACCTCTTTATGGGGTTCAGAACTTAGAGTCTATCAATTGTCCTGTCCACTTTGAGCTTCCACTGTAACTAACTGGTTAAGTTAACGAATCAAAATCTCGTCGTCGATCTCGATCTCGATCTTCTGGCTGACATGGCCTCCACAAGCAAGCCCGCCGCTTCTGTGGCAGCCCACGTTACCCAGTTACAGAATCAGACTCCTGACGTTCAAGCCATGAAGGATGTTTTGGCTCGGCTCAAAGAGCTGCTTTCGGCACCAGGGTTTAACGCTCTTTCGGCGGTCTACAATGAGAACACAAAGCTGCAGAATCAGCTGCAAGCCAGGGACGAGGATATCAAGAAACTAAGAGAAGAAATGGAGAAGAAGGAAAAGCATAAGGAAATAGCCATGGATGAGATGTTTGCAGCAAATGAAAAAGAGAAAAATAAACATAACAAAACAATTGAACAGGTGAAAGAGCTCCAAACGGCCGCTGGCGAAAGTGAAAAACACCTCGCTGAGCAGCAGGCAGTGATAAACGAACTTAAAGACAAACACGCGAAGCTCGAGTCGGACTATGCAAGTCAAGCGGAGCATCTTACTCGGGCCGACAAGGATATTGGCGACCTAAAAAAGACCCTCAAGGAAAGAGAGGCCTACATTGACAAGCTGAAGGCAGCAGGGTCGGAACAGAAACAGATACTCCTTTCACAAAAGAAGAATATTAAAGAATTGGGAGATCAAATATCCTCGTTAGAGGGGTCGCTGCAGGCTAATCAATCCCAACTGAGTAAACTGGAAGGGTTTGCAGTCGGATATCAGGAAATTGACGAAGCTTCCATGTAAGTTTGTTGCGTGTAACCAAATAACTGCCCGTCATACCAAATAGTTAACTAAGTAAACACTAACTTACCGGTCAGAGTCAATAAGTTTGACGAGCTTTGGAGTTTTGCCACAACGGAGATACACTCCTGCTTGACGGAAGATCTTTCCAGTAAGGCTCTCCAGGTGCGTATCTCTTCATTCTTCCAGGAAATCATGACATTCTCTCGCGGTTATCTCATCATATAAATACCTAGTTAGTTAGTTACTGAGCCTGTTCACAGGACCGCACAGCCTGGGATCATTTTAGGAAGTGGGCTGATACTCTACGGCACCGTATCCCACTCCCACACTCCAACTCCAGCGCGGCAAAGGATATGCGCCTAGTGTTGACTTTGGCTATTCTTGCGAGAGAAATCGACCGTCAGATATTCCAACCGACGTATATTTTCCCTGAAGATAACCAGCTGCGAGAGATTCTTGTTGACCTTGCTGCAACAGACAGTGAGAAAGAGCTATTCTCTCGACGCTTGCTTCTTTCGATCAATCCGGAAGCACAGGCCGAGGCTGGCCGTTCCCGGATTCAAGCAGTGGTAAGGAATACATCGCAATGTTTTTTCAAGTTGCTTTCAGAATCAAAGTATGAGGAGTTTCGCCGGTGTATAGAGAAAGTTGCCCAGAGAGCAGCAGATTTCTGGCAGCCCATTCAACGTGCCAAGAGCAAGTATGAGCCAGACTTTGAACCAACGGAGTCCGGAGACCCTGAGTGGAAACCCTTTGTCTTCCCAGGCGGCCCTGAAAACGGCCCAGCTCCGGCGGAGAGTCGTCCAAGTGATGGCGGCCAGGCAGAAGAGCTTCTTACAGTTTTTCCTTGTATCTCTGCTATTGAGAATAATGTTTGTTATCCATTGAATACCGTCACCCAGGTCTGGAAACCGCTGCCGCAGTGCGCTGCCGCAGAGCAGGAGCTGGCACAAAGGCCAACTAAACCTACTGTTGGCCGAATGGCATCGAATCGTGAGCGGAGGAGGTCTCTTACTGTTACCAGGGCAAGCAATATGAATGGGAACCACCAGAATGGGAATTTTTTAGGTCAAAAGGCTGGCGCAGCGTAATCGGTTTTGTATGTGTCTTTCGGTTATGATATCTCCAATCTCTCCCCCTCTCTCTCTGCTCGATTAATTAGTTAGTTACATTGGAAAATAGCATGGTTCCTGAGGTTCAAAATCGAATCACGGCTAACTACATAGTTAACTAAAACATCAACGGAATATTCGTTTCACCTGTTGATTTTCCTGGGGAATTTCCATGGTCCCTGGATTAGATATAGTGTTTAACTCCATAGCAATACCGGAATCAAAACACAAATACCACAATACAAAAAGTATTTAGCAACCCAAAATCACCAAACTCAAATTGAAACAGAGGGGAGTTTGTACTACTGAGGAGTTTACGGTTTAGCAGTCCAAGTGTCAACGAATAAAAGCCGCATTAGTATACTTATAAAGCTGTTGATAAGTCTTCTCTAAAATCCAAAGTCCCGTGTAACCGTACACTGGGAGGATTATTATATGGATGGTGTATATACGTATATACCGGTAGCTATATTGATAAGGTTGGCGAGCAAAAGGATATCCAAGTCACTCTATCGAGATGGGTAAATTTATCCTTCAGAGTCAAGATTCAAATACTAGGAATTTAAAGCCGAGAGCTGCCCTATTTTTGGAACTGTTCGGCAATGTCGGCTGCCAAACCTTCCTCATTGTGGTCTATATTTTGGACCACCCGCCCTCAATCCCAGGACGATAAACCACGCAGCATCTTATAATTCAGGCTAAACGTTTCGAAATGACATCCATAGAAAAATGGAAAGTGGTTTATCAACCGCCCAAGAGGGTGCACTGGAGCGCCAGCTAAGGAGCCTAGAAGCTATACATGCGCTCTTGACGGTTGAGCAGGCGGCGCAAATTCTTCGGAAGCTCCTTCGCGGATGTACCCAGAATCGTCAAGTTATGTGGAGTGGTGTCCCATACCAAATTGCTCAGCAATGGGCCAAGGAGCATGGGATGCAGACACTGAGCATAGCTATGGGCTCACTAATGGAAAAGAATGACCCATCTTGCCTTAAATCAAAAATGTCACCGAAAAGGTGGAGCAAGTATATGAAAGGGGCGTCTGCCATCTTTGCGTATTATATCTCACAAGGTGCCACGGTTATTGTTTTAACACCACCTCCTCCATTCAAGTTTCACCCCTCGGGAAGAACAAACTACCAAGCTATCGAGGAGCCGATCCTGAAAGGGGCATTTGGGGACGCAGTATCACAGATCCAAATGGTGCATCCAACGGTCAAAGGTGCAGAGCACTCCTCATATCAGGCGTGGCCCCTAGATAAAACTTGTGTCTGGATTGCAAATTTTGGGGACACCTTGGCTATGAAAGAACCACATTGGCGGAGTGTGTGCGCGCGAGCGATTATATCCATACGGATAACTACTGGTGAAAATGTCATAACTGCTGGTCCGTCCGCCGGTCAGGACACAGACGTGGGAGATTCCGGACTTGGTTTGAACAAGGGAAGTAGGAGTGCTATTCACTTGGTTGGTAATGAACAAACATGATGCTAATGCCGTCGGGGCAGGGTATAACTCGTGGGAAGGCTCCCAGCTTGAAGAACCAGGAGCAATCCAAGTCAAAGAAAAAAATCGAATCCCCCAGTATTAAGAGTGTGTTGCCGAAGGACAGCCCAGTGAAAAGAGCAAAAAAAGTAGTGAAAGAAATTAAGTCAAGAGAAAATGAGGGAAAAGGAGATATAATAAGGAAAAAGAAGAAAAAGAAAAAAAAAAGTGGCAAGCACACAAAGCAAAGAATAGGAAAGGAAAAGCCATCGTATCCCGTCCTATGTTAGTTAGGTAGTGGCAGAATTTTGCATTGAGCCTTAAGTTGCCGTGCTTTCAAAAGTTATGCTAGCTAACTTTGAGTTGACAGATATTGATCTATTCTCATCTCTTCGATGGAGTTTTCCTGTTTTTCAATAATCGATCTGATAGTCGGCCCGATCTGACAAATATGGGGAGACGGGTGTTGGTTGTACCCATTGTACCGTAGTTCACTTCGGTTTTTAAATTTATATAACGGCGGGATTCCAATCTTGCGAAGGCTGCCACAGAGTCTTGAAAAGCTGTAACCGAGATATGGCTTAACGGACGGGGGTTGAGAAGACCCCTGGATTTTAATTGCTTCCTCAGTGCCCCTAGGCGTATAGAGTCACAATCAAAATTGCAGCTGGTTTTCCCACTTTCAAGGTTGTCGACCAAGTCATGTAGAGCTAAGATTATCCCCTCGATAGCATCTTCTCTCGATTGATTAATCTTATCTAAGGGATAGGTGACAATTAGTATTTGCATTAACCAAGTATCGGGGATTTGGGGGCTCGCTGGTTAATTTATTTACCTATCACGGTGCCTGAGATCGGAATCTTTGAAACCTGCAGTGGAGCCTTAACCTGGCGTTGTAGAACTCGGGTTACGCTTTTAAAGATCTCATCGTGCTTGAACACCCAGGATATACAGAGCCATCTAATACTATCACGGGCCATCTTTTTCGACGGGTACGTCAGGCCTTTGATCCAAGTGTCGACGAAAATTGGAGGGTGTTATAAGCTTTATAATAATCGATAAGGACTGTAACCTCGCATAGGAGTCTGACTCCTATAGTTCGTGGAACGTTATGCGTGCGGCTATAGATAGTAGTTACTTAAAAAGACCCGAAGAGCCTCCTGAGTAGCACCAAGTGCACGTAACTCTGTAGTTCCTTGGGTATTGAGGGTATGTCCTTCAGTCCATTCTCTTTTTAGCATTATTTCAAAGGTAGGTGAAGCAAGCCTGAGATGCTTAGAAGATACTTGAAATCGAATAGGGCGAGACTGGCTGCCTGGAGTTGAGTTCTGTGTAGTATGGAACCTCTCCTCTTCAAGCACATCTTCGTCCAAGTAATTGTCCACTTCGGCCTCTGGCTCAGGCCCAGGTTCGGGCTCAGGCTCAGAGTCTGAAGCAAAACTAGACCATTTTTCCATACGGTCATTCCTTGTGTTGTGACAAGCAGAAGGGTCCTTATCAATTTTTTCCTCATTCACAGGCGAAGGAAGCTCAAAGAAATCATAGAAATCCTTATCATCCTCATACGAAGCATCCTGCTCATCCAGGACCAGTATAATATCGCCGTGGCTGTCCAGTTTATGGAGGGTTTGCTCCATAATGTTATCCATTCTTCACATGGCCAGCTCTTGTTATAGCTGCTTCCTTCCAGGATGCCAAACGATATCTTGACACAAAGCAGTTACCTAGGTATTCACTGGTATGAAGCTGCTGAGGAAGCGAGAGGTCGTCACGGTGGAACATGTAGTTAGCTGACGGCAAGGGTGAATGGGAAAATGAGGGAATGCTTGTGATTTGATGGTAAACGAGTAACTAGGTAGTTAGTGCATCGCTTAGTTAGGTAGTTATAACTACACCCACATCCTAGAATCTTGCACTCGCGCTCTAGCTTTAACTCCCACTTAGCTATCGCATCGCTCATATTGTAAATCGAGTGTAGTAGCAGCAATGATATATTATACAGCGATAACATTCGTCATCGCCGGTCGCTGTACCACCTGGCACTTACTTGCCTTGATGGTTGAAGCGGGATTGAGCATACCACTTGACGATGGTACGGTGCATGCTGCGTATAAGTACCCTGGGTCGGACTACCTAGGTATGTACGGAGTACTTATGCATCATTACCTCGTACATGATATCCACAGAGTAAGTACATATATGGTGTGCTGTTTTCGTATTGTGTCCGCCTCCATGGATGAAGATTTCAGAGGCGGGGGTGGACTATCCATTCGTCATCCTGGATACGGAGGAAGGGTAAACATTTCAGTTTCGGCTGGCTAACCGTTAGCTAGTTAACTAGGCAAAAAAGCAATGCTGATCTAGTTATAGTTAGTTAACTGTTAGCAGTAGTTAGCGAACACGATGCAGACGACATTAGCTGATTAACTAGTTGACTAACTTGAGATTTCTCAAAAGATTGATAGCTTGGCGCGTAGGAGCAGTTATCTACAGCTCTTTGTCAATTCTCTCCTGTGTCTGCTTTTCTTCCCCGCACCGAGATAGCTAGTTAGCTGTCAACATGGGCTACTTTGATCAACCGACCTCGCAGGAGCCATTGCTCTTTGCACTGCGGTCCTCGGAAGGATTTATTGTCTTGGTCATTGCTATTGCTATGTTCATTGTGTGTGAGGCTAATGTTCCTTGAGTGTACGGGAGCTAACCATTTCTGCAGGACACTCTGCTCTATACATTGGTATGACCCTTCCGCCCGTACGAAGACACTAGTTAGCTAACGAAGGTAGTTAGATCATACCAATTATTCCCAAAATCCTAGTCCTGCGTGCAGGGGCTCCGAAAGAGGATGGTATGGGTCTTCCCATCTTACTCCTCTCTTTTTCAAAGTGCTAAAAGCGATCATAGCTCAATTCTGGACATCGGCACTTCTGTCTGTTTATGGTGCTACACTTCTTTTAGGGTCCCGTATGTTCTAGTTCTTTTTCATTTTCTTGGTTTTCAGGTCCTCATTGTTCCCGAATCTAACTGTCCATCCTTAACAACAGCACTACTTGGGTACTTTTCAGACCATTTTAAATCACGAAGAGCTCCCTTTACGCTAGGTTTAGTAGCACTATGCCTTTCCACGCTACTATTTGCATTTGCACGGTCGCCCATGCTATTAGTTTTTGCTAGAGCCTTTCAGGGCCTATTGTCTTCTATAGTTTGGATAATTGGCCTAGTGTTGATTGTTGACAATATTCCCCAGGAGCGTGCTGGGGAGGCCATGGGCTGTACAACTATGGGAATGATGGCAGGCTCACTTCTTGGGCCTACACTAGGAGGCGTATCCTACGACCTTATAGGATATTATGGGGGTTTTATTCTACCATCAATACTCATTGTTTTGGACATCGTACTGCGGCTTGCAATGATCAATAGACAGCCAGCTAGGGTAGAAGATACGGAGCAGAATACCCACAGCACCTCGCCAGATGTTACTCGAGCAGCTTACAGTCAATAAAATGAAGAGGTACGTACCACTGATACCAAATCACTCTCCTGCCGTCAACAGTATAAAGAACAGTGGCGTATTACTTCTGCTGTGTTCGCCCTGCTTATTAGTTGCTCTCCTTTCTCGGTTATGCTATCTTCGATCTTGACTAGCATAGAGACGGTAAGATATCTACTATTTTGCTTTGGAAAGAAAGAAAGCTGCCTCTGCTAACTTCGTTAGACTATTCCACTTTACTTGATGAAAATATTTCACTGGACTCCGGGTGCGATTGGTTTGATCTTCTTTGCATCCGCTTCTTTGCATCCGCTATTTCTAATTTATCTGGATCGCTTGTTGGATGACTTGTGGACAGAGTTGGAGGGCGGCGCCTAGGGCCTCTTGGTTTTATAATAGCCGGAGCAGCCTTCTTTTCCTTACGTTTCATTCAACATAATAACACCATGGAAAGGTCCTTCTGGGTGTTCTATTGGCGCTTATTGGCCTTGGGGTTATGACCGTCCAGATCATCACTATGACAGAGGTTTTCCAAGTAGTCTACGAATACGAGGCTCAGTCCCCTGGTATCTTTGGCGGTAAACCCCCTTTGGCTCAAGGATATGCTCTCTTCAATATGGCCTATGCAAGTGGACAATTTTTGGGGCCAATTATCGGTGGGGCCCTGCAGGTGAAAACCGGGTGGGCAGGAATAACGATATTTTTTTGGGATTCTCAGCGCATTATGCTCAATTCCTATAGGAATATGGAGTGGAGAGCGGTCCAGTGAGTTGGACAGCGAAGAAAACGGTCAAGATCCTGCAGCCTGAACGTGGCTGCATCTTAAGCTTTGTGATGACGGGCTGCATAAAGTTAATTGTTGGAAACTTTAACCTATAGCTACATATGATTCCTACCAAAGCCACACATGTCTTGTATTTTACTAGCCTATTCGCTATTCAACTTCTCAACATATGCATAAACACACTCTTCTCGCCTTAATCCTTCGAAAAAAATGCTACGGAGGCGAGGTTCAACCCTTGCTAAAGTTTGTGATCGGCATACACCTTTCACATTTCTTTTGTACAGAGTAAATATATATTCAGAGAGCCTCCTACCTCCGCTCTATATTGACACACTCTTCTACTCGGCGCATTAGTTTCCAACTGTATAACTTCTACTCCAATTTCTACGTGGTCTTCCACTCTACACTTATTCTTCCCACATACTCAATACCAGAACTCAACGTCTTCAATTTACAAGCAAGCGAAAATGGTCCAAGAGGTGTCCAGTTTCTATTGCTGGCCTTACCTGGCGGAGCTCTAAGAACTCCAATGGACTAGGCCAGCCATCCATGCCAGACGTTGACCTTTACACGGAGGTGCTAATGGATATCGTCTCCAAGCATAGAGACGCAACTTCAGGACGTCAATTTACCTATCTCGAGATCAGTACTGGATCAGGTCGGGTGACTCTAGGTATTTTGAAAAGCCTTTCGGATGCATCCTTCAATACCAGCAACATAAATATGGTTGATTTAGATGTTGTGCAGAACATGCTGGATTTAGCAGCAAAGCTGGAATCGAAGACGAGCGGTATTTCTCCTCCTGTCAACTGGGTGCTAGGTAACGCACTGGAACTCAAAAAGCTTCCCGTTTTATTACAACCGAATGGGCATGTCACCATAGACCTTCTCCTTTTCCCGTTTGGCAGTATTGTCCATATGACGGGCGATGGGGAGGTAGAGCAGTTGTTCCAGCAGATTGCGAAAGTTCTTACGCCATGCACAGGGCGAGCCTACATATCTTTCATGTATTGGTTTTTGGTTAAACCAGGCGACAACATGGAAGCCCACATCAATAGTGAAGTCCGACCCCCGCCGAAAGACATCCAGAGTGCAGAGTTCCCCGGGGTTTCGTACCGTTACGAGATGAAAAAGAGCGAATGTCAGGGTCAACTGGTCATGTACCGCGAAGACGTGCAAGTCTTCAAGCATGGCGGTGGTGGACAGAGGAGGGAAATCGAAACTATCATGTTACACAGGCATTGCGTTGGTTTTCCGAACCTGCCATCACGGCAGCCTATGAAGCAGCCGGCTTACGACTGCTGGAAACGAAAGTGGATGGTTTAGATGTTGAAGGGGAGGCGGCTAGCTTTCAAGAAAGCATACTCGTCCTACAGCGGGAGTGATGTTGCATGTATATTTGTGACTAGATTCACTAGACATATCCTAGATATCAACCCAACTATATAAGCATAGAGGTATACATGACCTAAAGACAATATGTGAGGCTATGTTGAGATAGTGGCTACTAGTGGTTTTATAGAGTCTAGATTAATAAAGAGCTAATCGCTAGGCTTGGGAAGAATAACCTTCCCCTCTAATCTTTACTATCCTTATTGTGGGCACATGGCACTTCACATGGTTGAGGTATTTCTATATTGTAGCATCACATGCCAAATACTAATATAGACAGACCTTCCGGTCTGTCTTATAACCACTGCGTAGCGCCCCATATAGGCGGTAAGGAACAAGTTTCCCTGTAAACGCACTGCAATGGAGAAGAGTTGTTTGTTTTTATATCGAAGGAGGGGCGTATCTATGCCTGTAAAAATACAACCACGACCTAAGGCGAGGAAATTCAAAGTCTAACATAGTGTACAGAGGACCATCAACTCTACAATGGCGACTCCCATTCTGCCGTAAAGTCAGGGCCGTCGATATTCACACTTCTCTCCTCGTGCCGATTAATTAGGCTATCGAAAAAGGCCATATCCACGCCTTGAAATGGCCAGTCTTCCACTGCTGCTGTCAAGCCGGGATACTGGTACTGATGTTGTACTGCGTCGTCAATGGTGGTCGGTAATTGTAATGTATACTGCTGCAAATCAGACACTGCAGCCAGTGTCGGTGATGTTGGCAGTATAGGCGCGGAGGACGAGGGACAAGGAAGGGTGGCTGTCCCTAGCGCTAAGGGATGGGTCTGGGGAGTGGATGAGGTATCTGGCAAGGAGTCATCACTGGATAATTCAGGGGGTTTATTCCTCGGTTGTTGAGCCGATGATGGCGGTGGAAGTTGAAATTGTGGTAATAGTGACGGGATATCTTCTACGCATTTCTCCATAGAAACTACACCCTCGCGATTTAGCCTCACAGTGCCAAAATACGGGATATCCAATCGCAGAAATTTCCCGTCTTCCGTTTCCGTTACGGCGGAGCCTACCTGCAGCTCGGGTATCACGGTTGAGGAAGCAAAACCATTCCCCCCATTCCCTTTAGCTGCCTCACTCTCGAAGGCAAGTATCATCTTTAGCAGATCGGAAGCACGTTCGCTGAGGGCATCGGTATTAAGCTTTGCAACGCCTTGCATGGTTTCCAAGACTTGTTCAACCATAGCTCTATCGCTATTCCGCTGGTGTGCAAGCAAGTTGTAATCCCCACTGTTTTGTTGGTATTGGCGCTGTTGGCGATGCCCCTCAAGATGAGCGATAAGTAGCGTCATGGATGCAACAAGCGCAAAGAAATCAATGGATCGAAGAGCGTATGCAACGCGGTTAAAGGATCGGAACATGATGAACCGAGTTAACAGCTCACGGGACGCATTGGTGCTTGCTAGCTTGCTCTTATTGTACTTAGCCGCAGTCTCAGAATTGCCATTTGCCTGCGCCCGCGATCGTAGCATGTACGGCAGATGTAGGAGGTTCAACAGATTAAAGTAGAGCATCTGGTCAAATAGACGGATAGTCTCCGAAAAGGTCTTTATCGAATCATGCACGACGCTGGCCAGATTAGGCACCAGCCACCATCTATTCGGCATCTCGTTGGCGGCAGTCTGTAGATCTGCATCGATCTCATACAACGTTTCCAGGCTGTTCATGGAAGGAGACTCAGTTGACTCATATAGCTGCAGGATGCGGGCAGCAATGACGCACTGTTTGCGCTCAAAGACGCCTTCGACAGTATCACCTTCTAAGGCTGCAGTGGAAGCCATGCTAACATCTAACGATCCTTGGGGAAGGCCGAGCAGTAGGCACAGCTGGCGATCAGTACAGACTATACGAAACCAGAAAAAATTCGGATAGACCGTTTGGGAGACATCAAGGACTTTGAATGGCTGGTAAATAAATCTGCGATGTAAGCCCATCATTTGAGCTACCAGCATCGCGCGTCGACATATAAGCCAGGCACGGCGAAGATGACCACTATTAGCCTGGATCATTGATTCAAGCATGATGCACTCAAGGCTCTCAATGGAGTCCAACAGTTCATCGTTTCTAGTCACTAGCGCGGACACTATGTCAGTGAGACGACATATGAGTTGGCGTGGTTGCTCGGAGAGGCGCTGGATTTCTTCTTTGTGAATCTCTGGATGAAAGTACTGCAGACACGTGGCGAGGACGAGTATATACTTTGCAAGCAGAACGGGATGAGTCGTTGGTGAAGGTATATTGGCCAGGCTTCCCTTGAAAACCCCAGGTTCTTGGGCTTCCAGTATTGCGTAAGGAACTGTAATCACTTTGTGTAGAGAAACGTCAATACCTGCCTCAATAATGATATGGATATCTTCATGAGGGGGCAAGGCGGCGTGCAGGGTGGCCGATATATCATCATAGAGCGTTTTTTTATTAAAAATGGGGCCAGAGCCAATTGCTGGCGATGGTATCATAGGCAAGGAGGCTGAACTTGTATGCTCTGCACTCTCCAAACTTACATTCAACCCAGTTGCGTTTATGTTCGGGTCAACTCTCGAACTCGAATCACACGAAGTAGCTCTCATCATGCCGTCATTTGCGGCCATGTTGTTCCCTATGAGGCCATCATTTATACCTATCTTTCTAGCTAAGCGCTCTACAAGCGCTTCCACACGCACTATTCGGTCACGCTCCAAGGAGGGAGATGAAGATGATGATGCAGCAATTGCGATCTCCTCCGGGTATCTTTGGCTGATGCAGCTGGTTCCCCGCCTGCGACATGCCTGACAGACAGAATCTGCAGGCGTGGAAAACGAGCACTTGAGTTTGCGGCGCTTGCATTCCCAGCAGCTACGAGTGCCCTTGCGTACCTTTCGGTGGTGGCCAGCGCTTATATTGGTATTATCCCGTGAGCTGGATTCTAAATGAGCAGATGCTGGAGTGGGCGGCATGGTGTACCGTCACCACAAGAGCCAATATCAAGTCAACATTAACTGATGCAGCCAGAATATTGACGATGAACGTCTGGCCAAGGCCGTCACAAAAACTCTCCAACTGGTTATTTATTGGCTGGTTTCGCGCCTGCCATCTGGGCAATGTGGTGGTAGCTAGTTAACCAGTACTCCGTACCTCGCTATCACACTGAAAAAAATTAATGAATAGTTAGAGCTCAAGGCAAATAATGAACCAACTGTATATAATAATCATACTAGCTGAAGGTTTGCTTTGAGAGGTCGTCGTAACCAGGCCGCATCCATTAGGCACCAGGAAATTAGGTATTCAGCTAGTTAATCCGTTCCGGAATTCGGCTCGGCTCGGACCGGGACATCCCGAGGTTAGATGCCCTGATGAAGGAGTTAACTAGTCACTTGATTGGCTGTAGTTATAGTTAGCGCGTCCCCAATAACTATAAAGGAACATGATTTCTCTTACTGTGATTCTTTACCCCGCAGAACTCAAAGTTTCGTGTCCAATATATAGTAACCCGCCACAGACCACCCTTCCAGCAGCCAATCCATTTTCACTGCATCATAAACAACAATGGGCTCCGAGGATAGGAAAACCGACGCCTCTTCAGATATATTCACGACTGGCTTCACCGCACATACGCCTTCCAGCGATACATTATCGAGTATAAGTCAGTGGGATGGCTATTGCTGCACAGTCCCATGGCCGGATAGTACATATATGATACTCGAAAAAGGCTCTAACCGAGCAATCACTTATACGAACCAGACCGTCTTCCTCCAAGACTTTAGGGAGGGCCATATATCAACCAAAAGCTGGCATTGCATCCATTTCAACAACTATTTCGCATTCTACAATCCAGTATCGGGCAGGTACATTGGCCATGATGGCTCTAGCATTATATGTGCGAAGGCTATAGCAGCTAATGGGTATGAATGTATCACGGCGAAACAGCATCCTAACGGAGGATATCAATTGTTGATGCCGTATTATGCACACGCGTTGAATGTAATGACCATAGGAGAAGACGGGAGGAGTCTAGTTAGGAGAGAGCATGGAACAACATTATGGGAATTTGTGAAAGTGTAGATTTGTTTGGAGGTTAAAGTCGCCACTCAAATCATCCAGAATATGTACACGGCTGAATAATTTTAATTTGGTTCTTGGGGTCAAAAGTAGTGATAATTCAGCACAGAAGCACAAGTTACACAATATGCGCAAACAGATCCTTCTATTGCAGATAATGATATAATAATCAATATCTAATTCTAGTAATGCGGGTCGAGACTGACTTACATTTGATTATCTGTTTGATCGTGTAAGTATCAAGCAAGTCTTTCAAAGAACATTCTTCCATATAACTAGTTAGTTAACTATCCAGACCAAGCCAAATAAAAACTTTATCTTAATTAGAATGCAAAAAATGAATTTACGCTTCTATATTCATGTTCCGGCCCTTATTTTCATCCGTTCCACCCATCCTCTGACGTTACAGGCGAACCGACGAGTCACGCCCTTCCTGATAGAAGTCTAGGTTCTGATCCTCATAAATCTGTTTGTTATCAAGACAATTTTCGAGTGCTATACCACACGCTTTCTTTAGTTATGCCTCATACAAGAACAACAAACGCTGCAAAAGGCTGGTGTTATCCTTGCCAAAGACTATCTACCAAACTCATTCACATACCAGCATATCTGCAGGCTGCGGGTATTGAAGGCGTCCTGAATTCTCTAGGATACTGTTGACGGGATACCAAGCCCAGGCTCGATCGTCAGCGAGACGGACGGTGGCGTTTACAATGGGTTTAGAGTCGTTCGGCGTCTGGCTCTCGAGAACCTGTACGCAGGATATATCGTAACTACAAAGTCGACGTCATGCTCTTTACTATCACCAATTATCCCTGCCACGCCAATAAACATCACATACATGGCTCTGGGAAGGCCCCCATCAATGGCGACCCGCAGATCGGCGCATTTCGTGCTTATTCTAGAAACGCGCGGCCTGACAACGATGCCAGCATCCCAGCCTGAGTCCCCTCGTGGGGACGACAGCCAGAGCCTTGCCAATTGGCGTTGACATTGATGGCCCTATCTATGGAGGCCTTTAAGGGCAGTTTACCTACTATCATCGCAGCATAGCGGTTTCGCCTTTTTGTGGCCGAAACATTAGCAGTTGTATTATCTCCGGCAGTGGGCTATCCTTAGGTGGTTAGTATTTTATTAATAACAAGCATGATTACCGCAGCTGCGAAGTTACAAGGCTGACCCGGTACATAAGTCGGCCGAGGAGGATTAGGATGCCAATGTTATGTTTTGTCCAAGCTTCGGCCTGGAACGGTGTGACCGATATATCTTCAAAAGTATGTGCGCCGTGCAGCGGCACCAGTCCATCAGACTGTAATAATGGTTAAGATTGATGGAAGCAGGAGTCTTGTGTTTTGGGCGCTTAAAGGGGAGGGTGGGCTACGATCCTGGAGACCTTTGTGTTTTTGATTGTGAGTAATTTTCGCCCGAGATATTTCCAGTAACTCATAGTAAGGAATCCTTGTAACATTCACTGGGTTAAATGTTTATACACATCCCCGTAAATCGGATCTTCAGCCCTCGTACTAACTGCCGTATACGGTTATCGTACGGGTGTGCGGCACGGGTAGTCATTGCACTATTTACCCCGTCATCTTACGAGCTTTGGACGGGGGTGAACACCCACATATAAGAACTGTCCGCGGGCTCCCGGTAGCCACAGCTTCTACAAATGTTATAGGTATAGTTGGTTGCTAGTTAATAGATCTGGCTCTTCCTCTTCAATATGGCGAAATACGATTTTGTCATGTTGTGGATCTTGACACTGACAGCCACCATTGCGGCTGCCAGACCCATGGTCGTTGACAAAGGGCGGCAGATAACATACAGTGGTTTGGACCGCAATGGAATCGAAGTGTTTTTGGGTATTCCTTTCGGCCAGGATACTGGGGGCGAAAATCGTTTCAAACCGCCAGTGGCCGTTGTTACTCCACGCGGCAGCCATGTCAATGCTACTGCATATGGGCCAATTTGCCCCCAGCAGCTACGTGCTAGTTCACAGGGCAAGCTGGTACTTTCTGAAAACTGCTTGAATCTCAATGTTGGAAGGCCCAAGGATACGAGGAGTCATGATAAGTTGGCGGTTATGGTAACCATCTATGGTGGGGGTTACTGGGGAGGACATATTCAGGATCCGAGATGGTTGCCTGACAACATGATCATGGAATCGTTGGCCAATGGTCGTCCAATCATCCATGTTGCGATGAACTATCGCCTAGGAGGTGAGTACCCCCCATCCTCAACCATGCAAAGACCCCTATTCTAAGGCGATAATAGTGTTCGGGTTTGCTCAGACCACGACCCTCAGATCTGAGGGATCAGAGAATGCTGCCCTGAGAGACCAGCGACTGGCGCTCGAATGGGTTCGGGACAACATCGCCGCATTTGGCGGTGATCCAAAGAGGGTAACGATATTTGGACAGTCATCAGGAGGTATGCTTGCCTTTGATTCCACGCTACTCTTGACACGCGCTCTAACGTAGCTAGGCGTATCCGTCGGTATGCAGATGTTGGCATATGGGGGAAAGGTGCCAGTTCCATTTCAACAGGGCATCTGCCAGAGTCAAGTACTTGAGCCCGGCATCATGGGCAATTTTACGAGAACAGCAATGGAGTTAGTGACAGAGAAGGCAAATTGCACATCTGGAGACTTCAACTCGAAAGCAGCGCTAAAGTGCCTACGGGAATTGGATACTGAGACATTACTCGCAGCATCTATAGCGACATACAAAAACGACATCTCCCACAATATTGGAGATATATGGCTCCCCAGCGTCGATGGTGATTTTCTCCCTGATGCACCGTCAGTACTGGTCGCCCAACGGCGCTTTGCCCCCGTTACTACTATGATGGGATGGTGTGAGGACGATCTTACTCGATTTGTGTATACCAATATAACGACGTCAAGAGGTGCAGGAGACTTCATTGCATCCTATGCACCGAACGTATCTCGAAAGAACATCGATACTCTTCTCGAATTATATCCTACAGAGGAGTTTCCCGAGAACAAAACTGCCGGATTATCCAGAGACTTCTATCGCACGGCCAGAATTTTTCGAGATATAGTGATGACCTGCGAACCATTTCTAGTTGGAGAACATGCTGCCGCGGAAGGAGCTGATGCGTTCTTTTTCTCCTGGAACCAAACTATAGCTCCAAGTGCACTAGGAGTGTTGCATGGAGCAGATTTGCCATACGTCTATGCCAACCTTTCTGCTTATATAGCTCCTGGATCACCTACACGCCCAACCTCGTCGGACTATGAATTGTCACATAGAGCCTCACGATCCTGGTCAACGTTTGCCAATACCAAAGAACCAAGTTTACCGCGTCATAATACCTTCAAAGGGTTCCGAAAAAGCTTCTCCAAGCACAATGAGATACTAGTGTTTGTTGCCGGTGGGCCCAACGAAGGGCTATCGAGTATTGACGGCCATGGTTCGCATAGCGTCTTAGCAGGGCAGAAATTGAGAGAGAGATGTGCCTTCATCAACTCTCCGGAAATGATTCATGAGTTAGGAGTCTAGAATTGTTGTGTTTGCAACATTTCGGAGATAGCTTTATGCAATGAACCTCGAAGTAACTTCTCTCCTTATCACAATTCTTTGCTTAGAGTACCAGATTTCCCGGCTTCAGCTATAGCTTCGTGCTGACGTTGGCCAGGAGCAGGCATGTTCTGTCGCGAATGTGGTTCTTGTGCAACGCAATAGCCGTAGGACTAGTTAACTAACAAATCTTTAAACCGTCAAATTCCTAAGAACTAATTCTTGATTGAGGAGGTAGAAATAAGAGGGTCTTAAGTTTATTACTTGAGGGATACCTACCGGACGAGGGTGGTTATACGTAAATTCAAGAGTAGAGGCCAAGCGATATTTTCACCACATTGACTTCCATCACTAACTAATACAAACGATAGGTGGTAAGTGAAGTGTCTTTCGATTACCAGTTTCGCGATTGCCCAGAGTTGCTGATACTAAGACTCAGGAGAAGGGCGCGAGTGATATCCAAAGAGTTGAAAATAGTGTGACGTACGGAGTAAATCGGGGTGTCATCAAAAGTGCTGACACAAACCGCCCGACAGGATCATTTCATGGCCAGTAATAACCTTCGAGATATGTATTTAGAGAATCGTACTCCGTACACACCCTTACAGAGTTGAGTTCTTTCTTGTTAATAGAATTGAATATTCAATCACTGCTCCTACCAGTTTAGCGTTATTTTAATATACCCATGTCTCGCAGACGGATCTTGTCGACCTTCTTTCATGCCAACAAGGCGTCTCGAAGCTGTATATTCACTCCAAACCTCTACGGCTATCGAACTGCCAGGCAACAAACCCGCTTCACAAGTACGCCGTCTTCTTCAGCTGCCAGAATGGGCAAGACAATCCCACCTGGCACAAAATTGATAGGTCAATCTGGTCATTGCTATACTATCGAACGAGTTCTCTAGGCTAAAGAGAATTTACCTTTTCATGTTTATCTCGCTAAGTGTGTACATTCCTTGAAGCACCCCTAATTTCGTGAAGCTAACCTTTGTTTGCTTGATAGGTCTGAAAAGGAGGATTTTGTCCTTAAAAATGTCCCTGATTTCGAGTATCTTCAGCAAGTCTATCAAAGAATAGATGGCTGGCCTCATCTCCGCCTACCAAAAGATTCAATGGCCGAGCGCTCGATGTTTGTTTATAGATATATGACGGCCGACTTTTTGAATCTACCTGTTAAAACAGAGTTACCATTGGACACAGCCAAGCGAATTCTGAGAGATGCGTTGCAAGGCCTTGCTGCATTGCATGATAATGACATAATACATAACGGTACTTCATACTGCCGTTGATCTCTAAACGATTATTTAAGCTAACCTTCTATAGATATCAAGGCAAACAACATCTTGGTGGATCAAAAAGACGATGGCACTATCATAGACGTCCGGCTAGGCGATATTGAAGATGCCGCAATTGTGCCACCAGGCTGTGGGATATCAGGGAGACAGCTGGGCAATTGGATGTGGCGTAGTCCAGAATCTCATGCCGAGGGGCCCATGACTTCACCCTCTGATGTCTTCTCCTTTGCAATCGTGGTGAGTATATGTGCCCTTATAGCTTTGTACTTTGTTAACTAATATGAATTAGTGCATATACGGCGTCCACAGGCGTCTTATCTTTTCAGTTGACGAGAGTGAACTTGGTGATGGAGAGGAGATATTAGCCCACGTTATTGAACGGCAGATATCATAATTTGCAGATGCGGAGAGTATTCAGGAGTTTCTAGAGCTGATTAGAGAGAGCTCCTAGGCTGAGGTTTTTTAGATCACCCGTGATGGTTTCAATAAGGAGAACCCTCGAAAGCCATTTGCTCTGTGGGAAGGCGTGGATCCAGTGTTCAAGGATCTAATCTGTCGAATGACACATTTCAACCCAGGGAAGAGAATAACCGCGCGTGGGGCACTAGAACACGAGTGGTTCAGGGGAATATAGACGATCTCTCCTGGGAAGCTGGTACTGGGAACCGCTGCCGCTGCCTCCATCAGCAACGTTAGCTCTCCGTGCACTTCTTAACGTCGACAGGGAGGGTTGGGATAGTTAGCTGGGTAACTATGTTCAATAAACAAAATATGGATTTGGTTTAAGCTAAATAAGGAAACCTCGGAATGGGCTTTTGGCCTGACTGGTACACTAAAGCGATGGCTGGGGAGAAGTCGCCCGTTAAACACTTGCCAAATGACTATCACAGTACTCCGTAGAGGTGATAGTAGCCGCCAGCCTAAGTTGTTCTTCTACAACACGAGCTTTCTCCTCGCATCCATTACGGCACCTGAGCTTTTCCCGGGCCTCGGAGGTGTAGACATCCTGCGTCGAGCATTCCCTCGCGCAACGTAAGTATAGGATAAAGATGAGAAAAGTGAAAGAAAAAGTAGAGAAGAAGGAGATGGAGCGACTTATATAGCCTCGGTGGAGCAGGGACAGGAATGTGAGACCAGGGCCGGAACCATTACCATTTAATTTTTTTCTCCCCAAGCGTCTCAGGAGGCGTCGACATGACGACTCCACCGTCAGAAAGGGGCGTTAACTAGTTACTCTATTGCACCGGCTAGGCAGGATGTGGGAGCCAGCTGCTCTCCCGTTCAAGAGCCCCTCCCCGTGTCTCCCCCTGCCGACCGTAGACAACTCCAAGGTCGTCGCGGTGAATGACATTTGGAAGGTGATAGCCAAGTTCGGCAACAGCGTAACCGTTAGTTAGCGAAGGCCTGGCGTTAATTTACCTCGAACGACACGTCCCCGAGGTTCCAGAGACGCGTAAGGAGAGAGGCCTGGGTAGAAGGAGAGAGAAAGCAAGGCTTACATAGGCAAGGTTGTAAAGTATTACCCATATAAAAAGGTGCTATTTAAAATACCTTTATTATTATTGGCTGCACGGTATTTGTTAGTTAGTTATAGCTTTACAAGCTAAAACAAATTTTGATACTCCGTAGTAGCGTGGTCGCCAACCTTAACTTGTCCGAGACTCGGCGGAAGAACCTCAACTCGAAATCTGCTTCCGCCGCAGAGCCCAATATTTACTCCCTGACGGCAAACGAATGATAATTACGACCGTGTTAGCTAAGTGGTAACTAGTTAGTTAGTGGATCAGAATGGCTGCAGCTCCGGGCACACGGCGGACTTGGACGACACCCATAGCAGTACTCGAGATATGGCTATACCCTGAACGTGTAGCCAAAATGATATATAATACAAAGCATACGGCAGTTTGCCAGCAGCCTCCGTGATATTCTCACCTGGTCATACTATCTTCGTCATTAGTGCCAGCTGCCATTATCTGCATCCTCTACGCGCGCTTTGCCATCGTGCTCAGAAGAAGGTTCAGACCGTTATCAATCCAAGAGCTGTTCTTTACCAGCGCAGACCACCATGCTGGCCACGCCACCCGAGAAGTTCAAAGAACACTGGATACCCGGTTCTCTCCCGTTAGCCCATGAGAGTGAGCAGGATGTTGCGGAGTCAATACAGTCCCACCATTCCACAGTACAGAAGCTTGCCCAGGAATACTCTATGAACAAATCCAATCCTGATAACCAACCTATATTCGGCGGCACTGACAGAGACTCGCCCTTGAATCCACACGGCAAAAAGTTCAACGCTCGTGCATGGGCTACAAATGTCTCAAGGGTCGCGAGGGAAAGTGGCCAAAGCTCTCGTCAGGTTGGTCTATGTTTCCAGAACCTCAATGTATTTGGCTACGGCACACCGGCCGACTACCAAAAGGATGTAGCCAATATATGGTTAGCAATTCCAAGTATAATTCGACGCTTCCTGTTTAGCACCTCGGGTCAGACGCAAATCGAAATTCTGCGTCAGTTCAACGGTATCATCCACCCCGGTGAGATGTGTGCTGTCCTCGGTCCCCCGGGCTCTGGCTGCTCAACTTTCCTTAAGACAATCTCAGGAGAAACGAACGGCATCTACATCAAAGATGGCTCGTATCTCAATTATCGCGGCCTTTCAGCTAAAGAGATGCATACAGCACATCGAGGTGATGCTATATACACTGCCGAGACCGACGTCCATTTTCCGGTGTTGACGGTTGGTGAGACATTGACCTTTGCATCCCGTGCACGCTGCCCACAGCAACTGCCTCAGGGCATTCCTCGGGACGAGTATGTATAATATAAGAGAAATTTTTTAAATCTTTCCTTCTGACTTTGTGCCTCATAGATACTGCGAGCATCTTCGCGATGTCGTCATGGCTATGTACGGTATTAGTCACACCGTCAATACCAAAGTAGGGGACCAGTTCATCCAGGGGGTCTCAGGCGGGGAACGCAAGCGCGTCACCATTGCAGAGGCAACACTAGCCAATGCTCCATTTCAGTGTTGGGACAAGTAAGTAAAGTTTCTATACCACAGTTCCTTTTCATTCATAACTAATGGTTATTCCAGCTCGACCCGCGGACTAGACTCTGCAAACGCTGTCGAATTCTGCAAAACTCTGAGGCTACAATCTGAGCTTTTTGGCCAGGCTTGTGCTGTTTCAATGTATCAGGCCCCACAAAGCGCCTATGATTTATTCGACAAAGTTCTACTCATCTATAACGGGCACCAGATATACTTTGGGCCTGTGTCCAAAGCTAAACAATATTTTACCAACCTTGGATTTGAGTGCCCGGAACGCCAAACAACCCCTGACTTCCTCACCTCCATGACGCTCCCTACGGAGCGCATCGTGCGTGCTGGTTGCAACCCCCCGCGGACTGTCGAGGAATTTGTCAAAGCCTGGCTGAATAGCACTGAGCATTTCACGCTACAGGCGGAAATTGAAGAATACAAAACGCAACATCCGATTGATGGCCCTGATGCCGAAGTCTTCCGACGACTCAAAAAGTCACAGCAAGCCCATGGCCAGCGTCTCGGCTCACCTTACATTCTGACCTACACCCAGCAGGTTCGCCTTTGTATGTGGCGCGGGTGGGCACGATTTAAGGCGGATCCGTGGCCGGCTATCTGGGTAATGGTTGGAAATATGATGATGGCCCTCATCATGTCTTCCTTATTCTACAACTTACCCTTAAACACGAGTTCCTTCTACGGTCGCTCTGTCGTCCTTTTTATGGCCATTTTGTTCAATTCCTTCTCCTCCATCCTCGAAGTTATGACGCTTTATGCTCAACGACCAATTGTGGAAAAGCATACCCGATATGCCTTTTACCACCCGTCTGCCGAGTCATATTCTTCCGTCCTAGTTGACTTACCTATCAAGATTACGAGCACGATATCTTTTAACTTGGTGTTTTATTTCATGACCAATCTCCACCGCACTGTTGAGAACTTCTTCTTTTACCTATTGGTCGTATTCCTTATTGTTTTGGGCATGTCTGGCATATTCAGGTTTATGTAAGTTGACGCGCTCTTGTTGCTCTTGACTCCGCGCTTCATGCATTGAGGTCAACCACTAATACAATATTTCAGCGGCTCACTGTCACGGACAGAACAACAGGCCATGGTGCCGGCATCAATAATGATGCTTGCTCTGCTTATCTTTACTGGATTTGTTGTCCCGATTGACTACATGCTACCCTGGTGTCGATGGATTCATTATCTGAACCCGGTGGCTTATGGATATGAGGCACTTATGATCAATGAGTTCCACGGCCGCAACTTTCCGTGCACCTCTTATATACCTGACTATACAAATACCTCATTGAATAATGTAGCTTGCAACGCTGTTGGAGCTATCACGGGTAGTACTTATGTGAATGGAGACCACTACATCAACACGGCATATCGCTACTACCGCAGTCATAAATGGCGTAATGTCAGCATTATTCTCGCCATGGCTGTTTTCAACCATCTCATATATTTCATTACTAGTGAGTATATTCGTGCCAAAAAGTCCAAAGGTGAGATCCTTGTTTTTCGCCGAGGCTTTGTACCCCGATCTTCAGTCAAAGGCAGCCATGATACCGAAAATTCGATATCCGTTCCAGTGCCAGTGGTAGCGTTACTAGAAGACCATTCATCCGAAGAAAAAAATGGCTTTCAAGGTTCTACTAGTGTGTTCCATTGGAGCAATGTATGCCACGAGATCAAAATCAAGAAAGAAACCCGGCGCATCCTAGACAACATTGATGGCTGGGTTAAGCCTGGCACTCTCACAGCCTTAATGGGTGTTTCCGGTGCCGGTAAGACCAGTCTTCTGGATTGTTTAGCTGAACGGCGCGCAGGTGTTGGCGCCATCACTGGCGAAATTCTGGTCAATGGGAAAATGCGAGACAGTGGTTTCCAGCGGAAAACGGGCTACGCTCAACAACAGGACCTCCATTTAGAGACGAGTACCGTTCGAGAGGTGAGTCTATATAACGTCCGGGTACATTAATCAATTGTACTTACACTGGAGCTTTTGAGTCCTCTTTTTGAAGTTACCCAAAAAGCTGCCTGATTCTACAGGAGTACTGATTTTTTTTTAACTCCTTCAGGCGCTGACATTCTCCGCACTTCTTCGACAGCCGGAAGGTACACCAAAGGCTGAGAAGCTCGCCTACGTTGAGGAAGTCATCAAAATGCTAGACATGCAAGGGTATGCCGATGCAGTTATCGGTGTTCTAGGCGAGGGCCTAAATATTGAACAACGTAAACGCTTGACTATTGGCGTCGAATTAGTCGCAAAGCCGCCTCTGCTGCTTTTTGTTGATGAGCCTACCTCAGGACTTGACTCTCAAACCAGCTGGGCTATTTTGGCCTTACTGGAAAAGCTATCCAAGGCTGGCCAGTCGATCCTTTGTACGATTCATCAACCATCCGCAATGCTCTTTCAGAGGTTCGACCGTCTACTCTTACTCGCAGAGGGGGGCAAACAAGTTTACTTTGGTCAGTAGCCCCAGTTCCCCAGCTAACAATATCCTTCCGTTGTTATTGGCAAGACGGCCTACTAGGCAGCTGTTTTGTATAAAGTACTAATATACACCATCAATACACAGGTGACATCGGCGAGAATTCTCAAACTCTTATCGATTATTTTGAGGGTAATGGTGCTGCCGCTTGCCCACTTAGTGCCAACCCAGCTGAATGGATGCTTGAGGCCATTGGTGCTGCTCCTGGGAGTTCCTCCGATATTGACTGGCATCAAACATGGCGTTCCAGCCCCGAATACCAGGCTGTTCAGGAAGAATTGACACGCCTTAAGGTGAATGGATTAGATCAACCACCGGGTGATGTGACTGGCTCAGCCTCCCACAATGAGTTTGCTGCACCGCTATGGCAGCAATTTCTTGTTGTTACAGAACGCGTGTTCCAGCACACTTGGCGATCGCCCTCCTACATCTACTCCAAGCTTCTGCTCTGCATCACTACTAGTCTATTCATCGGTCTAGTCTTTCTTAATGCACCCCTTACCATACAAGGACTTCAAAATCAAATGTTTGCAATTTTCGAGATGATGAGCCTTGTTGGACAGCTGGTCGATCAACAAATGCCAAGTTTTGTTGCACAGCGCTCTTTATATGAGGTGCGCGAACGCCCTGCAAAAACTTACTCCTGGGTAGTCTTTATGGCCAGTCAGATTATCTCTGAGATACCTTGGAATACCCTTGCCTCAGTCTTCATGTGGGCGTTTTTCTATTTCCCTGTTGGCCTTTATAAGAATGCTGCGGCTGCCGGCCAGGGCAACGAACGGGGGTGGTTAATGTGGCTACTGTTCTGGCAGTTTCTGCTTTGGGTTTCCACCTTTGCCCATATGTGTATCTCCTTCGCCGGCTCTGCTGAAGATGGCGGCAACATTGCCAATTTTCTTTTTGTTCTTGTGTTCTTTTTCTGCGGCGTGCTGGCTTCGCCCGCGCAAATGCCTCGATTCTGGATATTCCTATATCGAGCCTCGCCATTGTCATATTGGGTCTCGTCAGTTCTGTCTACAGGCCTAGCTAACGTTGAGGTTTCGTGTGCGACTAATGAGTTCATTCTCATTAATCCACGCGATGGTCAGTCATGCGGCGAGTATATGGCTGACTATATATCAAGGTTAGGCGGATACTTATTGGACCCCGACACGGTGGACACCTGCCAATACTGCAAGATCAAGGATACAAACATATTCCTCGAACATGTGAGCTCATCCTACGATACGAGATGGCGAAATTTTGGTATTATATGGGTGTACATAGTTTTTAACATTGTGGCAGCCATAAGTCTTTACTGGCTTGCAAGGATGCCCAAGGGAAGAAAGGCGCTGTGAGCAGTGCTGTATCTCGCCCAGATTTATAGACAAGGTAAGTAAAAGGGTAGCAGTGTATAAATTGTGATTCCCATGTTATAAGAAGAGCACAGCATAGTAATGTATAATATCTTGCCCTGGTCGGGAATATCAATCTCCATTCAATTTATATGTAACAATAGGTTAAGAAGGGACACCCTTCCGACGACTTCATCCGAGACAAGTGAAAAATCATAATCTCAGCGTCAAATTTAGCTAAAGTTATATATGCAAAGGAAATGTTACTATATCGTTCAATACACACCATTCCCAAGGGTTATGCATAAACCATAGCCGGCCCCAAGCTAACTTGTGTAGTTATGGACAAAACAGTCCACCCCTTGGTACGTGCGCGCACCCGAGTCAGTCTATGCGCAACCTCTCGATAAGAATGTAGATATGTGGAGCGTTGGCTGTTTAGTTAGTATCCATCCGCGTCAAAAGGTGTGAGAAAACTGCTGACAGAAAGATCTAAAAGATATTCGAAATTATCATAGGAAGGACATTCATGAATTCCTTCATAGCAGACCGGAAGAGCATGGTCGTTGGCTTGAAACGAGTCCTTGGACAACCGCCATTAAAGTGGTATAACGCCTCGGGAAGCAATGTTCGAAATATATTTGATAGTACCCCCGCCCTAGATATGGGATTCTGAATATCTTGAACTCAACTACAATCAGGATGACGATAAGCTCTTAGCCTTTGACGGCTATGAATTCGAAGAAAAATTTTCTGTTGAAGAATACGAGAAGCTGCCACCAGAGTTCACTGAGACAGACCTGATGTCCCTGACGGAGATTTTATCTGGGCCACTCGGATACGAGCCCCAAGGGAGAGGTACACCAGCAGAGCTCTTTCTGGCCTAGATAAGTGACATGATTTATTGGCCTAGGCCCTTAGTCTAGGAGTGAGTCAAGAGCTAGTTTATAAGGTATTATTGTACTAATAGTAGTGAGTAACCTAGAAGGTGTGGGTGTGGCTTTCAGGTTAAGGACATCAAAGGACACTTAACTAACTATTGGCTGTGGTTGAGGGATAACATTGAAGGTATGCTCGATTCTGCTGCTTGTGTATTCTGGCTGTGAGACTATATAGCAGGCCATGGTAGCAAGCATATCATGGTTAGTGATGGCGTCACCAGCGTAGTAGTGGGCAGGAGTAGTAGGATAGTGCAGAACATCAATCTTGATGCTCCTGCCCATATATTTTTGGTAGTAGCATCACATTGAATGGCCGCCAGCATTTAGGGGCAAAAAGAACAAGTTAGCGCCCAGCCACCAGTTATGAGACATGGCGGTGGCCAATAAGAAGTGAATATTCTAACTAAGGAGGACGTGGCGCTGAACGCGGGTTCAAACACTAACTGTTCAAGTACCTCACGCTCTACTCTAACATTCCCAGGGACGACAAATTCGTCCACTATTGGGAGAAAGGGCTAGCCATACTCTCAATATGAAAAGAGCTGTACAAACCGCTCGGAATATTCGGATACCCTATATTCGTCAAAGTTTCGCCATTACTGCGCCGTTGGCGTCTTGTTTTCAGCAAGTTTCTTCCTTTCCTGGTCTGCGACCTACACGTGCGCATTATACGGCAATGTCCTCGTCGCAATGGACATCAACGCCCCGAAATTTTTCAAAGGCCGGTACCGATTTAATCGATCAGTTATTAGAATTTGAAGAGGAGACTCTACCAACGTATCGACCTGAGAAATATTACCCAGTTCATCAAGGGGAGGTGCTCCACAATAGGTATCAAATGCTTGCTAAGCTGGGCTACGGGGTGACCTCAACTGTTTGGTTTGGTAAAGATCTACTGTGGGCGTAGCCAAGTTTCCGTTAGAACGATCCATACGATTCTAATGGAAGGACTAAATTAGTGATTCCAAATACGTCGTTTTGAAGGTCTATGTAACGGGCCAGGAAACGAATCATGAACTGCAAGTTTACGAACGTATGAACTCGGTGCCAACAGGACACCCAGGGAAAAGGTTCATTCGCAAACTCCTTAACCATTTCTCCATTGAAGGGCCTCATGGCTGGCATGTCTGCCTTGTACATGAACCACTGGGAATTAGTGCAAGCGAGCTGATGCAGTGGATTCCGGGTCAGGCAATGACTCTTGAAGATTTGAAACCTTGCATCAGGCAGCTACTTGTCATTTTGGATTACCTGCACTCTGTGCCCAATGTCATCCATACCGGTAATACCCATCCCCCTACCTTTGGAACCGCAGGGCTGATTCTGATAAAGACCTTCAATTGAAAAATCTACTACTCCCCGCACCAGATGACAAGACGCTTTCATCCTTTGAAGAAAAGGCAGTTGAGGCACCATCACCAAGGAAGGTGCTAAAGGACCAAACAATATATAAATCTTCAAGATTCCCACTAAGTAATGGTATACCTCTGCTTAGTGACTTTGGTGAAGCTCGGTTTGGCGACAAGGAGCACGTTGAGGATATCATGCCGAAAGTCTACAGGGCCCCCGAGGTTATCTTGAAAATGAAGTGGGATCATAAGGTGGACATTTGGAATGTTGCCATGGTTGTGAGTTTTGCACATCTCTTGTCTGTAGTTTAGAGGACCCTTGTGCTTCCATTTTTTGCATCCTTACTAACCTCATCTATACGAAGGCATGGGATTTAGTTTGCTCCCACACTCTTTTTGATGGTAAAAATCCCGATGGCATTTTTGATGACCGGGTCCACCTAGCGGAGTTGGTTGCAGTTCTGGGGGCCCCGCCACCTGAGTTCCGTGGAAAGAGCAAGCTTACTTCGGTTTTCTGGGATGAGTCTGGTATGATTGTAGCCCTTTATGGCTTTCACTTGTGCGTTTTAGAGCCATAATGAGGTGCCTCACTGATGTTTCCCTTACTCAATAGGCAACTGGAAGGAATTGGCCCCTATTCCCAATATAACTCTACAAACTTTAGCAACCGAAATTCGTGGTGAGGACAAAGAGGGGTTTTTACGATGGCTTCGAGCTGCTCTGCAGTGGAACCCTAAGGATAGGCCTACAGCGATAGACCTCCTCTATGATGAATGGATGATGAAGGGACTTAAGCTACGGAAAGCCAACGGAAGCAACTGATGGAAAAGGCAAGAGGGTTGTTTCTGTATTTAAGTAGGGATGGGCGGTGCCATTTACGAGCCATAGTAGGAAGCAATGATACTAACTACCCAGATACGGCGGGCTGGTTGCCTAAACCTTGTGTCTAGAGCCATGTATTTGCACAGAAACCCCACGGAAGTATGACATCTGACATATTAAAACTACGACTTTTCTACACGTTGCCCATATTGATTTATCCCTAAAATGGGCCATAATATTGCTAGGGTTTTCCAAACCTCCTCTAGGGCCCTTCTCCGATATGTGGGCGTCCCTATTGAGGAGCTCGTGGTCAGCAATGGCACAGCAATGGCACAGCAATGGCACAGCAATGGCACTGACGGTGGGCAATGGTCAGCCGTGACGGATTCAGTTTGCAATGAAATTGAAAAAGCTGTGAGTAACTTATCAAAAAAGGAACGAAGATGCTGACTCTGTTAAGGATCCACGGATAGTCGCTGCAAATATTCAGTATGCGTTCTTCTCGTGCTTACAGCGTGTTCTAAACTAATACCAATTTTCTCATAGAGGTTCTAGGGCTCATGTATCCTCTAAGGATAGGAGTGATAACCAGAATGTCATAACCGTCGGGCTAGAGACTCATACAGGTACACGCATTGGCTCGCTCCATGTCCATCTAGATGGCACTTTCAAGTTTTTTCCGTCCAGTGCTGGCAAGGAGGGAGGATATGGGTCAAAAATTGCTAGCGCCGGAATCAAGGGCTTTATTCCAACTGACAGCGGTTTTGAAAACATGGGTGAACAGAGCTCGTCCTCCAAATGAGACCTGGAGGCCTGCCAATGGCATAAAGAAGGATTTTCAGATGAGGTCAGGGGCCGTGGATGATTCATGTACACATATGTATCCGTTATTTAAAGCTTGGGCCTCGTTAATATAACTAGCTTGTGTGGGTGTTACTATATTGATTCTCTAGTATTATCAACGCCCATGATATCTGTTGCTATTTCCTAGCAATTGATTGCAAGGCTTAATTTCACAACATTCAAGTGAAAGGGCAGGGTTTAACTTAGTCTACTGGACAGCCTCCTTTATCGAATGTATCATGCAAGGTACTTACTGTTTTCACAGAAAGATATGAGAACATTTCCTTGATATTCGAGTCAGGTTCAAGCTTATGTATGGCTCGGATGCTTGATTGGGCCGACGAGCTCGCTGCACGTTTAAACGGAGTGAGCTTTGAGGAATTTTGCAGATTGAAATTTGCAACCCTTGAGAATGACTTCGACAACCGTCAACTCCGAAAAAGTGTAGACATACTCCAACGACGCGTTGCGTTCTATGAATGCACTCGGCCTCTGATCAACATCACAAAATTGGAACAAATTTGTCCATATGATTCTTAGTTGACAGCAGACCAGTATTGCAGAAAAATAGCGTGGACGAGATTTCAAGCCACAAGCTATCGCAGGCGATGAGTTGCATGAATTGCTATCTGGACCTATCCGCGCTTCACGGGACTCAGCTATCGATATGGAGGCGGGAAATATCGAGAATGCTAGTGCTGGGCAAGTGTATGTAGACGGCAGCCTTAGTAGGAGGTCCTAGCATGTTTTGGTGGGTTAACCACTAGGCAGGCATTGCTGTGGCGAACATCATACAGGTTATTCAGCATCTGATGTACGATTAGAGGAGTTAGTGACTGCGTTTGAGATCTTATGAAGGTGTGGGTATCTTTGCTGCGAACGGTACCTCATTCCGAGAGACACTCTTGCAGTCAAGAGGTTGGGCCATTCCCTGTATTCGCAAATTTAACGCAATATTTAATAGATATGTATAAGTAACATCAATCTAAGGATTAGTTACCTTATCTACCTAGTGCCTACTCCCTATTTTTAAAACACCATCAGTTTAGTCTATAGGTATAGGCATCACCAAACACCTGTGGGTTAAGCCAATACGGAAGTTCAGTTGTGAGGGCGGAGAGGACCAATAGATCCGGTCGGGGTAGCGAAGTGACGCCAGGAAGGATATCGACAGCAGAGCTAGTCAAAGCTAACATATAGCATTAAAGCTGACAAAATGGGGACAATATATGGCTAGCTGTGATCCTACAGACCCTGGAAAAAATGGCAAAATAGCATGAAAAAGGAGCCCAGGGAAAGTTAACAATGGCTCCCGTCTACGAAAGGTATAAATTTCAGCCAGTGAAGTTGTAAGAATATCCATCCGTATGAAACAGCGTCATAGACTAGAGGACGTAAGAGATTGGCTAGAAGGTCAATTAGCATTGGGTTAAAAAGGGACAAGGGAGCGGGCGGCAAGCAAAACGCAACGGCCCCGGAGCCCGTTTGGCCCACTTCATGCGGCTGTAGGTTTCTTAACCGCAAGGATACAACTCTGGTAGCGGCTGCCAAGAGCGGGACAAAAGGGGATTTTCAGTTACAGGTAGCGCGTAATGCGAAAGACGCCTTGCTGCAGGTTGATAGGCGGAGAGCGCTTCGTAGCCGGGCATCTTGACGATAACAGCTCCTAGCTGTCCCGCCAACGCCAAACAAAGGTGTAAACCCAAATGGATGATGCCGTCCAAGAAAGGCAGCATAGTTATTATGTTATTCAATTATCTGTCTTGTTTTAATTGGTTTTCCCTTTTCAACATCAAGAGAGAAAGACGAGGTAGCGCTTATATCACATGATAGTTAAGGCAGACGCGCGCTTAATTGCGGTGCCCAAAACTGCGCGTGGCAAGCGTAAAAGAGGTCACAGGCCTCTCCCGCCTTTTATTATTCCTTTTTTTTTTTTTATTTCTTTTCAACGTCAAACAACAAAATGGAAAATAAAAACACCAGAAGGAGGAAAGAAGATAGGAAGAGAGAAGAAGGGGAGCACATAAAGGAGTCTAAGCGAGGTACCAGGTGGCCCCGTCTGTCTCTCGCGCTGATGGAAATTTCATGCGCAAGCTTCTCGGCTGCGGCGCAGGCCCGCCCTATGTGTCGCGACGCCCCTGGTCACGGAGGAAAATGATAGGCGGTTAGCGACAGATTGTCCGAAGCACAAAAAAAGGCAAACCCCCTTGGGCGCCTAATCCCAGAATATCCCGGTTGTCCAGGGCTGGCGCGAACCTCCTGAGACGGCTGTTGATGCAGCTTTTACGGAAACTCATTGGCAACCAGCGACTCTCAGCTTGCAATTGTGACAACGTTAAAACACATTCCATTCCATTCAATTCAATCTCGATCCACTAGCTAGTCCAAGTCTCTGCTCCACGCAGTCATCGCTAGTCCGAAGCCTATGCTATCCTTATTATCCCGAAAGATGTTGCAAAATTATGATATAATCAACAAAAGAAGAAGTAGAAAAAAGCCAAAAACACATGAGAAAGGAAAAGCAATTAAAGAAAGCGTTATTACATGATATCGTCAGCAGTTGATACCTCCCCAATTTTTTGCATACTGGACCAACTCTCCATTCACCCTCAAATTTTGGCCCCCGCATATGTTCCTGGTCGTTTGTGCTCACTTGCCAATAGATCTCTGTTTCATTTGTCTCTCATGCTCCAATTGGTTGATTTCCTGTTCGAAATCTTTGACCATGGCCTGAGATTTCTCCATGGAAGCTTTCATGACGCTTCCCTCGCGGCGCCACCGGTTGATGCGCTCAACCTCCGTGTTGCGTCTACGGTGCTTGGTTTGGATCTTCTCGCAAAGCTTGCAGATGGCTTGAATGTTCTCGGTGTTGTGGACGAGTTTCATACCGCAGGTTTCGCCCATTCGGTATTCGTGGTTGCACTTGGCAGCAAAGTTGCCCCAGGCCCAATCGCCGCAAAGGAATCTCTTCTGGCTGTAGAAGCACATGGTGACTTTGAAACACTCTTCATCAGCCTTATATACCCTTCGAGCTTTTAATGCACACTTACCGCTTTATTCTGTTTACTCCTTGCTGTTTTCTCGACGTTTCAAGCTTTGCTTCTGTGGACCTGATGGTAGATCAAGTCCCTGACCGTGGAAGGGGTTTGTTGGGCAAGGCAAAGTTTGACTATTGAGGAGAGAAGTATTGATGAAGTGGGAAAAAGTGGTACTTGTGGCTGCCTTGTGAGTTGATGATGTCGATGGGAAATGTGTTGTGCTTGTTATTGCTGATGCTGTTTGTCTGTGGTTGTCTGTTTTGTTGGTGATAAATCTTCTCGATTCTCGGGGAAAGATGGCGATATTTATGCCTCGACGTGGAGAGCACCTTTGAATATCTTGATACCACGTCCGTCCTGCATGTTGAGGGATGGGCGACCGTCGTGTTCGCATCATTGCTGCCCGCCTTCACTGGCCTTGGATGGTTCTGTTAGTTTGGCCGTCTGTCTGCCCGTCTCTCTTCTGATGCCCTTGTCTGCATCTCCTCAGCTTGGCTTCCTTCTGTCTTGCCATCAGCTGTGGAGTGCTCTGAGAACCTTTTTCACATTTGCCTCATGCATTCGCAACTTGGCCTAAACACCCTTGCATGCTGTGTAAATGCGATCCGGTTTAGCACGGTTGACCAGATGTCGTGGACACTCCCTTGGCCAACGACCACCCTTCTGTTCAGTTGAAGATCTATCAATTAACTTTTTGGCCCATGCTCGCTTTTCTCCTAAGGGGGTGTCGCAAGCCCTCTGCATGTTTTTGCGTGCTCCTATTCTACTTCATAACCCCTGCATCTTTTGCTCCACCTCGGTCTTCCTCTGAAACTCAGCTTTGAGAATGGAGAGAAAAGAAGCCGGTTGTACTACTCTTGTCAATGTGATCTCGTCGACATTGCTGCAGCATCCATCCCACTATCCAGTGGGTCCGACACACCTTCTTCCCCCCCTGTCATTCCAATATCAAAGGCTATTACAATGAGGCTGGCCACATACTATGTCGTTCACGGGATTAGATCCAATATACCCCCTCCCCCTCCCCTCCTCAACTTCTCCTCTCTTCCTGTTATTCTCTGGCCACCAATAGACCGGCTTGCTCGAAACGAATTCGTCTTACATACAGTTTCACCACTGAACGGTCTCATCCAATTGATATGGTCCATGGGGGGTGTTCAGATCCCTTTTTCAGCTCGTTTTCAAGTCAATCAAACTTTTCTCTCTCCCTCGCCCTGCTGCAGCCTATGTGCAGTGTGACAGAGAAAACAGATTTCATCATCATGACCGGATGATTGATCCCTTCCAATAAATTGAGACGTGTTGAGTGAAAACCCGGACGCCCATTTCTCCACTAACGGGCCGGAGAAACGAAACCAAGCAATATTATCCAATTCCTAGTTATGATAATAATTATTTCCGTCCTCTTTCTTGCCTGTGCGCAAGACCATACATCCGATTGCCCCATCCTTCTCTCGCTTGGAAAAACCAGATTTTGATGTGGCAAAAGAGCAGGATAATTTCTGTCTCCCCCTGTCGATGAGGCCAGAAACTTCGTGGGCCTGCCTGGAGCCGGATTGCCCCCCGCTATCAACTGACTTGACTGTCATAGAATGTGCTCGGTTGTACAGACTATTAAGTGCATGAATCTCAGCTGATCGGATGATGCGGCGTCGATGAACCTAACCAGGCAATTCTACCCCTTCTACCCCCTTTTGAACCTTGCATTAACTACACCAGAACACGAAAACTTGAACTCACGGTTTAGGAGAAAAGGAGGCGAGACGGCCCCCATTCCTGCCTTGGACAGGCTGGATCGGATAAAACGGTTCAGCTGGATGATATGACATGGATAGTGATGACACCAAGCTAGTCCTCTCCAGACGGTCTGACGTGGCAGCCTCTGGATTGATCCGACATCTTCTCCATGATCATGATGATATGAGAATTATGATGATTATGGAGTAATATTAGCTTAGTAAAGCGCCAGGACCCTATCAAAAGATTTCGCTTCTGCTCCCTAGAACAAGTGAGGGATGCCCCCAGGTTTCACAATGAAAATGCCTGTCGAATAATTCATTGACGTCTGACACACTTGCAGAGGAATGAAATACCCTAGCTAGGCTATGTCGTCGCGGGCGAGAGCACTGCCACCGGTATCACAGTTCACAGTTCACAGTGCACCACAGCACACTACAGCACCATCACTATACCATGTCTGAGAAGCAAACAGGGATCTTATCTGTCTTCATCTGGAATCTTTCCCCCTCCAACTGTCCACTCTTGAGTTGATATCGAGAGCCTGACACTGCTGTCTGCCACCATTTGACAAGAAAGAAGAGCCAAACCGAGCATAGCAAAATAACAGCAATATTCACAGTAGCATGAACGTTGAAATTGAATTTTGGATGCACCGACCAACGGACCCATCGTGCCGGGTCGAGGTTACTCAGCTGATCTTAACACGGACTAGCGGAAGCTTGCGCTGCATAAAGTGTCCGAAGGGCAAATCAGACGGGAGGAGACACAAGAACACAACGATCTTCCCCGGAATGCATCTACATCCCTGACAAACAAGGAGACTGCATATTGCAGAATTTCAGGGTGAAAAGGAAAAAGAAAGCAAGCAAGAAAAAAAAATTAATGCAATGCGGCCAGCTGCACGGCCGGAGCAAACCTTGAGCGGGAGCCGTGCCTGATCTATGTTGATCAACCAGCCGCAGCTGTCAGATGTTTTCTTTTTCCTTTTGTTTTTTGTTCTTTTTACCCTCATACTTCGGGCTCCAGCGAAGACTTGAGATAGAGCAAGGCTGATGATCCCTAAGCTGTCAACTGTCAAGCTGGGCCTTTTTCTTTTCTTTTTTGTTTCCTGTCCTGTACTGTTTGCTTTTCCACTTGCTTCTTGCCTCCGCATTCATTTGACTTTGGGAGGCGTTTGAGTTCGTGGACGGTTCAATATCACTCTCGTTCTCGCTTAGCTTTCTGTCAATTGATGTCGATAACCATGGGCATTGATGTTGATGTTGAAATCTGCTACGTGCATGGTTCCAACTGCATTGATTTCTTTTACCTAACTAGCTGCAGCTCAATGCATCTCCTCTCTTTTTCTTTTTTTCTTTTTTGAGGGTTCAACCTGTCCGTCTGCAGGTTGAATGAGGCTGCCTGCCTTCTCCCTACCTCTCCGCTTCCCTGTCTCCTCCTCATATACCTCCCCTGTCTGTTTTTCAGGCTGCTGAGTACTGCTGTATCCAACGGCTAAGCAGGGTCTAGTTATTGTCCTTGTTAATGCGGACCAGGCACTCTTGATTATCCCTTGGCTATCCTCATTGCTACGCCGCCGAAAGGGCCTCTAGCATGCCTACGGTCTGGCAAACTAGCTGTTGACGTGGCTAGTCTACTTCACTCAACCATGGAAAGGCTGTCAACTGAATATTGAGTCAGGCATCACCACTTCCCCGTCCGGCCTGCTACCTGCATCCTGCACCTCTACCGCCTCCACTATCACTTCAACTGCCACTTCTGCCATCTGCACCCACTATCTGCACCCAATGCATGAGGCTTAAGCTCTCCACTTCCTGCTTGCTTGCCTGCCCCATGTCTTCTGCCTCACTTCTACCTAAGAGCCGCTATGCATGCTGCCTGACTGCGCTGCGCCCCGACTAGCCTACTAGGACTATCTATCTGCCAGGCCTACCTACCTACCTGGCCTACATGACCTACCAAGCAACCATGCTCCTGTCTACGGCACATCAACACCTTGTCCTTGTTACCTAAGCAGTAACTTGCTGGTAAACTGGTTACCTCGGCAACGCTAAGAACTCCATCCAATCAAGGAAGAGCACCACGTGACATGACGTCATCCCCCCCCTTCAGGAAGCAGGGAGAAGAAGAAGGCGAGAGAAGGAAAGCATCGAGTATCAGGGCAGAGAGCAGACACCTATCGACATCTACATCTACCTGTCTATCAAACCATCTATCAAACTATCTAAGAAGTGTACTCCTTCTAGAAGGGTCACCTATCGAGTCTAAGATCATGTTGCAGCTTCGCCTTCTACGGCCAAGTCTAGCCAGTCTACCACTGCTACCAAGCCTAAGACCACATCCTACCGTTACAACGACAAGAGCGGCCAGTAGTGACTCTAGCGGCGGCATCAACACCGACCGAGGCGAGTACTCTAAGAGCGGCGGGGACAGCGAGGTAGCGGCCCAACGAAGCGCCTATGACATCTGCTACCGCGACCCTGCCGATGTCCGGACGGCCTCTGACCGCGAGGAAGAAGCCAACGGCCACTACGGCCGCCGTCCGCTAGAGGTCAGCCCGGCCAACAGAGAGATCTCACGCTTCACTGACGAAGGCGGAGGGCAGCACGACGAAGAAGCTCGGCCGAGCAAGAGGGTGTCGCCGCGCAAGGGCAGACAGTTGGACTATGGAGGAGCGGACATCACCAGCCATCGCAGCAAATAGCCTGACTATCTTCCCTTTCACCTCTTTCTCTTTCTCTCTCTCTCTGTCTCTCTTGTCTCGCATCTCTTATCCCGTCAAGTATCTACTTCCATTGACTACTTCATCTACGGCCTCTCTACTTCCTCTTTTGTCATTTAGGGCTTAGGGCTAGGGCTCACCCCTTACCTATTATTAATCCAATGCTTACTAAGATCACGCAATCCCCTGTAAAAATTTACAACGCATGAAAACGCGCAAAGTTGGCCGAAAACAGTAAGAGCAGTAAAAGTGAGTAAAAACAGCTGAAGATGGCGTGATAGAAAGAGAATTTCAATAGAGGAAGTTAGCCGGTGATTAGTAGTAGCAGTAGCACGAGGAAGATACCTGATAACTAAGATGAGATAAGATGAGGATAGATAAGGGGGAGAAGAAAAGGACGAACATGCGTTCTTCTCTTCACTTCCTCCTTTCTACTCACTCTCTCCTTATTCTCTACTCCTACTAATACTACTAATACTCCTCCTACTCTCTTTACTCTTTATTAATACCACTGATACTATCACGACGGCCTCTACGATGGCATCTACCCTAACCTCTACCAGACTGGGTGCTGGTAGCCTCGCGTTGGGCTTCCTAGGGGAGAGACAGAAGCTGAAGAGAAAGAGAAGCGAAAAGGAAAAGGACAGAGCAGCCAGAGTGGTCGTGCCAGTCAGGGCCTTGGGCTGCGTCAGGGCGAGTCTCGAGCAGGCTGCCCTGCTGTCTCTGCCGTTGGTGGTGCACCTGGTTGGCGACGAAGACAGCAGCGTCGAGGATAGTGATGCCTGCGTCGAGATGGCAGCAGAGTTGGGTGTGACTCTGATAAGCTGCCGTCAGGGAGAGGAGAAGGAGACGACGGCGTTGGCAGTGCAGGTTGCTCCGTCGATGGTGCTTCACATGGACGCCGCAGTGATACCAGCCGAGGAGGATGCAGTCTATGACTTGCCGCAGAGAAAAGGAGACCACAAAACCACAAGTGACCAGTATGAGTACTACGGGCCTGAAGATGCTGTCTCGGTGGTGGCTGTCTTTGGCCATGCTGCTGCTAGTGATGCACTCAAGGCAACGGGAGTGATGGTCGTCAAGTTCTGGCCTGTAGAGGCAGAAGAGATCGTCAAGGTGATTCCAGGGACAGTCAAGACGGTGGGAGTGCTTGGAGGACAGCAGGAGTCGCTCTTCAGGCAGATGCTCCCTCTCAGCCTTAGAGTGTCCCTCGTGAGCCTGACCGCGAGGACTCTGGCTGAATTCACTGGGACGCTGGCCGAACAGCAGACAGAAGACAAGGAGGAGAAGATAGTCGTGGAAGAAGAACAACAGGAAGTAGAAAATAAGGTCACCGTTGAAGACATTACCAAGGGGCTTCTCTTTAAGGAGGCACTTGGGGCGAAGACGACCTTACCAAAACTCCCTGTCAAGACCTACGCAGTCACCGTCAAGGAGAATCGCAGACTTACACCGACACACTATCACCGTCACATCTTCCACCTAGAGCTGGACCTGGGTGACTCAGGGCTTACCTATGAGATAGGAGAGGCACTGGGAGTGCACCCTGAGAACTCACGTGAAGAAGTGGAGGAGTTTGCTGCTGCCTACCCCTTGGACCTGGATGAGATAGTCAGTTACCAGACAGAAGAAGGCAGACAGGCACAGACAGTCTACCAGGCACTCAGGAGACTGGACCTCTGGGGCAGGCCTCCCAAGAAGTTCTACCTCGACCTCAGCGAGCATGCTACCGACACCAAGGAAAAGGAGAGACTGGCCTACCTTGCATCCCCAGCTGCCAAAGACGAGTTCAAGCAACGTTCAGAGGTCGACATGCTGACCTATGCCGACATCCTCCAGGAGTTCCCTTCAGCCAGACCTGCATTCACCACGTTGGCTGCTATGGTAGGCCCCGTGAAGCGAAGAGAGTACTCTATTGCTTCCTGCCAGCGTCTTGCTCCCTCAATAGTTGCCCTCATGGTCGTCGTCGTCGGATGGAAGGACGGTCGTGGCAGGGCTCGCTCCGGACATGCATCAACATACCTCTCCAGAATGTCTCCCGGTGCCCCCCTGACGGTCAGCGTCAAGCCCAGCGTCATGAAACTCCCCACCGATCCCATGGCACCGCTCATCATGGCCGGACTGGGTACAGGTCTCGCTCCCTTCCGTGCCTTTGTCCAACACCGCGCCCTAGAGAAGTCTCTCGGCAGGGAAGTTGGTCCTGTTCTCCTGTACATTGGAGCCCGCCACCAGCGGGAAGAATACTGCTACGGCGAAGAGTGGGAGGCCTACGCTGCCTCGGGGGTCATCACTCTGCTTTCCACGGCCTTTTCACGAGACCAGCTACACAAGGTCTACATCCAGGACCGCATGAGACAGACTCTCCCGCAGATAGCTGATGCTTATCTCGCTAAGCACGGCTCGTTCTATCTGTGTGGACCGACATGGCCTGTCCCTGACGTTACCGCTGTCCTAGAGGAAGCGGTGGCCTCTCTCTCGGTAGATACGAAAATAGACACACGCGCTGAGATGGACCGGCTCAAGGACCAGCACCGCTTCGTGCTAGAGGTTTACTAGACTTCACTCTTCGGGATTATTTCGTTAGTAATTACTTTTAATACATTTTTTTCTAATAAAATAAATAGAAATACTTTTTTTTTTTCACGTCTTTTTTGTCTTGCCGAATGCACCCCCCCTGGCTCGCCGTAGTTCCAGCGCCCGCTTGTACGGCGGTGCCGTCGGCTTCTGCACCGGATCGAGACTGACATGGTCCTCCGGCAACTCATACGACGCATCTGCATCCCAGCCGCTCACATCTCCACACGCCACGAAGCCTGCCATATACCGCTCTGTCGAGGTAGTGCCCGTGATAGCCTGCTGTATTCCTCCCTTGTAGTCTCGGCAAACGACAAAGGCCTCCAGACTGCTCGCACGACTGCTTCTGGGCTTAGCCACAACAACTCGTCCAAACACGCTCTTCAGCTGCGCATACAGCACATCCACGTCCCGCCCTCGAAAGATTTTCGCTACAAACGTCCCGCCGGGTCGAAGTATGCCCATTGCCAGATTCAGAGCTGCATATAGCAGCTGGCTCTGCACGTAAATGTCCAGGTCATGCAGACCAGTAACGTCCGGTGCTCCATCAGACAGCACCAGGTCAACTTTCTCCTCTTCCCCTTCGTCGTTCAGCGCATTCAAGAGCAATGGCGCCGTGCTCGGGTGCGTAATGTCAGCCTGTAGCGTGGTGATCCCCTCCAGCGGCGCCATGGGCTGCAAATCCACCGAAACGATCTTCACATCTCTCCGAGGCCGCACATCCTCGCCTGCATCCCCCGCGGCGCTTTCTCCTGCCCCTCCCCGTCCTCTGTCCAGCTCATATTGTCTCCTGCCGAACGACTCCCCGCGTATCAGCACACGACTGAGCACCTGGCTCCAACTGCCTGGCGCAGCGCAGAGATCGACCACGCGCCGCACGCTGTCCGGGTTGGAGTGGGCGAACAAGTCGAATTCCTCGTCCAGGTGGATGAGCTTGAAGGCCGAGCGGGCGCGCCAGTTCTGCTCTTTGGCGAGACGGTAGTATGCGTCGCGTTTGTCCTTGGAGGATTTTCCCATGGCCGCTCTTTACCGTACGTAGGCTGTAGAACTAACGATGCTCGTTGGGTGTACAGAGAAGAAGTAGAACTGCCGCTGTATTTAGCGGAAGGTAGTTAGCCCGAATTGTTAACGGCAAAGGTGATTGGTCGGTAGTTAGTTAACTAGTTAGGTTAACTAATTAATCTCACGGGCGGTTGTGCGAGGAAACACTAGCGTTATCAAAGTCCTACTGGCTCGGAATGATATTAAGGCAGATGAACGAAACAAGCTTGGCCAACTCCTTTTCTTTTCTAGATACTTCTCCTATCTCTCTGATAACTACACCCTACACCTTACTTTAACTATCTGCTATCACGAAACTGCCTGGCATGCTGCAGGCTATGTCTGACGTGGTGGCGGTTTGTGTTGGGAAGCCTCTAGTTAACTAATTGGCTGACCAGGCAGTGAGGGCCGTCCATGCTCATCCCCTGTCTGCCTCTCTTCTCGTCTTCTCATAGCCTTCTTGTAAGGCCTCTTCACCTTCCGTTATTTCATGATTAGTAAGAGAGCGGCTACAGAAATGGCTCGCATCAGAAGGATTAAGGAGTTCTTTAAGGGCTCTAGCGATAAAAGGGGTGATGCTAGGATAGAGCACCAACCAAAGGCAGCAGCCTTGGACCCCCAGCCTAAGGATAGCAACAACTCCTCAACTTCAAAGGTAGCAATCGAGCCTTGGTCAGAGGCGGAGAAGCGGATAAAACAGGACAAAACGTTGAACAAAGTATGGGAGGAATCCATTCGTATCCTCAAATCGGATTTCGCATTGAAAGAGAATGACCTTCACAGCTTCCTCAGTGTGATGGCATGGCGGCTAGACAGCAAGAAGTGGACGGTTTCAAATGACATGAAGCAAACTGGCACCTTTCCCACCGATACCAGGGAGAAGCTGACCAAAGTGTGCCGGAATGTTCTGGTCTTCAAGGATGTTATCACACCCACAGCAGCCGCGAGCCCGCCTGTTGCCATTGCATGCGCCGGAGTGATAGTCGGCCTCCTGGTGAATCTCCCATGCCCTCATAGAACTCTTGCAGTTGGCACCGCTAACATAGTAGTAGCTGCTCATACAAGCCATGGAACAGCATGATACCCTTCTAAAGGGCTTGGAGACCACCTCTTCTCTGATATCCCGCCTGCATGTAATCGAAAGCCATTTCCTGCACCGTGACGCCAACCTCAGTGCTGATCTGATGAGATCACTTGAAAATGACATGGTACTGCTGTGTTACAAAGTCCTGGAGTTTCAGTCTCGGGCAATCTGCTACCTACAGAAGCAGTCGGCAGTGCAATTGCTTACAGACATGTTCAAGAAAGACGCGTGGGACGAGATACTACGCGATATTGAGCGATACGACGCCTCCATTCAAAAAATCACCTCCTCAGCACACGAAGTAGGGGTAGACAAGCAGCTTGAGGCAATCCAAGATGCGCTGCAAGGAGTGCAGATATGGCAAACCACGTCTGTGCAGGATCAAAAAAGAGCAAACCTCTTTAGGCGGCTATATACCTGCCCGTACAAGGATCGCAAGGACAGGAACAACAGGCGTGTGCCGGGCACATGTGAGTGGTTTACAAGTCACCCACAGTTCACAGGGTGGAACCAGAGCGCGAACTCTGAACTGCTCTGGGTTTCTGCAGACCCAGGGTGTGGCAAGTCAGTACTTACCCGGTACTTGGTTGATGAGTATCTGCCCAGCGGGAAGAGAACGGTCTGCTACTTCTTCTTCAAAGATGATTTCCTCGACCAGAAACGAGCCACAAACGCACTCGCTTCCATTCTACGCCAGCTCTTGCTAGCCCAGCCACATCTTTTGCAAGATTCTCTCCTGGACCAGTCAGAGGCTGCTGGGGATAAATTCGTTGAGTCCTTCAATGATCTGTGGAGCATGTTTGTTCGTGCCACGGCAGACAAAAATGCAGGTGAAGTAGTCTGCGTATTAGACGCGCTAGATGAGTGCCGGGGGGATGACCGGAAGAAGCTGATCCAGGCAGTGGAGAGCCTATATCTCGGTAGCTTTGGGAATCGCAAAGTCAAGTTTCTGATGACAAGCCGGCCATATGATCATATACATCGCGACTTTCATAATCTGGAGAAAAACCTGCCCACGATCCACCTCAGTGGCGAGAACGAGGCAAACGTCGAGATGATCTCAAAAGAGATCAATCTAGTCATCAAAGCAAGAGTTGAAGAGATTGGTGAGCGGAACTCGCTGCTGCCAAATGAGTGTGATTTTGTCAGCAACCAACTCACTTTGGTTCCCAATCGAACATATTTGTGGGTTACCCTCGCATTGGATGTTGTTGAAAGAATGCCGGGATTTAGCAAAGGTAACGTTCGCCGCATAGTTACTGATATACCCAAAGACATTGATGCCGCATACACTCGAATCCTGGATCGGAGCCCAGAACATACCAAAGCCAGGAGGCTGCTCCATATTGTAACCGCTACATATCGTCCCTTGACTCTCAAAGAAATATCTGTGGCCTTGGCATTAAGCGCAAAGGATCAATCAATCGATGATATCCAAGAAGAAGTACAGACTGATGGGGCACGAATCCAGAAAATGGTGAGAAACCTGTGCGGCCTGTTTTTAGTCACTATAGATGGGAAGGTTTATCTTCTTCACCAGACTGCAAAGGAGTTCTTAGTGAAAAACAAGCATAACTCTGCATGTGGTGATACCACCGCTGGTGGGTGGAAGCACAGCCTGCACCCAGAGAAATCCCATTATATCTTGGCGAGGATATGCACTTTTTACTTGAGCGAAGATCAGACATATGATCTCTTCCCTTGTTTCCTGGATTATGCAGCAAAATGCTGGGCAGCACATTTTCGAAGGGCTTCTGTCTCTAGCGAGGATAAAATAACAAAGCAGGCGCGCATAGTGTGTAACCCCGAATCCAACCTCTTCAATAAATGGAGTTCCATCTATCAAAAAGCCTACAGAATGCTCATGAGCCTAGGTGACTTACATCTAGCCGCTGCACTTGGGCTCACAGCTGTTGTCAAGCTGCTTCTTGATATTAAAGAGGTGGATGCAAATTCCAGAGACAGTGGTGGACGAACTCCTCTATCATATGCTGCATTATATGGATTTGAGGAAGTTGTCAAGCTGCTTCTTGATACTAAAGAGGTGGATGCAGATCCCAGAGATAGTGGTGGACAAACACCTCTATCATATGCTGCAGTATGTGGATTTGAGGAAGTTGTTAAGCTGCTTCTTGAGACTGGAAAGGTAGAGGTAAACTCTACAGGTGATAGGGGGAAAACACCGCTGTTATACGCTGCAATACGCGGGCATGAGAGTGTTGTTAAACTACTTCTTGAGACTAAAGGGGTAGAGGTAGACTCCAAGGACTATGATAGGCGAACTCCTCTCTCATACGCTGCAGATATTGGAAATGAGGGAGTTGTTAAGCTGCTTCTTGATAAGGATGTGGAGGTAGACTCGAAGGACAATAAGGGGCGAACTCCTCTCCTATACGCTATTGAACGGGGAAACGAGGGAGTTGTTAAGCTACTTAAGACTAGAAAGGTAGAAGTGGACTCCAAAGACTCTAGAGGCCGAACGCCGCTATTAGTGGCTGCTAATCATGGGCATGAAGGGGTTGTTGACCTGCTCAAGACTAAAGAGGCGGATAAAACCTCCGAGGACAACAAGGGATGAATACCCCTGGACTTCTTTCCTATTTACTGATTGGGTAGTTATATAGCTTGAAGAGAAAAATAGAGGTATGGGATACTAAGCAATTTTGAGTAGTCTATTAGTTACTCTGTATAATTAGCGGAATACCTAGTTATGTAGTTAGTTTATAATTAGGATATCCGCTCTAGGTAGTTATCCAGTTGCTATAACTACTTAAGCGGGCTCACTCTTTTATACTAGTTTCAATGTCCGTTGATTTGCTCGGCTGGTTCGTGGAACTCTAACTGTTGGAGACATCGGAAAGGAAAATTTCCTGATAACTTAGTGAAGCTAATTAATGACTTAACCAGCTAACTATACATATAAGTACATGCTATGATTATTCAATCGTAGCACCAGATCCTCACAACGGGAATGACATGACATTTCGGCCTGAATATCCCAAGTAATGAGGACGAAGGGCGTTTTCGCGTGTATATTTGCGGCGAGTTTGCATCGTAATTTTAGTACGAAGTGATCGTGGACGATGGACCCATAACGAAAATAAGATAAGATGTCTTGGCATAAATCATAGCTTTTTTTTTTTTTTCGCTTTTTATCAATTGCGACGGCAATGACAAGGGACAAAAGGATAGAGATGGATAGCTAGATGACCACCTCCACATCTCAGCAGCATCAAATTGGTATTGCTGCCATGGCGAACAAAAAACGGCCGATGAAACCTGCGGAGCCACCGAAGAAGCGACTCAAAACCAATAAGCCTGGTAAAGGCAGCAGGGCCGCCCTGACAGAAGAGGTTACCAACATCGATGCGCTGGACTGGCAGACCGTGCAACCTCCCGATATCCTCGAAGATGCTGAGGGGTTCTACGGCCTTGAGGAGATAGAGGGGGTGGATATCGTCAGACCTGCAGGTGGGGAGCAGCTGAAGTTCTTGGTCTGTCATTATTCTTGCGTGTTTTGTAAAGATGGCATGGTATGCTAACATTTTGCAAAGGCAGCGAAGAGCAGTATCAAGAACGTCGACGATAAGGAATTGGATGACGATGACGATGGAGAGGAGTGGCAAGGGTTTACTGACGACCAACCGGAGCTAGAACAACCGCCATTGAAGTCGAAGGAAAAAAAGGAAAAGAAAGACAAGAAAGAGAAAGAAAAGCGCAAGGAAGATAAGGACAGTGATAAGGTCCAATCGATACCCTTCAGTATTCTGACCGAAGCAGTCGAAGAAGCTGACGTCGACGTCTCGGCTTGGGATACCCTGGACCTGCGCTCGGAGCTCCAAACCAGCCTCTCCCGCCTCAAGTTTGCCCAGCCAACTCCCATCCAAAAGGCAGCCATACCTGAAATCCTAGCTGGACGAGACGTTATCGGTAAAGCAGCCACTGGCTCAGGGAAAACACTTGCCTTCGGCCTGCCTATACTACAGTACCTGTTGGACAGACAGGAACAACACCCTTCAACTCCGTCAACTTCGTCCAAGTCCCATGGCAAAACGCCAACAGCGCTCATCCTCTCGCCTACCCGCGAACTTGCACATCAACTAGTCAAACACTTGAAAGAAGTAACCAGCTCCGCTCCCAATGTCGATGCATACATTGCCTCCATCACAGGTGGGTTATCCGTGCACAAACAGCAACGCCAACTTGCCGAAGCAGATGTCATAGTTGGCACCCCCGGTCGACTCTGGGACATGGTCAGCTCCACGCCCAAAATCCTCACCAAGTTGCGGCTCATCAAGTTTCTTGTAGTTGACGAGGCGGACCGACTACTTAGCGAGGGCCATTTCAAGGAAGTAGGTGAATTGCTTTCCGCTCTTGACAAGGCGAGGACGTCCGATGAAGACATTGACGACGATTCCGAAGAGGAAGATGAGACCGTTGAGAGACAAACGTTAGTCTTTTCTGCAACGTTTCAAAAGGGGCTTCAGCAGAAACTGGCAAAAAGAGATAATTCGTTCCACGATAATCTGTTGGATAAGAAGGAGTCGATGGAGTATCTTCTCAAGAAACTCCGGTTTAGAGATGAGAAGCCTCGCTTTATTGATGTCAACCCCATCTCGCAGATGGCAGATAACCTCAAAGAGGGCATCATTGAATGCTCAGCCATGGAGAAGGTAGTCCTTAATCCCAACCCATTATTCTTAGCATGATGCATACTAACTTGTATCAGGACCTCTATCTCTACGCAGTGCTGCTATACTACCCAAAACACTGCACCCTAGTCTTTACCAACTCAATCTCCTCCGTGAGAAGATTAACTCACTTCCTACAAAACCTCAACCTCCCTGCTCTCTCTCTGCACTCCTCCATGGCCCAAAAAGCTCGTCTGAGAGCCGTTGAACGCTTTTCCTCCCCTACGGCTGACCCTTCTCCCATACTCATTGCCACAGATGTCGCCGCCAGAGGCCTGGACATGCAGGGAATCGACCTCGTGGTTCACTACCATGTCCCCCGCACGGCAGATACCTACATCCACCGATCTGGCCGCACAGCCCGCGCCTCGGCTTCCGGGAAATCTATCCTGATCTGTGCTCCCGAGGAAACAGCAGGGGTAACCCGTCTCGTTGCCAAAGTCCACCACACGCACAAACGCAAGGCTTCCTCCAAGGACCCCCAGCTGCACTCCATACATCTTGACCGCGGAATCGTAACCCGCCTCCGGCCCCGTGCAACGCTCTCAAAAAAGATAACAGAATCCACCATCGCCAAGGAAAAGATCTCTTCTGAAACGGACTGGCTACGTTCCGCTGCGGAAGACCTAGGCGTAGACTACGACAGCGAAGAGTTCGCTGAGCAGGAATCGAAGAGCCGTGGTCGTGGCCGGGGCGGTGGACGCCAAGCTAAGGAGAGACAAGCGAGTAACATATCCAAGGCTGAAATGGCCAGGCTGCGTGCTGAACTGCGTGATAATCTTTCCAAGAGGGTCAATCTAGGTGTGAGCGAGCGGTATCTTACCTCTGGCAAGCTAGATATTGACGCTTTGTTGAAAAGTGAGGGAAACCCTGCATTCTTGGGTCACGTCGAGAAACTAGACTTTTAACCCGACCTCGTCTCAAAATATAATGTCGGATTACCCTCGTTTAAGCAACATTCAGGCGTCTTGGGGCTGATTCCACTATTCGCCACCGTACCTGGCGGCTGTTCCTGCTTAAGCGGTATCGAACCTTGCACCCTGTGACAATTTTACATACAACAGCGGGCTGATTTTCGTGTAGCTCATGCGTAGTCATCAATACCGTGTGTTATTCTCTTACCCCCTCCTGAAGTCTCATTTTTTTTCTTCTTTCTTCTCGATGAACCCAAAAGAAACCAAATAAACAAGCACAAGGCTGGATACAGTCTTGAAAAGCAGCCAGCGATATCATCATGCGTCATTATGCAGAGATCCAACGAAAATAATAATAATAATATATCAACGCTTATGCATTCCCTAGCCGCCCACTATCGCTTTTTCCAGATTTTACCTATGCAACTATCTACGTCACAAATTCGTTCTAATCACATAACAGAAAAATCATACCTATAGCTCCTGCGCTGTATCCGAGTCATTATCCATGTTAACGTCCGAAGGCTCTTCATGCACTTCCAAAAAATCAAATAATACCCCTTTTCCTTCCGGCAGTGCTTGCACTGCAAGATCATCCGCGACAACACTCAGCCCATCCTCGTGGATCAGCAGAGTGTGTACCTTGCCCGCTGACTTGAATTTCCACTTCTTCACTAGGGCTTCAGTGAAAGCCTTCGCCGTTAGTTGCTGGATATATATTGCGTGAAAGTAGCCTCCATTTCCCTGTTTATTCTGTCGTCGCTGCACATAAAAACAATATTCTAAAGGAAACTGTAAGTATGAAAGCTACCAAAGTTATACAGTGAGGTAAGGCATATTTACTTGGTTCTTTTATTGAGGAAGCCCTGGCCTCCGTTTCTGGTTCCGGTCCATGGGCATCGCTGCCTCTCCGTCGTATATCCATCTCTAAGGGGAACAAGTCTAAATCATCTTGAGGCTCTCCCTTGAGATTAAGAATGCTGACTTCTCGCCTAGACATGGTCTTATCCGTTAACCGCTTCAGCTCCACCCGGAGATCATCCTCAAAGGGGCCTTTCATGGCTATGTCCTGGCCATACGACCATGGGATTTTGGAGCATCTCCGTGTCTTTGGCGTGGACTCATTTCCGTTAATCAACGCAGAACCATTGCATCTTTTTCGTTTGCCGGTATTGGAAGTCCCCATTGTTGCTTCGGATATCTGTTCTTTCACCTGTTGTATAAGTTTTTTCACATGGATAAGGTCATTTGAAAGCTTCCTCTCCGCACCGTGATCTCGAAATAGCTTGACTTTACAGTAGCTGATTTCAGAGTAACTTGGTGCCCCGGGTATCTCATGAGAAGGTGAAATTGCCTCTGTCTTTGCACAAAGTCTGAGTGGAACCCCTTTCACTCCCTTGGAATAACTAAAGCTCGTCGACACGAAGTTAAACCGAACATATATAGCACAGTCCCGCCGATTGTTAATCTTATGCGGAGTCCATATAACCGAAAATCCGTCGAGGCTGTTATGTTCTAGTTGGACCTGCCGATATCGTGGCTGCAAATCCTCACCCTGGTTGTGCGGCACATATTCAACTGCAAGCAGCGTACTCTCACTCTGATAAGCCCTGTTGGCGCCACGGCCCTCTTGCCATAGCTTCCAATAACTTGCCGGCTTTGATCGTTGTTTCTCATCTTCGAAAGTTATCCGTACAGTAGTGCGGTACTTTGTGGGATAACTTCCAAGTTCCATGCCACCGGCATCAGATACGGTTAACGTGTATATCTGACCCTTGTTAAGATACGTTATCGGTATATCATCTGGGCCCTGCACCATCGCAGTGGCTGCATGCAATGTCGAGTGGAATCGGAAACTAAACGACAAAATTGCCCCAAGATTAGCCCAACTATATAATCCTGTTCTACAAACCCTATGAGCTACTTACTCGTCACCAAAGTCAGAATGCCTTATTGAACTTGCTGATTCTCGCCGACTAATAGTAGTCAAACCAGCCATATCACAGTCAAATTGCAAACTGTCTGCAACATTCGGTATGTCGCTCAACGTACTGAGACTCGGTACACCGTGAAGAAGCGTTGCAGGTGCATTGATACTGCGTTGCTCAAATTCACCCGTCGACAGCGCCATATCATATGGTGCCGACAGCTGTGGCAAGATAGCCTGGTCGCCAGCAGAGTGTGATAACAGAGACTGGTCAGCAGACGAGGTGCATGTTATCGTATTTGAGTCAACAGAATCAAAGGTCACTGGCTGGGTTAGGAGGTCAATCGAGCGATTTTCGTCGGTTAACACTTCTTCAGGCGTTTTGCAAGGATTGCACGACGGCGATATATTCGTAAATGTCGAGAAAGGGATATCGTCAGGATACACAAGAGGCTGGGCCAGGGTTAACTGATCAAGTTGGGCTTTTAGTGCGGGATTGTATAAATCACAGCCCTCCAGTCTGCGTTATGAGCTTCTATTAGCCCGTCACCAACATACGCTGGGGTGATCTGGAGTGGTAAAAGGAACAGCAGCCTTCTTATGGCGCTAGCGAATCGTTGTGACTAACCTCTGAGACTGTTTGAGAGAGGGACTCGGTATAAATGCTTTTGAGTTCTTCGAGCCAGCGGGTTTGAAATTGGCACTTGCATTGGGGTATTTCTGTCTGAAGTGACTGTAAAGTGCCTCATCTGGCTTTTGCGAACTTCTTCTGCAGTTATATCAGCGACCAGTTAATCCAACTTGCAAGAGATGCGGCGGAAGGCTAAATTCACTTCCACAGGAACGTACCGACTTCGTAACATGATGCCAGTGTATGTTCAATAATCCCAAAATATTGACCATCAATTAGTTGGTTAAGATCCAAGGATATGTTCGAGATCAATCTGGATGTCGTATTCCATGTATTTATATAGTGGGACAGGCCGCTGACAACTTCTATGAAGGCTGGACCAAAGAATATATATTATCAACGTATGACGACGGAATGAATGTATGGTCCCTTCATGCTCCTTTGGGACGCTAGTTATTATTTGTCTACCCGAAACCAAGCAAACTGCTCCACAAATGGTTGCATCCATGCAATTGATCCACAGAGATGAAGCGTCCCAGAGGACGGATCTGCGCTCAGTGCATAAACATTGCGTCACTAAATAGAGCTCTGAACGTCCCTTTTCAGTTTGATAGGAGGAGACCTTGTGTATCTCATAAGGAGGGAGCCATGTAGATGTGCTGAACTAAGCCTAAATGCGGCCTGCTCGCTACCCCTTGCAATAGGCCGAACCCCGAATTGACACAGAGGTCGTGCCCCTCGTTAATTAGCTGCATCACTTAGTTGCGTGAGCCTACAGATCCTGCTTCCAAAGAGACAGCAAACGTCATTTGACGGACACTCGACGCTGGCCGTACCTAAGTACCCACAGTACCCGCATCTCGACAGCACTTCATGACCATCCATTCTACAGGAAGGATAAGTTAAAATGAAAAAAAAGACGGGAGAAAGAAAAATAAGCGATATCGAATACAAACCCCGCAGGGGCTATGCGTTCATAGTGGTGAGATAATTGAAACTGAAATAGCCTTGACCGCGCCATTTGAGCTTGAATACAGTCTTGTGTTGTTTGTTGTCGTATATCTAGAGAGCTATGGCCCCCAAGACCTGAGGGGGTTGGCTAGAAGCTTGTGGAAAAGGTCAGCTATGGGGCTGATCGGGAGACAAAAGGACATGCGCGTGTTTCGAGAAACAGGATGTAGGATGTATGGTCTGGGGGTGTGGTTGGATCTTCCAGCCATCACCTTGCAGTTACGGTGCGTAAGAATAGGCTCCACGCTTCCCCTAAAGTCAAAATACTTGTCAGGGTTGGCGCCCTTATACAAGCCTCCGTGGATGAATTAGTTACCGCTTCACGCTCCTTAAGACGCTCTGTCTACCATCATCTTTTCTGTTCGTACTCCGTACTGAGCCAGGCCTTTGGATACTGAATTAAAAGCTGATACTCGATTTGTGCATAATGAGTTTCCTTGACGTGGGTTTCGATGATCCGATTGTATTTGTATTAGAGCCGTCTAGGTTCAACAATATGCACGCGTAAGCTGGCACATAATAAGCCTTCCAATCACTCCCTCATGGAGCCGTCTTCCAGGTAGACGTTGTCGAGCGTCAAATGTCGTATCAGCAAATAAAAAAGTTAGATGGATGGCTATCTCCACATACACCTAGAACAGCCAGGTATCTTGGAATTCTAACCGAGGTGGCCTTTTCTGCTTCCCCCGCCCCTGATTGTAAACGGCAGGAGGATACGGAGTACCACGTTCGGGTGTAGGCCATTTTTAGACAGGGTATGTTTCTCAATAACGTCACAAGTGCTTCGCATTTGGCTCAACGGATTTTAAGGTTGAGGAATCAGCCTTGGAACAAGGGTCACTGGTCAACTAGTTAATTAATCCAATTGATGTGTTGATATTACCGAGGGTGTGTAGGACGGCAATGCGGCGTGTAAACAAACGGGTTGAGCTAGTTAAGTCCAAAGCAACCACCAGGACCAAAGCAAAACAGAAAAAAAAACAACAAAAAACCTTTTGACTGCTTCAAGAACTGGCAACGCGAGCACTACATGCCAGTTGATGCCAGTTGAATAGTCTTTCACACGAGTCGGTACTGAGAAAAGTAACAGCCTCGGTGTTCAAGCCCTTTAGGCCTATAATCTGTAGTAAAGCTTTGCGGCCTCGTCTCCTGTCGTACCCACCCGAATGTGGGCGTTTCGGAGCTCCAGTCCGCAGGTTGGCGCAGCTCTGCCAGAGATTGGATCCTCGGAGATACTGATTTCTGACTTGGCGAGGGCTTTGTGTGCAACCGTAATCTTGGCTAAAAGCCGTCAAGATGAAAGCTGACAGCCAGGGGCCAATGGTAGCCGGGGCCACTTGATCCAGGGGTAATCGGCACTCCGGACAGTATTTTGGTCTGGATATCGCATTTATGGATCGGGGTTGGCGCGATATGACAATCGCTCCCGGATTCCGGCATCGATCCGACACTGGAACTTCACAAAAGAGAATACAAAGGCCGATGATCTAGAAGAGCGTACTATAAAGTAGAGAGTACGTAGGATAAAGCAAGAAATGGCCGTCATTGGCCATGCATCATGACGTTCGCTCCCACTTCAGTCGGTGATCAAAGTCAGGGAAAACTCAACCTTGTCCAAGGCGGTCTCAACTTGGCAGTACTATTACTAATAACCTTTAATTGGTAATGATGTGAGTGATTATATAAGCATATCTGAACCTCTTTCACTTTCATAGATATGCGCGCTAGTCTATTTTTGGCGTTAAACTTGGCTCCCGGCTTGGCATCCACCCTTTAATGCCCAAAGCTCCCCTGCGCTTCCACCCCGCATTCCATGTGTTGAATGGCCAGTGCCTTAAAGATATGCACGGCTCTTAACTCGCCAGACGCACCCTGGCAGCAGCAGATGTTGAACACATATCAGTGGCAAACATCACTTTCCCGATATCGCGCACACAGAGCCCCCAACACTGCGTTTTCGTTTTTTGTTGGTTTTTAGCAGTGAAGTTATGCACTCTAAACCTCTCCTAGGATGGCGCATTTTGGACGTGAGACAAAGGCTTTCCAAGAAGTATGACTTCATATGCGAGTATTAGTAATGAGAGGGGAAGTAGATTACTACCGAATTGGAAGAAAATAAACATCTCCATAATTATTACGTAGAGATGACTTCATATGCTCTGGTATTCCCATGTACCTTTACCCGTTGTGCTGAGCCAGTTTTCCGCCCTGGTCAGACCACTTTTACCCCCCAAGCCCATAGGGCAAGAAAAGCTCTCTGGCAAAAGTGTTATTGCCTCAACCGGGGGTATAAAGAAGCCCGCAAGGATTCTTCTCAACTCCTACGTAGGACCAATTAATCACAATTGACTCGGTAGCAATATATCTGAAACAATATCGATTTACATCTCCAGACCATCCCTTATAAACCGTCTCTTACGATGCCTCAATACAAAGAGGGACAAAATGTTCGCTATAAGCCCGTGGGAGGTTCGTATCATGAGCCTAGTCGGTTTCTTGATCATGTTCTGATACTCCCATATACAGGCCCCGATTCTAATACACCCGAAAGCACTGGTTGCATTATGTCCGTCCTGACAGAACCAGGAACTCAGGCGGGACGTAATGTCGATGCAAGCGAGTCTCGCCCTCGTTATGAGGTAAAACATTATCCTAAGGAGAGTGAAGATTATGGACTAACTGTAAGGTGCAGATTGAAAACCAAAACACCGGAAAGACCACCACCATTTATGAGGAAAACATCTTGGGCACTGTTTGAGGCGGTGATGTCTTCACAAGGCGTGCAGACTTCGAGGCCATTAGGCTCAATGTCTCCATGTAGTATTTCGCTATATAACTTCTACGCTCATTAGTAGTTCAATGAAAGTATTTCTTGAACGCCAGGAAAATAATATCTTTGGTCACTTTGACAATTAGGGCCTTTATAATCTTTCCCTTCGCTCTAAGTCATAATCGCAATATAGATTATTTCAGTATTCAATTGCTACAGGAACCTCCAAAATATAGATCTTAATTCATGTTACTTGAGCCGCGAATATTAATGATTAATGAAAGCCAATGAGCAACTGTTTAGCCTGGTCTAGCTAAAAGCTCCAAAATTACGGCATCACTACCAGTTTATCTAGTGATTTTCAACCCTGGCTTTATCAAACTAGTTAACTAGTTAAGGCCCAAGGTTCATGATCAGCATTGCGCAGCATAATTTCATTTCTAAAGATGCTGCTTGACTACAAGGATTAAAGCTACTTCCAATTCCAATTCTATGCATTCAGAAGGAATAAATAAGGAGATGAGGTGTAATATCACTTAATGAATGTCAAGATGCTGACAAACGCTAGAGACCGCAATATCAGCCCCCACCCCACCCCTCAAGAAAAAAAAAAAAATAGTGCCAACTGTAGTTCGGAAATCAAAGAACCACCACTGTATAACTATCAGGCCGGCTGGAGTTGCTGCTTTTTGCGGCTCTGCCTATGGATATAGAAACATAGTGTTTGCTCCTGCGAGCAGTGAGCGCATTGAGGATAATTCAGATCACACACGATGTTAATGCGCGTACATGATGTACAGGGAGATTGCGAACGTTGAAAAACTATGTCTGGAGCAAAATGCTCGCGCTCTGGAGTGGAATTAGATTATCGGTATATCTGATCAGTACATCTGATCATTGGAGTAAAACGCACCATGTATCCTAGGTGTTTGTGCAGCAGCACACACTTGATTTGGACGTATATCCTTAACTCCAAACAGGTTCTGAATGAAATTAAACATCATTCTTTCGGATCATATCGGGTCAGACCGGGCTATTTTTAGGGATGGAATTTTATCCAGAGGCTCACAGAGCTAGAATTGAGCGCTCAGGTGATGAGATTCACTCTGTTCAATCTTTTATTGATAAAATGGCGAAGTAAGTTATGTTGGTGTGGGTTCCTGCCCCTCCATGCTCGCTATATATCATGCAGCAGTTGTTGTTGCCAAGTGTGTACCGCAATGTGTAGCTTGTTATGACGTGCGGCTCTCATATTAGTTAGCCTGTGGGTCAGAAACCTTAGTTATCCAGTTAAATAAAACGCTTTAGCTTCGCTTTTGACATTGTGACCCCAGACATGCAAAGAATTACATCATCAGACACACCTTAACCAAGGTCTCCTACCAAGTAAAATGCCCGGTACAGGAGGTACATTGTGGGTTGATAATTTCCACAGTCGGTGTCAAAAATTCGAACACCTCCCCCTAGTTACTCCTATACATTAACCAAATTACTACCGCTTTTTTATCATTATGTTTACTAAGTAAAAAGTAGGCTTATTCATTGACCATTAAAGGCCCCAGGAATACATTTTTTTTCTCTTAAAAATAGAGAAATCCTTTTAAAATACTTATTTATTTAAGTAATACAATATGATCCGTGCACCGTCAAAAAAAATTATATAGAATACTTTTAAGGCCTCTATAAAAGCGCTTTTTCTCCTTATTAATTTAAAGTACTTATAAGAATACTAGGTCTGGCTGTTAAGTTATTCCCTTTTTTTTTTGACCCGTATACATATAAAAATGTACTGGTGGGTCCTCAGGTGCTCAAAAATCTGACCTAGTACAGTATGACCTCATCCAGATATGGACTCGCATAAACATACACAGGCTTATATGTAGGGAGTGTCCGTGCAACCATTTCAGAATTGAAGTCAACAACATACCTTCTTCCCCGTCAACGTTGAAAGGAGACGACTTGTGAACAACTAAATCTGATAGCGGTGAACATCATGATTTCGACAAAGGAACTCACTCAACACTCTCTTTTTGACGTCAAGGGATTCGTTGCGGTTGTGACAGGTGGTGGATCTGGCATTGGTTTAATGGCAACTCAAGGGCTTATAGCAGGTGGTGCACGCGTCTATATTGTCAGTCGCCGCAAAGAGGTTTTGGATGAAGTAGCAAAGAAGTACTCGCAAACAGGCCAAGGGGGCATTATTGGGTATAGCATCACCATCTGAAAATGACAAAGTCAAGGATACTAACATTCCATGAGTATCAAAGCAGATATTAATTATCTCAACGATGTCGAAAACCTTGCAAAGGAGTTAGAGGCCAAAGAGCCAAAAGGGATCAATATTCTCATTAACAATGCTGGGGTGACCCAAGAGGCGGACAAGAAGAGTCAGGTGTCTTCCGTCGACTACCACTCCGCTGATTCAGTACGCTCATGGCTTGAGGGCAATGGAAGGGACATTTGGCAACAAACACTGGCCTCAAACTTGACTTCCCATCATTTTGTTACCGCACGACTTGTTCCAGCCTTGGACAAGGGAAGTAGCATTATTCCCGGGCACTCGTCATCCATCATAAACATCTCCAGTATTTCCGGGACCGTTAAGTCGACCTCATCTGGTCAATTTGCCTATGCAGCTAGCAAGGCAGCATTCACCCATCTTAGTCGCCAGCTCGCATACACTCTATATCCACTTCGTATATGAGTCAATTGCATTGAGCCCGGTTTATTCCCAAGTGAAATGACCACTGGAGGTTCAGATGAAAATCAAAAATCAAAGATAGAAGGCGCCGGCCACAAATTCCCAGCGGGTATGACTGCCTTTCCACACTCGCCGATTTGGTATCGGATAGAAGCTAAGCAAAGTACACAGGTCGAACTGGGCAAGAAGCTGATATCGCAAGCGCTGTGCTGTACCTTGGCAGCCGCGCGGGCACGTTCGTCAACGGGGAAACAATTCACGTAGATGGAGGTATGTAAGCAAGCGATGATCACAATGTAATCCCTCGCTGACCAATTCTCTAGGTGCTTTGCTGCAGTCCCCTTCCACTACATAAAGTAAAAGTGATTGAATATATGAGGTTGATAACATAATTAAGTGTCATGAGTGATTGATTAGTTAGTTGATAATAACCTAAAAGATATTGGAATTTCTTGTGTTCGTTCACATACTTAGAAAAATCTGTAGTTGCAGGGTAGATTGTTTTATCAATTCGTTTCTTCCAGCGACTGAAGAAAGTATAACATCTAAAGATAACCAACTACGAGCTATCTAAAACGGTCAAAATAGAGTTCTACCTTAGCAGCGCTGCACCTAAATTCAAAAACGGATAAATATTTTCTCGGGGTTAACCTTAATTTCGCATCAAAGGTAAAATTTCACCTCATTTGAATTACCTCAAAATTGGACAGCTTTTTGACACCGTGACGAAGGGAAATGTTAGCTAATTTCAAGATTCCATAAGGACTACAACACAAAGATAGGTTGTGAGAAGCGCCTAAAGATCAGTCACTTGCTTGAGTACAATTTACTCTAGGGCTTTTATAGATCGATTCTTCGTTGGATGACGACCATGATCTGTTTCGTATACGGCCTAGACCAGCGTTTGAGTATGTTGCTGCGACCACTCTATCACACGGTACTGGTCTTGGAGTTTGGTACATGTAAGGTTTGAAATCGGGATATTTGTTCGCCGACTTTCCGAAACACATAGCGAAAGATGAACGTCTTGATTTATGCCAGTGTGGCTGTGAGCATAGACGCTCGACTCCGAGATTATATGATCGTAGCGTAGCGTAGCGTCGCGTGAGCTAGTTTTAAGATTTCATCCTCGTCAGTAACTAGTTGTATGAAATATTGAACACGCGGGTTTCGTCGATGGGGATTAGTGATAGCATACTCTGTAGGGATGTCTGTATATGTGACGTAGATTAAGGTGAGGAAAATTTTTGGGTTTGATCATGAAAAGGTGGTTTATAAGAGGATTGTGAGAAAATGTAGAGAGATTCTTTCTGCGCCTTAAATAGCTATTTGGCCATCCCTCTGCAATCCAGTAAATATCAAATTGCACGTATCAAACGTGAAAGTATTCAATACCTCTTACTAGGTATCATGTAAGGGATATGTATTGGCCTGTAACGACATAAGAGCCGATGCGTCATAATAACCAGTAAGATGAAGTTTTGCCACCATGAAGAGAGTTTCAAGAGGGGTATGTCTCAATGCAACAACACATATGCTATAGGTAAAGGGGCTTAGATTTCAAAGCCAGTCAGGTTATAAGATTGTAGATCAAGGCTTGGAAGAACCGCGAGCTAACAGCTACCAAATGAACTACACTTCTCGCCTGTGTAAGAGTTAGCGACGGTAGCTGAATCTGGAATAGACTCGGTGCTTACCAGGTCATCCCAGACTTTTCTAAAGCTGGGGTACTGATGGCATTTCTATCACCAAAGGGATTGTTAATGTCATCATCGTCTGACTGTTCGCTCTCACTTTCAAGATCTTTATCCTTATCGAACTGTAAGCTGGGTACCATCTGTGGTCGTGGTGGCTTCGCAGGAGGGGAGCTTTCAGCATTTGCATGAACTAGATCTAGTTCCTGCTCGCTATCACTATCGTCATCAACACTTTTATCCATGACTTCAAAGGCTAGAAGGGCATTAATAATTTCTTCATGGCTATGAATCAGGATCCCAAGATAATTTTCGTCATCAAGCTTGTGGATGAACTTCAGTAGCTCAGAGCGAAGCACTTTACACTCATCGACGCGACACATGACCTCTTTATCCTGGCTGACACGCATTTGCTCGCGGTTGACAAGTTTCATCGCATTTTCAAGACGGGTTATGGCGAAGCCTACGTCTGCAACGGTACGCTTTATGCGAGCAACATCCTCATCAGAGGCCTTGGCCTTAGTTTTAGTATGCTTATCTGTTATAGATTGTCTTTCCAGCTTCTGCTTATTCTTCTTCTTCGAGTCAAAAAGTGATTTCGAGTTGGATGACGAAGACGGAGTAGCCGAGCTTAAGTTCCTTGAAGGCCCGTCGCCTGCGACTATAGAGACAGAGTGGCCCAAAGGTTCATCAGCTGGTTCCTTAAGGATATTCGAGTTCTCAGGGCCAGTGCGTCTCTTTCGTTTTGGTAGCTGCCTATAAAGAGCGGTGACTCGCTCCATCCCGGCAACACCCTTGAATGACACTGCCCATTGAGAGTATAGCTGCTGGCACTTCTCCTTGACCAAGGCATCGGTATGAGGATCAGTCGCAATAACCCTCAGCCGTTCAAGGAGTGGCTCATCAGCGAAGCTTCGGTGGAATCTTTCCCCAGCATTTTGTATAAGGAAGTCGAGGATGGTGAGAGCTCTTAGTTGACGATGTACATTGCCATACTTCCTGCCGGAAAAATTTTTGTTAGGGGACGTGTTAAGCAGTGTTCAAAAAGGTAAAATAATACCACGTACAGCTTTTTCCTCAGGGCGCGACTAGCCTCCGAGGGTCCGCTGGCCTGCAGCCGGATGACCTCGATCAGGTCTGGAATACCACTCCAGTCATCAACTTCATATTGTTCGGCCGTGAGACTATCTATCTGCACCGTTATTGCCGTGTACGGTTTCTTCTGAATTCAAATAAAAAGAGTTAGCCAATGTCATACTTGCTCATATGGGCGTTTCGCGCGCTTTTGAATGTATAGTAGGTAGATAAGTAGACATAGGCACTGTACTCTAAGGATAATATCTAGAGAGCTAAAACTGGCCAGTGACGGGATATATTGAAGGAGCTATATATACCGTTCCTGAAAACATGGTTATGCAGTGCCAGGCCTGCTACCTGCTAGTTGGTGCGGGGGCTTCGGGGATGGGGATGTGTTGGGAAAACAAGGTCTTCGTAGCGTTGCATCCAGAAACGCCCCTAGTCAATAAAGTAGAGAGAGTCCTCGTCTAGGCGCTGTCGCACATACAGAATCTGATGGCGATGTCCCCAAGAAAGCAGAGAAGGGGATAAAGCAAATGAACACAAAGCGATCTTGCTTCTACCCTTTTTGGTTTCTTCACGACATTTGAGGCTGTGACAGGATGACGTTTGCTGACTAACATGCGACTTGCTCAGCTGACTAAGTGCTTACATATGTTTCTTTACTAACATCTTACTAAGAGGCCAGGCCCTGGAGCTTATTAAGCGCCAGGAATAGCCGATGCCAAGACCCGGGCTTGATGTCGAGAACGAGAAACAATAGGGAAAGCCGAGCCGAGGCGGGCCGGACGATGAAGATAGAGTAAGCAACTCGGATAGACTCAAAGTCAATAAGCTTAAGTAAACGTTTCATGTTTGGCATGCGAGACGAAGATAAGACGGAAGTCGAGCAGCGAAGGGGGAAGAGGAGTGAGCAAGTATAAAAGCCCATCGATGCCTGCGATCTCCCTGTCGTCCTCGCAAAGAAGAATATTATCACTCTCTACACTGTTTATTGCTCTGCTCTCACTGGCTGTGGCATTGCTTGCACTCAGGACTTCTACTGTTGCTACTTCTATACTCCTCCCCGCGTTTTCCCCTCTTCGTCTACTTCGCCACTACAGCAACGCCGTGATGTCGTCCACTCCCTCATACCGCCAGGAGCTGCGAGTAGCAGAGCTGGCAGTTCAGCGGGCATCTCTCCTCACCCAAAAGGTCTCGCAGCTGAAGGCAAAAGGCACACTGTCGAAGGATGACACCTCTCCCGTGACAATTGGTGACTTTGGAGCCCAGGCCCTCATCATCCAAGCCATCAAAAAGAACTTCCCCAACGACGAGGTGGTGGCCGAAGAGGAGGCCAGCTCCCTCAGAGAAAACAAAGCCCTCAGCAGCCAGATCTGGGAACTCGTCAAGGAGACCCGTCTCAATGACACAGAGAGTGACTGGCTCGTCGGTGGCCAGATGGCCAGCGAGGAGGTTTTCCTCGACACCCTCGACAGCGGAAAGAGTGCTGGTGGTCCCAAGGGCAGAATATGGGCTCTCGACCCCATTGACGGCACCAAAGGGTTTCCTCCGTGGCGAGCAGTATGCTGTCTGCCTTGGTCTCATCGTCGACGGTGATCTCAAGGTTGGAGCCATTGGATGCCCCAATTTGCCTGTCTCTGACGCTGCTCTCACCCCTACTGTTGGCCAATCCGGCTCCGAGGGTATTGAGACTGGTGTGCTTTTCGGCACCATCAAGGGTGCTGGTTCCACCAGCCGCAAGCTTGGTGATGGTGCCCTCCTCCCCAGCAAACCCATCTCCATGAGACCTGTGCCCAACATTGCCGAGGCCTGCTTCTGCGAGAGTGTCGAGTCCGGCCACTCGGCCCAAGGTGACAATGCTGAAGTTGCCAGACTCCTCGGCATCACCAACCCAAGCATCCGTCTCGACTCTCAGGCCAAGTACTGCTCTATTGCCCGAGGAGCCGGAGACATCTACCTCCGCCTCCCCACCCGCCCTGACTACCAGGAGAAGATCTGGGACCACGCTGCCGGTGACTTGCTCGTTCGTGAGGCTGGTGGCCAGGTCACCGATATCCACGGAAAGAGACTCGATTTCAGCATTGGCCGCACCCTCAAGGAGAACAAGGGTGTCGTTGCTGCCCCTGCCAGTATCCACGCGCAGGTTATCGAAGCAGTTACTGCCATGTATGGCCGCCAAGGCAACCAAGGCTTAGACATTCTTCACTTCCCACTCTTCCCTTTTGTCTTCACGAGCAAGCAGGTTTTAAATGATATTCAACGGATCTAGTGAGAATAGCCTTATCAGGGGTTCAATGCATGCAAGGCCATGCCGGAGGAACATGAAATGACCTGCAGAAAATTGTATAGAAATACACATAACGCCGAATGACACATATTGTACAATGAAAGAACACACATGAGCAATTCCATAGATCCAGCCTTCGTTCACTTGATCTTCTTCGCCTTGAGCTTGATAGTCTCTCCATTGACGAAGATACCTTTGCCCTTGTAAGGCTCTGGAGGCCGCCATTTCCTGATATCAGCAGCAAACTGTGTCACAACCTCCTTGTCGATACTTTCGAGGAGTAATGTAGTTGGCTGTGTTGTCCTAGCCTTGACTCCCTTGGGAATACCGAGCTCGACGGGGTGTGCGAATCCAACCTTTAGTGAGACGAATTGTTGTCCAGGGTACTCAGGGGTGAGAGTAATCGCAGACGATTCGACGGAGGCACGGAAGCCAACTCCAACTAGTTTCAGAATGCATATGTGCCCTTCAGAAACACCAAGGATGTAATTTCGTAGATGTTGTCGTATCGTTCCTATAACGTCCCGTATTAGCCATGTAGCCCTCCCCAAGAGTATAAAGCTGATCGTAAATAGGGAGATCATTCCCATACCCCACATGGCAGCCTGGTGCTTGATAGTCGCATCCTGTACTTCAAATGAAGCCTTTCTCGATTCTGGGTCGTAGTTTAATGTTGAAAATGGTGGGATTTTCAATGTCATCGATCCTGTTTTCCAGTTGCGAGTTAGCACTAACCATTAATCAGATGTTGCAAGGTAGTTTCTTCTCACCCAAAGGGCCAGTTACATCCACAGCAGTGACAGGAGCATATTCAGCCTTCGCCTTCGATACAGTCTGGTCAAGAGGTAAGTCGCGGAATTCCAATGACACTTCTGGAGGTACCGCAATAGGAGCAGCACCGATTCGCGATTCTCTTGGTGTGGAGATAGAAAATGGCCTTGAAAACGCAGGAAGCAGGAATGGCGGCGGTGTTGTAGAAATTAGAGCTGCATTGAGCCGAGACGACTCTCGTAGGAGCTGCCTGCAGCAGTTTCTCGATGCTGCTAACGCCATACTGACGGGCTTCATGTGTCTGTTCAATCGTCTTTGCAGTCAAACTATTTTTTCTCTCTATTTTCTCCAGGCCAGGCCTAGTTATGGATCACGTGATGTAACTATAGGGCCCTGAAGAACCACAAGTAAGCATAAAACATCAGAAGGAAAAATAAAACACGTTGAGGATGACATCGATAGCTTCACGTTTCAGCTTTCTTCACGTCTATAGTTATATAGATATCTGTCATCAGCCTCACTATACGCCTTGACCTGGCCAGTTTTTCTACAGACTACCCTCATACTCCTCGGCCAGTCGACCTTACTCCCTTATACCCTGCACCGGTTTTTAACGGCCATACAACCACCTCAACGCTGTTATTCACGTTGTATGCCCTGGCCAGAACTTTAATGCCTCTTTTATCATTTTCATTTGACCTCTCGCTACTATACCCGCTTAAGCTCAGGCATGAAAATGACATATAGAGCATTAAAACTGCGAGTCGCTCGCACATTTTCTCTCTTTCTCCACCTTCAAATGCTCACCTCCACTGTGGTCAGCGTTACTGGATTTAAATTGCCGTCTTTTACCAATAGACAAGCTCCTGATACCCTCGAATTTTCAGATCTTCATGGACTTTCAGACAATGGCTTCCAAATGACCGTCGATCTCCCACGTTTACTCCATGGAAATCCTGCTGAGCAGAATACCTTGTTCACTGAGGCACTTCGGTTACTAGATTCTATGCAACATGCACCATCGTGCAACCAGCGTGCGGCAGCGAGTTTGATAACTTCATGTCAAACCTTGTCAGCTGATACAAGTGAGAGAAGACATTTCACTCACTCCGACTTGGACCATGTCAAATCGTTATATGCCGCTAGGCTAGCTATATGTGAGATAACCGGTGCTGGAGCTGCTATGCCGGAGAAATGTTTAGATGCATTTCCTTCTTACAATGACTGGAAGCCTCAATACAAGGACAAGACTCAAAGATTCCAAGTCACAGACGAGGAAAAAAGCATTCCGGCGGTTTTACTGGAGCCATGTCTCAGGTCACTAGAATCAAAACCGCAGTGGTGGACAAGCTATAGCAACAGCCGTCAAAATGCTGCTGTGATGTGCCATGCCGCTCGCTTTGAAATTGAGAAGGAGGAGCTACTCTACCGTCACAGAGTCCTCACTGAAGTTACATCTGGATTAAATAATCACTTGAACCTAACCCTGGAAAATTCTTATACCCAAACTAAACAGCATTGTGAATTTTTACAGGTTGTTGATACTATGCGTCGAAACCTGCTACGTGACCTACATAGAGATAGCGACAGTATTCACAACCAGTTTACCGAACTTTTGGCAGGCGCTAAGGATATGTTTCGCATCGCAAATGGAGAATTCCAGGGGTTTATGGAAACCGCTTTGACAGAGACCGCTACTCTTGCTAAGGTACCCTTCTTCCAATTGGGTTGACCAGACTCCTGATTTTCTATTAAATTTGAGCCTTCTTCTAACCGACTGAGAATAGCAAATGAAATTGTCAATTCTCTCAGCTCAAGAAGTAAAACGAGTTTTAGGCGAGGTTCTTATCGAAGAAGTGAAGCAAAACTCAGACCTGGTTTCTGCAGAGCACATGGCTCTCCGAGCCAATGCCCACTTAATAACTGACATTCAAAACTCACTCAGTGAGGTGAATCAGGCTAGAATAGGTTTCATCGTGGAAGAGTTGAATCGTCTCCACGTGTCGATGGTAAATCTCCCTAGCTTTGTATGATTTACCTGCTAACTGCGTGGTAGCATTCTCTAAGTGAAATAGTTTCCAGCGTGGAACAACAGCACTCTTCCCTCGATAATGTACGGGTGTAATTTGCTTTATACCATTGATATAATAACTAACACTATTTTGCAGCGTATTAAACATTTCGATGCAGCATTTAGCGACTTTGAACAGAAAGCTGCATTTCTTCGACACATGATGGGCACACAAATAATGAACCAAAGTCGGCTTTCGACAGTCATTCTATGAAGAGCTTCGTGCCACGCAAACACTTTTACAAAATATCACACACTCTGCTATATACTTACCAGGTTGCTATCGGAGACGCCCAGTATAACTTCGACACATTTATTTCCGTGGAGGGGCCTATTAATATCTATAACATGGTGGCTGTGGTGTACCATGATATTCGGTATCTTGGCTATATTCAAAACTAAACTTATAGTGCATGGTGTCTTTTTCTGTGGTAAGCATTTCCATATTATATGCTTCATTTTTTCAAAGCTCATGGATATAGTTTTCGGGGCAGCTCTTTTCATATCGGGAGGCTTTACCTGGCCTCAAGCTATTCAAAAACCTTCCCTCATCACTGTACACGAAGTGACACCTATCGAGATTACATGCTTCATCTTGGGGTTTGTCATTAGTGCTGTTTCCGTCATTACGATAGCTGTCAGGGGCTTCACTTTCAAGTCAAAGCTTGTGATGGCTTCGAATTCGGAAACAATGAGGCTCCCTTAATTTCCCTACCTCTCTACATATCCAAGGCTGGAACTGCTACAGATTACGAACTCTACGGGCAACCCTCTGCCTCCCTTTCCTTTTTGTATTTCGCAATTTACTCATATTTTCACAACTATTATGCCCTTATACCTTCCCTCTGACTGCAGACATGGACCCACTCCATTCATTATATCACTTACTATAATATTAGGCCAAATAAATCTACATTGCTTAGCAATTGCATCTATTATACACTCAGCATCAATCCTAGTGCGTATGGAACTCTAGAACTGGACACCTCTATTGTATAGTGCCGTTATCACCATTCATCGCTCATTTTACGAGAACAATCCTCTGCTGCCTCCCTGCTGTAAAGTTTACTGCCAAGCTTTCACCTAAAATCATCCGCGGCCAAAGCGTGTCCGCGGCATTGTTCAGGTAACGCAGATTATCGTGGAAAGCATTCATCGCAGGTTCGCCGCAAGTAAGTTTTAACTAGGCGTCTTGTCACTCATATGGGCCAGCTATGCTATGGGGTGGTAAAAGGTATTGTGCTAAGCTCCTGGTCTTGATGAAATGTATAGCTTTCCGTCGTCGGCTGGAAGATTGGCTTTAAGGGGGCCTTCAATAGAAAAGTTGGCTGGATTTCTTTTGTAGTCCGGCTACTCGCGACGATTACGTGGTTCAAGTTGCGTGGTGATCATCTCTTTTTTCTGCTGATAACTTTGGTAAACCCGTCTTCGTCGACCTCCGGTTCTTCGCGTTGCTTTGGTGCTGACCGCGGAGTGGGAGCATCTTCCATATCGATATCATTATCCCCTTCTTCTTCCTCATCATCCTCCTCGTCGTCATCATCGCTACTGTCATCCACGCCATTGACTCCAACCCTGTTGATAATGTTGGCTGGCAGCTTGCTAACACCATTCTGCTCGTCTGCTTTGAATTGCTCCCACATTGCCTCCACACGTTCAAATTTCCCTTTCTCGATTTCTGCCTTCAATTCACAAATCTGATCAGCGATCATGCTAATACTTCCATCATCCACAACCACGTCGAACTCATCAGTCATAACCTGTATTAAAATCTCTTCGAGGTCCTGCGCATCGGTTTCAGGGTGGGTGCTAAAGAGCTCTGCAATGGCACCACAGAACCAATCTCGTTTGCTCCTTGAAGTAGGCCCACCCCAGGATGATTCGACGGCCAGTGTGAGAGATGGCCATGAATATAGAGTGAGAGTTATAGCGAGATCAAGGTGCGCGTAAGGAGAAAGCGGAGCTGCCCCTTGAGTCTGAGGAAGAGGCAGCTGAGATTCTGCGGAATCCATCATAAGGAAATGGCCGCAACGAGTCTATCAGTTGGATACGTGGTATAGAAAGAACCTAGAGACCTGAGATATAACCCTAATTCTTTGACTGTTACTTCTCACTCCAGCGATATTACTATCCCACTTCAACTTTTTCTTATCAGAAAAAAAAACAAATTGGAATACGGTGACTAATGGCTTATTAATGAAGTAGTCTTCGGCTTTATATTAATACGCAGTCCGAAAAACTCTTGTGCCGCTCGAAGCGCAGCCGCCCAATCTTCTAACTAAGGGATCGGCTGATAATATGAGATTAACAAAAAGAGCTTCCCCTCCTGCCACAAGGTGTGAATGTCGATGAAACGAGCGACTCACCAGGTCACCCTCGAAGGAAGGAGCAGCAGCTCACACGGATGGGTTTTCCTATTCTGTTTCAGGTTACTTTGAGTTGCCAGTCACAAGTGGCGGCTCACTAGGGCTCATCTTTTGATTTTCTCGCGCTTCCCCGTTCCAGCGGATCCTGAAAGTCGTTCGAACCGACCGAGGAAGCCTTTTCCCTGCCATGAAACAACTATAAGGCCTCCAGCCCTTAATTAAGCCAAGTTTCCAGTTGCCTCAGTATGTACTGCCAACTTCTGGGCCACTTTTGAGTGTGAGCACAAACCGCTTGGTTGCTTGCTTGTTCGATATCAAAACGAGAAAAACATGGCATCTGTCCTAAGTCATGACGTCACTTGAGGGCAGCGGTTCACGTGAATTTAACTCTATTAGTCAGCCTTTTTTTTTTAATTCTTAGCTAAGCTATGACCTCATCATGCTGGTTCCTTTTTTCTCTTCAAGATGCTTTTTCTTGTCTCTTGCTCGAGTAAACAACAAGGCGGATTTGAAAACCCTCCGATCAGAACATGTTGGTGTTTTGTATCTTATTAGGATATGGCTCGCCGCTCCTCTTCTATGCTCGCTACTGAAAGCTGTGACTGCTATCCAATGGCTTGATAGCCACTGCTTGTAACTGCGTTGGTTGCTAGCAATGCCATTTAACATCCTCTCGGTGGCTTTTCATGCCTCCTTTACTGCCATCTCTACCGGCGTAATACACGTATGCCCCAGCAAGCCCCCAACGTCTCGGTCATGCGATACTAACATAATTCCTCTGAGCAGTATCTCGGCAAGAAGCCTGCCCAGACGGAGCCTACCGCGCATTTCTCGTACCATAGCGGCCTTGAGGTTGTTCGGCGGTTCCTCGAGCATGCGGCACGCCATACAGTCGAGGAACTGCAGGCATTTACCGGTCAAAAAGTTCCTACGCCGTATTGGGTGGCAACTGGAAGCATCATAATTCCTGCAGAATGTATAGAGTCAGCGTCCCACATTCTCGTTGCACAATTAGGACCGGAAGGCGTATCCCTCGTTGGCGGGAGCAAGTGGTGGCAGTGGAGGGACACCGAGGCTGCCCTTGTTGCAGAATGGCTTGAAACGAGAAAAGATTATAACGATAGACGCGCGCGGAACGCCAAATCAAACCGTATTATTCTATACATCCACGGCGGTGCATATTTTTTTGGTAGTGTGGATACACATAGGTATCAATTGCAGCGACATGCCCGAAAATTAAAGGCTCGTGTATTTGCTCGGTGAGGTCCGCCTTTCTCCCGTCCATGTAGATATAAATGCTAACAGCCTTGCTAGTAAGTTTTCTACTCTTCTACCACCTGATATTAACCATTGTATGAACCAATGACAATAACCATGGAAACCACAGCTCGCTTTCGATTAGCTCCACAATTCCCCTTCCCATGTGGGCTACATGACTGCCTTGCAGCTTATCTCTACCTAATATCTATTCAAAAGCCGGAGGAGATTATATTAGCCGGGGACTCCTCCGGCGGTGGAATGGTGGTGTCGTAAGTATTACAAGGGTGCAGGTGAAGTTTGCGAAATTAACCTGGCCTTAGGATGCTGGTCACGCTCCGCGACCAAAATTTACCATTACCTGCTGGAGCTGTTTTGATATCTCCATGGGTTGACCTAACGCACTCTTTCCCAAGTGTTGCCGGCACTGGGGTAGATGATTATATTCCAATTTGTGGTTTTATGCACCGACCATCTGCGGCATGGCCTCCCCCTAACCCAGAAGAATATAGGATAGAGTCAACAACTGGCGAAATGATTCTTAATAAAATCAATTCACCTCCTATTATGGATAACACATCAGCTGTCGATGCCAAAGCTATCGAAGAATTCTATACCCGTCAGGCTCAGTCGGCCCATGCTGATGATTATACAACCTCCGAGCGTTTGGGACGAAACACACAAACGCATGGCGAATATCTCCGGGTTGAAATAGAAGGCGCAGCCGTCGAAATCAAAGAACAAATACATTTGTATACGACAAACAAGCTTATATCACACCCACTAGTATCTCCAGCTCTTCAACCGTCGTTGGGAGGCCTGCCGCCTCTACTTGTTATCTCTGGTGGAGGAGAGCTTCTTCGAGATGAGCAGATATACCTTGCGCATAAGGCGGCAAACCCAGAAGCATATCTCCCTAGCGATGATATCCTCAACAAATATGACCCGGATCGTGAAATACTTTCCCGATATAAGCCTACTTATGTACAGCTTCAGGTCTGGAACAGCCTTTGCCATGTTGCACCGACTCTAAGCTTCACACGACCCGCAAAACATATGTATAGATCCGTTGCTCAGTTTTCCGCCTGGGCCCTATCAAGAGCACAGGAGTCAAGTATAGATATACCACACTCATCCCCTGCTTCATCTGGTGAGCTATTATCAAGTTTTGAGGAAAAGGAATCGTCAAAGAAACCAAGGGCTAAACTGGAACCGGCCCAATCCGCGACCATTGGAAAGGCTGGAGATCCGATACCTCCGTTCCAGAACCATATGATCCGGCAGATGGTTGACTCAATGGGCAATCTCCTCCCACTCCCTGACGAACATGAGCTTCCAGCTCTTCAAGTCCCGCGCAACCACATTGGGGTACCGAAACCCACTCCGGTCCGCCGCTGGCTTGCCGCCAAGGAAGAATGGGACCTTAAGTTTAAGAAAGAAAAAAATAGGTTACAAAAAGAGAGACTCAAACGAGTATCATTGGGGATTGATGATATAGCACCTGGAGATTGCCCTCCGCCTAGCTCGCAGGCTGCGCGACGAGGAGTCACCGTTAGTGAAGTGCGGCAGCCAACGAAGAAAAGTGCTATGCTCGCCCTCTGGAACGCACTTGGTGCTGTCCACGATACCAAAGCTGTGCAAAAGGACAAGAAAACCAATGTTGAACATCAGTTCCCTACTCTGTGGCGAGGAGTTGTTCAGGACGAGCAGCAGGGTACCGCCAATGTTGCACGCCCAAGCCGCACTACTGAGGTTGTTGCAGATATTGGTCAATCTAACGAGTCCCAACGGGAACTTACTACTAAATCTAGTAGGGCTACGCCAGAAGCCTCCGTGCCACAGATTTGGAGATCCCCTAGCAGCGAAGAGTTTGAGAGAGCACGATCTACACCGCGAGGCAGTAGCGTATCGAGGATGACAGTTGGTGATGAAAGGGGGGATCTAGGGGATGGATCTGTTGCCGAGCCACCATCCGACAAAGCCAGTATACGGACAATTCGACATTCAAAGGGAGTAATCAGTCCTCTACCAGCTTCGGCCGATCCTCTGTCCGACTATGAATCTGTGCTGCAACCGGGGCCGTATAGCGGTGACAATCAAAAAACTGCTGGTGAATCAGAGCAGAAGAATGAATCTACATTCGAACAGTCAGATGTAGTCCTCCATTCTTTACCCACTAGCACCTCAAATCGCCTGAATAAAGAAAGTCTGCCGTGGTTTGACTTTGAATTGACAACAGATAGCAGTCCACAGTCGGAACTAGAACCATTTGCTTCCTTGCCGGCCGGAAGCGGTGGAGATGCTCTAGATAATCGAAGCGGATATTCCAGTAACTACAGTCAAAAGCCGTCCTCCGCTCAAGGCATATATTGAGTATCCTTTGATACAAGGATAGTTGTGAATGAGAGTACCATTTTCTATATGCTGCCAACCAAGCGTTCAAGATACGGCTTTCGGGTTTGTATTCTGTTACAATTGCCTTATACCCTTTGCATAATTTAGCCTAGGTTGAATTTACTATCCACTTCTCATATGATAACCATAGTGATAATAATAAAACTCTAACCATACGCTACACAGATAGTAATATAATGCTAGAGTATTCATTTTAGTTATCGTACACGGGGTATATATTATACAGAATGGGTATAGAGCTTTGAATTTAGGCCTCAAAGGGCCTTTGGCAAGCGGAGGGTACCATACAAAAGGCATATATGAGGTTCCCTTGGATAAACATTTGAGGCAATTGCTCAGTTCAAATGAAAGCCTCACCATTTGAGTCCAATTTTTTCCGCAACTTTCTTCGATAGATCTAAGAAGGCATTCCGGCGAGCACTTCTATCGTCACTTTCTTCCGCCACGACAGTAGGCATGCCCCTGTCTGCATCTTCACAGACGCGTGCATCAAGAGGGATGTCTCCAAGAAAATCAATACCAAGGCGCTTGCAGGCCGCAACTACTCCAGTAGTATCACCGTGGTTATGCCCATGTTCCTCATTTCCCGTACCGCGGTTACCCGACCGAGAGAATATTTTGGTCTGCTTTCCACAATGGGGACAAGCAAAATACGCCATATTCCGCACCATCCCTAAGACAGGGACATTCATCTTTTCGAACAGGCCAAATCCTCGAACTGCATCTCGTAGCGCAATATCCTGGGGGGTAGACACAATAACAGCACCATCAACGACCACTTCTTGATTAATGGTAAGCTGTACGTCTCCCGTACCCGGCGGAAGGTCTAGTATGAGAACATCAAGCGGACCCCATGAGACAGAATGAAGAAGCTGGTTCATTGCCTTGCTGACCATGAGCCCTCTCCAGGATATGGGAGTGGTGTCCATAAGGGGTGAGTTCGGATCATCTGTCAAGTGCCTTGCATTTTCAGGCGGTGGTGGGAGCAAGAATCCCATGGACATCGATTTCAAGCCATAATTAGTGAGAGGGATGAGGCAGTTATCTGAACGAATACGGGGAAAAAGAGCTCTCAGCTACTTGTACCGTTGATGGGGTCAAGGAGAACACATACTCCCGTCAAGCCGTGGTTCACCAGATAGGTTCAATAGCGTAGGTATAGATGGTCCAAATATATCTGTGTCGAGAATGCCAGTTCGGAATCCTCGTCTTGCCAGAGAGAGAGCAATATTTACTGTCGGATATAGCCTTAGCATGGTGTCTAAAATATGCCATTGATATTCTAACCTGCAATTGTAGACTTTCCAACTCCTCCTTTGGCCGACGAAACAGCAATTATCCTGTGAACATCTTTTATTTTCCGTTTCTGGGGTAGTCCTCGTCGGCTTTGAAATGTTGGTGGTGTCCCGGACCTGGGCAGTCCCTAGTAGTAAGTAAACACATTTTAGTCGGAGCCGCAAAGATGGAATGGGGATAAGTGGCGTACTAATGGATTGTCATGCCCAAGCTGACGACAGGTGGAAAAGAATGCCCGTCGCATGATAAAGGCACTCCTGACAAGAAATTGTTAACCGCTATCTTGTCGTCTTCTCTTGTTTTATTTCTTGCGATGTTTTGAGACGTTGAGCTTGCGCCTCGGCAAAACTTGCTCTGTTTGCTGTGAAAATCCGAACGTAAATTTTTCCCGAAGCTTTTTTGAGAATCAAGAAAATAAGAAAAAAAAAAAAAAACCAACGGAAGACAAACCGTCCAAGAAACAGCTTTGAGAAGACAGCAAATTGCTATACGAGAGGGCTTACACGATGTCTGTGAAGAAAGGACGCGGCAAAACTTTGGCCGAGCAGATCGCTGAGCTCGAAGATCCTACTCCCAAAGGTAAGCTGCAATTGATTGCCATTTGTAGTACTGGCTTAATGGCGAACTGACAGGGTGATGATAGAATTCGACCCCGAGGAGCAGAGTGACGGCCCTGAAGATAGCGGCAGCGAAAGTGGTAGCGATGGCGCAGGCCTAGAGAATGGGAGAGGGCATTATGAAGCCGTAAGGTATGTCGCAGATGACTCAATATCTTAGTATATTACATACTAACGAGCCGGTAGCAAGAGCAAACTAAGAAAAGCAGATCAAATAGAGCTAGGAAGTGAATATGCTGGATCGCGGGTTAGTCGCCATGATTTGAATGGATATAACTCCAGCGAATTGCATTCTTCAGAAGATGAGAGTGAAGGAGCCGGTGATTACTCTGGTGACGGGTTCTCCGCAAGTGAAGACGACGAGGATGGAGAAGACACGAACGCGGAATCAGAGATGGATGATATGGAGTCAGACGAAGGCGATGAGTCTGACGCGGCTATACCTAATGAATCTGATATGGAGGAGGGAACACGGAAGAAGTCGAAGTTACAACAAACCAAGACTGCTGAAAACGACCGTGAAGAATTACGACGGCTGATGGCTACTGGGGATAAGATGGTGACAGCATCGATATCGCAAGCCGCCAAAGCTGATGCTGTTAAAGGCGCGGCTGTTAAAGAACAGAGGCTTACGTTTGACGCGCTTTTAAACTCCCGGATTAAGCTACAGAAGGGTCTCACTTCGCTTAATGGCGAGTTTTCTACCTCTGATGAGACTGAGGACCTGATCAAGTCTGCTGAAACTGCTGTATTATCTCTATGGAATATGCTGGGTGACCTTCGGCAGACGCTTGCGGACCACCACGCTTCAGGCAGCGTCAACCTGAAGAAACGCAAGAGACCTGCCCCTGCGACAGCAGAGACGAGTTCTGCGGATATTTGGAACCAGATGTGTGAGCTTGAGACAATGTCTATTTCTCACCGGCGCGGAGTTCTCGATAAATGGTCTCGAAAGGTTCGCGGAGCTCGTAGCAGTACGCTTTCTAATAACAGCCGGGGCAAGTTATTGAATACCAACTCAGAGGAGCAGAGCATAACCGCGGTTTTGGAAACGTACATGTCTAAGGAGAGCAAGAATGATAAGCCATCTGCTTCCACCACCGAGTCTGGAACAGGAATAGGATATGATGATACGGCGTTTTACCAGTCACTGCTACGTGACCTAGTCGAGCAACGCATGGCAGCATCAACCAACGGTGGAGTTATCCTGGACTCGATATCTACGCAGCTTCCTAGGAGCGGCACTACGAACCCCATTACAGGAATGCGCAAGGATAAGGTGAAGCGTGCAGTAGATACAAAGGCTTCTAAGGGGCGAAAGATGAAGTATAATGTGCATGAGAAGCTACAGAATTTCATGGCACCAGAGGACCGCGGTACATGGTCCAATCGAGCTAGAGACGAGTTCTTTGCATCATTACTAGGTCGAAGTGTGGGAAATGTATTGGGTGAGGATGAAGAGAGTGATAATGATGGCGATTCTATAGATGATGATGCCGAAGGAGGTTTAAGATTGTTTAGAAGTTAGCCCTGTCCACAGCTTATAGGAACGGGCAGCGTCAAAGATTACTATTCAAAAGACAAATGCGTATACAATCATTATAATTACCAGAATGGGGCCGCCTGGTACGTTTGTGTTCTAAAAAAAAAAGGTGATTGATTTTGATTCAATTGGCCAGCCTCCCGAGCGCCATAGAAGATGCAGTGCTCGCCGCGATCCTGCGCTGTGACCAAGTTAGCCAGGGACTTTGAAGGAAATAAAAATCACGGGAGCCATGTATGGGGGAATATGGAATAAAGAACTATGCAAAACAGGCGAAGGCCCTAGTAGACGTCGTCTTCTTGGTTGTAAGTGTGACGACTACGAGTAGGGTCCTTTCGCATTTGCTGCCCGGAACCAGTAAAGCCAACTAAAAAGAGATTCGGTCAGTAAGTGCAAACCAATCGGTATTGAGAGGATGTACAGGGCATACCTCTTGCATTGATTCCTTCTGGCGTTCTAAACATGGATTCTTTCTTGATCTTTCCGAATTTACTTTTGTTCGTGAAGTCCTGCCATTTGTTCTTGCCGGCCTCCAGGTCCTTCTTCCGCTTCACCTTGCGTGCGGCCTTTGACGGTCGTGACAAGCTATCATTCTGGCTAGCCACGTTCTTTGCCTGGTTGGCAAGGTCGGGGTTGATGTCAGCTGCAGCTGATATGACGCTGGATTCGGGGCCTGCAGGTAAACCGGCTGTACCGTCAGGGCCGATATTGGTATTGTTGGCGTTGCTGGGGGCTAAACTGCCTGGTGATGAGGATATATTATCAGCCTTTCGCTTTTTCGAGTCAGGAGCAGAGAGAGGGCGGATATCCTTTGCCGTCAAGGTCTCAATGGTGGAATATGACTTGAAGGATACTATGTAGATGGGATTGGTGGCCGAGCCAGTAAGGGAAGTGATGCGGGCAGGGTAGAAAGCGCCATCTCCCGATGTCCAGCGGGCGAGCACGTTGTCGTTGACGCAAAACGAGGCTGGCTGCGTCAGTTCTTCCTGCGGTGGGGTAGCGTCTGCGGCGGCTGTCGGAGTTGCGGGAGCTGGTTTACGATATCCGGCCTGGTACGCGGGATGGTTATCCTTGGACCACTTCTCTTTGACCGGTTCTGGGGCAGGATGAGACTCGGTGGGCGGTCGTAGCTCGTCGATGGATTGTTTGGTGAGTGCTATGAGTTCTTCCAGCTCTGTTTTTAGACTCTGCAGTTCTGTGTTATCAGGGTCGACCTGCAAGCTGGACTGTACCGTTTCGAGCTAGGGTTATGTCAGTACTTGGGTATTATAAGCCTGAGACGAGACCGGAATACGGGGACAGTACCTGTAGCATAAACTCCTTCACCTCGGCCTCCATAGAAGCAACGTCCGCCATGATGTCGAGTTAAACTGGTATGCCGAGCAGGCAGTTCTGACGTCGTAGTCTAAGCAACGATCTGGCTCCGGATATTTCGAAAAGACGCGTCAAAGCAACTACCTTATCTTCTTTCAGTATTCCTATTTATTTTCCCTTGAACTCCTTGATCTTTCTTGATCTTTCTTGTTCTTCTCTGCTCTTTGGTCTTTTTTGGATGGCTCTTTTTTCCTGATGAAGTCAGACCGCGCGAGTCACATGATAAATATCACATGACCATGGAAATGGTCATGTGAGATATTACATAATAAGTAAGCGCCGTCTGAACCTTAACTCAAGCATGCATTTGTCAGCGAACAGCGGCGCTGTTAAAGCGGCGGGCGATCGTCCCTCTTTCGGCTCTTCGGCGCTTGCTCGAACCCAAAGAAGAAATTCTCGACTTCATCGTCGACTTTCAGGCTTCAACTTTCAGCTTCAGCCGCGTCGCTCGCTCGCTCGCCATTTGATATCTCGACAACCTCGCCCTGGGAAAACAAGCAATTGCTCGGATATCATTCTCCCCTTGTTGCTCCGCTGCCGACGCCGTGCGTGACATCGTCTCCGGCTGCTGTTAAACCGCGGCTCCGAGTGTTACAGAAGGCAGAATACGAGGCCCCCCGTTCTCGGCCATCCGCTAACGAGCGCCCTTCAGGCTTTCAGCCACCTGCGTGTCACCTCCGGCCAGCTGTCCACCAGGCGGTCGATGTCGTTGCGGGAGAGCTGATCTCGGTCGCTGTTCGCCTGTTCCACCGTCTTCTGCACGCTTCGAACCCGCAGCGCACCATCCTGGCCCTTGTCCTAGTCCTTGCCTAGTTGTGCCGCAATTTGGCCGGCAGCTTATTCTCCCTTCGATTGCTGCCTTCCACCGTTTCTTCCAAGCCTGACCGTTTTGCCTGGCCGTCATCGAGACCGTCAGTCATCATCCAACGGAGTATTCTGCAGGCTGACAGGACGGGGAAAAGAAAAGAACCGCTTCTAGAATAAATCAACAACCATCTCTGACTGATCGCTGCATTGCCTCTTCCACCACCCCACGCTTGCCCACGGGGACGAGTTACTCCGGCTCATCTCCTGGAGAGGCCCATCATTTCGCCCACTTGGTCGGAATCTACTCCAAAACACCCACCTCCATTTTTACTCTCAACGTCTACCCTTCTCGCCATGGCTGAATTTGACCCTTCCTTCCAGCGTAGCCTCTACCTATCTCCAGACCAACAGGATCTGCTTCTCGCTGCCCTTTCCTCCAATAACCAGCCCACAAAGCCCAGCCCGCAGCCCAATCTCAGCTCCGCAAACGGCCCGTCTGGAAACGACCTTTTTGACTCGCCTCCCCAGGACATTCCAGGTTCTGGACAGCTCGGTTTTAATCCAGAAGATAGCCCGTTCCTTGGACTTGACCTAGATGCCGAATTTGATGTCTCGGACCAAGCTTTGATTGGGGACCTCCCTGGCATAGAGGGCGAACAGCATGTTGCTACTGAACATCGTGAAAAGAGAAAGAGTCTTGATGGCCAGGAGGGCGCAGATACGGGAAAGAAGCGCAAGGAAAATGAGGAAAAGGTCGCTAAGAAGCCCGGGAGAAAGCCCTTAACTTCAGAGCCAACAACAGTAAGTGTCTTCTTAACCTTAACACTTCCATTGCGTCCCATGCTATATTCAGCTGCTAAAAGCCTTGGTTATAGAAACGCAAAGCCCAGAATCGAGCTGCACAGCGAGCGTTCCGCGATCGTAAGGAGAAGCATCTCAAGGACCTCGAAACAAAGGTAGCAGATCTCGAGCGCGCATCTCAGACCGCAAACCAAGAGAACACTTTACTCCGTGCCCATGTCCAACGCCTCCAGGTCGAATTGAAGGAATACCGCAAACGGCTATCGTGGATCAGTAGTGGGAACAGCTTTTCCCCTACGACTAGCTTGCTCAATCAGGCGAGAAGCCTGCACGCTCAGTCTCGCCTGAACAATGACTTTTCCTTTGATTTCCCCAAATTTGGTGATCTCCCTGGGGCCCATATGAACAGCATGGGATCCCTGACCAAGGGATCTTCCAATACCCGCAGCCAAACCCATCCAGCCCTGGGTATCAAAGCGGCCGGTCACATCGGAGCCGCGTCGCAGTTCGCGCCATCAAATGGCAGTACCCTCAGGCCAAATGGCCTGTCATCCACCGCAAATAAAAGCCCTGAAGCTCCTGGAAACACCTATAACTCGCACACATTTGACAGCTCCCCCGCCACATTCTCCGAGTCCCCTTCGGCTTCTTCCGAGTCCCAGCACATATCATCAATATGCACATCCCCCGAGTCTAGCCTTACATCGCCTACCATCGCCCAAAAAGGCGATACGGCCAGCTCTACGCAGGGACACAGCAACGGTACTGCCAAAAAGAACAATCTTTCACAGTGTGAGCTGAAGTTTTATCAGCAACTAGGCGAAGCATGCGGTTGCGTTGATAACCCCATCCCCGCAGCCCTCGCAAAGAAGTCAAGCCAAGGGTCAACAAACCCTAAAAGCCCGGAAAATGCAGTGAACACTCTCTCGCCTACAAACTCAACGCCAACCATGGGCAACAGTACTGTCTCTGAGAATACGAACAATACCCAAACAGTGTCCGACCCCAGTGGGAACAATTCTACGACTGCATCCTCCGGTTTGCTATCTGATCCCTCTATCCCTAGCTTCGACTGGCTCGCCCAGCAGAATGGCGGTCACTTCGATCCTGTCCTATTTGGTGATTATCGTGATCCGCAGGATGCTGTTCTCTCGCAAGAGTTCAGCGGCTTCTTTGACGATGCTTTCCCGTTGCCTGACTTAGGAGCCTTTGACCCTGCCACCCCCGGTACCGCCGCTAAGACACCTGGAAAGGCCGATGCCCCAGGTAACACGGTAGAAATCGACGACGACGACGAAGAGGTGGTACCTGGCGAAGACAGATCTCAGATGCTTTCCTGCACTAAGATATGGTCAGTTCCTACTATCGAAGCGGTTGAGTCAAACGATAGTTCGTCTAACCCGGTTTCTAGGGATCGTCTTCAACGGCTGGAGAAATTCCGCAACGGCGAAATCGATGTCGACAATCTTTGCACTCAACTACGTACCAAGGCTCGCTGCTCTGAGGGTGGCGTCGTCATTGATCAAAAGGATGTCGACGATATTGTGACCAGAGCGATTTAATATATATTCGTCTATCCGACATTGATCCGTGCGTATCAGGCTTTTGGTTTATGAAGCAAGAATCAGAATTTTTGATTAACGGCCGTTCCCCGTTTGCATTCCGCTTACTCGACGGTTAGCTGCTTGTCCTTCTGCTGCGCTATGTCCTTTTGTTCTCGCCCTTGTCGAATATCTGTTTCAGTCTTCTCAAAGTTTTGGCTACACGCCTGTTTGCATGGACTAACCGTTATCCTCAACTTAAGGGGCAATACTTCTTCGCTCCTTCATTTTATTTCTCACAAACGTGAACAAAATAATCTCCACCTGAACCATACTTATTCCAGTGACATTTCTTCCCGTGTTGGTCTGGCTGAATTTTTTCATCTTCTCTTTCGTGACTTGTTTTGATTTTTTTTTTTTTTTTTTTTTTTTTTTGAAATATGTATATTCCCCCGCCCGCAGAACAAGAGCAATAGAGTATAACAGACAGCATAGATTACTCTGCTCGTCATTTTTGTTATACTACAAGGCATGCCCAATTTACTTTACAACAAAGAAGGCGCGGGTGGCCCAGATGGATGGACTGGTGTACGGATGGACTACATATTTAGCGTCTGTAGCGTTTAATTGTTTGAATAAAGAATTCCAATCTCGAGGTATTGGCAGGCTTACAGTGTTTAAAACAAGGCCACTTACATCGATAATCAAATGCTGTATACATGATCTCAGTCTCGGTCAAATATAGATGGCACCTATATTCTTTGTTTACAAATGCTACGAAAGCCTATGATCAGAGTCTCTACTTTGGATACTAAGCAATGTTGCACCAGTAATCAGGTACCAAACTACCGATCTTAGGAAACCTACTGGCCAGAAGGAAGCTGAATAACATATTGAATACAGGTTGTAAGGTATCTCAGGGGATTCGGGGGTTTCAGAGGTAAGGAATAGAGTAATGTTACGGTTAAAGGGGATATAAATAACTGGGAATAAAGAGAAGTGGAAGTAGGTAGAGGAGCGTTATATGGAACAGTTTTGTTATAGAAAAGCAGGGGTGGTAGGATTTCGAATAATAACGGGTGGAGCAAGGTATTTGAGGGTACGAAGACAAATATGGAGGCGACAGTTAGGTGAAGGTAACAAGTAGACAGGACACATCCCCCGAGAATGCACAGAATACGGATATCTAAACAGTGAATCTCCCAGGATGAATCAATCATGACTCAGTAGCCGAAGGAGTAGGCTTGTCTCCTGCCGGCGCCGGAGTAGATGCGGGAGAGCTCGATTCGCCGGCTGCTCCCTTGTTGTATCCCATGCCTCGCCCACCGCGGCCGCCTCCTCTTCCGCCTCGCTCACTACCGCGTCCACCTCTTCCACGTCCTCCGAACCCTCCTCGGCCTCCTCTGCCGCCCTCGCCATCACTGGCTGCGCTTCCGCTCTGGTAGCCGCTGCGAGTGTTTCCTGACGAGCCACCACGGCTGCTGGCCTGCCATGTTCCGGCGTTCCCTTGGCCGTCACGGTTGGAGGAACGGTGAGAGCCCCGGTCTTCAAAGACCTTTACGTTGGGCTTTCGGTTAGGTCCAGCAGGGCTAGGTTTCTTGTGCTCCAGCGGCTGTCTCTCAAGAGCAAGCTTGGAGTCTTCGGGTGTAGCAAAAGTAACTACAAAGTTGAATTTGCCCCATTTCTCAATCTTGATGATCTTTGCTCGGTCTTCATCAGGCCATAGTTGTCGAACTGCCTCCTCGGTGTCTACGTTGGAAATGAACAGGCCGCAGGTTAGTTTTTTATCCGTGGAACTGGCCGACTTAGAGTCTGGCTGTCCTGATGGCTGGGTGGAGCCGTTGGCTTCGGAACCAGAGTTATCAGCAGATGCGGCCGGTTGTTGCTGTTGCTGTGGCTGTTGCGGTGCAGGTGTTCCGGCGAGAGGCGTTACTGGTTTGGGAGTTGCTGGCTTCTCCTTGTTGGCGCCGATGGGGGCTGGGGATGCAGTAGACTTGGGTGGCAGAGGCGGGTGTTGTTTACCTTGGCTGGGGGCTTGTGCGGAAGAGACCTGGGGAGGATACTGATTGCCGGTGTTCCGTGATGGTTGGGCTGGTATCTGCCCAAACTGCGGCGGCGCTACTCGGGTCTGTGGAGGTCCTCCTGGCCCTCCGGATGTGCCCCCTGCGGCACCAGAAGGGTTGGTGAGTGTAGGGGGAGCAGCACCGGTCTGGGGAGCACTGGTTGCAGTAGGCTTGCCGCCACGGTGAGAGAAGTTGAAGCCTTGGGCGCGCATCTCGGTACCAATCCGGCCTCCCTCAATATCAAGGACCAGGTATCCAAACGCAGCATCAGCCAGGTTGAAGTTCCACATGTTCTTGAAGGCACTCTCATCCACTTGGCCGCCCGCGTTGCTTGCCGTTACTGGTCCACCGAATGGGTTACCGCCGTTAGCGATGCTGGGCATCTTCTGAACGATGTCTAACGCGTTGTCCAGCAGAGTCTTTTGCGCTTCATTTGCGTTTATAGCTGACTCGACTTCACCGCGGACTGTATCCCAAACGTCGTTGAAGGAAGCCTTGGAAGCAGCCAGTTTGCCGCGGTAATGGTCCAGGGTTGGGTTCACGCTGAATTCGTTGTAGGAACTTCCATATCTAAAGTGGAGGCCGGCAGAGATGGAGAAATCAGCCTTAAGGGTGACGGACAGCTGGTTCAGCATTCCCTCTCTGGCAGGGGATGCGTGGGTGACGAAGATACGGGTTTCTGCAGGGTCGTATACACGGTTGGCAGTATCGACTAGCTCTCCCATCTGCAGCAGCGTGGTCCACATGGTACCCTGGCCACCGGCAATGGTTGTCTTGCCCTCGCCGTTGTCAAAGAGCTTGTGCATGACAATTGCGCCTCCGAGGCCAAGCAGACGAAGCTTGACCCCGCCAATATCCAGTAGTCTCGAATTGGCCTCATCGATGATGTGTAGCTTGTCGACCTTGTACTCCCCAGAGCGGAACTTTTCTAGCACACGGACATCCTCACAGGCGCCCCACACGGTGTAAACTGGCACATCGAGGGTCATCTGCTTGTTAAGGAGGAGGGGGAGTTCGGAAAGTGGGAGCTGCTCGGGACTGAATCGCTGCTTGATGGACTGCTGGGGAGGGACCTGAGCAACGCTGCGCTTAATGGGCTCGGGGAGCAAAGGAGAGTACTGTGCAACGTGTTTAAGGGTTCTAACAGGAGCATCAGTCGTCAATATGCAGACAGAGCCAACAAGCAAGAGGGAGAAAAGAAAAGGAGGAGCATGCGTACTTGTCTGCAATTCTCTCCAGGGAGCTATCATCGTAAAAACCAAAGTCACCGGTGTGGATGATATGGTCAGCTCGAGCTTGTTTGGCGAGTTCGTTTAACGACTTGAGGTTTCCTGCACCATTTCACCTGTATTAGACAAGAAAACGCAGACTGCAAACGGCAAGCATCGACTTGTATATCTCCCGTATCTTCGCAGGTAAAAAGTAACAGGCGTAGCAGGCAAAAAAAGGTCTTTCCTCACCTCGCACGTCCGCAATACAGAGGATCCTGACAGCTCCATTTTGAATGACCCTGCCGTTGTTTGGTAGCAGCGGCGTCGCCCCGGGAGTTGGCACCACCGTCGAGCCGTTTGGCAGGGTATAGGGGGTGCTCGTGAACGCGTGAGGAGGATGGGGCTGCAGCAGTAGAAAAAAAACACAGGGTCAGTTGGACCTATCCAGCCAGTGAAGGGGGTTGTTTCTCGTTGCAGCCCTGTAGCAGACTTACTGAAGCCATGGGTGACGGGTTGACTGGGGGACTTTCGTTTCTTTTCAAGAGACAGGCAGACGGCTCAGGCGACTTCAGACAGCTAGAGCGAGAAGAGGGAGAAGAAGAAGAAGGCGAGCAAGAAGAAGAGGGAGGGAAAGGAGCGAGAGAGCTTCAGGCTGAGTTGTTGATATCTGGTGAGATATCTGCGAGAGGGCGAAATTTGAAGGTGTAACTAAATAACGAACGAACGAACTAACTAGTTAGTTACCTAAGTTAGCTAACTGGTGAGCCTCGTACAATACACACCCAGTACGCCGGTCCTTTTTACACACTCTCTACCAAACAGCGTCTCTGTTTATGGCTCTAACGACGTCTATCTCTACGCTCTTTTCTCCTGCTTCGTCTTCAGGTCTTTTTTATCTTCAAAACTTCAAACTCTTCGTCTTTTTTCTTCTTCTTCTCTGTTTCCCCTTTTGGAAGATCCACGTGACATACTTAGTCATCCACCTTACTCTGACGTCGCATAAAGACAAAAAAACAACAAGACGAAAACGACAAGAAGAAGAAGAAGAAGAGACGACGAAGCAGACGAAGAGGCGACGACGTGAAGCTGTAGAGCTGCTATCCTACTTCCGATTTACCTACTTTTATATATACACGACGAGCCTATCCTCCTCCGGCCGCGACGGCCGTGGCCTTGATTCACCCGATATGACGTAGCTGGCCCAGCCACACGACCGGCTCATATATACATCTACCAAGATCAGTGACGGCGGACGCCCTGTTGAGAAAGGCAAGACGGAGCTTGAAGAGCTCCAAATACAACTAGGACGCTACTAGGACACTGTTTCGGCCCTGCGAGATATCGTCTTAAGGCCCTGCGATGCGGTTCTCCGTCCTGGCTGCGCTGGCGGCCCTCGGCAGTATAGCCAGTCTCTCCCTGGCAGCTCAGACGGAGGTCCACGAGGCTGGCCGGTGTGCTATCAGAGGCAACTGTGGGAGGCAGTCCTTCTTTGGCGGCGAGCTGCCGTGCCCGGACAATGGACTGGCCCATCAGCCTGACCAGAGAGTCCGGCAGCGGCTGGTAGACCTCTGTGGGAAGAAGTGGGAAGACGGGCCGGTGTGCTGCAAGGAAGAGCAGGTAGGCTTCCTTTCACCTGGTGATGTGTTGTTTGTGTATGTATGGTTAAAAATGTCCGTTGTGCTAATGGGCTTATAGATTAATGCGTTATCGACAAACTTGAAGCTGGCTGCGGGAGTCATCTCGTCCTGTCCGGCGTGCAAGGAGAACTTCTTCAACCTGTTCTGCACCTTCACCTGCTCCCCGGACCAGTCCCTATTTATCAACGTTACCGATGTGGCCGAGGTGAACGGAAAGCTGCTGGTCACCGAGCTGGACAACGTCTGGTCGAAAGACTATCAGAGCAACTTTTACGACAGCTGCAAGAATGTCAAGAACGGAGCTTCTGGCGGCAAGGCCATGGATTTTATTGGTGGAGGAGCGAAGAATTACACCCAGTTCGTCAAATTTCTCGGTGACAAGAAGCTGCTCGGCAGCCCGTTCCAGATAAACTTCCTGACCGAGCCCCGACGGCCGGACGATGACCAGGGCATGAAGCCGGTGCCAGACGAAACAAAATCCTGTGCTGACAAGGACGAGTCGTACCGCTGTTCGTGTATTGATTGCCCCAACGTCTGCGCAGAGCTTCCCGCCATAAAGGGAGAAAAACCTTGCTTGGTAGGAAGCTTGCCCTGTCTGACATTCAGCGCGATCCTGATATACTCCATCTCCCTGATGCTTATCGTGGTCCTGGCGATTGCCCGATCTGCGTTCAAACGCCACCGCTCTCGAAGCATTGAACGGGTTCGCCTTTTGCAGGACGATGCACCAACTGACGAGGACGAGGAGGCTGAAGTTATTGAGGAGACTCGGATCCCTCAACCATACCTGCTCAATCATGTCCTGGGCAACGCCTTTAAACGGTTAGGTGGGATTTGCGCGAGGTTCCCTGGGTTGACGATCGCTTTAACTGTCCTAGTCTCAGTCCTGCTCAGTCTTGGCTGGCTTCGTTTTGCGGTCGAAACTGACCCCGTCAGGCTCTGGGTGAGCCCTACCTCGGCAGCAGCAGAAGAGAAGAATTACTTTGATTCCAATTTTGAGCCATTCTATCGTATTGAACAGGTGTTTGTTGTCAAAGATGTTGACACCAGCAAGCCAGAGCCCGTATTGGATTACGAGACCTTGGGCTGGTGGTTTGATGTAGAGAACCGTGTCCGCAGAATGATCTCCCTGAACAAACGATTGACCTTAGACGACGTTTGTTTCAACCCAACCGGGCGTGCCTGTGTTGTCCAGTCTCTTTCTGGTTATTTCGGGGGATCTTTCGCCAACGTCGACCCGAACACATGGAAATCGCACCTACAACATTGTGCTCAGTCCCCAGGCTCACGGGATTGTCTCCCGGATTTCCAGCAGCCTCTAGCACCAGAGATGGTCCTAGGTGGATTCAACGACACAGCAGATATCCTGGATGCCCATGCACTCATTATCACCTGGGTGGTCAACAACTATGAGCAAGGATCTGATATGGAAGCGCGAGCCATGGACTGGGAGGAGACGTTGAAGCAAGTTCTGCGGGTCGTGCAAGAGGAAGCTTCCGAGCGTGGCCTCCGTGTCTCATTTAGCACCGAGATATCACTTGAGCAGGAGCTGAACAAGTCAACCAACACCGATGCCCGAATCGTTGTCATCAGCTATGTTATCATGTTCATATACGCATCCCTCGCCCTTGGCTCGACAACCATCAGCTGGAAGTCCCTCATTCACAATCCGAGCCATGTCCTCGTCCAGTCGAAATTCACTCTTGGAATCGTCGGTATTCTTATTGTCTTGATGTCCGTTTCAGCGTCCGTCGGCCTCTTCTCGGCATTTGGCATCAAGGTCACCCTTATCATCGCGGAGGTGATCCCATTCCTAGTCCTCGCTGTGGGCGTAGATAACATCTTCCTCATCGTCCATGAATTTGAGCGGGTGAACCTAAGCCACCCAGATGAGGAGATTGACGAGCGCATTGCTCGAGCTCTTGGAAGGATTGGCCCGAGCATTCTACTTTCAGCCACCACAGAGACTTTCGCCTTTGCACTGGGAGCGTTCGTGGGCATGCCGGCGGTAAAGAATTTCGCTGCGTATGCAGCTGGCGCCGTGTTGATTAATGCCTTATTGCAAGTTACAATGTTTGTCTCCATCCTAGCCTTGAACCAGAAACGTGTAGAGAGCCTGCGGGTGGACTGTATACCTTGCATTGCTGTCCGCAAGGCTGGGGACAACGGTATTGCAGGTGAAGATAGACCAGATTTTGGCGAGAGCATGCTTCAGTGGTTTATCCGCAAAGTTTATGCAACAAGGCTGCTTGGAAAGGACGTGAAGGTTGCAGTGGTAGTGCTCTTCCTGGGCCTTTTTACCGCCGGGCTGGGCCTGATTCCCATGGTGAAGCTGGGACTAGACCAGCGGATCGCCATTCCGAACGGCTCCTACTTGATACCCTACTTCAACGACATGTCCGAATACCTGCGTGTTGGCCCTCCAGTCTACTTTGTGACGAGAGACGTCAACATCACCTCCAGGGAGCACCAGCAACAGGTCTGTGGCCGGTTTACCACCTGCGACGAGTACTCTCTCGGCTTTGTCCTGGAGCAAGAATCCAAACGGCCAAACGTCTCATATATCTCGGGCGCAACGGCTAATTGGATGGACGACTTTTTCTACTGGCTCAACCCGCAACAGGACTGCTGCAAGGAGAACGGCAAAGCGTGCTTCGAAAATCGTCAGCCCAGCTGGAACATTTCTCTGTATGGCATGCCCGAGGGCGCCGAATTCATCCACTATGCTGAAAAATGGCTCAGCTCGCCCACGACCGAAAGCTGCCCGCTCGGCGGCAAGGCACCATACAGCAACGCCCTCGTCCTCGACTCCGACCGGATCATGACCAACGCAAGTAGCTTCCGGACATCCCACACCCCTCTGCGTACCCAGGCCGACTTCATCAACGCATATGCCTCTGCTCGACGCATCGCCAACGACATCTCGACAAACCACGGCATCGATGTGTTCCCTTATTCCAAGTTCTATATCTTCTTCGACCAGTACGCATCCATCGTCAAGCTCACCGGCACCTTACTCGGGTCCGCCGTTGGCGTGATCTTCCTGATTACATCCGCCCTGCTCGGCTCCCTTTTCACCGGCGGAGTGGTGACACTGACCGTAGTGATGATCGTGGTGGACATTATCGGCGCCATGGCCGTAGTGGGCGTCTCCCTAAACGCCATCTCGCTCGTCAACCTGGTGATATGCGTTGGCATTAGCGTCGAGTTCTGCGCTCACATCGCCCGTGCCTTCATGTTCCCTTCCGCCTCGCTGCTGGAGAAGGCTCCCGTAAAACTCCGCCATCGGTCCGCTAGATCCTGGGCCGCACTGGTCAACGTTGGCGGCAGCGTCCTCAGCGGCATCACCATCACCAAGCTTGTGGGCATCTGTGTCTTAGCGTTTACCCGTAGCAAGATATTTGAGATCTACTACTTCCGCGTCTGGCTGGCTCTGGTCATCTTTGCCGCCGCCCACGCTCTCATCTTCCTGCCCGTGGCCCTCAGCTTCGTAGGCGGAGACGGTATGCCAACCCCTGGCCCTTATCTATTATGTTCTATACTAACTAAGCAACTACTAGGCTATGCTGATTCTCATGCTGCTGGCGGCCTCGAAGAAGACCTCGCGGCCCGCGGGTACAGGTCTCTGCTGCTCGACGACGACTACTACGACTCTGATGACGAAGAGCTCTAGTGTTGCACTCTATATATCTCTGTCTATCTTTACCCCTTATATTTTTCTACTGCTTTGGCTGTATATCCTATCTGTACTCCTTTTTCGCTTGGTTATTCACTATGTATTGGCTATAGACCCTTCGAGTCTTGTACGCTGGAGTTTCCTCCTTTTTGGACATAGCAGTCCTTGATCCTATCGTGCATATACAATGCCATCTAATATCTCTATCTATCCATCTATCTCTACCAATACTATCACTACCCCCTATTCGTCTCCGTCAGAGTATTTATTAATAACACTAAGAGAAAATAATGGCGGGGAGCAAAAAGCACATGATTTCGCTTTTTTCTTCCCCACCTCAAAAAGGGAAAAAAAAAAATGTCGACCAATTTTTTTCTTTCCTCAACTTCAACTTCAACAACTTGAGGAACCGCCGGCTTTTGCTGCGCAGAGAAGAGTATATCTCACTGTGATCGGTGCTGGCAGCGTGAGGCTCTTTCGTTCTATCTTGCGAGGTCTCACTAGGCAGATCTAGTCAACAGGCACAACAGGTACAGGCACAGGCAAACGCGTGCCGGGCTCGCTGGGAGCCGTCAGTCAAGATGGATCAAGCACAATTCCTGCAGCAATTGCAGATTATATTAAATCGTCAGTCAATATCCTCAGGATCATCTTCTCCCGCTGCTCCTCTACTTGTGCTTCTACTGTTTTCTTTTGATCCTTATCGTTATCTCGCTTATTACTAACGTGTCTCACTGTAGCAAGCCAAGGAAGCGTCAAGGAAGCCACAAACACACTGCAAAAGGTGTACTATAAAAACCCTGAAGCGCTCCTTTTCCTCATCCAAATTGCTACCACACACCATGATGCCGACCTGAAGCAGCTGGCCGCCGTCGAGGCTCGCTCTCTGGCAATCAAGCTGTGGGCCAAAGTCCCTGATGCACAGAAACCACAGGTCCGCGAGCAGCTTCTGCGCTCGACCCTTGCCGAAAGCTCTGCACTCGTCCGCCACGCCTGTGCCAGAGTCATCTCAGCCATTGCTGAGGTTGATCTGGCCGATGGCGAGTGGGCGGATCTGCCGCAGTTCCTGCTGAACGCCTCGACCAGCGCGAAGCCGGAGGAGCGTGCCGTGGGCACCTACATTCTCTTTGCTATCCTCGAGACGCTCGGTGAAGGCTTTGAAGAGAAGTTCATGGACCTCTTTGCCTTGTTCGAAAAGACGATTCGTGACCCGGAGAGCGCGGAGGTCCGCATCAACACACTACTCGCGCTCAGCAAGCTAGCCGTTCATCTGGACTCCGATGAAGACGAGAAGCCAGTCAAGGCATTCCAGCAGATTTTCCCTGCCATGGTCAATGTCCTCAAAGACACCATTGACCAAGGTGACGACGCCCGTATCATGCAGGCCTTTGAGGTCTACCAAACTCTCCTTGGATGCGATCCTGAGCTTCTCAACCCTCACCTCAAGGACCTTGTCATCTTCATGAACGAAATCGCTGCCAACACCAAGGCCGACGACGATACCCGAACTCAGGCCATCAGCTTCCTAATGCAGGCTGTCAGTTACCGTAAAATCCGTATCCAGGGCATGCAGCTCGGTGACCAACTTACCCGCACCTGTCTGGTTATCGCTACTGAGCTCGACAGCCTGGATTCTGATGAAGATGACATCACTCCAGCTCGTTCCGCCCTGGGTTTGCTTGACATGATGTCCCAGAGCTTTGCTCCCAGCCAGGTCGTCGTCCCACTCCTCAATGCGGTTGGCCAGTATTTCAACAGCTCAGAGGCCAGCCACCGTCGTGCCGGTATCATGTCGCTCGGCATGTGTATTGACGGAGCTCCTGACTTTATCAGCACTCAAATGCAAGAGATCTTCCCGGTTCTCTTCCGCCTGCTGCAGGACCCCGAGGCTAGTGTTCGCCAGGCTACTCTAGACACTGTTGCTCGTCTCGCTGATGTTCTGCCAGACGATGTCAGCAAGCAGCACCAGACCCTCATGCCATTGCTCTTGAAGAATCTGGCCACCGCCATGCAGGGCTACAGCGGCGAAGAATCTGGCCCAGCAGTAGACATGATCAAATCCTCCCTCAGTGCAACAGACACCGTTGTAGACGGCATGGAGGGCAAGGACGTAGCTCCTTACCAATCGGACCTTGTCCCATTGCTGCAAAAGCTGTTCAAGCACCCTGATTTCAAGATCAAGGGCCATACCGCCAGTGCTCTCGGATCAGTCGCCTCCTCTGCTGGTGAGGCCTTCCTGCCTTACTTTGACGAATCTATGCATATCATGCAAGAGTTTGCTACTCTGAAGCACAGCGAGGAGGAACTCGAGCTTCGCGCCAGCGTTATCGATGCTATGGGTGAGATGTCCTCCGGCGCTGGACCGGAGCATTTCAAGAACTACGTTGGACCATTGATGCAGGCCAGCGAAGAAGCACTACACCTCGACCATTCTCGCCTAAAGGAGAGCACTTATCTCTTCTGGGGCGTGATGTCTAAGGTCTACGGATCCGAATTCACCCCATACCTCGAAGGCGTTGTCAAGGCCTTGATCGCCTGTTTGGAGCAGAATGAGACCGAGATGGAAGTCTCCCTCGGAGATGCTGCCAAGGACTTGGTTGGCCAGGAGGTCACGATCGCCGGACACAAAGTGCGTGTTGCTGGTGCTGACGATAATGACGATGATGATGATGAGTTTGAAGACGTGGATGACTGGGAGAACCTCAACACTGTCACCCCCGTCTCCCTCGAGAAGGAGATTGCAATTGAAGTTCTCGGAGACGTGATCACTCACACCGGCAAGTCCTTCATGCCGTTCTTCGAGATGGCCATGCAGCACATCCTGCCACTCACCGAGCACTCATACGAGGGGGTGAGAAAGAGTGCCATGTCAACCCTTCATAGATCATATGCTGCTCTATGGCAGGTCTGCGAGGAGACCGGGCAGATGCAGAAATGGCAACCTGGAAAGAACATGCCCCTCAGCGAGCCACCAAGTGAGCTCAAGAAGCTCGGTGAAATCTTGATGAAGGTTACCCTTCAACGCTGGGCTGAGGAAGATGATCCGTAAGTTTCTTGTTCCTTGTCTTCTTCGGTGTCTTTTCTCAGCTTGTTATTATGATGACAACACTCGTTACCCAGCTCACGCAGACGCCCAAAGGGCGATTGCTGATACAGCGATCTACTTATCTGATTAAACATCTTATTATTTTTTATCTCTTAGTTACATGCTATGCTATAGTGTGCATGCTAACCGCGTTATGACAGCTCCGCCGTCTCTGATATCAACCGCAACTTTGCTGACAACCTTCGTTTCTGCGGCCCTTACTTGATCTCCAACCGCGAGAACCTTGAAAAGGTTACCTCCATGGTTACCTCGATCATCACCAAGCAGCATCCATGCCAGCTTGATCTTGATGCTACCGATGAGGATAGAGAGCTTATGGAGGAGCTGTCCGAATTTGACTGGAATGTTATCGACACTGCTCTCGACGTTGTCTCTGGCCTCGCCATCGCTCTTGGCGCCGAATTTGTTGCTCTCTGGCCAGCCTTCGAGAAATATGTCCTCCGCTTTGCAGCCAGCAGTGAATCTCTCGAGCGCTCGACCTCCATCGGTGTTCTTGCCGATGTGATCTCCGGGCTCGGCAACGCCATCACCCCTTACACTGGCAACTTCCTGCGCCTCTTCACCCATCGTCTTACTGACGAGGACATGCAGACCCGCAGCAACACCAGTTATGCTGTTGGCATGCTAGTTGAAAAGTCCGAGGCTGATGCCGAGCTCGTGGCTGCTTATCCAACTGTTTTAGAGAAAGTCACCCGCTGCCTTCAAATTCAGCAGGCTAGATTCCCTGACAATGCTGCCGGCTGTATTGCTCGCCTGATTATTAAGCACCGTGAGAACGTCCCATTGGAGGAAGTTCTCCCTGCTCTAATCGAGACCCTCCCTCTGCAGAATGACTTCGACGAGAACGAACCAATCTACCGCATGATCTGCCAACTCTGTATGGACCCCATCCCCCTTTTCTCCTTAAAGCCTTGCCTGTCTGGTTAAACTAATACATCCTAGATAAATGGGAGGATGCTACCATCCGCCAACTTACCCCCCGTCTACTGCCGATTTTCAAGTCCGTCCTGACTGGGGATAGTGACCAGCTAGATGACGAACGACGAGCAGAGCTAATTGAGCTTGTCTCATGGCTGAACAAGATGCAGCCCGGTGGGGAAGCCGCTTTCATCGAGAAACTCAGCTCGTAAATGCTAAATCTAAAGTGGATAGATGGGGACGAGACATACAATACATGTTATAGAGAGTATCCCTGCTTTGGTTAACTAATCAATGTGACAGGCAGGCTTGTGCGAGGGAGATAGGAGATCAAAATCAAGATACCCCTAGCTGGAACCGGCTCGGTGCCGGGAACCAACACTAACGATAATGAGATAAGATTTGATATTTATTGCCAGCAAGATCAAGAAAAGTACTTTTGTCTATTCTCCTCGTCTCCCTTTTTCCCGAACATAGTACACGGAGTAGACAATGGTGTGTTTAAGCAAGCGAGCTCCACACCAATCTGCAGCTGAGACACGCCTCCCTATGGTCTCCATCTCAGCTGTGGCTGTCTGGGCCTCGTCATCACCGTAATCAACCAGTTAACTCAGGGGCATGACACACCCATCCATATATAACTAGCCACACACTCTTTCCTCCTGTATGCCATGCTCTCTGCACAAGGAAGCCAAGATCAAACAAGCAATTCCAAGACCGTTGAGACTCCGTACCAAGACCAGCCATTATGTACGTCCTAATTTCGATGTTCACTGATATAGGTACTAATAACGGCCTGCAGAGTTATCAAGATGGCTCAAACTACGAAAAATTCCCCCGTCAACGAGACCTTGCCAACCTCCTCTGGCTCATCGGCGGCATCCTCCATCTCTAAACCTATCAAGGGCGTCTCGAAGCCGTGCTTCGGCTGTGGTTGTGGCGATGAAGACTGCGAATGTATCTGCGTCGTCATGTAAACTGGGTCTGCTATTTCGGTCAGCCATTGACTATCGAATATTTAAATAAGCGGGAGAAATTCAAGGAAGATTTGGGAGGTGGATTGTTGTATATCGGTGATAGTCGCCTCTTTTAAAGAAGTGCATCAATGAAATCTGTGGTCATCCTTACTTCAATTTGCCAGCTATATTGTTTAATAACATTGGTATCGATAAATGTTTCCTTAACTAGTCCTGACTGTGGCTGTAGAGATAGAAAGTGGCTGTAACTCTCCCATGAAGCACCGCAGTTGTATGAGATTTGATAATCTCTATAAAGCAGTTTCCTAGCCTAGGGAGTGCTGAGTGCGACAGATGTTGCTCCTGATGCGGGTTGGCTCCGCGTTTGTCCACGTAGGTCGACCCTATATGTGCTATATCCAAGAGTGTTATGCCTTGGAAGTGAGGCATGTAGACAAGTTCGATGTTGTTCAACCTGAGGTTGGTTACAGATGCTGTATAAAATCACCAGGGAAGAAGGTCGGCAGCGTGTTTCATCTCGATCAAACGCGGGGATATAAATACCCATAGTGCATCCGGCTTCATCCGGCTTCCTCAATCTCGTCCAGGAGCCTCCACATCACCCGTGCATCCTCAATATCTCTGT